AGGTGCTCTGACTGAGGACGTCAGGCGCATGGAGCTCAAGCTCGAGGAATATAGGTATGTGGGGTTTAAATTTGATTTACTAAAACAGAGATAGGAGATAGAGCTGCTGTTAAATCTCTTGTTCATCCGAAACAGGCCACTTGAGAGCCTCATCAACATTGATGAAAAAGGGTTTCCAATGAGGCGTCTGCTGGTCAACCACGCATGACCCAATGACACCGAAAGATAGACTGCGACGTAGAAATATGAACCATTAACAGGACCACCTGAGATGGATGCTTCGCCTGGATTAATGTTTCCAGATCTTTGATCCATCTCAGGACAGCCATACTAGCGAAATCAAATCTGTCGCTTGATTAATCACCTTTAACCGAATCCCCGTTAACAAATGATGCCTTTCTAGGCATTTACTTCAAGACGTGGAGGGAATGTAGAGAAACTCCGCGACAGGCGGCACAAAGGATTTTGATGAGGCTCGGGTATTATTGCACTTCGTCCTTCCATGGCGGCATGCTTGCATCCGAGGGTAGGTCGCACATTCACAAAAACGTCTTCATTTCTGGGGTCCTCGCCAGTCAACATGTGAGATCAGGGATTCCTGGTTGTCCGAAAGGGAGGCATTTGATTGTATCTAAGACAGGTTTGACGTCTCCATAAGGGTTGAAGCACAGTCTCGCACCTGGCAGGTTTCATGGATCATTCAAAGAGCAGAGGCCTGGCCACAAACGGTAATTAAAGTTCAGCGGAGTTTCGGAGAAGCGCAAAGACCGCCTCGTGATGCTTATTCCACTGCTTTAGTCTTGGTGCACGCATGACAAGTTTGCCCTCTCCCAATCTGGTTAGTCACAGGCTGTCAATATGGAAAATTTTGATTTTATTCGCCACGCCCTTTGACGAAGTCTCCAGTTCCTCCTTTTTTCTCTTCCCCAGACTGGGGACACATATTCCGGTGCGGGGCAAACCATCTCGGCTTGGTCGAGAGCTGACACTAGTCTGGATTTGGAGACTAATCCGGCAGTCATATCGTCGGCTCATCACAAGTGGCCCGTGCTAATACGTCCCACGAAAAAGGTTCAGGGGTGTTCAGGCTTTCGAATACGTGATTAGGCTAGTCCTTTGCTATGTATAGCCTGTAGCACAAAATGGAAGACCAAACCCCAGAGTCGAGTCAAGCCATTCAAGCCTCAGTGCCATCTCCCTTGCGGAATCACGGATGTATGTGATGGAAAGCTGATATAAAAGGTTCAGAATCACGGCAATCTCAGCTTTCGTCGACGCGTTAAAAATCTTCCTACCTTGCATATTCAACAGGTAGACCCCGTGATCAAGATGGCTCCCCACGACGAGAAGCCAACGACTGAGGTTCACGACCGTCCCGTTGATATCCCTAGTGAATGGAACCTTCAACGTGTCTTGCCAAATACCGAAAAACCGTGGTACAAGCAGCGCCATCTTTTACTCCTCAATCTTGGGATGGTCATTCCCTATCTATCATCGACCACCAATGGTTATGATGGATCTATGCTCAACGGTCTGCAGTCGATGTCACAGTGGCAAACCTCCTTTGGCAATCCAACCGGTACCCGCTTGGGCTCACTTTCCAATGGCGTGATATTTGGTCAGATCCTCGCTTTTCCAATTGCTCCTTGGCTCTGTGATCACACCGGCCGACGGTTCCCTATCTTCATCGGATCGGCACTCCTAGTCATAGGAGCCATTCTTCAATGTGCCGCCCAGAACTATGCTATGTTTTTGGTCTCACGTATGGTGATTGGATTCGGTGGTTTAATTGCTGTCGAAGCGTCGCCGATGCTAGTCAGTGAATTAGCGTATCCGACACATCGACCTGTGTTAGTCGGCTACTACAACAACCTATGGTACCTTGGGTCATTGCTCGCTGCATGGATCACATACGGAACCTACTTTATGGGCCCTAATATTTCATGGGCTTGGCGCATTCCCTCCCTCCTTCAGGGATTTTTTCCTCTGTTGCAGGTCCTCTTTGTCTACCTTCTTCCTGAGTCGCCGCGTTACCTCGTGCAGAAAGATCGGTATGACGAAGCCCGAAAAGTCTTAACGAAGTATCACGCTGGTGGAGACGAGAACTCGCCTCTAGTAGACTTCGAGATGCAACAGATTATCTTGACAATCCAGGCCTCGAAGGAAACTAAGTCTGGCTATCGAAAATTCCTTAGTACGCGGGGCAACCTACATCGCCTTTTGATCATCATTACAGTCCCTTGCATGATGCAGCTCTCGGGTAACGGTCTGATCGCATATTACCTACACCTTATTCTCAACTCGATTGGCTTCACCTCGGATCCCCAACAGCTCCGAATCAACGGAGGACTAGCAGTTTTCAACTTTGGAGTCTCGATCATCCTATCCTCATTTATGGAAGCTGCCGGTCGGCGACGGTTATTCCTCATTTCGACAATAGGAATGTTGGCTTGCTACGTGATATGGACAATTCTGTCCGCAATCAACCAACAAAGAGGCTTTCATGACACTGGTCTGGGCACTGGCGTTATCGTCATGATATTTATGTATCAGCTCTTCTATAACGCCGGTCTGAACGGGCCGCCCTGGGTCTATATCACTGAAGTACTTCCTACGCATCTCCGTGCGAAAGGAACTAATATCATGCAAATAGCGTCGACATGTGTTATTCTATTCAATGGTTATGCGAACCCCATTGCAATGGATGCAATCAGCTGGAAGTACTACATTGTTTACTGCTGTGTGATTGCTGCTGAGTTTGCGCTTGTCTATTTCTGCTTCCCCGAAACCAAGGGTTACAGTTTGGAAGAAGTTGCGTTGATTTTTGATGGAGAGAAGGCTTTCGGTGAGGTCTCTGAGAAAAGCTCTGGTGAAAAACAGAACCTGGGCGAAGTTTGAGTTACTTGTCGTGGGATTGGAACCTTGTCGAAGGAGCTATCTGATTGTCTGCCTGTGTAATTTCAACTGAATCTGAAGTTGAAGACGAATTATATTCTTTTATTGCAGGATACCATTCATAACCTGGCAGACATTATCTTTGTGTATATAATTGCATATGTTATATTTCCACTGTGACGCACATGGATGACGTTCAGTCTAGCTATATCTGGCTTAAGCAGTTTCACAATGCATTTCGCGTTATGGTTTGTGGAAGTTTCTCTTCATAAAGTATGGAAGCCAATTTCGAATATTGTTGTACTGTCCTCTATTTCAAGGTCGATGGGCGCAACGCGCACGTCTTCCAGTGAAATACTGCCAAGAAAAAGGCTCAGGGGCCGAGTAATATAACTTAAAAAAGCCTGACGCTGGATATTCTGCACTCCCGGATCCTGCAGAACGCGAGGAAGCCTAACTATCATCTTCCTCCATACTTCGAATCGCACTCATGAAGAACGTAAAACCTTTTATTCTCTATCAAAGGCCCCACGATATGGTTAATTGGAGCTTTGAACAAAGAATGGACACAGAATATTATCGAAGAGTAGCGTTTGGGTTCTACGAGGGCTGGTCAAATATGAGGTATACTTGACTTCTGCCAATCCACGGAAACTATCACCTGAAATGAACAAATATCAACCAAGAAAATGACATCACGAGGACAAAGAAAAATAAAAGAGTAGCACCCGCAAGGCCAGGGCTAAATAGACTGCAAAGGTGTCGAACAATAAAAATGCTGGACACAAGGATGAAATTACCTCACTGACTTTACATTTAATCAACCTTCACCTTCAGTATCCACATGCTTCAAAGTGTCTTGATCCAATGAACAGATTTATCCCTGGATGACGAGCCGCTCTGCACAGCCACTGCGGGGTAAGTGGATTAGTCCATGAATTAATTTTTTGTTTCACGCCGAGGAAAACACGTCTCCGTCAAGGTCTTTTTCTCTCTTTGTGGTGGAGTATTTCTTTCCTTTCGCAGGCTTCAAAAAGGAGAATCCGTATCAACATGTCCACATTGGGCCCTGAGATATGGTACCTCGTTTTCCAAACTGTGAGTTTCGACATGACCGTGATGTTCATTGTACCTGATCGTTCAGCTGGATACCCGACATGACTTGAGAAACGTGTGTCAAGTATGCAAGTCTTTTAACGCTTTGGCGTCACCTGTCTTGTACAGGTCGATCATTCTCCGCACATCAAGACCAAAGCCGAGAGGCAGACGTCGTCTAGCACATTGGATCAAAGACCAAGCTCGTACTAAAAATAACTCAGGCGAATCCAGCCTTCTTTCACGCCTTCTAAATGGGCCAAATGAGCGACTGCGAAGATTTGTCCGCGTTGTTGAGTTGGGGCAAGAAAGGTACTCAAGGGATATCCCAAAACTCTTTAGGCCTTACGGTGATTCTCAAACGGTTCTGGTCCGATTGATCGAGGCCTTATCGAACCTTGAAAGTCTCTGGTGAGATCCCCTACGCTGGCCATGATCCCTCCCTAGGTTTGCTAATGTGCCTTTGAAGTCTGAAGGAAGCATTTCCGTTGTCTGTGGATGTAATAGACGCGCTTTGCAAACACGAGAATTCTGTTGCCGTTCATTTACTTGGCGAGCGAGGTAGTACGCAAGTAGAACGCCAGGTACCATGTGTTCAAAGTTTGAACACTCGCGTTCGTGTTTATTCACGTGGAATGGAGATTGGGAAACCTTCACTGGCTCTTCATGAACTTTTCTTTGCTTACCCGAACCTAAAGGATCTATCCGTTGGTCTTGACTTTTACCGAAGTAGAGGGCCCAGGGGAGGCAGTCCTCTACCCGAACCAGTTACAAGAATTGAGTCCCTTGCTTTAGGCGAGTCCGACTTTTTCCCTCCCATTCAAAGTCTCGCTTTAAGTGACTACCACGTTGGTTCGGAAGAATGGAAGCTTTGGGAAAATAAATTTCCTTGGGCTAGCTTGAAATCTCTTGCTTTGGGCCCGGTACCGAGTCATTCTTTTCTGCAGCAAATCAATGGCTATACGCGGAATTTGTCAAGGTTCGAAATTTACGCCTACAGCAGTCTAGAAATGCACATTTGTCCGGAATTGAATGACTTTTTGCTGTCTTTTGACACCCTTGAGGTGCTCGCTGTGAAACAATGCTGGCCGTCTCTCGAAGCAATTGTCCACCATTCAAATCTCAAAAAACTCACTTTCCATGCCACCGAAAATAGAGAGAGGAAACGGCATTTACTGGACCTAGAGGATCTTGAGTTCCTCGACAGAATGTGCACTGGACTCGAGTTTCTGGAGATCGATATTCGCCGAGAAGATGAATGGGTGAGTTTACTCCATGACACATCAAATCCTTGCTCAAAGATCTAACTTTTTGAATTTAGCCCGTAAATATCATAGCGGTCCTTGCGAGAGGATTTGCTAATCTTCGTGAGCTGAGGTTTCACGTTGGGCTTGATATTCACCGGGGAAACATCGAACCAACTCTCACCAAAATCACCGCCAATGAATTCGTCGAGGTTTTGCTATGTCACAGACTCTCCACTTCAAAGCTGAAACGTGTCATACTCAAGACTGGTGAGAATCTACGTGACTTCCGAGACGTGAAGCCTAGATACGCGAGAGAGGAAGAGGATTGTGCGGCTGAATTCGAGATACGGGCTCCTCATGATGGCATAGGCGAGTGGGTAGTCGAAGAGCGTACTATCGAATAAAAATTTTGCCCTGGTTGGGTTATGTGGACCCATTATTTACTCAAAATGGGATATGCGAAATAGTATAGTCCTGTCTTGTTGGTCTTGCGATGCGGCCGATCTCCTCACTAGACAACTTCAGCATTTGTCCAGGCAAGCATTTTGCCGTAAAATGCTTGCCCTCGGCTGGCTGAATATTCTTGGAGAGATGATCCGATCGTGAGCGCAACACTGCTGGTAGGTTCCGGATTGTACACATTCAACCCCTTCACTAACGCAAGTATGATCAGTCTTGGGTCCGTGAATTGTCAACCTTTTGTACTGGCCTCCAGGGGGAGTCAGTTGTCCTTCAATTTCACTTCCCTTTCCATATGGCATGGTGCATCAATATAGTTAAAGTGTATTGCTGTCACAATCAACACTTATTTCGTTGTTTCAGTTATAGGATTGCCACCCTCAGTAGAGCTCTAGCATGTGTTGGCAATATATCCCTGTGCTTGGAATGAACATTCATTTTGTTTACCGGAGCAAGAACAGTTTCGTGTGCTGCAGGGGCCGTAGAATTTCAGCGGTATGCGGAGGGATGATCGGTTAACTTCAGCCTCGGGCGCCAAACCCACGCGCCGGGCCAATCGGATGAACGAATGTAGCGCTCGCGAACGACCCTGTCATAGATAAAACGAAACAGAAACCTCTAGCTAAATGGGGGTGGCTAATCTTATTGCTATTAATATGTTGGACACGATACTTGCCATACTGGGCCTTTTGGTATCCTCAAGCTCATACCCGACTACGTTTTTCTCACTTGCTACCTACTGTCTCTTTTGAATACTTATACATGCAAGTTTCGATTCGGTTTTAATTTTTCACTCTTTATCTCTCTACCACTTGAATCCGCGTGGTCCATTGAGCTCATAATCTTAATGGCCGCAGGCCTGTCTTTGAACTTGGAATTCTTGACATGGAGAAATCCGAAACCCCTTACCCATTCGAATACGACAGTCATAAAAGTTATGGAGATCTTGAAGTCATCCCGGGATATGTAATGGAAGCCAGAAGAAGCCACAGTGGGCTACAGGGTGACTCTCAATCGGAGGCGGGAAGGGGTTACGGAAATCTCGAAGTTGTTCCTGAAAATGGGAAGGAGGTCGTATACAACTGCGATGCTCCAATTTGGGTGTCCGGTCCAGGTAGAGGTTTTGGGAGACTTGAGGAGACCACAGCCAACAATGGACTGCGAAAAGGCTCGATATGTGGACTACAACCTCCAACTTTCTGGATTTTACTAGTGGTTATAGTATTAGTGATTGGTGGCGCCGTCGGTGGAGGAATTGGAGGAGCATTGGCCGTTCGAAATCGAGACGGCGCGTCTCCAACAAGTGGAAGGTAAGTTTCTTTTCTTCGTCTTGCATTTGAACAATTGCCCGGATCTGACCGTCGTGTGTTCAGCAATACCAATCCTAGTACGACGTTATCGAGCAACACTGGCACGATCACCGCAACTTCATTACCCATAACATCATCTTCATTACCCATAATATCATCTGCATTGCCCATAACATCGTCTGCATCCGGCACCACTACAATTGCCACCGCATCAACAACTTCCTCGGCACCCGTTACCTCGGGCACAACAGGGTTAGCAGCAAACCCATGTCCCGGGCAGAACCTAACGACGATTCAAGGATCGGATGACTCGATTTTCACATTGCTATGCAGCGTCGACTGGCCCAATGGGGAGAATTCGGCATACGGCAACGAGACAGTCACCGATTTGAGCATCCCAACGACTGCATATACGTTGAAAGAATGCATTGCGGACTGCATAGACTTTAATACCGCAGCACCAGATGAGTCACCCTGCAGAGCCGTTGTATATGCTGCCAACCTGACGGCTTCATTTGACGGCGGGCAAGGTGGGAATTGCTTCCTGAAGAATACTGTCGGCAGATACTTTCCTAGTTCGGATACTTCGATGGCTGCTGGGATCTTGGGAGGGGGTAGTTTCTAGCTTAGATTTCCTCAAGTAAATATTGGCTATTCGAAGCAATCATGAAGAATATGTGCGAACTGACGGGTGCTACAGTATTTCTTTTCCAGGTTTAAACTGAACTCACTCTAGCTCTCTCCCAAACAACGTGCGCTCTCTCTGATCGTAGCATTCATTACCGCATCTGTTACGTCGTCATTTGCGCACTTATACAAGTGGATGAATCTAATGCTATTTATCACCAAGATTGAATGAGGTTTATCAACAAGATTGAATGTAGTTTACGCAGAACTGAATCCAGAAGTATTCGTATTTCCTTCCAGAACTCCATGCCAAGTGCAATAACGCCATCAGTATCATACAATATACAAGAACGTGAAAAGTTCTCAAGATCAAAAGATTTAGTGGCTGGGCCAGTTTCCTTTCCAGTGCACAGAATGCTCATCATCGTCATCAATAACAACCACCATCCACACACCGACCTCTCCGTTGTTGGCCAGTAGTGGTGTGCAGTGGATCCAGCGATAACGTCCCTCTCCGCTGTTGAAACGGGTTACCCACTTGATGCGGGCTGTAACACTGCGACCTGCTATCATGGCGTGGAGAATGCTGTCGCGCTTTTCACCGGTGTCGCCGATGCGGGAGAGGAATGACGATTGCAGCATACCGGGAATCTGAAGAGAGGGAGAGGTGAAGAGGACTCGGAGAGAGGGGTATGGGCGAACGAGGAGATAGTGTTTGTAGACTCCCGTGAGGGATGCGCTGGGTGAAGACGTCTTGACGCTCATTCGAGGCTCGAATTCATGGTCGGCACTGCCTGGGATATAGAGGCGGCTATTGTTCGGATTGATATCGTCAAGGACAGGCTGGAAGAGGTTACCTCCGTGCGCATGAACGTTTTGCAGCTCGCGCGGACTGAACAGTTCACCCAGCTGCTGAAACTCGGTCTTTTCTTTCTTCCATTCTGATTCGTTTTCGGGGTTCTCTTTGCGCGCCTTCAATTCTCGGAGTGAGCCCATTTCTGCGCTGTCCATGGCCAGACCTGAGACGTCAATTTGCGCTCCAATGAAGTAGCGGATTTTGCCGTGGCTGTCGCACAGAGGGGCACACTGGAGAAGGTTCATGAAAGGTGTGCCGTCGCGGCGGTAGTTGAGGAAAAGCTCGGAGTGGTGGCGTCCGTCTTGAATTCCTTCGCGAATACGTCGAACACTGTTTGGGTTGGTCTTGGGGCCCTGTAAGAAACGGCAGTTTCGGCCGAGCACATAGTCCATGCCGTATTGTGTGGTTCGGTGGAATTCTAAATACCATGTCAGCTTCAATTCGAGATATCTAGCAAATTGATGCAGTTACCTCCGGACGCGAAGATAATGGGGTTATCGGGGCGGGACGGGTCTGTCAAGCAGAACACCTCCGCGAGGGCGTCGGATGTGCCTTGGAACTTTTCTGGGAGAGTGCCTCGCACACGCTCTTCAACGACCTTGCTAGTTATACTGATGCAAGTGGAAGTGATGAACGCCGGCAATTCCTCCGCAGTCAAGGCTTCCAATGCATCCTGCACACGTGTCTCGAGCGCCGAATTCGCAGTATCGCCAACCGGTTGCTTTGCGTTCTTGACACCGGCGGTGGGGACATCCACCGACAACCGAACAAGCGAATTGGCATACTGGAGCGCCTTCAATGCCTTGCTGGTATTGAGATAGTAGGTCAACACAGGAATGGACATGGGGCGCTCCGCCACAAGGAAATCGCGAAAACGGGCCAGATAGCGCGGGTTGGTCAAGATCATCAACATGTGCTCAGAGCAGAACATGGTATCGGCTTGGCGCTCGAGGGAGTGTAGGGGAGTTCCGTCGCCCTCGTACGGAGCGACGAGGTCAAAGGACCCGTCTCCGATCTCCTCATTAACTGGGTTGAATTGTTCGGAGCCATCGTAAGGGTTTTTCGCTTGAAGAAGAGGCAGCTCATTTACGTAGAAATTGCGATGCCGTGACTTGTCCGAGGTCTGAGAACGGATCTCATCTGCGTCGTAATGGTTGGGTGGGGAGGTACTGATCCATTAGCCACACTCACTTTCCGATGCGATTGTCGCACTCACCATTGTTGGTCCAGCGTGTCCCGGGGCTTGTGCTCCTCAGGGTCAAACTGCTCCCGAGGCTCATTGGGTGGTGTGCCGAGCTGTTGGTTGATGTACTCGGACTTGGTGTCGATAATCTCATCGAGTACGATGGTGGAAGGGTACGAGAGCGACGAGCTTCCCCGGGCCGGTCGGTTGTCGGGGATGTCGGGGATGTCCATGATGACTATGCGCAAGTGTTTGAGATTCTTATTTCCGCTGGACCTCGGGGACCAGGGTCTTTAAAGAATCGAAGTGATTATCGGCCATGATGAGATTGCATGGCCTAGAGGCATGCCATCGATCTATTGAATCCTATCCACGGTTCCCTTGTCTAAGACGGGCGAATGAATTGCTTTGACGTGGTAAAGCTGGTGAGATCAGCGCGGCTCCATATTCGCAGGCAGGCCGATCTAGTGATCGATCGGACGATCGCCAGGGCCACGAGCCGGGCAGCACGAGGGATCAGAGGCCGGGGAGAACGATGATGTCAAAGCCGCGAGGCACAATCCCGAAGTGGGTCGACAGATGTAGCCAAGTGCCGTGTCTAACAATCGCCGTCTCCTCTCCTTTCTTCAATTCGGTGGTCAACAGAGGCTCCCTAGCTTATAATGTTCTCTTTATGCAGGCAGAAGAGACACAGAGATAGGAAAAAGAGAAACGGAAACAGGCTGAAGAACGTCGGAATAAGGCTGAAAATCAAAGGAGACGGGGGGCAGAGAACGCAATCAATAACCTTTTTTTGGAATAACTCGGTGCTTCCCAGCCGACAGACGGAAATCCTTTGCATCGGTAAACCCAAGCCATTGCATAATATTTGGATGCGTAAGAGTGAGTTATCGAGGAACGAATCCCATCTGATCTTCAAAATTGCCATCTTACGTTGCTGAACGGCTCAAGACACACGTGAGATGTACGCCAGTGCACATTTGAAATGTTCATCGGGAATTTTCTGCCAATAGTAACTTAACTCAAACTTCCTGGGATTCCTTGAAGCGATATTTAGTACCCCTTTTCTCGGCCGAGGGGCTCCCTCGGATACCTCTGAATCCTCTTTTGGGTCTTTTAACGGCCTGCTTCAGTTGTAATCAATTTACCACGAAAGGAAATGTGCCCACTAGACCAACTTTCAACTAAACCAGCTCTTCAGTGTCTGCGTATTACCAAGAGTCATTGATGAAACGTGACGACCTGGAATGTCTTTTTAGGATGAGCTTTCCAGAAAGTGGCTACGCGATCGGCAATGCAGCGTTCACGCTTCATGAGCTTCTCGAGGACGATACGCTCACTCTGACCGTCTCGTTCAACCTCATTTTAGCGCTCGTCACACGAGGTGGTAAACCTGGGATCGAATCCTAGTTTTTCTTCATTCATGCAGAGAAAATTGAGGGTGGTGGTCACGAATTGGAGGGCACCTTCTTTGTTGCTATCGAAACGTTCCGAAGCTATACAACATCCGCACGTTCGAGCGGCGCAATTGTTGGTCCGGCGGGCAGATTGTTCAGGATGAGAACCGCGTGGGGTGATGTGTGGGCCAATGACATGTCCTATAACATGTACCAAAGACCCCGGTGGAATGAACATTATTAATGATTTTTGAAGAAACCCGGCTCACGACGGAGTTAAACGTGGAGCTTAGCCTCAACCTACTTTTATCTCCGCCGACTTCAACGTCGACTTATAAAATGGATGCCAGACCCCAGCAGATAGTTCATTAAATGTGATCAATTCCTTGAATAACACAAAATCAGATATACAACATGGCCACACCATCTCTCAAATATACCAACAAACTTGCGGGACAGCGAGTCCTGATTTTTGGTGGAACCTCCGGAATCGGATTCGGCGTTGCCGAAGCCGCTCTCGAGCACGGAGCCAACCTGGTCATCGCAAGCTCCAAGCAAAGCAAACTGGACAAGACCGTTGAGAGATTGAAGGAAGCCTACCCGACCCAGACTCAAAAGCAGACCATCACCACCCACGTCTGCGATCTTTCCGATGCCGCCAACCTCGACGCCAACTTCGAGGCTCTTTTCCAGGCCGCTACTGTCGGCGGTACCGTCAAGCTGAACCACGTCGTCACCACTGCCGGCGATGCTCTACAGCTCCCTCCCCTCACCGGTATCACAGCCGATGTGGTGCAGACCGGTATGAATGTGCGCTTCATCGCACCAGCCGTCATGGCCAAGTACATTCAGAAGTACGTGGAGAACTCGCCAGCAAGCTCATTCACCATGACCGGAGGCTTGCGTGGCCGTAAGCCTGCCCCTGGCTGGTCTCTCGCGACTGCTGTGAGTTCTGCGGCAGAGGGCCTTGCTAGAGGACTGGCTCTGGACCTCAAACCGATCCGTGTCAATGTAGTTTCGCCTGGTGCGGTATACACCGAGCTGTTTAGTGGGTTCCCTAAGGAGCAACTCGATGTCATGCTGCAGATGTTCAAGGATGGATCTACCACCAACACTGTTGGTAGACCGGAGGATTTAGCAGAGAGCTATATCTACTTGATGAAGGATCAGTTCGTCACGGGCAGCGTCATCGAGTCAAACGGCGGAGCTCTACTAGTGTAAATGATCTTGGATAATTGCGAACGACTTCAGTCCCTTTCACATCAGGAATTACATTTTGTTTCACCACGCAGTGACTGTGCTCGATTTTGTACACGCTGAGTAAGCTACATTTTTATGCCCGTTAGTTAACTCCGCGTGCCACGCCTGATTCCGCGGCTCTGAGACATTTTGTTCTCTGCAGGCAGCGCACTGATTCAGAAGGGCGGGCTGTCAATAGTCCCTACAGGGCCCAAATCGTTCTCTGTCGTCATTCTCATCATATCCACTTGGTTTTGCATAACACATTTGAGCTAGGACAGCCACCCACCAAGATGCAGGGCTTCAGTAAGTCGCAACCCCACCATCGCGCAAGAAAGACAAGCTGACATGTACAACAGATATGGGACGGTTCGTCGCGATAGCCTCATACATACTCCTTTGAGATTTCCTTTACTGACTGATTCGGCAGGTATGTCCCACCGGACCAAGAAGGCCTTACGTCTGCGAACAAGTTAGCCGGCAAACACCCCCTCGGCGCCCGCGCCCGCCACCTACACACCACCGGCGCATTAATTGTCCGCTTCGAGATGCCATTCGCGGTATGGTGCACAACATGCAAACCGAACGAGACCATAATCGGCCAAGGCGTCCGCTTCAACGCCGAGAAGAAGAAAGTCGGAAACTACCACTCCACTCCGATCTACAGCTTCCGCATGAAGCACACCGTATGTGGAGGATGGATTGAGATCCGAACAGACCCGCAAAATACGGCCTACGTCGTGGTGGAAGGTGGAAGGAAACGAGACACAGGAGAAAACAAGGAACTGCAACCGGGTGAAATTGCCATTCGACCGGGTTTTGCACAGCAGGACCCGGCTGAGAAGGATCCGTTTGCGAAGCTGGAGGGGAAGGTCGAGGACAAGCAGCGAGCGCGAACGGAGGCGAGCCGCATCTTGGAGTTGCAGGAGCGTCAGAGTCGTGACTGGGATGATCCTTATGAGAAATCGAAGCGGCTGAGACGCTCGTTCCGCTCGGAGAGAAAGGGGCTTGAGAAGTTGGAGGCGAATCGGGAAGCTTTGAAGGACAAGATGAGTCTTGGGATTGATCTCGTTGATGAGACCGAGGGTGACCGCCAACGCGCGGGCATGGTTGATTTTGGCGATGATCAGACGACTGCTGTGGGAGTTACGGCGGCGCGTGCGACTCGAATTCGGCCCATGTTCGAAAAGAAGATCGCAAGGGAGTCCCCGGAGTCGAAATTTCGTGACAAGAGCAAGCGTGTGGCTTCACGAACGCGGACGACTGATATGATCGCGCAACGGAAGACCTCCCTGCGGAATGAGTTGACGGGGAACACGCGTGCAGCGGTGGATCCTTTTCTCAACGACGTTGGGGATGAGCAGAGTATTTGGAGACCGAGCATAAAACGCAAGAAACCTTCTTCTACAACTGGTCCAGAGGCGACCGCGAAGGTCGACGCCAGCTGTTCGAAAGAAGCTACAGCAGTCACCGTCACACCGAAATCAGCCACTGGCCCGACAACACTAGCACCACCATCAGCGCTGGTGGGTTATTCCTCAGACACTGAGTAGTTGGAAGCCGATGCGGCAGACTGTTTATACATTTGATACCCCCGGTGCGTTAGAATTGTTTTTGGGCGCTTTAAAATTTATGAAATACATGGGACCATTGAATAATCATCATGCGCAGTTTTTTCCTGCCATTTGAGCTAGATTGGGTATCACTATCGTGTCTTATTTCGCCCAGGGTGCCTTCGTAGGCGCATCCCCGCCGGGTGGCGGCGGAGCTTGTGTACTTGCCCAGGGAGCTCTGGTAGGGGCCATTGGACCTGGAGGCATCTGTGAAGTATCCGGTAGCGTCATAGTTGATCCGGGGCCCGGCCTTGCTGTAGCCCATGGTGCTGCTGTTGGTCCCATTGGGGGTGCCCGAGTGCCAGCCCCGGCGGTTGCCCACGGTGCTTTGGTCCCCGCGTCTACGTTCGGCCGAGCTGTAGGACCGTGGCCAGCATCTGGAACGGCCGGGCGGCCCTGTGGACCAGAGGTTGCGTGAACAGTCGTAGGGGGAGGAATAGCGTTAGGGTCACGGTCGAAGCTGAAAAGGGATCCGAATGGGAAATGCTGCACGACCGGGAATTTCGATAGAACCTCTGCGCTGAACATTTTTACCATGCCCTGGAAAAATCTGTCAGCTGAAATAATGCAGTAACATTGACACACTGGGACTTACCTTATTTATCTTGCCCCAGCCAGCTCGAATCCCTGAAATGTCATACAGCATCGGACTATGTTCCCAGAATGGGCCTTTCTTGACATCATAGATGAATCCAATGGCTGAGAAGTATAAATTTGTTTTCCTCTCTCGTTCCACAATATTTGTCTTGGTAATTCCGGCTGGATCGGGTGCATCCGGCAATGAGCCCTCTTCTGGAGTTAAGTCGGATTCGTTAATGGCCGGTGAGAATTGAGCCGATCCCAGGATATAGGGAACGAATGAGTGATCGTCAAGTCCCCAGACTCCATGGGAGCCAGCGGGTTCAAGAGAGTATGTTCTGATCAGGGTTCTGATGAGTTCCAGGTATCTGTACCACAAGTCAGAACATTCCGGGATTTCTCAGTTGCTCGGGCTTTTCTCACGGTTCTATCACGCCAAGTACGATGGCTCTCTCCTCGACTCCAAAGTCGGCTTTAGGGAATCCATTAAGTTTCCAAATTGCCGCCAGGAAGGCGATGAAGCTCAACTCATGGCCGGTACCGTAGTCCAATCTCAGACCACTGCCCCAGCTGCCCAGGAAGTAGGCCTTCAACTCCGATTCTGCGGTGGGACCGTCGGCATCGGCAGAGGGCATATCTAAGAGCTCTGCGGGCAGAAATTCCCTGAGCAAGTCGGAAGCTCGGGTCTCCAGAACTTCATGCCACTTCCTGAAGCTGATGTTTCCAAATCGCCGTGGCCCAGTGTCCGGCGGAACCTCCTCTACAATATCCTCGAGCTTCGAAAGGAGGCCCTGCAGCTGTCGGACGGGAGCGGAGAATTGCACTGCATCGGTGCCCAGCGGCCATGTTTGAGCAGCACCGTCTGGAATTTTCGTAGGGAACATTGATCGGTTCAACTGGAGCAAAAAGGTCATAATATCCGTGTAGGCTTTTGAGGAGAGGAAGTCCGACACATCTTGGCCATCGTGGATTCTCTTGACGGGCGCGATGAAATTGTGAGGAGCTCCAGGGTCCAATTTCGGCAGGACACGAACTGGTCGACCGTCCGCACTCATATTGAAGGTGAAGTTTGAAAGCGGGAGGTCGTGGAAGCTGGAGGGGAAAGCGGGATGACGACGTGCCCGAGTCTCCACCCGAGCTGTTTATCAGCTCTCCACCTCCCTTGCAGCGTTTGCTCCCCGGCGGCGTACCCTCAATTTACGTGATGGCGCCCCCCCCAAAAAGCGAAGGGCGCGCCGCACCGAGCCATGGACTGTTCTCAACAATGTCAATAACCCGGATGCCAGCACGAGCACTGCCAGCAAGGCGCCCAAAAGAAGACACACCACCCATCGCGCGAATGTCTACGATCTTCCAGTCTCCCCTTCGCCTGAACCTCAGCCTGAACCCGAGGTTGCACCCGAAACACCCAAAAGAACACTTCGCAGTGGCCTGAGAAGCCGCAATGAACGCCGCTCGACGCCTGGGCCCGATTTATCTCATGGTGAAGACGACCACGGCGGGTCATCTGCGGAGGATGCGCAGCCGGATGAAGCTCCAGAGTTGAGCGAAGACGAGGCTAGCGCAGACGAAGACGAAAGCAACGAGCTTATTGTCAATGACGAGTCGGAGGAGTTAGGCAGCGATCGTTCACCTGGAAACTTGAACCTCTTCTCCAGTGACCGCGACGCGAACAGTGACCAGAATGACTCGCCTGACTCCCCAAACCCTTCTATCCCAGAGACACCACCACCTCCACAAACCCAGCCAAAAAGCAATCTTCCACCAAATTTTTTTGAACAGTTTGAAAATCCATCCGATCATGAAATGTCCGATCAAGATGAAAATCAAGTTGAAAAGAGTCCCCAAGGCTCCATTCAAGAGCTTCTTGATAATCAGCTCTCTGAAACACAGTTCTTTTCTCAAACACAAAATGAAACCGAGGCTGACCGAAGCTACCGCCGTGATCTGCGAATCTGGTTCGACCAGGAGATCAAGGAATCTAATTTGAAGAATGATTGGGAAACCATATTCGAAAACAGAAAAAGGTTCAGAAAGCATGTCACGCGCCCTATGCCAGACGTCTTGGATGATTCGCGAGATATCGTTGCGGAGCTTCAACAAACCTACAAACAGGTTGTAGCGGAGAGTTATTTATCATCCGATCTACATAGGGAACTCCGAAATCTCAAGGATTCGTTATATGTGGAACTTTGGCGATTGAGTGACGCCGCGATGTGGAAGTCTGGAAACGAGGCAACCGCGTGGCAAATCGATCAATTTCAAGCGCACATTATACCCAAAATCATCAATCTGCTCCCTTCCAGCTTCAAGGTGTATCGAACATTGGGTTATACAGCAAGTTCTCAACTCCAGGATACCCTTTTCTTGCTGATACAATGCGGTCTTCGGATTAAGGATGTGGTCGCCTCGCGATACCTGATTAAGGAGGATGGGTTTCAAAATGCGTGTGATTGGACTCGAGCCATTCATATCCCGTTGAGGCATATTCTCAAGGATCTCAAGCAGAGAAGGCCGACCGAGGAGTCCAAAATCATCCACGTTCGATTGCAACAAGAGCAGACATGGACCCGAGAGGAAGAAGATACGCTTCTCAATGGGCTGCAGCAATACTCTGGTGAGTGTTTCCTATTACTCGTTCTAGTGGTACACGACGGGCTAACCTTGATTGTAATTCCAGGAGATAATCGGTATGTGTTGATCAAGCGTCACCTGGGGCATCAACTCCTTCGCCGGAGCCTTGGAGATCTAAGGTCGCAGGCCAAGGAGCTTTCCAACAAAGCTCGTCATTATGGCGTTCTCGATCAATTTCCTTGGTTTGAGGACATTTGATGTTTCGCCCACCTAAGCATGTCGGATGTTTAGCAAATGGAGTTACATTGTTGTGTTTGCGGGCGTGTTTTTCTTATTGATTCAACTGCAATATACCCTACGGACTAGACGAGTCATGTCTATTTGTCTTTGACTTATCATACTTCTATATAACGAATAATTAAAAGAATCAATATTCATCACAGGCAAATAACTGAGGTCTCAAGTATGCAGATTTGGCCATGGTTCTGATGGTTCGGGCAGAGGCGTGAACCATGGATGAGATTGTTTTGGTCAAACAAAAGCGCGTCGGGTGCGTTTCAGGGGCTCGCACACGCGTTTATTTTGCACCCAAATAGGATTGCATAGTTACCCCGATATAGGCGAATCTAGGGATATGCAGCAGACCTTATGTGACTACTCGTGCAGCAAATGAATCTGGGGAAAAGTTTAAATGTGATCGGCACCTTGGACACCTCCCTTTAACATGGCAGCGTAGTTGGTTTTCAATAGATACTATAAGACCGTACACTCGATGCACCCGATGTACTCGATGCTAAGCTGGAACATGGTGAAAATCGAGCAATTCGTATCAGCTCAGCCTTAGGGGTATACAGTATAGTTAAGGCGACTCTGAGACCAGTGCGCGTGCATGGAGCAGCGACGATCCTCCCCCTCCTCCGAGACACCGCTTTCACTTTTCCCGCTTCTCTCCTTTTCCCTCTTTGCCTTTGCTTCGTTCGAGCATCTTTTGCGCCCTTTGTGACTCTTGTTACTTTCCTTTTCTTCCCGGTCACAAGTTTGGTGGAACGTCAGCTATTTTGCTGAGGACCATCTTTCCTTCGACAAACCCCCCTGAAGCTTCCGAAGCAACCTGCGCGCGGCGCGTAAGTACTACCCTTAATTTTCTTGAACCCAATCACTCGATATCGCACGAAATACTCTTTAAGTATCCTATTCTTCGATTGTATCCCTTCGGATCCGCTCACGGCTGCAATTTGCCATGTCGGAAGACAATGGATGGCGTTTGCCGCGGTTGTCAATTCCCGGTTGTCCCGAGCTTGAGAGCTTGAGATACAGGATTATAGCCATGCATGGCCCCCTGTTGCTGTGCTCGGGCTCAAGAGAACATCCTGCATTGCAACCAATTCGATACTCGGTCTTTTTGTCTTTGTTTGTCAGGTTCTAATTAATCTCTTTTCTTTCTAGACCCCTTTTCTGTACATTTGATTTTTTGCGCCTCCATTTGTCCTTCGGCCTACAATTACGCCTCGCCAACCATAAATACCCCAATTGATAAATATGTCATCAACCGAAGACCCCGTCCCGGTTGCCGTTGACGCGGATGTCGAAATCGCACCCCCGGCTACTCCGGTAGATTCGACGGTGCTTTCGGGCAGCGAAGATGCCAGCAAGTCCAGCCCCGAGGCATCCAAGGAAAACGCCCCAGTGTCTCCGGCCAAAACTGCCACTAGCACCACTTCCGCATCCAAGCGTCCAGTGTCGAGCTCGACGACCGCGAAACGGCCCACTTCCTCCTCAACGGCCACGTCAAAGACCGCGACCTCGACCACGCGCGGCACAACTTCTTCTACTAGCTCGCTAAGCAAGCCTCCGACTCGCCCAACGGCAACTTCCGCCACTCGGAAGCCTTTGAGCACATCTACATCCTCATCTCATCGGTCCCGGCCGTCCATCAGCAGCTCTGCGGATGAGAAGCCTCAGTCGATTGCGAGCTCCGGCGACGAAAAGCGTGGGATCTCGAGCACCGCTAAGCGCATGTCTATGGCGGGCACAGCTTCCACTCGCGCCCCTTTGAAAACGTCCTCAACGCTAGACCGCAGATCGAGCGTCGCTGGCTCAAGTTTGGAGAAGAAGCCGGCTACTAGCACCACCGCATCCCGTACCGCTACTTCCACTGGCAAACCTGTTGGTCGTCTCACCTCTGCGACTGCGCCCGCCAGTAGGACTGCTACATCGACTACTGCGACGCGGACTGCGACTCGGCCCTCGACGGCGTCTACTACTACTACTCGACCAACCACTTCATCGGCGACGGATCCTAAGAAGCGGTTGAGTACTCTGTCCAGCGCAACCAGACCTGCTGGTGACTCTGAGAAGTTACAGGCTCTCCAGTCCAAGCTTACGGAGAGTGAGGAGACCGTTACCAGCCTCAAGGCCGAGCTCGAAGCCGTCAACGAGAAGCTGAGCAAGCTATCTGTCTCGGGAGAGGATGGCGCCAAGAATGGTGAGGCTACCGAGTCCGCCCGTGCGGAGCATGCGGCAGAGCTTGAGAAGCTGACTTCTGCCCATGCGGATGAGCTTCAATCCCTACAGGTGCGCCTGGAGGAGGCGGAGTCCCAACGGAAGGAGCTTGAAGAAAAGTCCCAGAGGGAATTGGAGGAGGCCAAGCAGTCTGCTTCTGCCTCGGGCGATAACGAGATGGCTATCGCTCTTGAAGAACTCAAGGGTACCCATAAGGCTCAGTTGGATGCCATCCAGAAGGAGCTCGCAGATTACAAGGTTGCGGCTACGGCATTCGAGGAACAGATCAACAACCTGAAGTCCGAACTCGAGTCGCAGAAGGCCGGCCAAGAAGAGGAGAAGGCGCTGGCTCTCGATAGCCTTGAGCGCGAGCTGAAGGGCCGCGATCAAGTGATCGATAATCTCAACAACGAATTCCAAAAGATGAGCACTTCCAAGGATCAAGAGATCAACGCCGCCAAGGAATCTGCCAATACCTCCATTTCTGGGTTACAGATGCAAATTACTTCGCTGGAAGCCAAGCTTGCCGAGGCCGAGTCTGCTAGTAAGCAGTCGGAGCAGACTACAAGCTCGCTGACCGAGAAGGAGAAGGAGATTAGCGATCTCAAGCAGACCCTTGAGAGGCTCCAGGGCGAACTCCAGGAGGCCCGGGATGGCGCTACTAATGACCTTAGCTCTAAGGTGAAGGATCTGGAGGCTTCACACGAAGCCGCAGTTGCGAACCTGAAGGCAGAGCATGACAGCGCATTGAGCTCTCTTTCCGCATCTCACGCCAAGGAGCTTGCTCTCGCCAAGGCTGCCGCCGAGTCGACTGGCACCGAGCACTCCCAGCAGCTCCAGGAGCTTCGCGAGTCGTTGGATTCTGCCAAGTCCGCCACCCAGGGCGAGCACGAACGTGCTATTTCGGAACTGAAGGCTGCGCACGAGGCTGAGCTTAAGTCTGTCCAAGAGAAGTTCGAGGCATCCGAGAAGGCTCTTGCTGATTATCGCACCGCACTCGAGGAGGGCAAGGCTTCTGCTCAGGAGGATGCTATTAGGGAAATTGATGCTCTTCGCCACAAGGTCGAATCCCTGGAAACCCTGCTGTCGACCGGATCGGGTGAGATCAAGGCTCTGCAGCACGAAGTTCAGGCTAAACAAGCCGAGGCTGAGCAGTTGTACAGCAGTTTGAAGGATGTTGAGAGCCAGTTCAAGTCGAAGGATGCCCAACAAGATAGCAAGCTGAAGGAGCAGGATAGCAAGATGAAGGCGTTGGAAGACAAGGCCGCTGAAGCTACTCGACTCCTGGACGAGCAGACCGCGCAAGCTACTGTTGTTTCGGAGAAGCATGCCCAGGAACTGCAGGCCCTGAAGGCCGACCATGCTACTGAACTTGAGCGCGTCAAGCAGGAGGCTTCTGGTTCCAACCAGGGTGCTCTGGGTGAGCTTCAGCAGAAGCACGACGATCTGGTTTCCAAGATCAAGGAGCTCGAGTCTACCCACGCCACTCGAGTTCAGTCGCTTGAGGCCGAGTTGAAGTCGACTTTGGAACGCCATGCTGGGGAGGTTGCCACTCACACTGAATCGCGTGAGAAGCAGACCTCTGAGTTGCAAAAGCATTTCGGTGAGACAGAGGCCAAGTTGCAAGCTGAAATCGAGGCACTGCGGGCTTCGAGCAAGACCGAGCAGGAATCTCACGCCAAGCAACTTGTTGAGCTCCAGAAGGGCTTCGAGCAGACCAAGACCAAGCTGCAGAATGAGCTTCAGGCTATCCAGACCTCCAAGGCAGCTGACGCTGATGCCGAACACGGAAAGGCTATCGAGGAGCTCCTTACCCTCCAGGAGGCCAAGGTGGCTGGGGTGAAAGACCAACTTGAGGCATCGCACAATGCCAAGATCGATGAACTCACGAAGGCTCACCAAGCTGCTCTAGCTAATGTCAACGAACAGCTTTCTCAGGCCAAGGCGGCTAATCTGGATACGTCTGTACTCGATGGCTTGAAGGCTACCATTGCAGAGCTCGAGCAAAAGCTCACCGCTTCGGAGAAGACACATGCTACGGCTCAAGAAACGGCTGTTTCTGCTTCGCGTGAGCTCCAGGAAAAGCACGCTGCCGAGATTTCCAGGATTCAGGCTGCCCACATCGAGCTCGGCAAGAAGCATGATGCCGCCATCACCCAGGTCGAAGAGCTGCAGAAATCCGCTGCGACCTCGAGTAGCAGCAAATCGGAGTTGGACTCTGCCTTGAAGCAGCTTTCTCAATACCGCGAAGAGTATGAGGCACTGAAGACGAAGCACACCAATTCTAGCGAAGAGCTGGAAGAATATCGGGCCAACGCCAAGGCCATGGAAGAGAAACTCGCCGCCGGTGAACGTGACCTTGGTGAGCAAATTGACAAGAACATGCAACTGCTCAACCAACTGGGCGACGTCGACGCAGCAATTTCCGGCAGCCGTCGCCGGGTCCGTGAGCTCGAGGCCGAACTGGCTGCATTGAAGGCTTCCAACGACAAGAGCTCCTCGTCTGGGCTAGCAGCCAGCAAATGGGCGTCGGCAGAAGAGGGTGACGAAACTGCTGAAGGGGGAGGTCCAGCCGCAGAAGGTGAGGACCTTGACCTTGGTTCATCGATTGAGGGAACGGTGGGAGATCCCCGTTTGAAGACCTACTCCTCATATTTGCCCTTTTTTCATCCATTTACATGAAAACTTATCCGTACAAAAACTAATCGTTTTCTGCGTAGATGGCAAGCATTCAGGAACAGATTAAGCACATCCGCTCTTCGAATGACGAGTGGTACGATGAGCACCGAAAGTCAGTTCCAACCCCCCCGGATTCTTTTCCATCCCCTACTCACCCTTGTCACATGCAGACTCATCGGCGAATTGGCCCAACTTTCCCGCCGAGCGACCCCAGACTCCCGAAGCCTCTCATCTACTCCTCGCCATGAGCTCACATCCGCCCCCGAATCGGAAAATGGTCGTCAGCTAGAGGTTCCCTCTGCACGGTAATTTCCGTCACGGCGCTCTGGATGCGTTGGCCTTGTGCTGGCGCTTATATGAGTTTCTTTTGTTCGATCATGTTTCACTCGTTCCATGTCGTGACTTCGCTGTATGTAATAGGACCCAGGATACCCTGTTTATGGTGGGACTTTATCCGCCTCTCATGTTTAATACGTTTTATTGCTTAAAGCCATAGACTGGTCTGCCTTTCGCGGCTGGTCGTTGGGTATACATTGAACCTCCCTAATTTTCTTCTCTTCCGTCATGTTCATGGATCTTCAGCTCTTAATGTCAAAATCAGCCAACGTCCTGACCTGGAACAAGTTAGTGGAAACTATACAATTAGCAGCGCTGTAAGAACCGTATTCGAGGCGCACCGGCCAGCTCTCACCATCTGTTCAACTGTGGCTTTCAGTTATTTCTTGACGAGTCTCAAGTAGCTCGTATACTGGACCGTAACAACCGGGCAATACTCGAAGGTGAACGCGTCCCGCGGAAGGAAGGATCCTACCCGGTGTCATGACATCCGGTCACCTCGACTGAACTTCCTCCTCTACAACTCGTCCAAAACAAAGACACGTCTGGTTCCTCTCAACTTCAAAGACCTAAGACAGGACGCACATCTATTCCTTCCCCGCGGGTTCTACAAAATGCCCATTACCGACTCCCTTGGTACGTCGCGCGTCTGTCCTATACGAACAGCTTCCGAGTTCTAATTCCGCTTCAGCGCCGTCCTGCACCCCGGCTGAGCGGGCAGTCGTCAAATCCTACGGCAGTTGGACCAACTTTATGTTGTCTTTCGGCCTGAAGCCTTGGAACGATGAAGATCTTGTGGAGGCAAAGAGGATCCTGGCTGCTCTTGCCAGTGACGGCAACTGAAGGGCGTGTTTTCAGTTGATGGGAATGGCGGGAGATGGGAATGGCGGGAGATGGGTACGAACACCGAGAAAGTGTGTCATGTCTGAAGTGTCTTCGCCTATTGCTTCAAGCTCAACCCGATTAGCTTTACGCAGGTTGCTTGATGGCTCGGGCATGAATATTGATATCAAAGAGGGTATCACAGCTTGAAGGAGGTCTTTCATTCGACGTGTATTAATTAAAGAGCTCACTTGATTGGCTCAATGCAATGTCTTCAACTGTCATGGTTCTTCATATCCAACTGGTGTCCCGGCAACGACTGCCTTTCAGAAAACAAGGAACGGAGTGGTCCTAATATTCTCTGTCGTCGAGCCAGCTGTCGCTCTCGTGTAGCTCGCTGCATTTCTTGGTACACCCGCGGGGTCATGATCTGGGGAGGTGGCTGAGGGTAGAGGATTGATGGAATGTCCTCGTCAGTCAGGAAGTTGCTCTCGTATAACGTCGCGCTGCCTTCAGCACTCCCATTCGGGGCTTTGTAGTCGATCGCTTTGTCTTCAACGACTGTTCTATCACCCGGTGAATCCATTGTCGTATCGATTCTTGGTTGTGCGTCGTTTGTATATGCCTCGTCCGTCTCTCCTATGCCCATCGAGATATCAAACTTCCTCTTAGGCCTCTGTGGCCCTGACAGAGTAAACTCTTCGCAGAATGCGGCGTATGACTTGCGCAACAGAATCTCCCGGGCATTCTCAGGTGATTGCTCTGATGATGTCTCTGCCGAGCTATTTTGAATTGTATCGATTGTTTTCGCTGGTGCAGTGGGTAGCAAGGGCTTGACGGAATTCAAGCTGCCATGGGCCTCAGCAAGATCACCCACACTCATTGTTGTCGCTAGATTAAGATCGTTGAGGTTCTTCTTGCTCAGCTCGTTTCCACTGGCTATTACGTCTAGGGATGAGCGTGACATTCTTTTTGACACCCATCTCGTGAGTTGCGAGACCGTCTTGACTCGGCGGATCTGGGGTGGCGGTCCCCTGATAGAGGGTTGTACAGTGGAGTAGGAGGAACTGTAGCTAGACCTTATAGATGCATTGTTGTCGAGACGATGATCGGGGATGCGGGGAGATTCGTTGAGTGACATTGCTTAAAATGCGGGTTATTTTTGAACAGCCAGGGCAGAGATCTATGACATTTGAACAATCCAGGGGTTTCCAGCGTTTGATTCAACGTGAAAGTGGTTCAAGACCGATCTATTGTCCTTTGTTGTCGTTAGCTTGGAAACCGTCGATGAACACCCACCCTGTTGGCGAGATGTACTCTCAGCAACTGCTCCAAAATGGAATTAGGGACGCAAATATTACCTACGTTGGTAAAGGGAGTCTTTGGTGTATGCCAAGGCTAATAGACGTGTGCAGGTGGCTTCATTGGTACACACCTTGTGAAGGTACAGAGGAAGCACGAACAGTATATAACCCGGGCCTACCTCTGCTTGGTGCACGCACCCTTGCCTTAGAGCGCTATCGCAAGCCCCGCGCAAGTCCTCACTTGACCATCTACATCCTTGGGGGGTACTGCAGCCAGCCACCATGCAGCTTCTGGATGGCGGTCCGCGAACGATTAGTGCAATGTCTTACCAAGCGGAAGGAAGCCAGGATTTGTTCTTGGGTCCTATCTCGGAATTCAAGTGTTATTCAATAATGAATCAATTGGTCTAAGAGTAGAGGATTTAATTGAGAGAAGTAGTACTAGACTCGAAATGCGAAAGCTGCCTCGCGCTCACACGTGAACCAAGAGAGTGAGGCACCTGGCCGTATCGCTTGCGCGGCCATCGTTAAGGCGTGGCATTACAGTTGACTAGTCTGAGACAAGCCCAGCTCAAATGCACAATTACGTAGATAGCTGCTGTCAAGATAAGGGTGTTTTTAGAAATTTACAACGGCACCGTCGTGTTCTAGGGACTGACCCAAGTCAAATATAAGTTAATGTTGGATATCATAAAATTACAAGGGAACCGAGCATCTCTTTATCCTGAGATGCCTTCGCGTCCCAAACCCCAGCGACCAACCTCGCGCATGGCTTCGTCACCACCTTCGACCAGCCGACCATTGGCGTTCGAGGGATTCTTATCTCCTAGAACGCCCGCCACGCATTGCCAGCCGTTGCGTCCACCGCCCCAGCTGAGGACTTCGTTCTTGTAACGCTCACCGGCGGCGCGGTCCACAGCTGACTTTCCAGAGTCGAACACATCCTGCCAGAGCTTGTTGGCGATTGCTCGATCAAAGATATAGCTGTAGTATGTGGCTCCGTAACCGTACAAATGTCCAAAGAAGCCCTGCCATGAAGTCCGCGGCCGAATATTGTCCGGGTCAGGCAAGCTAGAATATTGGGAGAAGACTCGGTGGTAGATCTCGGTGGTGTCAACGCCCTTGATTGCATCATCGCAGGGAATGGAGTGGTAGGCCTGGTCAACGAGAGCCATGAGAATTTGGGCCTCGTTCTCAACAGCGCCGTAGATAGAGCCGTGAGCGTTCCGATCCATCTCCATGCTGCGCATCATGCTCTCGGACAAAGGTTCGCCTGTCTGCCAGTGTCTAGCGTATAGGGAGAGCACTTCAGGTGCAGTGGCAAAGCTTTCCATTAACACCGAGGGGAGCTCGGCGAAGTCAGTCGCGCAGCGCGTTCCAGAAATGGACTGGAGAGGCGTCTGGCCCAGAATGGAGTGGACAGCGTGACCCATCTCGTGGAACAAGGTGCGCACGCTCTGTTCGCTCAAGAGTGTTGGGCGGCCCGAGCCGTTCGACGCAGGCTCTTGGAAATCGCAAACGAGAGCAATCGTCGGCAGCTGGCGCAGGGTCTTCGTCCGAGGATCCACAGCGGTTGCCATGCCATCGTTCGGGTGGGCGGACTGGTCCATCGAGGCACACTCCGCAATCTCGTCGGGCAAGATCTCACGCGAGCAGCGTAGAGTGAAGTGGGCTGGGTTGGGGTGCTTTTCCGGTCGCGAGAATAGATCACAGTAGACTACGGCGATATGCTGCTCAGCCTCATTCACTACGTCCAGGCGACGCACGTCGGGGTGCCAAGTCTCACCAGGAGACGCTTCCTGAGGCACAAGACGTACGCCGTACAGACGATCGAACAGCCGAGAGAGGCCTTGCATAACCGTTCCTAGCGAGAAAAACTCGGGAACGGCACTCAATTCACGAGAACGACGAGACTGGGAATACTCCAGCACACGCTTGTGAACATAGTAGGCATGATCCCATGGTTGAAGCAGCGAACTGCCCTTCATTTGTTGTAACTGGGCAAGCTCTTCACTCACAGGCCCTCGGTTGCTTGAGATGAGCGAGGTCAGGAAATTCGACACCGACTCCGGCGTCTTGGCCATCTTATCGCTCAGTGTCATGTCAGCAAAGTTGTTGAATCCAGACAGCTTTGCCAGCTCAGATCGCTTCATCAAAAGCTTCTCGAGACGGTGGATTTGCCGTGAGCTTGAAGTCCGACTAGCAAGATACACGTCTCTCCGGACCGACTCGTCCTGTACAGACCGGAGCACAAGTCGGGGAACAATGCCCATCGTGGGCACCGGCGCTTTGTTATTCCATCTCTTTATTTTCTGAACCACCATGGGATCCAATCCCTGGAGACTGTTCGAGTTGAAGACCAGTTGGGATTTGGCCGGTTCGGCGCCGTTGAAGAAGTTGGAGCCAACTTGGCTGATATCGTTCGAGAGATTCACGAACCGTTGTCTCTCATCTGTTGGCATATGGATTGCGGAGTTGGTGAAGTCCTTCATGAGAATCTCGGCCACGATCGTCTCCGCCTCGGTCCAGGACGATGTCACTTCGGGGTTGGCCATAGCTTTGCCGAGTTGCTCGTGAAGGCCCGTCGTTGTATTCAAAACATTCATATACTCGAACATAAGCGCGTACGCCTGCGTCGCAGCTTCTTGGATTTTCGGATCGGGGTGAATCGTTCGAATGAAGTCTGAGAGATCAATGACACGACACAGAAGATCACTGAGCCGATCCAGGTTCCGCGCCAATGCCCGGTACTCGTCTAGAGTAGAAGCTTGCAGAACCTTGGCCACGATTGCCTGACATTTCTGCAGCGACACGTTCGCAAACGCCCTAAAGCCATCCGGGCTTGTCAAGTATTGATTCTGAACTAATCCGGCCCGCTTTGGAACGGTGGAGCTGCGCTGGTGCGAAAACTCTTTCCAGAACGGCTGGGAGTCGAAAACGCGTCGCAAGGTATCGTCATCGGCATTCTTCTTCGGTGCGCTATTGTCTGCCGGGACATAATCGACGTGGGCTCGGGGAGCAGGGTATGCGGCGCTTTCGAATGTTCGTGACTGTAGCTGCAAAAGACATTTGCGGCATGTCCACGGCCGGCGCCCGAGAGGGCGAAGCATTGTAAGGATGGTATAAAGCACAGAAATAACTCCAAAAACTTCAAAAAGCCACCAGGAAGCAGTATAAAGAAACCCGGGGCAGGAAACTTGGAGAGAGAAGGAGCTGCGGGCGATGACGGAGTTTTCTTGGCCTTTCGCCGAGCCGAATAATTCCCGTCTTGGCTTCAACCCGACTTTGCCTCATCCTCAGTCACCTCCCATCCGCTTCCTCCACCCCACACCCTCAAGATGTCGTTCCGGCCGATGTTGAACCAGGTATGCTTTCTTGACTTCGGTTGTACTGGCTTCTAGTGCAATTGACCCCGTCAATCGCATACTGACCCGTCCTAAGCGGGCTGTGGCTCCAATCGCAGCCACCCTCCTCGCTGGAAGCATGGCTCTGTACCCCAAGCAGACCGCCTTTGCTGAGGAGCCTCGAGAGGTTAGATAACACAATTCATTCTGGTGATACTGCGACGCATGAGAAACCCGATCTGACACACGACCGCTTGCCCAAAACAGAGGAAACCCATTTACGACGACTTCCCATCTAGCATCCCCGAACCCTCCAAGCCTACGCCCGCCCCCGAGCCCGAGACTCCGGCTCCCCTGACCCAGACTCTCTCACTGGCGCCGTTGCAATCAAAGCCCTCTTCGCCGACTCCGACAGACATCCTAACCGCTCAGATCCGGCAAGCCCGTCTCTTCCTCTACTCGAACTCCCTTGCTGCGGAGAACGGCTTCAACGACTTCCTGTCCCGGGCCTTGCACATCGAGAATGCCTTCACCAACACAGTTGCGTCGCTCGCTCCTGCTCCCGAGTCTGGTGAGCGCCTCACCCCCGGCGGTATCTACGTCGTCGTTGCCGCCATGGCCGGCTCCATCGTATCACGCAACCGCGGCATTTTCCTCCGCTCCTTGTCTCCTCTCGCTTTTGGTACAGTTGCTGCCTGGACTCTTCTGCCCGTGACCATGCGGAATGTCTCCGATCTGGCCTGGGAATACGAGAAGAAGTTCCCCGCCGTTGCGAACCAGCACCTTGCTGCTCGAGAGCGGGCGGAGCACATCTGGTACACCGGTATTGCGCACAGCGGTATGGCTCGCCAGATGATGGAGGATAAGATCGGCGAGGCCCGGAAGAAGCTGGAGCAGCTGGTCAGCAAGGGTCACTAGATACAGCTTTGGTTTGATATTGTCGGTTGCTACCCGCGTGGCTAAGGCGGCCTTCATTTGTTGCATATGTACGTTTAGAACTCGTAGATCCGAAGTATAATCCGGATGTCCCCTTTGTTTGACCAAAAATCTTCATGGAATGGGTACTGCCCCTGCATTGAGGTCGCGGCTTGCTCCCTCCACGTAAAGTGCCCATGGCACATCCACTAGCTTTGCCTTCGAGAATATTTTGAGGACATTCAGTTATTCAAAATTAAAGACTTAGTGCCGATTCCCTCGCTTTATAAATGGCTACATAGCTTCTGACTGCTCTGGCACGAGGATGGCCCCACATAGCCGACCTCAGATATAATCACGTAACCGGAGATCAAATCAAGTTTACTTCAAAGCGTACGAGTACGATTTAAAGCCTGCTGTCTTCTTCCTTGGCTTAGGCACGCACTATTGAAAAGCCGCAAAATTCTCAGCCCTGGGGAAAAGTTCAATCGATGTCTCGAACATTGGGATTGGGGATTATCGGTGCGGGGGTATGCCACTTCACTCCCTTCTCGAGCTATCTTAACCGGCTAACGACCCGTATATAGGAAGTCTTCCAAGTCTGCCATGGGCCTTGTCTCCTGCTTCTCTCGCATCTCTTCAAGATAGAATCAATTTGTGATCTGTCAGCAAAAACGGTAGATCATTGTGCTATCAAGTTTCACATCCCCCACAAGACCACCGCGCCGCAGGAGGTCATTGAACACCCAAATGTCGAAGTAGTCTTCATCCTGACTTCCGACGACAGCCATGCCCCACTAGCGTGCGCCAGTCTGAAAGCCGGAAAGCATGTCTTCATCGAAAAGCCCGTCACGCTGTCTCTTCCATCTCTGGAATCTGTGATCGATGCCGAGAAGAACGCTCCCAACGGTGCTCGTGTCTTCGTTGGATACATGCGTCGCTATGCGCCGAGCTTTTTAGAAGCTTTCAAGCGGGAGATTGCGACTATTCCCAAGATCCTCTATGCCCGCGTCCGCGATTTCAGCGGGCCCAACACGAGCTTTGTCAATCAGAGTGGTACATTCCAAGTCAAGAACTCTGACTATCCACATTCTGCTTCAGAAGAGCGAGATGCTCGTCTAGAGGGTCTTTTCAAGGAGGCATTTCCCAATGAGCCTATTACCGACGAGAGAAAGAAATATTGTCGCTTTCTGGGTAGCCTGGGTTCTCATGACATCTCACTCATGCGCGAAGTCCTCGGCTTTCCCGAGGATGTCGTTGCCGTATCTTGCAACGACCCTTTCTATACTGCTATGATGACTTTCCGCAACGCGGACGGCTCCACTTTCTCGACAACCTACGAGAGCGGCATCGATCAGGTTCCGATGTTCGATGCGCATATGGCCGTTTACGGCGCTAAGAAAAGAGTTACTATCAAGGTACGCAATTTAAGAGATCCCTGACTTTGGAAACCTCACTGACTCCCATAAAAAGTATGATAGCCCTTATGTCAAGGGACTTCCCATCTATGTGGAGGTTGACGAGGTTAATGAGCGAGGCGAGGCTCAGCACCGCTCTGTGTTATCTTCGTATGAGGATGCCTACACGGCCGAGCTCCAGGAGCTATATGAATCCCTGGTCAACGGCAAGCCCATCAAATCGACGGTTTCTGATGCCAAACAAGATCTGCAGATCTACGATATGATGTACCGTCGTTTGTCTCAGCAAATCTAATGGTGGACAGGCATCAACTGGTTCCTTAGGTAGTTTGGATATCCCCAGAACCAGCATGTCCTCAGAATGCAGCAATCGATATATTTGATGTTCCAATTGATTGATACATTGGTTGCAAACCGAGATTCTCTACATGAAATTCGGTTTTCAAACACATCTTGCCCGTTATTCTTCTTGCGTCGGCCCTGGTGCACCTTCCACTACCTCTGTAGCAGCGTCTGGAGTCCCCGAATCGGCCGGTGGGAACCCGGCTTTAGGCGGAGGAGGGAGAGGTGTGCCTTTCCGTGATGGCGCATAATCCTGCTCCTTACTCTTGAGTTCTCCCTCGGCGAAATAATCATCGAACGCTCTGTTTGGTGACACTCCAGAGCGCGCCTTCGCCCCGCGGCGACTTGCTGGTGAACGGCTGTCCGGGGGAGAAGTCACTCTGGTTTGTGAGACGAGCGGTGGAGGGGAAACCATGTTTGCCGGCACTAGGAAGTCTCCAGGTGCACCAGCACCATTTGTACCTGGGACAGGTGCAGCAGAACCACCCTCACGCGTGTCAAAGACGATCTCGCCCGGTCCTTCCACCTCTTCTCCTAGACCCACGGGGAGTCGGTGCAATGCACCGTACCCTAGTTCCGCGCCAACGGCACCCTCCCCGCCCCAGCCACGAGTAGGAACTAGTTCGACTTCGCGCACAACATCGAACTCGCTATTGTAAACCCACAAGATCAGGGTGCGGTTGAGGTGGTCTTCCACCAATTCGCCAAGGGCTGATTCCCCTCGTAAAGTCCCACTTGGTGTGCCAATAATATAATCTGAGTGCGGGAGCAGCCCTGCACGGTAGGCTGGGCTTAGAGGTGAGGGGATTCCGAGGACATGCCAGATGTGTTGTGTGGATGAAAGGGGGGCAAGTTGTAGTGCAACGCCGAGGGATGGGTTCGTTGCGGGTACGGGAATACTGACGGTATGCGTTCGTTGGCCCTGCAGGAGATTCGTGTTTTAGCGGGGGCTCTCATCTCAAATATCAAAAGGGTCTCTAGTACCTTCGCGCTCCAGACTTCCAGTGTCACGCTCGAACCGGCGCAATTGCGGACCTCCGTCGCAAAGAGGTTCGGGTCCGGATCTTCCTGCGCAGTGTGTCAACCATGCTGTTGGCTTCATTCAATAGCTATAACCGTAAGCTTACAATTGTATGGCCATTAATTCCAACGATAAAATCAAACCATGGCTCCAAGGGTATCTCGGCGTCTTTGTTGCGGAGGACTTGGAATCCAAAAGCATTGTCATTCGGTCCGCTCCGAGGCTGCTGGATGGGTTCACCGTCCAACCGGCTCATAAAACGGTTTAGTGCGCCGAACATCGCGACGGCCAACCAGGTTCTGGCGACAGGTGTAGCAAGGTGGAATGGTGTTGACTTCGAGCTCCGGGCATGCGAGCTGGCCACACGGATGCAAACACAACAAACAATTATCGCATTTATCACTTATCGAAGACTTGCGATTAGCATCACAACTGCATATTCGACATTATGGCGGACTCGGAGGAAGCACCTCCGGAAGTGCATCACTACGAGAGCCTTCAAGAAGTTCCGTGGGATATTCAGAAGTGAGAGTTTCCCAAGCCCTCGCTGGCCAGAGCTGATTCGTTCCCTAGTTACTGGTCACAGCGGCACCGCATCTTCTCCAAGTACGATGACGGAGTATGGCTGACAGACGATGCCTGGTTTGGAGTCACTGCAGAACCAGTCGCCAAGTATGTAACTTTCTTTTCTTTCCAGGGGTTATTCGGTTAACATATTGGACAGCAAAATAGCAGCACATATGGCAGAAGCGGCGCCTGACGGGCGCAGCATCTTGATTGACGCCTTTGCCGGTGCTGGTGGAAACAGTATCGCCTTCGCATTGACAGGCAAATGGAAGAGAGTCTATGCGATTGAGAAAAACCCCGCTGTGCTGCAATGCGCCAAGCACAACGCTAAGATCTATGGCGTCGACAAGAAAATTACTTGGTTCGAGGGTGACTGCTTCGAAATTCTCAAGAATCAACTGAAGGATTTGGCACCCTACAGTGTCATTTTTGCAAGTCCTCCTTGGGGTGGTAAGCTTTCCCCCCTGAATATCCCGTGTGGTGGAGACATAGCTGACGATGTATATAAAAGGCCCGGGATACAGATCTGATAAAGTGTTCAATCTCCGCACCATGGAGCCATACTCACTTGAGAAACTTTACACAGAGTATTCGGCCTTCACTCCACACATGGCCCTATTTTTGCCTAGGACGTCAGATGTGAAACAGCTGGCAAAATTTGTCCCTGATGATCGCAAGGCAATGGTGATGCACTATTGCATGGAAGGCCACAGCAAGGCGCTATGCATTTATTACGGCGATTTTAATGTACAATAAAGTCTCTTTTACCTTTAATTCTGAGCCTGCAAATTTTGTGGATGCCCTTACCTTACATGAACTCATTATAATATGCTCTGGAATTGTACTCATGGTTTCAACGGCATTAAGCTGATTGCCCAATCGGGTTAGTGTGTTCGGTGCGTTTTCCGCCGCCTCTCGCAACGCTCTTCATCCTACGACTCTTCAATCACTTGTCGCCCTACCCTCTCCCTCTTTCTTCATATCGGCTGGGCGGCTGTCTTTTCAAACCCTGCGGACCAGTCAAGGTTCCAAATGAGCGCGTCCTAACCGCGTCTTTTCGCCTGCCTGGCCCGCGCCCGCTTTCGTCCGCCCTGCGCTGCCCAGACCGACCCCGACCCTCGACTTCGCCCTTGGCCTCGTTCGTCCCCTCCCTTTTTGCGACGGCCGCATTACCCTTCATTATGCCTCACGCTACCCAGAAACCGGCCCCCGAGGGCCCGGCGGATGACGAGTTCGACAATGTGATGCGACAGCTGAACAATTACGAAGGTGGCCCGGAGTTCGACTTCTTGTCGCGTGACTTGGACGTTGGGGAGAAAGCAGATGATGCGGTCGACTACGAAGATTTCGAAGACGATGAACTCCCGGAGGAAGAGGCTGTCCCCGCGTCGACGCGTCTTCCGCCCACTGACGAGACTGAGGACCCTTTCGCGAACCTCGAAGGAGATGATGATGCCGGTCTATTTGGAGATGCCGGAGATTTCGGAGGCGAAGGAGGCATCTTTGGTGATCAAGGAGAGGGACTACAAACCCAGGGAGACAACCTTGATGATCTTTTCGGTGAAGGCGCTGCCTCTCCGCCTGCTGGCCAGGTGGATGAAACACAGGGTCTCTTCGAAGATGAGGAACCTTCGTTGACAGACCAGCCAGTTGAGCTACCACCTATTCCTCCGGCCCCCGAACCTCAGCCTCAGCCGATGGCTCTCGACGACAGCGAGATCTTGGACGACGTTAGTGTCATATCCGAGGAGATGGACCCGGCGACCCTTCGTGCCTGGAAGCTCCAGCAGCAGTTATTTGCGATGTCATCGATTGCCGGACCCGACAATGTACCCGCGCCACCCGAGAACCATGAGGAGCTTCTTCATTCTCTGTTTCCCAGCTTCGACCGTGATACGCTTCCGCGCTGGCTGGAGCTCATTCCACAGAAGAAGGCCTTCTTCCTGGGAAAGCAGCCTACCAAAGTCCCGAAGCCAGTTCTTCCTACGAAGGTCAATATCGAGTTGGCTCCTGATCAGGAACGCGTGTTCAGGACTGGCCAGCCGAACAAGCGTGGACTGGATCACGACTCTTTGGGTATCGTGATGATCACCGAAGCTACCCAGGAGGAGGAGGAAGAGGAGGAAACGAAGGAAGATTTTGAAATGGGTGGCGCCAACACAGATGAAATGCTTCCTGGTGGCTTTACCATGCAAGATCTTCGAACTATCTGCGCAGACTGGGATGTCCGGGACGAGGACCTTTCCTCCACCGAAAAGGAGCAAAAGCCGGCTGCACCGGCTGAGTCGGGGCTCTTCGACGAGGATGAGCCAGACTGGCTGATCGATGAAAACCAGCCATCTAAAAAACGCAAGACTGGCCCATCCCCTATGGACGTGATCGCTCTGTCCCACCTCGATATTCCCTACCTGGATGACCCTGAACAAGCGATCGCGCAAGTGGCCAAGAGGGTTACCATCGACATGAATGATCCCAACATTCTTGTTGAGGAGCTGAGACCAGATGCGGCTGTTCACAAACCTAGACAGAATCTTCTTCGCTCAAGAGAAGATATGGATTTGAATGTTACTCGTCGTCTCACCCAGCGATATAACATCTCGAATGATCAAGCATACGACATGTTGAAGCAGAATCATCAGAACAAGATTCGAAGCACTCTCGGCAATGTCACCCTTGAGCACGCGTTACCAGCTTTGCGTTTGCAATGGCCATACTATAAGACTGAGCTAGGAAAGGCCGAGGCTAGATCGTTCCACCGTCCTGCTATGGCCTTCCGTCCTGGACAAACATCCTGGTTCAAGAATCCAGTACATATCAAGCGCAAGCACCAAAAGGGCAAAGATGCCAAGGCGCTCTACGAGTCCACGAAGTCACTTTCTCTGGCCGACAACTCGAATGCTCTACTCGTGGAATACTCAGAGGAGGTGCCTTTCGTTCTCTCCAACTTTGGCATGTGCAATCGCTTCATCAACTACTACCGACGGAAGAATCCAGATGATCCTACCCGCCCCAAGGCAGAGATTGGCGAAACGGCAGTTTTGCTTCCTCAGGACAAGAGTCCATTCTCCATCTTCGGTCATGTGGATCCGGGCGAGATTACCCCTGCAATCTCGAACTCGATGTATAGAGCGCCCCTGTTCCCGCACCAGGCTAAGGGAAATGATTTCCTTGTGATCCGTAACAGCACTGGCTCTGGGGGCAGCAATTATTACGTGCGAAATATCGAAAACTTTTTTGTTGCTGGACAGCAGTTCCCATCTGTTGACATTCCCGGTCCTCACTCGCGCAAGGTTACTACTGTCGCGAAGAACCGCATGAAAATGCTGGTATACCGGCTGCTCAAGAAGAGTGCCGATGAAAGGCTCGCTATCAGTGACGTTACCGCTCACATCCCCGGTACCACTGATATGCAGAACCGACAAAAAGTGAAGGATTTCCTTCAGCATGACAAGGATACTAAATATTGGAAACCTTTGGATCCTGTCCTTCCAGATGAAGATACCATTCGATCATGGGTTCAACCTGAAGATGTCTGCTTGTTAGAAGCGATGCAAGTTGGCCAACAACATCTTCACGACACCGGATTTGGAAACGATGCCGAGACTGGTGGTGAAAATGAGGAGGATGAGGAAGGAGAGAGTTTCGAGCAGCAGATGGCTCCTTGGAAGGCCACCCGCAACTTCCTGCTGGCGTCGCAAGGCAAGGCCATGCTGAAGCTTCACGGTGAAGGCGATCCTACCGGCCGTGGCGAGGGCTTCAGTTTCATCAAAACATCCATGAAAGGTGGATTCAAGGCCATCGGCGAAAGTGTGGAAGACAAGCTGGACGCCCAGCGCCTCAAGGAACTCGGCGGTCACAGCTACAACGTTGCCCGCCAACAAAAATCATACGAGACTTCCATCCGCCGGATCTGGGATGCACAAAAGGCCAGTCTCTCATCGACTGTCGAGCACTCAGACCAGGAGAGCGACGTCGACCAGGGCGAAGAAGAAGAGTTCAACAAGCCAACCCCACGATCCGAGGCACCCACCCCCGCACCCAACAGACGCGGCGACGACGAAACAACCAGTCAGTTCAGCCGAATGAGTTTCGCAAGCCAAAAGGGCAAGGTGCTACGCATCACGCGCCAGTTTAAGGCTTCAAATGGCGAAATCTTGCAAAAGGAACAACTCGTCTGGGACCCCCGTGTCATCAGACACTATATCCAGCACCGCCACCGCACCGAAGCCCTCACCACCAAGCTGGAATCCCTCCAGCCAACCGGCGACCCGGAGGTGGACGCGCGCAACCGCAAGCTGATCGAGGCCGAGCTGAGCCGTCTCAACCGAAACAAAGAACGCCGCTTCGCTCGCGAGAAGCAGAAGGGTATTTCTCGGCCTGGCGATTCCCCCGCCGATGGCAAGCCTGCTGGTACTCAGCGCAAGTGCGCCAATTGTGGCCAGGTCGGTCACATCAAGACGAACAAGAAGCTTTGCCCCTTGCTCAACGGTACGATGAAGCCTGAGGATCGCGTGACAGACTCGGCTTTCTCAATGAGTGCACCTGTTCTCTAGGCTGGGCAATGTGGCACATGAATCTGGAGACCCTTTACCTTTGATACCCCTTCTACAACTACATTTCCTCTATTGGGTCTTCAAATCCTTTTCCATGTCTTGTTCCTAAGTGGTGATGCCGTAATCTTTTTTCAAAATGTAACCTGTCTGGCGGCTTTTGAAACTGAAGAATCTTGCTTTGCGGCCCAGTTCTTACTTATTAATTTGTCGACCAGCTTGGTCTGCTGTCGTGGAATGTTGAGCATCTCATGCTGTATTTTATTTATGTACATAAGAACCTTTTACAGAATATGAAATGGAGTTATTGAACGGGTCCAAGGTAATAAGTGTAAATGATAGGGATAAGGTACACGGGGTTTCAACAAAAAAGGACAGGTTCTATACAGGGGTGGCCTGCGAAGCAAAAGATGTATATGAATAGGTAGGGTGGTCTTTCTCTGTGAAGGAACCAGTGAAGGAATGTCGTTCAGTCAAACCAGGAGCCTCAGAGCTCTTTCTTGCAAGCACCTCATAGGAATTATAGCCCCCCTAACTGACCTCTTGCAAATGGCTGTCGCCCACGGTCGGTGCCGAGTGCCATCGCCGGGCCCTTGGGTCGCCGGTAGGTATATCCGAGAAATGCACCTCGCTTGCGGATCTCAAGTGCAGCTCGGCCAATCCTTTTGTCTCGAAGGATCTTGTCGCGGGGTCGTTTCTTCTCCCTTCTCTTCGCAGCACGCTCTACCTGCTGCGCACTAGGCTCCGCTGTAGCCACCAGATTCCCATCTGGATCTGGTCTCTCAAGAGGTAGAGGAAGTGGAGAATGATGGCCCTGGGATACTGCGGCTGTACCAGCAATATTTGCGTCGGGGTCCTCATCAGATTCTGGTGCGTCACTATCTGAGGAACCCTGATCGATATTGCCAAGGCCCTCCCAGTCGTCGAAATACCGGCTGTCCTCCCACCCTTTGACCCTGGGGACCAATGGTGGCTGGGTCAAGTGAAGCTCGCTCCACCGGGTGCCTCTGAAGAAGGGATGGGCTTTGATGTCGGCCGCATCGTTGGGAAACACGTAGTAGCTGGGTATGTTCATGTGTCGGGAATCCATGGAGTAGAGAAACTGTGCGGAGACAGGCCGGCCTGCCAACACATCATTGGCGTGGTACTTCTGAGAGCAGAGTCGGAATTCGCGTTCCTGTAGAATTCGTGCCATGAGATCGATGGCGTCTGGGGAGACCGCCTTGTCCGATGGCTTTTCTCTTGGGAATTTCAGGGTCCGGTTGTGTTGCTGGAATCGCCGTTAGTTCAGATCTTGCAAAAAGGGTTGTTCCAGCTTACAAGAATCTTGATCTTGGTGTCGTGGCGATTTTCACAAGCGAAGGGCGTAAAGCCGTATAAGCACTAGAGAAGACAAGTGAGAATAGTATCTTCAAGTCTGGACGTAGTCACCCACCTCGTAGATAATGACGCCTAGACTCCACCAGTCGCATCGCCCATCATACATCTCGCCTCGGATGACCTCCGGCGCAATGTATTGGCTGGTGCCAACCACGCTCTTCGCAAATCTACGCCTCCCTTTGCTGTTGCGCCAGTCCAAAAGATCCGTCGATGGCACCTGAAAGTTAGATGGCCCATTCAACCCATGAGAGCTCACTTCGGAGAATTCCTTCAGCTCCGCGGCTTGTGCTTGATCCTCCCTATCTCCAGTGACATTGATTCTGAGTTTGTCTATCAGGTCGTAGCGGTGGTTGTGATAGTAGGCTTGGTCATGAGACCAATGCCCGTCGAAGGCCAGTCCGAAGTCGGAGATTTTCAAGTGACCAGATGCAGAGATGAGGAAGTTGTCAGGCTTGATATCACGGTGAATCCATGACAGTCGATGGGCCTCTTCGATGCACAGGATCATCTCGGCGATATAAAACCTTGTCCAATCTTCACGGAGTATATCTTTGCGAATCAGCAATCCGAGAAAGTCCCCACCGAGCATGTAGTCCATGACGAGATATAAATTGGTGGCATCCTGGAAACTGGTGATCAACGGAACAACCCAGCGAGATTTCTCGGACGCAACGAGGAAGTCTCTCTCCGCTCGAATATGCCCTTCTTGACAATTTCGAATCATGTCGGACTTTCTGATCACCTTCATTGCGTACACTTCTTTCTTTTCCCCAGTCATGAATCGTCGTCGGCCGTGCTTGGCTTCATCAACAGCAGACCTCAGCATTCCGAGAGACATGCTTCTTGAGACGGATGAATAGCATTCTGGCATGGAGAAATCATCCTCCGCAATTGACGCCTCGTCGCTCTTTTTCTCGCGAACCAAGCGAACCACGCCAAAACTTCCTTTGCCTAAGACTTTGATGACTTCGTAACCAGCAATCGACTCTGTACCTTCATCCCGAACACATCGCATACTGGTTTTCAAGGCTCGACACTGTCGCAGATTTTCATTCTCCTGCAGCACCCAGTTGCGTCTGATCTGGGCCTGCTCATCTGGTGCGAGCTGAAAAGTGAAGATATGCTGTTCAAGTTCATGTTGGCGCTGCAAACGTGGATCCTGATTCTGGAAAATTGAGTTGTAATAGAGCTCCAAGTATACCTTGGTCACGGAGGCGGCCTCCACACTTATGATCGAGGGTGAGATGGTCGGGGATTTGATTCCCAAAGTGGTATTCACGACGAACACACGATCTGAGAGAGTAGAAAGATCGGTTGATAAGACCTTGAATTTATCAGAGGAAGGGGATGGCTCTGGCGATGTCACTGGGGTCGGAGGTGTCGAGTATCCCAATGGCGAGCCATTGCTGCTCGGGCCCGTCGACGGTTCCGAGCTGTCATCAGCACCATCGCCGTGCTGCTTGATGGGCGTAGTCAATATAGGTGACTCGATGAAGGGAATACTTGGTCTCGAGCGCAGGTGAGTACGACGAATTACCGTTGGCTGGCCAAACGTGAAAGAGAGTCTTTGGGACAGAATGTCGACCAGCTTCGAGTTCAGTGGGCTTTGTGGCTCACTGGCATTGGTGGAGTGGCTTTTCGCCTCTTCAGCAGTACGTTTCTGGACTGCTTCCCCTTCGGCTTCTGTACTAGTCCTTTTTCCAGCAAGCTGTGGATCATTCGAAGACACGCTAGCGGGTTTCTGGATCTCCGGCGGAGTGTTGACTCGAGAAGGCAACGCCGCTGGTGTACTCTCTAGCGAGTAATTTCCGGGTAAGAAGATGGTGTGGTCCCGCTCTATTATCGGAAGCGATGGAGTCTGAGGTCCTTCGGCGATATGACTGCCTTCGCATGACACAGATTCAACGCTCGTCTTGTGACCTGCAGACGATTGTCAACATCCAGAGTGTACTCTGTCCTGAGAAAATGAACACTCACTGTTGGAAGAACCACCCAGGCCAAATAACAATAGAATCTTCGAGCCACTTCGTGTCAGTCGGATCTTCAGACGATCTCTACCGGCTGCAGAGCTGGGCCCGTGATCGGATGCAGGACTGTCGGATACTGCAGAATCAACAGGAGAAGGATCGATTTTGCTTGAGAGCTTGTTGGTTTTGTTGGGAATCCAAAGACCGAAGACGCTTCGTCGACTTCGCACTCTCTTCCCATAAGAGACCGACATCTTCTAGTCCACCAAGAAGGATCAAGGAATGGTGGTCATCTATGGCGAAATATACAACACCTGGCGACTTTGGTAATGATAGGATGTGGCGATGCTTGAAATGAACAGTTTGAAGAATTGAGATTTGGTGATGGAGTTGGATAACCATGTTGACGAGCACTGGAAGCAACGTCGGGCCATAGTCGTTCCATAGTCGTTGAATAGAAGCAAGTGCGATGGTGAGAACGGAGCTTTGGAGAGTTAGGGCAAAACGGGACAAACTAACCCAAATCCAAACTACAGCGAACCTGGGAAAGTCTTCAAGTGCCAAAAGGCAGGCAAAATAGATTCAGGTAAATATGAGCGGGTACAAAATTAAATCACAAATTTGGGCAACTTTTTCAATGCAGGGGGTACAAATTCCTCGTGATAACCTCATCCTAAATCGGGAGAGGCAGAAAATATAAAAGAAACAAGCCGGATATCACGAGAAATCATGCAATCAAACAGACCCATAACAACACCCTTGCAAACGATACATGATTAAGCTAGGAGTTTACTTGATCTCCAAGAGCTTGACGTCGAAGATCAGCTTGGAGTTGCCGGGGATGCCGGGGAGAGCCTTCTTGCCGTAGGCGAGGTGGGCAGGGATGGTGATGCGACGCTCACCACCGGGGGCCATACCGGCAACACCGATGTCCCAGCCCTTGATGACCTCACCCTTGCCGAGCTTGAAAGAGAAAGGCTTGCCCTTCTTGTTGGAATCGAAAACCTTGCCATCCTCGAGCTTACCGATGTAGCGCATGGCAACGGTGTTGCCGCTACGAGCAGCGACACCCTTGCCGAGCTTCTTGTCATCGATCGTCACACCACGAACCTCCTTGACACCGAGGGTGCCGGTGGGCTTGTCACCGGAGGGGGTAGGACCCTGCTCGAGGTTCTTGGCGAACTGAACCTTCTTGTCGGACTTGGCCTCTTTCTTGGCCTCCTCCTTCTTGGGCTCAACAGCGGCGGCATCGCCGTTGTTCTTCTTCAGCTTCTTCTGCTGGGCCTTGGTCAGGGCGGGCTCCTGGGCCTTGTCGGCCTTCTTGGCACCCTTGGCCATCATGTCGTCAAGGCTCTCCTCCTCAGCAGCACGCTTGTTCTTGCCCTTGCCCTTGATCTCGACCAGCTTGGGGGCCTCCTCCTCATCGCTCTCGACCTCGGTGATGCGGGGGTCATCCATGCCGTCAAGGTCGTCGCTTTCGTCGTCCTCCATGGCCATGATGTCGTCCATGTCCAGCTCATCCTCATCAGGAGACAGGTCGTACTCATCCTCATCATCCTCGTCCTCGTCGAACTCGGGGTGACCCTCATCGAGACCAATGACGTAGTTACCGGTGAGGTAGATGGTGTGGTTACCGGTGGCCTTGAAGAAGACGCGCTCACCCTCGCAGACGGTGATGTCCAGAGGCTGCTGGAAGTTCTGTTTGATTGTTAGTTTTTGCCATTTACTACAATTAGAAATGGCCTCTTACCTGCTCGGGGCTCAGGGTGCAGATAACGTTCTCATCAAGGTCGAGACCCTCGTCGGAGTCCTCGTCGGACTCCTCGTCGTCGTCGTTAGCGGGGCCCTTGCCCTTGATGAGCTTGGAGATGGCGGCCCTGAGATCAAAGCCACCGTCATCCTCGTCGTCCTCGTCGTCATCCTCCTCCATCGCCTCCTCGAGCTCCTTCTGGGCGGCGGCCTTCTTCAGCTTGCGGGCCTTCTCCTTGTCGCTGGGACCACCGTTGACCTCCTCGTCATCGGAGTCTTCCTCATCATCGTCCTCGACATCACTGTAGTCCTCATCATCGGACTCGTCGTCGTCCATGTCAAGACCGGGAGGAGCGCGAACAATCTTCAGAGTAGCGCGGGCGGGCTTGCTGGAGTCGCCATCCTCGTACTCGGGGGTCTCATCAGGGTCGATGGCAGCCATGCTCACACGGAACTATAATCATGGTCAGTCTGTATTTCGTCGTGCACTGTCGAGGACTGTACTGACCGAAGCGGCGGCATTGGGCACGGCGGGAACCATAGCACCGGCAGGGACCCGAAGGGCGTAGACTGCGACAGGCTGGACGGCAGACATTTTGAAGAGATTGATATGGGAAAAAGAAATGCGAATGAAAGAAGAAAAGAGAGAGGGTGTGAGAGGGAGGAAAATGAACCACCGAGGGAAAACAGACGTGGATGAAGAAGAGAAAAGATGCGACCCAAACCACAGCAACAGAGATCGTCGGAGCTCTTTTTTTTTCTTAATTAATTTTTCTGACTGCTTTCATCGACCAATGACAACATTGATGGTGATCTCACCGCCTCCCTTCTTGGGTTGATTGACCGCGACCTTCACCGCTACAGGTCACCTGACTTTTCCACGCTTTTCTGCCAGTGACGCGTGATTTTGTCTTCCTCCGCGTCGCATCAGCAAAAGCACCGTATATATCCCTCCTCACCGAGGGTCATGTTGGTCCCGCTGGCCCAGCATGGGCTCCCGACTTGATGCTAACTCTAGTGCTGTGCGCAAGCGCATTGAAAATCGTAAGCCGCGGTCTTTATTACTTTAATCTCAAGTATTGTCTAATCCGCTGCTGTATAGATGACTTCAACGATGAGGGGGGCGAGGAATATGAGGCATCCGCCTTTGGCGGATTTGGGGACTATATGCGACGCAAGAAAATCAAACTTCAGAATCTAGATGCGGAAATTCGAGCCTCGGCCGGCGATCGTCCTCAGATATTTCGGGGTATCGTCGCGCATGTCAACGGTTACACGCAACCGTCCCTCCAGGATCTCCACCGCCTGATTGTCAGTCATGGTGGTGGATTCCTCCAGTACTTAGATGGCAAGACAGTTGCGACACACATAATTGCTAGCTCCCTGACCCCGAAAAAACGCGAAGAGTTCCGACGGTACCGCATCGTCAAGCCCGCGTGGGTCACGGAAAGTGTCAAGGCCGGGCGTCTGCTGCCTTGGGATCAGTTCCGGGCGGTGGATGAAGGCCAGTCTCAGAAGGTTCTGAAGTTCAACGAGGGACGCTTCACCAGTCAGACCAACAGTCCTCAGGCGGGGTATAAAGAGCAATCAAGCACGAGTTGGTATAACTCTCAGCTCAAAGCCATGAGTGCTGAATTCAATACACCATCCAAACCACCGCAGTCGGCTCTACCGCTACCTGCACCGTCGACTCATCCCTCCCAATCAGACTACGGTGACTTCCCTAGTCTTGAAACCATCGAAGATCAAGCCAAAACCAGTACTCCTCAACAAGCCAAAGAGGATACATCTCCTGGCATTCAGACAACGGTGTCTGACATCACACATAGTGATCGCAGCACCTTACCTAGGTCTCACAACAATGTACAGACTTCACCATCAAAGCAGGCCAGTCCTCTTAACCCGAATATGACATCCGAAGAATACAATGCACAACTCTTGTCTGATCCTCGAATGAGGAAATCAAGCGTCGTCAATCCAGAATTCCTCCAGCAGTATTATCGAGAATCACGGCTTCATCATCTGTCAACGTGGAAGGCTGAGTTGAAAGCCCAACTTCAAGCAGCAACCAAAGAAAAGGCCATGTCCCTCGTGTCTCAAAGAAAGCCCATGCCCGGAGCAAGAAGATATATTCTTCACGTCGACTTTGACTCCTTCTTTGCCGCCGTTTCAATTCTCAAGCATCCCGAGCTCCGCGATAAACCTGTTGTCGTCGCCCATGGCACCGGACCTGGCTCTGAGATTGCAAGCTGCAACTACGTTGCCCGAGGACGGGGCATAAAAAACGGCATGTGGATGAAAGGTGCCATGCAAGAGTGTCCTGAACTGCAAGTGTTGCCCTATGACTTTCCAGCCTATGAAGATGCCAGTCGTAAATTTTACAGCTCCGTCTTGGCTATTGACGGTACTGTTCAGAGTGTGAGCATTGATGAAGCACTCATTGATATCACTAATCTGTGTTTGGAAGCCGGCGGCTCGGACGGGAGGGGTATATCAGAAGGATCTATCTACCGCGAACAGGCCAAGGCAGACGAAATAGCTCAAGGCTTGCGTGACTCGGTTAAAGAGAAAACCGGATGCGCAGTCTCGGTTGGGATTGGCAACAACATCCTACTGGCCAAAGTTGCACTGAGAAAGGCAAAGCCAGCTGGGCAGTTTCAGCTGAAGCCGGAGGCTGTGCTAGATTTCATCGGAAATCTCACGATGCGAGATCTGCCCGGTGTTGGATACAGTCTCAGTAACAAGCTAGAAGAGCTTGGGGTCAAGCTTGTGAAGGATGCCAGGGATCTCACGAAGGAGAGGCTGCTTTCGTCTCTTGGACCGAAGACTGGAATGAAAATTTGGGAATATGCTCGGGGCATGGACAAGACTGAAGTTGGCAATGAGGTCATTAGGAAGTCCGTTTCGGCGGAAGTCAACTGGGGCATTCGATTCGTCAACCAGCAGCAGGCGGAAGACTTTGTCAGGTCTCTGTGTGGAGAGCTGAACAAGAGACTCGTCGAAAACCTGGTCAAGGGCAAGCAGCTCACGCTGAAGGTCATGCGACGCTCAATGGATGCGCCGCTCGAGCCGGTGAAACACCTGGGCCATGGGAAGTGCGATGTGTTCAACAAAAGCGTTGTCATAGGCGTGGCAACCAATGCAACCGACATCCTGGGCAAAGAGGCCATCTCAATGTTGAGAAGTTTCAATTTCTCCCCAGGCGATCTACGCGGCCTCGGGGTCCAAATGACCAAGCTTGAATCTCTCAAGGCCGGGCCTGCGGCAACTCTCGAGAGCAGCCAACGTCAGCTCAACTTCCAAATGTCTCCATCTCGCAGGCAGACTCCCTCTCGCAAGGAAACCGTTGTAAATGCCGACCCCGATGAATTAGAGAGTCCACACAAGGACCATTCCACCCGGATCCAGGTCGATCCAATACTCAGCAACAGTGCCCACAAGCCCTTGAACATGTCCGGGTCTCAGTTCATCATGCCAACTCAACCGGATCCTAAAGTTGTTTCGGAACTTCCTAGTGACATCAGATCAAGACTGGTGGCCCAAAAGCCTCGACAAGATTCTCGTTCTGGCTCCCCCTGCCCTCCTCCACGCCGTGCGCCAGAACCGGCCACGGCAGACCTCCCTCCTCAGTCCCAATTGGATCCTGAAACCCTGGCTGCATTGCCAGAAGATCTGCGAAATGAGGTCCTCGGTTATTACAACCAGCAACCCGCGCCGTCTGACCCACCAGCTTCTCAGGCCCCATCAGTCGCAGAAGCGTCTGTGTCTGGTCCAACGCCTACTCGGTCACTTGGACTGAAAAGGCCAGTCTCGCCGCCCAAGAAAAGGCGAGGCCGCCCTCCAAAGTCGGCAAGCAGCAGTAACAAGTCTCTGAAACAGACAGGCTTCGGTTTCCCTCGGGCAGCGACTCCTTCTGTCCAGTCTGTACAAGATCCTCCCCCATCCCGACAAGAATCCCCAGCTGTCGAGGAGCAGTCCGAAGTATCGGCCGAGTTCTTAGCTGCCTTACCAGAAGACATTCGCCAAGAGGTCCTTGAAGAGCAAAAGCGCGCTCGAATCCTCCAACGCTCTCGCGCCACTCCAACAAACCTTCGACCAACATCTCAACAACGGAATACACCTGAACTCGCCCCAGTCGAGAAACGCCTACCCCTTCCTCCTCTCCCCGAGCGACCTGTCTTCACTTCAAAGCGTTTGTCTAGCCTCCCAGATCTCCGTGACGCCGTCGGGGCTTGGTATTCTTCGTTTGTAAGTGAAGGACCGTATGCTGAGGATGCGGAGGTGCTCTGTAAATACCTTCGGCGCGTCATTGCCGAAGAGAAAGATATCGACAAGGCCGTCTCCGTGGTGCGTTGGCTTATGTGGCTTGTTGATGAGGCTACGGGTCCGCGAGAATCTGCAGATGATCAGAATCCTAGATCTGGACAGGGTGTTGTGACTTGGATGGATGCAATCGCTACTATACAGAGGAGTGTACAGAGTGCATTGGATGAAAGGGGGCTGCCACCGGTGGATTTTGAATAGTGTATATTGAATCTGGTTACGATGCAATGAATTATGATATACCCGTTGCCTACAAGCAGCAGATATTCCGCCATGATCGTGATTCGTCAAGCATGGGGTTGCATGTTTTATGGGAGTATGAGCGCCGGTATTCTTTCGCCCAGTTGAAGTCTTGACCTATGTATTCATCGATAGACAGCCCTTGGAGTGGCTCATTTTTGAAGCAATCTGCCTCATGTCGCGTGCGTTGTAAAACAGGTGGGCTATGACCACGATATTAACATCATTAGCGTCCGCTAACCCTATGAAACTCGTATAGGCTTTACGTCTGGTGATCGGCAGTTCTTCGGTGTCGCGAGACCTCGATGACACAAACCTAATTACGATCCCACTCGGAATCATATGAAACCGAGTCCCAGCCGAGGAGGCCATCCACAAGCTCGCTACCCCGGGTTGTCCCCATTGCCCCGTATTTAACAATTTTGTCGGAGTATAATCAGCATGCACGAGGGGTTTACAGTCCACAAAAGCAATGAAGGATTGGCTCAAACAGCGTGAATCAAAGGTTCGGTCCCTGTGAACGGGTATGAGATCATTAAGCGGGGCTCGCAAGCACCTCGCAAGAAACACTCGAAGCGGAGCCCAGTCTCACTAACGGGACAATCCCCGCTTCGTCATAGGGCGAACCGTATAGTTTTTCTGGGGAAACCGGAGCTTTTGTGCCCGAATTGATAAAAGCTTCGACGCGAATGGACCGCTTCCACATAAGCGTGCATTGCCGAAGATTCCACTAACGCATTTTGCATCCATCCTTGCATGAGTTGCACCCCTGCTCGCCGTTTCAGTGTACCATTCGCCATTATTTTATGGCTTGATCGATCATCTGGCCTCGTTTTAAACCCGCACGTTCCCGCGCAATTCCTAGGTTGTCTGGAAACATACCCAACACCGAAGATTGTATAGCCAAGATGATCGAAGAGCTCCTTACGGGCATAACGTCCGGCCAGGCCATTCTGTGGTCTCTGGGCATATTCACTGTGCTACTAATTTTTCGGAGAATCCAGACTCAGATCCAACTCTCGCGCCTTGGGGCTAGCGCTCCCAAGATCTCATTCCGTCTTCCTTACGCTCTCGACTTTATTTACAAGGGTCAGATCGCCAGTAAATCAAACACGGATCTGGAGTTCTGGCGCGACAGTATCCTCTCAGCCGGAGGCAGAACGAACGTCAAGACCGCGGAGGTCGATGCTGGTATTTCTACACGTGCGATCATGACCTCGGATCCCGAGAACATCAAGGCGCTGTTGACTGGACAGTTCGCCGACTATGGTAAGGGCGAACCTTTCCACAAGGAATGGAAGGAGTTTTTGGGCGATAGTATCTTTGCTACAGATGGAGAAATGTGGTCGCGCTCGCGCCAGCTCATCCGGCCCATGTTTGCGCGAGACCGCATCGTCGATACGGAGATATTTGAGAAGCATGTCCAAAAGCTCATTCCGCTTCTCGGCGGAAGCCAGTCTCCTAGTAGGAGCAAGGTGGTCGACGTTGGATCGCTCTTCTTCCGCTACACTCTTGATGCTGCCACGGACTACCTGCTGGGTCAGGGCACCGATAGCTTGGATAACCCGGCCACAGGCTTCGCGGAAGCATTCAGATACGTGCAACAACGACAAGCCGAGCTTTTCCGATTCGGGTAAGAATCCTCGAATCCCGTGTGATGCTAGCTATCATCATATTGGAGAATTGAAAGCTAATCTGGGCACAGCGTCTTTAACTTCGCCATGTCGCGCAAAGAATTCCGCCGCAATCTAAAGATCATGGACCAGTTCATTCAGCCATACATCGAAACGGTCCTATCTCTATCCACTGATGAACTGGATCAAAAGCTTTCAAAGCGACAGACCTTCCTGGACGCCCTGGCTCGCTTCACTCGCGACCCTCGAGTCCTCCGAGACCAGCTGGTCGCAGTGCTCCTCGCAGGCCGAGACACCACCGCTGGAACACTATCATTCTGTCTCTTTGAACTATCTCGCAACCCCGAAGTTGTCGCCAAACTGCGCAAAGAAATCCGCGAGCGTCTCGGCGTTGGCGCAGACGCCCAGAAACCCGAATACACAGACCTAAAGGAAATGAAATACCTCAACGCCGTGATCAACGAGACAATGCGCTTCTACCCCGTCGTCCCCTTCAACGTGCGCTACTCACTCCGCGACACGACCCTGCCTCGCGGCGGCGGTCCCGACTGCCGAGACCCTGTCGGTGTGCGCGCACACACGCGGATCATTTACTCGACGATGTTGATGCAGCGCGATCCCGACCTGTACGACGGTCCGGATTCCAAGAACTACTTTGATCCGGGCAAGTGGATCCCCGAGCGCTGGGTTTCGGGCTGGTCGCCGCGGCCGTGGCAGTTTATTCCGTTCAATGGTGGCCCACGGATCTGCATTGGGCAGCAGTTTGCGACTATTGAGATGGGATATACTATTATTCGCATTCTGCAGGCTTATGAGCGCATTATTGCGCTGCCGGTTAGTGGCAAGGATCGCGTTGAGGATCCTGTGTTGAGATTTGAGGTTACGTTGAGTCCAGGGTCAGAGTTGAATTGTGTGTTTTTGAAGGAGGGTGAGGATTTTACTCGGCTTGAATCTAAGGTTGACGTTGCTGCGTGAGATGTCTTGATTTGTAATATTTTATGCTGGGAGGTGAAATTCTACTAGGCAATGGCGAAATGGGCGTTTCGTTTCTGCTCTTTTTTTCCCGAAACCAAGGCCGACCATGCGATGTGGATGGATGTACGTGAGATGGGAATGCCAGTATTTAGCTTAACACGAATGAATGAAAATCGCCAATTTCAATGTACTCAGTCTCCGGGATCTGGCAAATTAATTAGGAATTAGGGAACATTACGTCCTCACGTGTTGATCTCCTCATCACACGCAGTCTTCGCTTACACTCCTTTGACATCTAATAGAAGGCTGCAGTGTCTACATAGAGAATTAAACTGGGTGGACAAAGATGCTTTTTCTTCCTATGGCTACTGTTATTTACTGCGATTTTCATTCGTTGATCAAAACCTGATACCCTGGAGAGGCTGCTCTATATGCTTGGCATATCGCAAGATCGTGAATCTCGCCTACACAGTCTCTATGTGTACATCTGAAGCTACTGGGCCTTTACCCGTATCTTCGATATCAAAGCAGACACGCTGTCCTTCACTCAATGTTTTGAATCCATATGTCTGTACGGAAAGATTAGTGACCGTAGAAGTTGGCGGAGTATTCGATCAGTAGTTACCTCGATTGATGAATAATGGACAAAAACATCTTTTCCGCCATCATCCTGCTCGATAAAGCCATATCCTTTGACCTCGTTGAACCACTTAACTTGGCCGCACTTTTTTGCTATCGCCAATGCTAAGTGAATGCAAATTGCGAAAAAACTAAGGGAGGATAGAAGTTTATAGCAGCTAGCTAAAGGCGAAAGAAGGATTATAGTTTCGATACTGTAAGATTACTTTGCAACTCAAATACGGTCCTTTTGCCTTCTGATGCGGTATTCAAAACACGTAGAACTCCTTCATCGGCTGACCCAACACAGTAGAAAGGAAAGCCAAGATATCAAAGCTAGTAATAGTTCAGCTTGAGTTTGCGCATCTTCTTCAACTTCTGCAAAATCTCCACCTTCCTCAGCTCCAAGAACAAGTCCTCCTCATCGGCATCATCCAAATCTCCTAAGATACTAATCAATGGTGTCTTCGTCGACGGGGACTCTCCGCCATTCGATGTCCGCGCTTGCACTTTGAGAACTGCACCGACTCCACTGGCCGTTGTAATATCCGATATCAGCGGTGACGGTGCTGGCTTACTAGCCTTAAGAACAGAAACATCTCGGTTCTCCATTGATCTATTGGGCATTCCATTTGTCTTTTCCTGGGACGTGGAATTGGCTGAATCTTGTCCATTGCCTTCAACCCAGCCCCGACACATCTGTACGGCTTTTTCCCATTCACCGCATTTGATCGCGCTCTCTTCGCGGGTGATACTGGGCTCGAATACCGCGCCACCGGCGCCATTGACATCTCGTAGCTCGGCGAAACTGTTCCATATGCCGAACGCGAGACCAGCTGCGATGGCGGCGCCAAGGGCTGTGGTTTCGCGCATTTTCGGGCGGTAGACGGGGATTGAAATGAGATCGGCCTGTGTCTGTTTTTAGACATGCATTAGTTTCTGATCACATGAATGTGCAGGAATTGATTCGTACCTGCATTGCCAAGTCTGAATTGCTCATTCCTCCATCGACTGCCAACTCGGAGAGTGTTTTGCCGCTGTCCTTTTCCATTGCGTCTAGGATTGCTTTGGTTTGGAAGCATGTTGCTTCCAGTGTTGCTCGTGCGATGTGGCCTTTCTGGGTGTACTGCGTAATTCCGACTATTGAAATCAAACAGTCAGTTTCTGGTGGGATGTAGACAATATATATAAGGGAAATCTCACAAATGGTCCCCTTGGCATCGTCAATCCAGTAAGGTGCAAACAAACCGCTAAAGGCCGTGACAAAAACACAGCCACCGTTATCGTCCACCGAAAGAGCCAGATCATTGACATCCTTTGGCTCTTGAAAGAAGGCCAAATTATTCTGCAGGAATTTAACCCCCGACCCCCCAACAGCGATGCTCCCTTCCAACGCATAGACAGCCTTCCCACCAAAATGGTACGCCACGGTAGCTAGAAGACCGTGTTTGGAAAAAACAGGCTTGTCACCAACGTTATAGAGCAGAAAGCACCCCGTTCCATACGTATTCTTCGCCATTCCCGGAAAGAACCCTTTCTGCCCAACCAACGCAGAGGACTGGTCTCCAAGGCACCCCATAATCGGCACATCCGCAAGAGCACCGGAGGCAATAACGCCGTAAGCATCTGTATCAGACGAGGGCACAATCCGAGGCAAATGAATCTTGCCCTTGATACCAAAGAAATCTAGCAATGTATCATCGTACTTCAAAGACTCCAAGTTCACGAACATGGTGCGCGACGCGTTTGTCGAATCCGAGACAAAAACGTTGGCTTCAGCGCCACCGTTCAAACGGTAGACAAGCCACGAATCGACCGTTCCAAACGCCAGTGTGCCACGCTCGAAGGCTTCTTTTACTTTGGGAACGTGCGCTAGCATCCACAGCAGCTTCGTGGCAGAGGAGTAGGTTGACAGCGGCAAGCCACAGATTTCTTGGAGTTGCAATGCACCGGGTCTCTGTTTGAGCTCGGTTACGATTGCTTGTGAGCGCGTATCGGTCCACACAATGGCATTGTAGAGGGGCTCGCCAGTCTCGTGGTCCCAGACCACGGTTGTTTCGCGTTGGTTGGTGATTCCGACGCATTTGATGCTGGTGCGGGTGTGGCCTTTGCTTTCGAATGAGTGTACGGCTTCTTCGATGCAGGTTTCCACCGAGGTGACGAGCTCGAGGGGGTCGTGTTCGTGCCACCTGGAAGTGAAAGAAGATCGGTGGTAAGTCACTCGCAGTTGGCTGTTTTGGCTGATTTACTTACCCCGGGTTAGGGTAGATCTGCGTGAACTCCAACTGGTGGGACGCCACAGGCTCTCCATCTCGGTTGAAGATGAGGAACCGTGTGCTAGTCGTGCCCTGGTCGATTGAGCCGACAAAGATATCCGAGGGCTGCATAGTTAGGAGGAAGAGGGGCGGTCTACGGAGGAAAGCAAAGTCACCAGTCTATAGAATCTTCAAAGCAGAGCATAAGAAGCGGAGGGACAGAAAATACGGCTCTTATCAAACGCAGGGAGGGGCATGTTAAATAAATGCCGTGGTGACACAACCTGCGGAGTCTTGAGCTTGCGAATTATTGGTGGGATTAGAAACGGCCAGAGGGAACTAAAGCCACGGCAAGTCGTCCAGTTGAGGCTTGAGCGTTGCGAGGTTGGGACCGGCGCCTGGGATCGGAATAAGCCTGTATGACACCAGGCAAGTCTCTGTATATGCACAATATGCAGGCATGCAGATATGCAGACTCGAGTTCATGGATTCACCATTGCATCAGATTTGCATTTCCCTATAGTATGACCGATACTATATCCCACTCGGCGCTCAATCTGGGGAAAGGGGAAAGGGGCCATTTATGAACCGAGAGAGTCGTGCGACCCCCCTCGTATTCTCCCAACTTAATCTTCCCCGCCTGACCTTCAGCGCCACCCGGCTAATGCCAAGGTGCGGGGGCTATTGGACGACTCGGGTGCCTTGACGAAGCCTGTATGAACTTCCAGAAACAGTCCACGGTGGAGACTTGCTCCACTCCTGCGAGATGACATCTCTAACCCCCCTGCTGCATCTCCTTCAGCACGAGATTGTCGTCCAGTCTGAATTGTAACACCGTCCGAATTCCAACATCTGCGCTTGGTATGCAACCGGCCCTGTCTTCCTCGCCGGTCTCGGTTCTGTCGGAGAGTCTCGCGTGCCAATAACCGATCTCCGGGAGGGCGAACATCCTACCTTCGCCCCCTTCTCTACCGCCCCTGCCCGATCCCAGAAGATCACGTCTGATCCATGCTTGACCTTGTGATGCGGCAATGCATATAAGAGCGTCGCACGGGCGTTGAACACGGGTGATATCACCCAAAGCCGAACATACCCAAATACAACTCAGTCTCGCATATCGCCCCGAAGAAATGGGGCTTAGATTATAATACTGTATCAGGACCGAAATATAGCCGTTCGGAATTCAAATGCCTTCTTCTTTTCAACCTCCTCCGAATATTTTCAAGACTTCGTGTTTGTGATACCGTTCGAACTTCTAGAAATTACAATCCGGCCTGGCGTGGCATTCAGTCTCCCGAGTTACCCATGGGTAACAGAAGAAATAGAAGCTTCTCTTCTTTTTTTTTTCCAATCTACAATGCCCATCCACCCAGTAGGAAGTCCACATAACTTCCTGTGCCACCAAGAAACCTGGCATTCCACCGAAAGAAAAAAGAAGAGGCAGAACAGGTTCCTCCAAATAAATTTCAGTATCAGAAATGGGCCGGCGTTTTCCGGCTACCCTATTCAAACGGCCCTTCGTACAAACGCTCCCCGTGGGCTGGGAAAGCTATAAGCAACTAGCGTGTGTTATTAGGATTTGTCTAGTTGCCTGACACTGTCCAAGCGATAAAAGAGTGCTCTCGTCCTCCTCGCCTAGTTCTGTCAACTGCTACCAGTCACCCCAGGTCTGTTTATCTGCATCTGGCTATCGGTCGACTCACGCAGGCCTGGAGGAGAGGCACGCCTCTCCGAAGGCGTCTTGTATTTGTCCAATTACGCCAATTTGCGCGAAAAGCGCTGCACAAACTTTCCCTGCGAGGGTTACACCGTTGTTGTCTGGCTGCTGGGCTGATATATCGCTTGGCTGGTTCCCTCGGCTGGAGGCGAATGTTCCTGATACTGATAACTTGCACGATTCATCAGGCTTCTTCATGAGTTCTTGGATCGAATTCGAGCCGATGTCTGATTCACACAAGGGGATTGACACTGCCGTGAGTCGGGGCAGTGGATGTACTTCTCTTTACTCGGGGAGTAAACATGAGGCTTCTCTTCGTGATCTCTCGCCCTCCATCGACAGTCCTGTCTCGCCGCCGCTAATTTGGTCCAAGTTGAGGGCGTACGGCCGTGATGCGTTCTCCGAGTTCTTTGGCACGATGATCCTCATCCTGTTTGGTAATGGGGTGGTGGCTCAGGTTCTTCTCAGCCACGGCCAGAAGGGAGACTACCAGTCCATCTCTTGGGGATGGGGGTAGGTCCATTCACGTCTCCACCCAATCATGTATACTAACATATACCAACTTCCAGACTAGGCGTTATGCTCGGAGTATACGCCAGCGGCGCCTCGGGAGCCCACATCAACCCAGCCGTGACCTTCGCAAATTGCGTCTTTCGCGGCTTTCCCTGGCGCAAATTCCCTATATACGCACTTTCTCAACTCCTCGGCGCGATGTGCGGTGCAGCAATTGTCTACGGCAACTACAAGTCCGCGATCGACGTCTTCGAAGGCGGAGCCAACATTCGCACTGTGCCCGGCTACTCAACCACCGCCACAGCCGGCATCTTCTGCACCTACCCAGCCGACTTCATGACCAAGACAGGACAATTTTTCTCCGAGTTCCTAGCTAGCGCCATCCTGATGTTCATGATCTTCGCCCTTAAAGATGACGGCAATCTAGGTGCGGGCCCACTCACGCCACTGGCATTGTTCTTCGTCATTTTCGGTATCGGTGCTTGCTTTGGCTGGGAGACTGGGTATGCGATTAACCTAGCCAGAGACTTTGGCCCTCGGCTTGTTTCCTATATGCTGGGATACGGACACGAGGTATGGGCCGCGGGGAACTATTACTTCTGGGTATGCCATCCTCTCCAGGATCCCCCATTCCCCCCTTTACTTATTAACTCTATTCAATGGTAGGTCCCCATGGTATGCCCATTTCTGGGCTGTACCTTTGGCGGCTGGATCTACGATCTATTTTTATACACCGGGTTGGACAGTCCAATCAATACGCCGTGGATGGGGATCAAGCGGCTATTCAGGCCCTTCTACCGCAAGAAAGGGGCGCTGCAAAATCCTGTTTGAAAAGAAACACGAAGAATACACGCTCACGCATTTACGCTGTTTGGTGTGAGAAGGTAACCATTTACCGAGATATCTCTTTTGCAAGTCATGTGTAGAGAATGAGAAAGCAATGATTTCGGGACTGCGAAAAACAGGCCCTAGAAGCAATGACCAAGGCAGAATATAGCAGTTCCAATCCCAATTCCCAATTGACTATTGCCGATAAATGATTATATGTCTCCGGGCACAAGGATTCAGGCCCGGGCCAGGTCCACGTCAACTAACTCACTATTCAGGCTGCAGTAGGGAGCTGGGTACGGCGTCTCCGACTACCGGGGTTGGATGGGATATCGGCACATGGCGCAGGCAATGATTTCTTGGTTCAAGGTATAGTTGCTTGTTCTTATTGCATTGGTGTGCTTTGGTATGGGTCTAGGTGAGTTCGCGGATAGAGAAGGTCGGTTGAGGGTATCCAAGGATAATGGCGTGATGCCCATGCCGGACAGTTTTTTGGTGATGAGGATTTGGCCGTTATACGATTTGGAGGCTTGGAAATTAAATTCAAGTTGCATCGCCGCATGTTTGTGTAATTCATGACCATCTATAAACTTTTCCAGTGATTAATACATGAAGGTGGATGGATGCCAGGCCAAATGGGATATCCATCGAGTTTTGGTATGTATGCATGATAAGAATTGGCCAGAAAAAAACAAGAATCAAGGTGATAAGCGCCAATATGCTGTGGACCTGTGTAATCAGGTACCGTTGAAAATTCTTCCACACTCTGCATGTTGCAAATCGTGCAGTGAAAGTGTCGTGTGCGCCATGTCAAAAATCATCCCATCGTGAGTAATAATACAGATCGTCGGTGTCGTCGTGACCCGGTTTCAAAAGAATGCAAAAATGGCCGCAAGCAGGGTGCAGAAAATGCCCAGGATTGCAGGAATGCCCAGGCTGATCCCACCGCTAACCGCAGAGGCAATGGTCGGGATTAATGTAGAGGCGGCCTTGTTGGTCTTGGTAGCGGTAGTCTTGGTTCGGGTCCTCGTAGTCTTGGTCTTAGCTTTCTTCGAGGTCATACTGTGGGCAAGACGGGTCGCGTTTCCATGATAGCTCTCAAGCCCAGAAGGGGAAAAGACAGCCGATGGCGAAGCCCAAACCACTGAGGTAGATTGGAAGGTAGACTGTAAAGGAAGTGACTCGGTCTTAGTGACTGATTCCAGGGACGTGTTGATGAAGGGTAAAAGGGGGTGCTCACTCATTGAGCCCCCGCCAGGTGGTGAGATGCGGCCAGAGGCAGATTCCCATCCACTGGGAAGACCAGTAGAAGCCGAGGCTGAATCGGTGGCAACCCAGGGCCAGACGTCGGGGGTGACGAAGGTTGAGGTCTCCTTGTGCGTTCCACTCCAAGGAATGGGTATACCAGAGGCGGTCGCCGTGATAGTGGGAGCAGACTGAGTCTCAGTAGGTTCATCAGCACTATTGCCATTGATCTTGCCTCCATTAGAGATAATTGATTCCCACGAGCCAGACTTGTCGCCATAGCTGTATGACTTTCCGGTCGAGTAGTCGGTCACGGTCATCGTCTTCATGTACATGCTGAATGGGCCTTTGCTGTAATCGGTCAAACCGCCAGCCCAGTCTAGTAAACATGTTAGCATTACAGTACCCACGTTTGACTCAGATTATTGGCTCACCAATGGTTCCTTGGGCGTTGCTGGGATCGCCGCCGGCCCACACACCGACCTTGATCATCATGGGGGACTGGGGGTACTGGTTGGTGTCTGCCGTGCTGGGCGTGAGGACACGAATAGTTTTTCCGTCAATAGCCCAGACAATCTGTTCACTGGTCCAGTCCACGGAGTAAGTGTGCCATTCGTTCTGATTGTCAGGGTTGTCGTGGAATGCACCGCGGTTGTAACTGCTAGTGTCTCCTTTGCCGAAATAGTTGGTCTGCACTTGAGAGCTTTTGCCTCCAAGCCATTCCCAGTCGATTTCGTCCAGATCGTCGGACTGCAGTACGGCACTGCTGACAATGCCCGTTCCTGGAGCTGCCCTGATGGTGTATTCGACCTTGCCGAACATGATGTACCAGCCAGACTGGATTAACGGCCCGTCGCCCTGCTTGGCGACGGTGAAAGTGGCACCGTTGGTATCATCGTATGTGACGGTTCCGGAAGCAGAGAACTGATCGGAGGCACCCGCGGTGAAGTCGAACGTCTGGTCGGTTTTGCCCAAGGCAGTGTCCGCGGGGCAAGCTATTCGGCGGTCAGCTAGCAGTCAGGTTGCACAGAGATCTGGGCCACATGCATTTCTCGGTCGGGTTGCAACTGGTGTATGTCTGGGCTGCAACCAAGACGGAGGAGCAGAGCAGGCCCAAGGCTGCACTGAGAGTGAGCCTCATGGTGAGCAGCGTAATCCTGAAGGGTAGATATGATATAGGACCAAACGATACAGGAAGCCCAGGGGTCGAAATGGAGAAGGCTATGGGTAGGAGAGATGATGAAGGAGGAAGAAAAACTCGAGATCACAACACAGCCCAGCGTGGCAGGCTCGAATTCGTCATACCCGAGGATATATCGAAAGGAAAGCGCCAGCCTCCGTGTTTTTAGTTCCATCGCAGCTTCTTCATTGGGCGCAAATCGGTGGGTCCCGTTGGGCTGCCAGTGGCTCAATCAGGTCTCTACGTTTCGACTGTTCTGTACCATTCGATGATCTTGAAGAGTAATTCTACCTCTTCGCCGATAAATTACTTCACAGGTCTCACTTCCTCCCTTCCAGTCACGTTCCAAAGTGTCTGATCAAATGCACCCAAAAAGCAGAAAAACAGGGGGCAGGGAGATCGGGAAGTGGATCCTTCATCCCCAGCCTCCGGATTTCTGCAGTGACCACCCCACCCGCCTTGGAGGCTAGTGATCTGAGATCTGAATATAGAAACTTGTCCATGATTGATTGTCCAGCCCAGCCCAGGTGGATTGTTGTTTCCCATACCCTTGATGGCCGGACAGTCCGGAGTACCAACCTGACGAATAGCCTTTGTAGAGCACGTCGGACAGCGACAACGATGAGTCTAGACGCATCAATATCCTTGAGTTAGACCCAGCGTGGCCTCTATGTCCGGGCCGTTTGGGAATGTCGATCTCACGCTGCACCGGAGATCCCGAACTCACTTTCACCGCCACCTGCCCTGTTGGCCTACAATATCCAATACTGTCTGGGGACGTCCCATTCCTCCAGGTGGTCGACGCCCGGTTCACACCACGGTGGTTATTGGCGAAGGTCAAGGCAAGTACTGGAGAAGGGATAGGTCAACAGGCTACCTCATTTCCAACCTTTCTGTGTTCGAACCAATATGCTGATTAGCAATAGCGGTGCACCATTCCTGGCAAACCCGACGGGGAAAAATTATATCGAGAAGCTTGGGGCCATAGTTGTGGCGGACACTGGGAAAATCACATCGGAGCTGAAATTTGTCGCCTGATGGGCATCTCCCAAACTTGGAACCAGGACCCTTAATGTTGGATTAAAACCCTCCGCAGAAAACAGCAGGAACGAAATTCCATTTAATCCAGTTTCTACGGCTGCTCAATCGAACTTCGGGGCTCTGTGATAAACAAGGTTTGTAGGCGGAGAGTCACGACCCTGAGTCTGGCAACGGCTACGTCAACCGTTCGTCTTCTGGCGTGGGTTGACGAGTTACGTCCAAGTAACGAGTAGCTGGGTAGCCAGTATTAGCAGGCGATTGCAAGAAGAAACACGAAAAGCAGCATATTTCTTTTGTAATAAGTACGAGGGAGGGAACTAGGAGAGTGGCAGGAAGTGCAGAGCTGAGCTCCACACCAAAAGCACGGACGACCTCAACCCGAACTCACGGACCATTTTGCCCCAGACACAAACCAGCCAGGGCCTGGCGAATAATGAACTTTGCGATCGATCTCCTGCAGCTACATCGATGAAATCGCCGGTCTCACTGTGAGACCCATCTAGTGCCAATCAAAGTCCCACCGGACCTGGAGAGCCTCACTCCTCCCCCCCCTCTCTCAGCTTTCTCTCCGTCCTCACCTTGGTACCTCCATCCAACCGACACGTTCGACATCCACCTTCCCCTTCCCCTCGATCTGCACGAGTCCCTGACCTGCATCGCCATCCCCGCCCGCCGAACTCGCCCGTGGTACTTGCTTTGTGCTTCGTATGACGCCCGTCCGCATCGCTGCGCCATGTTCCCCATCCGCCCTTGACCGCGCCTCGCTTCCCTATCAGGACATACTCTAGTGGCACGCTCTATTGTGTCCTGACACTTGCGCCTCCCCACACCTCATAGCTCTTATATGCCCTGTTTCAGGAATTCCGCACCCGAATCCCCCGGCCCATCGATGAGATCCGCCACGCTGCCTCACTCATCTTGAACGTCCCCGGTCGCACCGAACTACCGTATTTCACGTCATTTTCAGCTATACAAATCGCCACCGCGTTTTCGGGTCCGAGCTTTGCATTGTGGTGCAAGCATCCTCGAGATCCAGATCGACCGCATTCCATCCAGTTCCCCGATTCTCCGACGCATCCGATACTTGGTCGCGTTTATTGATGGTAGCCCGTACTGAACTTGCACACCACCAGGGAGCACAGCTGGCACCAACTTGATCAAGTTCTCTGCGGTGGGACTCGGCCCGAGTCAAGGAACAGCCATGCCTGCGCGGGATCAAGAGCAACCCGACCGGCGTCAAGGCTCAGGGAGCTCCGCAATATCACAAGAAACGGTACGAAACGTCGAGAACTTACGCCGGACCCCAAATGATCCCTCATCCAACGGTCGCAATGAAGATATCTTCCCAGGTACCCTGATGGACAGGTAAGAGCTCTTTTGTTTTCGCAAATCGTCCATGCCGTCGCATAAACGTTGTGCAAGGGTGAGGATTCTAGCCAGGAAACTAAAACCCTCCAGATCCACTGCGTCCCAAGCTCCGATCAACTTTGGCCAGTTCAGATGGTCCCCAGACGTCTCCCCAACAGAAGAACGCAAAGGCTCCGGGTACAGCGGTCACCGCAAGGCGCTGGCTTTTCTTGGAGCCGGCGACGAAGCGTCTCGATCAATATCTAACAGTCCGCGACCCCCGCCGATTATTCCTCCTCGCCGCGATCAAGATGAAATGGACTCGATTGCCCCGTGGGCTACAACACCTGGTACTTCTGCTGGTCAGACGTTTCTCAATGATAATTCCGAGTATGAACAGTCTCCTGCATCCGCAACATTTCGCCGTCCCACGACCGGACGCACGGCATCGAGTGAACCGGCTGAGATGGATTGGAATGGAGATCGCCGGAGGCCCTCTGCTGTGAGCATGACGAGCAGCCAAGGCTCAAAGTCGAGCCAGAAGCGCCTGAGAAAGAAGACAAAGACTTCAGTCGGTGAAGAAACCTCGGCATTTGATGAGCCCGAAGATAGTCCGTCAAATCCACCCAGCAGACGTGGGGGACCAATCGATCAGTTGAAGGCCCGAGAAAGAGCCAACTCGGACGGTTCAGATGCAACTGGATCGCAGCGGCCCTCACGGCCACGAGCAGAAGGTTCTTTGCCTTCAAGTGACATCACTCCGTGGGTGTATCAAAGCTACCACGATATTCCCCAGTATGGCGAAGCTCCGGTACGGCAGGTTCCCATCGGACCTGATGGTCAGCGTCTTCCCTCCCAAGGTAGCGCTAGCTCTGCACACAGAGATTCAACTCGAAGAACGCACAATGGACACCGCCACTCTCGAAGCAAAGAAGAAAAACCGACCCTCGCAGGGGATCTTGCCGGATACCACGCTCGTCCGGGTGGGCGCGACGATTTCAATGTTGGCCTTAGACCGTGGAACGACAGTTACCTGAACTCTTCTACTGCCATGAGCTCCACGTCCACTCTTGGCGGTCGTTCGACTAGCCCGACTCCTAGCGTACAAAGCGCAATTTACCGTGAACATGGCCAAAATTCACCTGGAGGCCTACCGAACAAAAGTGGCCTTCTGGGCAGGATCGGACGACACCTGTTGCCAGGGTCACATAAGCCGCATGAAAAGTCCAAACGCGACTATTCCCCTGGCCGACACAGACAAGGTAGCATCGAAGGCCCCTCTAGTAGTGGCCGGTATCTAGAATCGGCAGACTCTGGGCAAAAGAAGGAGTCTGGCAAAGGTCTTGGTGGTATCCGTGGGCCCAAGTTCGGCAACCGCCGCTTCGCCAGCAATCTGACTGGAGATTTTGCCCCGCGAGATGACGCACATCGGGGAGAGGATGGCAAGCATGTCTTCAAGCTCGACACTGATCTCGAGAATGTGGATGATATTGTCCGTTCAACTTCACCGGGTCGTGTGCCTCGTGGAGCGGAAGGAACAACTACACCCCATGAAGATCCGAACCGGCCTGATACCCAGGCAAGTGTGGGTGCCGATAGCTGGCATGCGCCTGATAGTTGGCATGTCAAGAAGCAAAAGGATCTTTTGGAATCCTCACAGGGCGGTTCCAAGCCGACTACCGCGCTTCGTGATCGCGATGGTGCATCTTTCTTCATTCGAGTTTTCCGCATTGACTCCACCTTTGCTACCCTTTCAGCGGGCTTGGACGCAACTGTTGCGGAAATTCTTTACATGCTTGGCAAAAAGTCGTTCTTGCAGGACCATCTCAACAACTACGAGATCGTGCTTCGGAAGAATGACTTGTCTCGACAGCTCGACCACAAGGAGAGGCCAATTCTAATGCAGAAGCAGCTTCTGGAACAAGTTGGCTATACGGAAAGAGATCGGATAGAGGATGTTGGTCGCGAGGACCATAGCTACCTCTGCCGCTTTATTTTTCTACCGACGAAGCTGAGCGGATACACCAGTCTGGAAGCCGACCCCGGTTTCAGCAAGATGCAAAAGTTCAGTCATGTGGATCTCCAGGGCCGAAGCCTCGTCACAATCCCAATTACACTATACAAGAAATCATCGGAGATTATTTCTTTGAACTTGTCTAGGAATCTCTCCTTGGATGTGCCAAAGGATTTCATACAGAGCTGCATCAACTTACGAGAGATCAAGTTCATTGGCAATGAAGCTTCGTATCTCCCTACAAGTTTCAGTCTGGCCAGCCGCTTGACCTACTTGGATGTGTCAAACAATTTCCTAGAGAATTTGGACGACGCACAGCTTGACCAGCTCCAAGGCTTGGTCAGTATCAAATTGTCCAACAACCAGTTGACGAGCTTGCCTAGCTACTTTGGAAAATTCAATTTCTTGAGAAGCTTAAGCATGTCATCGAACAGCTTCAAGGTCTTCCCAGAATTCATTTGCGACCTGAAAAGCTTGGTCGATCTCGATATCAGCTTCAATGGCATTGAGTCGCTTCACAATATCGGCCGATTGACCACCTTGGAGCGCCTTTGGATGACAAATAACAACATCAGCGGGTCCCTTGATGCTTCTTTCAAAGAATTGGTGAATCTGAAGGAGATTGATGGACGATTCAATGCAATCTCAAGCATTGACGCTCTATCCCGCTTACCGAAGCTCGAGCAGGCGTCTTTCGGTCACAACTTAATCTCTCGGTTCAGAGGAGCATTCCCGAGGTTACGCAGCCTGCACATAGATCACAATCCCTTGACACAGTTTGATATTGACAGCCCTATGCCAACGCTGACTTCTCTCAACCTTGCATCTGGCAAGCTCTCTCAATTCCGGGATGCCATGTTTGACAACATTACGAACGTTACAAAGCTCATCCTCGACAAGAATCATCTATCGTCAGTTTCGATACAGATTGGCAAATTGCGTCGCCTAGAGCATTTCAGTATCATCAAGAACCCTCTCTCCTCTTTGCCTACAACCATCGGCTGTCTGGTGGAGCTCAGAGAGTTTAACTTGAGGGAGTGCAATCTCAAGTCCCTGCCGGAAGAAATTTGGCATTGTGTGAAGCTGGAAACCCTGAATGTCTCCACTAATTTGTTGTCGACCTTTCCTAAACATGGCGCCCCGCAGCCTTTGGTCCCCGGCGAGCCAACCACAACCCCTGCCACAACTCCCGGCGTTATTGGAAACCCAAGCTATGAGGAATTGGGTCCACTCGATGAAGTGAACTTCCGCCGACCCAGTCAAGCATCCAGCGGAGCCTTAGCATCTGGTACATCGCCAACTGGGACATATCGAAATCCATCGACTACTCCGTCTACTGGACAGTCAACAAATGGCAGAAAGGTATCAGGGACCCCGCGATCAGGCAACACGGAACCAAGCTCATCTTCTCGAAAGGATTCAAACTTCTCGCAGCACGGGGTAGCAATGAGCTTTGCCGGGTCCTTGCGAAACCTTCACCTCGCCGATAACCGCCTGGACGATGACATTTTTAGCGAACTGGCCCGCCTTCCTGAATTACGCGTCGTTAATCTCTCCTACAACGAGATTACAGAATTGCCTCAGGGTGTCCTCAAACGATGGCCCAATCTTTCCGAGCTCTATCTGTCTGGCAATGAGTTGACTTCGCTCCCATCCGATGATCTGGAGGAAGGCAGTCAATTGAAGGTTCTTCACATCAACGCCAACCGATTCCAAGTCTTACCTGCAGAGCTGTGTAAGGTCAGCAAGCTCTCTATTCTGGATGTCGGAAGCAACGGGTTGAAATACAACGTCTCCAATTGGCCCTATGACTGGAACTGGAACTGGAATCGAAGCTTGAAGTACCTGAACTTCTCGGGCAATAAGCGCCTCGAGATCAAGCCCAACATCGCATCCCTGGGCCAACCAATCACAAATGGTGCTGACTTGACTGACTTTGCCTCTTTGACTCACCTTCGGGTTCTGGGTCTGATGGACGTGACTCTCACGATTCCTACAATCCCAGAAGAGAGCGAAGATCGCCGTGTGAGAACGTCTGCATCTTTGGCAGGTTCACTTGCGTATGGTATGGCAGATACTCTCGGTCGGACCGAGCACCTGTCCATTATCGATATGATTGTGCCCCGTTTGAAGCCGGATAACGTCGAAACACTGATGGGTATGTTCGACGGTTCGACAATGTCGAGCGGTGGTTCTCGCGTTGCGAAATACTTGCATGAGCACTTTACCCCGACCTTTTCTCATGAGCTTAAGAAGCTCCATCGGGATCAGGATGAAACTCCAACCGATGCTCTCAGGCGTGCATTCTTGGCTCTGAACAAGAATATGGCTGGGTCAGCATACAGATCGATTGATGATCGTGAGCTTCGGCAGTATAACCGTCGAACCACCGCCTCGAAACAGCTTAACCAGGATGATATTCAATCTGGTGGTGTTGCAACTGTGTTGTATTTGAACAACATGGATTTGTACGCTGCCAATGTCGGTGATGCTCAGGCCATTCTCGTGAAATCAGATGGTTCCTTCCGCAATCTGACGCAGAATCACGATCCTGCTGAGCCCCGTGAGCGAGCGCGCATTCGTGCTGCTGGAGGGTTCGTGTCTCGCAATGGAAAGCTGAATGATGTTCTCCCTGTGTCGAGATGCTTCGGTCACTTCCCAATGATGCCTGCCGTCATTGCGGCTCCGCACACTATGCACGCCACTTTGACCGAACAGGATGAAATGATCATTCTAGCCTCCAAGGAATTATGGGACTTTGTGGCACCCGAATTGATGGTTGATATCACCAGGGGAGTTTACCCGGACCTGATGTTCGCTGCTCAAAAGCTTCGAGATCTGGCCATTGCATTCGGTGCAAACAACAAATTGATGGTGATGATCCTCGGCGTGAGCGAGCTCCAAAAGCGACAGAAGAAGTGGCCTCGTCCCAGCATGTCTTTGGGACCCTCTGCGTTCTCTGACGAACAGATCATCTCGACAACCAAGATCCGCAAGAGGCCTCGTGATGTCCCTGGAGATTCTCGCCTAGCTCGCTTCGATTACGTGGATGCTCCGGTTGGTGAGCTGGTAATCATTTTCACCGATATCAAGAAGTCCACGGGTCTGTGGGAGACTTGTCCAGAAGCAATGCGCTCAGCCATCCAAATCCACAATGACATCCTGCGACGACAGCTTGGTATCATCGGTGGCTACGAAGTTAAGACAGAAGGAGACGCCTTCATGGTGGCCTTTGCAACCACGACTGCCGCCTTGCTGTGGTGCTTCAATTGCCAGAATCAGCTGCTAGAAGCTGAGTGGCCTACTGAGATTCTCGAGCAGCCGCAGTGTCAGGTTGTCGTTGACATGGAGGACAACGTTATCTTCCGTGGCCTATCCGTCCGCATGGGTGGACATTGGGGCGAGCCTGTTTGCGAGAAAGATCCTGTCACCAACCGCATGGATTATTTCGGACCCATGGTGAATCGAGCATCTCGAATCTCTGCTGTCGCCGACGGCGGACAGATCTTCGTTTCGTCTGACTTTATGACCGACATCCAGCGCAACCTTGAGATCTTTGCCGACGCTGAGCGCTCGGCATCCACCAGCTCGAACGAGAGCCATCCGCGCGTTGATAGTCTTGGACAGAACATCCGCCGCGAGCTGAACCAACTCAATAGCCAGGGCTTCGTGATCAAGGACCAAGGTGAACGGAAGTTGAAGGGCCTCGAAAACCCAGAGCCTCTGTACCTCGTCTACCCTCACGCTCTTGCTGGCCGCCTGACAACTATCGAAGAATCAACCGGGGAGACTAGTGGTCCAGCTACGCTTAAGCCTGGATCAGAACTCGATCTCAAGACCGATCTGATCTGGCATTTATGGGATGTTACCCTTCGTCTGGAACGTCTCTGCGGTGCTCTGGAGAACCCCAACAATCCACGGCTCCGCGAACCAAACATTGCGCTGTTCAACATGGTCAAGAACCACGGTGGCGAGTTAAACGACTCGACCGTGATAAGCCTAGTCGACCAACAAGTCACCCGCATCGAGGCAACCGTCAACACCCTCTCCGTACGACACATGATGCGTCCCTTCAAGCCCGGCGACCGCCTAGAAGACCACGCTGTCCCCATCGGCGAAGTCATGCAACAACTAGCCACCCAGCTAGCTGAATACCGCGCACTTAAGGAGCAAATGGCCGTCGGAAATTCATGCCTCGGCAGTGTGCCACCGGCCCGATATGGTTCCCCCATGCACATCACCACCAGCGGACGTAACAACGACATCTCTGCTTCCTCATCCTTCCTGAATCTCGCGGCGGAAACACCTCGCTCCTTTGAGTTCCCGAATAGCACCCGTTAATCCGGGTCTATACGCCTACATATATTTTTACTCTAATGATGAACTTTGGCTCTCTTGGCTCTCTTGGCTCACATGGCTCTCATGGCTCTCATTTGGCCTTCTGTTTTCGATGTTTATGTTCGTGGGCGGCGTCTCACGGTGGGAGTGTTCAGATTGATTTATGATGCATCTAGGGGGCATGGAGCGACGGTGGATATTTCAGTCTCTGTTTTTCATAGCCTTGCTTGTGTATGGTTTGTATCATTGTAAATATATGGTCATTCCTTGTACCCTTGTCTTCTTCTTGTGATCTTCTTGACACAATTCTTGAATTCATCCCGATCTACTCAGAAATGAAATACTTCTAATACAATACCTAGGTAATACTTGAAAGTTTTCGAAGGTTTCTAAAGTTGAGCTTTGGAAATTAAAGATACATTCGTTATTTCTAGTCCGCGGTATGCAATTTGATACTTCCAAGGGTTTGATGTTGCAGTTTCGAGGGTCGATTTGGCGGGTGTTCTACTATTCGCTGCCCCCGACGCCAACCTTACGAAGGCTTGACCTTTTGAATATCAAAACAATGACAATACGTTTAGTATTGAAGGAGTTAGAAGGTTATTACAATAAAATCGACATTAGAAAGTAAATCACAAATGCCGTTTCGCTCACTCGCAAACCCCGGGACCGGTTACATTCATTATATGTTTCCTTGTGCAGTCGTAGTGGCGGGATCACGTGGTAATCTATTTGTCTGTACGTCATTGTGCAACTGACACCAGCTTCTATTTTTCCCTTCTCCCGCTTTTAGAGCACATCCACCATCTTGTAGCATACCTAGGACCAAGTACCATCTGAGGTTTGAGCCGGAGTAAGTGGTCGTGCTCAACCGCCATTGCACCCGCCCCGCTTGTTGCCCTGGCTACGAGCCTGACCAACCGCCTCCGGTCAAATTGACAAGTGGACAAACATCCACTTCGATTTTTACACTGCACTTCTCCCCCAGTTCCAAAAGCAGGAGCGATCGGTGGCTTTCCCCTCCGCTTCTTGAAACACCGACTGGACCTATCGTGCGCCGTGCGACCATCCTCGCTTCGCGTCACCGACTTATCGCACCTACCTCGGTTAGCTGACTGTGTTAGCGACTTCATCAGCCTTTACCAAGCAGACGAGCCGCTGCGCTCACCACACCACACACCATGGACGAGCTGGAATACCTGCAATCAGACTTTGACCTGAACTCGCTCACCGTACCCCGTCTGCGCAACATCCTCGTCAACCATGATGTCCCCTACCCTGCCTCCGCAAAAAAGGCACAGCTGATCCGCATTTTGGAGGATGAGGTTCTGCCGCAGGCTAAGAAGCTTCTCCGAGATCGCGATAGGGTACGGAGGACCAGTGCGGGCATCACGGATATGGGCAGCCGAGCTTCGTCAGTCGTCAGTTCCAGGGATGAGCGCGAATCTATAGCGCCACCAGCCACACCATCCACTGTTGCTTCGACCACAGGCACAAAACGTGGCACAACTCGACGAAGCGCCCGTGCATCTACATTCGAAACCGATGAAAACCGGGCGCCAGCTACACCAGCAATGTCTAAGCGACAGAGTTCAGCGCGGTCTGTGGGTAAGCACGCTCGTGCTTCGGATACGGAGACTGGTGAAGACACCTCCGCCACGCCAGTAGTTGCTGTCGGTATCTCTCCGCGCAAGTCTACTGCGCGCAAGATGCGGCGCAGCGAGGTTCTCCCTTCCACGGAGGTTGATGACTACACTCCTGTCAAGGCCGAGCCTAGGGATGATGCTCTTCTCACGGCTGACAACCCCTTCCAGAGTGGAAGTCCGGAGTACGGTGGAAGCCGTAGGTCCAGCTATGAACCCAAGCGGAAGAGTGGAGGAAGGTTGTCTACTGAGAGCCCGGTTTACAAGAGTGGCCTGCGGTCACGGAAGTCGACCACTCCTGGCAGCGTCAAGCAAGAAGATGGCATGAGAGCTCCTACACGCGAGTCTTTCGACTTTGCTTCTCGACTGAAACCTACGAAGGAAGAGACTGAGGAGTCGGAAGAGGAGTCGGAAGAAGAAGAGGACGAGGAAAGTGAGATGAGCGCCGGTGAGGAGTTTACACCAGAGGAACAGCTTGCTATGGAAACTGAGCAGTATGCGCCGCTCGCTCAAGTTCGAAAACGGCCACGCAAACAGGGCAAAACCAGCATCATCGCGTCCTGGTTCGTCATTCTGGGTGTGCTTGGCAGCTTCGGTGGCTGGTGGCGTAAGGAGAAGATTGAAATTGGCTACTGTGGTCTTGGAAAGCCGACCTGGTCACTCGCCGAAACCAATGTCCCGGAGTGGGCTAACGTGTTGGAGCCGCGCTGCGAGCCGTGCCCGCCTCATGCATTTTGCTACCCCGATTTTGAAGCTCGCTGTGAGCATGACTTCATCCTTAAACCTCATCCTCTCTCAGTGGGTGGTCTAGTACCTCTGCCGCCAACATGTGAGCCCGACAGCGAGAAAGCCCGTCGCGTGAAGGCGGTTGCGGATAAAGCTGTGGAGGAGCTTCGTGATCGGAGAGCCAAGTACGAATGTGGTCAGCTGACGGACGATGGCAAGGAGCCATCGCCTGAAATCAGCGAGTCCGAGTTGAAGGAGGAAGTTGCAAAGAAGCGCCGCAGAGGCCTCACCGATAGCGAGTTCGATGATCTGTGGAAGGGAGCCATCGGGGAGATCATCGACAAGGAAGAGGTTGTCAGCAACACCAAGCAGTAAGTCATCTCTCTCTGATGAACATCTCGATGTCATCTTAGTTCCGCATATTGTTCCGGGTTACCCTATCCCGCGGCCGGATTTCTTAAAAAAGGTCTTGGTTCTGACATTGTGTATTGGAACTAACAGAGGCGCCCTCGCAATCACAGACCTTCCGTCCTCGTCCTATCATCAACATCAACAGCCCGACTCCCACTCACATGCGCCGCCCGCCGCTACGTCCGACTCGCTCTCCTCGCGTATCGATTCCCTCTTTCATTTCTAGCTCTGATCATTGCGGCTCTGGCCTACGCCCGCGCTCATGTTCGGGCTCGCCGCAAGGATATTGCTCGCGTGCCCGAGCTGGTCGCGACCACTCTCGACCGTCTATCCACGCAAGCTGCATTGCACGCCCGTGGTGGCGCCAGAGAACCCTACATCCCCATCAGCCAGCTGCGTGACGACGTGCTACGCTCCGAATTGCGGGACAAGCGGCGCGAAGAGCTTTGGAGCCGAGTCCGCCGTGTCGTCGAACTCAATTCCAACGTGCGTGCAGCCGTCCGTGAAGGCCGCAGTGGCGATGTCGCCCGGAGCTGGGAATGGATTGGGGGTATTGGAGGGGTTGGCAGTAACGGCGCCGAACTTGACGGCAGTGCTCGCCGTGACAGTGCTCGGTTTTCGTTGCCTTCTCCGTCGGGCCATACCGACGGAGAGCATCATCACATGGCCGATAGCAAAGATGACCTATCTGCGAGTGCCAGACAGTCCCGCCGCTGGGACGAGGGCCGTCCGATCTACTGATTTCATCCCGCTTCGTCTTGGCGGGTGACCCCTTGAGCCTCCTTGCTTCCATGAAATGATGCATTGATTTTGATATCCCCTTCTTCTTTTTGAGTGTACGAGACACGACTTTGCTTCTACTCGTTTACTTCCTTATCCTTCTCTAGTACATATTCCATACACTGTCTATTCTAGCTCCATTTGAAATGTTCAATACCCATAAGCTGCCTGTCCACTTTACTACTATCTACTTTAGTAGTTTACTGAATAATGAATTATCCAAATCTATTTGCCGCAAATACATAGGCCAGACCCCTTTCTTGTCAAACCCCAGCTCCCGTCCCAACTCAGCCACCGGTCGATCTCACGACGATCGATGCGCCCAATCCTTGGCCCCCGAACCTAAATGTTTTCCAACCTCGAGCATGAGCCCGAATCCAGTTGTAAATCTGTAAATTCGTCCATCCAGAACCCTAGAAAGCCCTCATGCTTCTGCACTGCCACCTCAATCCCAAACCCTGGACCCCATCTCCAGAATGTGATGAGGCGATATGCATAGGCACGTACGCAATCCATGGATCTAAGCCAGGGATGCCCTTGTTACAACGGCTGGAAATCTTGGCCCGGCAATACCCCCATGCACTCCATGGCCTTGAGGTGCCAGGGCCAAGTGTGGGCGTTGGGATCTGTACGGACTGGGCTGAACGTTAGTGTATCCCCCCTTTTTTCCTTTCCCCTGCTTTTGATCTTCCTGGCTTGTGCTTTTCCGTATGCAGTGAAGTGTACGATGGCCAGTGGCTGTGTTTAGTTCAGACTTCTGCTGAATGCATGGAGGTTTGCTTTTTGGGAACACACTTTACTTTATGTAAGAGAAGAATGTACAAAGTAGGTGAGATCCTTGGAAAGATAGAGATACTACACTTTGTAAGGACGCGTGCTATTTAGGGTTTGGCTTAATTGCAATTTCCTTGTAGATTGTAACCTTCGATGTGTGGCGCGGTATGGAGACCAGGTCACTCGTGCAGATGCACGATGCGGGACTAGGGGAGTAGGGGAAGTTTGTTTGATGACTTGGACCACGGGTTAGATTGATTGCACTAGGGATCTGCGACTGACTGGTATCATATGTAAGTCATGAATTGCCATTCAAGACCTGCATGAATTAATCGTGAACAGGGTGTGGATGATATCTATAAAGTGCAATGCAGGGATCCAGGGATCGAGGTCAGATCTTGGAACTCGACCTGTCAGTCTCGATGGGGGTGGGGATGACAGCGCGCTAGGCCATAAAAGTCTTAATTGAAGAAGCCTTCTAGGACGGATACGGGATACGGGTATTTGAGAGCAGGGATTCGTCTTCCAGAAGGAATGCACACGGACTCTTGGCGATAGTTTCTCCAGTGTTGCAGGGGCCAACGGGCCGATCTGAGTCTAGTGTAGCTTCATAACCCGGCTATTGGGCCGGTTTGCATTGACCCAGAACAGTAAGAGCTCACAAGGGGGTTGCAAGATCTGCTCGGTACGGAGAAACAAATCACGGCTCTAGGAAACAGTTTCCTGAGATCGGCGGAGTGTCAAAGTCACGGCGCCGCACCACGGCAAGATTACTGAGATCAGTGGTTTGTGCGGTCTGTAGATTTGCTTCCCCTCTGTATTTCAGGGTTGGGCAATCAGACATGTCATATATGAATAATACTCTAGTACGGTGATTCACTGAATGTACAGGTAAGAGAGGGTCTTGAAATTGACGGAGAATGTCGCCAACGCCAAGACCATTCACAGTCATCATAGCCATATATCGTAATCTCGGTCCACTCCTGGCTGTTCGTGTGGTTTCTGAGTGTCCGGGAGCTTGCCAGGGGAATTTAGCTTGATCAAGCACGATAGAAGCTCCTACTTGGGGAGGGATCGTTGAAATCGATCTTCGCAGATGGTATTTCCAGGGATTCGAGAGAATTAAGGCTGAGAAGGGTTCATGGACAGACGTATAATCGTATACTTCTGTACCCAATAAGACGGTAGTAAATCCGTTCAAAATAGAAGCTTGTTATCAAGCCACACGAGGCTCGATCGAGTGGAAACGGTGATTGGCGTCTGCATATCCATGCACGTTAGAGGGTCTTCCCGGACGCATTTCTGTATCACGTCGCTTTCGCAACACGCACGCACTGCGTCAAGACTCCCCCACCCAAATTGCGGCGGTGGCGAATCTCGACAGCCTCATCTCGTCGTTGGTCGGTGCTCATTTGCTCGGGCCGTCAGGCTGAGGACTCCAGCCAATCGTGGCTGCCATGGCTCCAGAACAAAACGACGCCGTCACAACGCCGTCACAACGCCGTCCCCCCGCGGAACCCTTCACTGTCTCCTCATAACACGATGACCGCCATTTCGGTACGAAGCGCTCAGCAAACGGGACAGCCACAGTGGGGACCACCTCTCTCACCGGGTGGAGATTATTACTGTATTCTGACCAGAGGTTGGAGAGCGGGTGGCAAATCTCCCGAATCAGCAAGCGAATGTCCCGCGTTGCTTATGCAGATGGTTTTCTTAATCAGAGCACAGAGCCCAGGCCCTCTGGGTAGTGGCCATTTCTCTCTGTGGAATGTGAGTGCAGATCGGGGCACAGAAAGAGCCCAGGTTCATGTACGGAGTACTATACACGGTTTACTCCGTACGAAATACAAGTACTGGCCTGAAGGGGAAAACGGAAACTAACTGGCTGGGAAGAGATGCCTTACATAGGTAGCAAGAACTTGGACAACCTTGGACAGCCTTGGCCAAAGATCCGTCATAGTTGGCCAGATCCGCCAATGAGCCAATGATCAGCAACGGGAACCCTAAATCCCCGATCGAAATGGACCAATTTTGCTGCAATTTTGCTCGTGACGCCTAAATGACATGGACGTCTGTGACCTATCCTATCGCTTCACGCGGATACCATTTCCGATCCACTCGTGCCATTCGTCTGCCAAACCCCACTCTCAACCCTTATTGCTTCAAATGGATCTCGCCTCGAGGGATATGCATTTCTAGTAAAGCCTCCCCGGGATCTTAGGATCGAATTATGGCCGAGGCCCCCTTGGAATAGATAGAAACGCCCGCATCTCGAGCTTGCCGCGTTTTCCTTGACAAATGGCCTATCAGCGTATTAGCTCGGCGTTTGAACTCGGGTAGGGCAGAGGCTCCGGTGAATGACTGAGTCCCCAAACAGTATACACTGCGCCGGTAGGGTCTAACGGTCGCCAGCACTTGCGTTGACTGCAGTTTGGCTTCAGTTTGCCCGCTACGACGAGCTCGACGGAGACGGCCAACTTGTCTTTCATGGCGGGAAGGGAAAATAGATAATTTGGGCAATGATCGGTCCGTGGTGGCGCAGGAAATGAGATATCGTGTATTACACACAGCACCAGTGCATGACCGGGAAAGACATCGCTGTACCTGGCTAGTTTTCAACTGCGCAGTCTTTTTGGATTTTTATTAATTTATTTTTATGATCTTTTTTTTTTTGGGTTTTTGTTTTTCATTTCCATAATACATGGACCCCTCCCCCCCTCCTCTCTCCCGCGAGGTAGTTTAGGGGAATGCCAGCTTTGACAAAAGATCCACACTTCCGCCACACACGCAGCTCTCGATCTCTGTCTCTTCTCTCCCTATCCCGCACACCACACACGTTTCCCCCTCCTCCCGTTTTTTTTTTAAATCCAATCTCCCGTCTTCCACCTACTCTTTTGGCCGTCACGGGACAGTGCGCACCTGTGCAGAATCGTCTTTACAGTACCGGGGGCTAGTGGACAAATCAACCGTGCTTCCAAAGTCCCACCGGTTGATATGATTCGGGTGGCATAGATTATGTTTCTTTTTCTCAACGGTGGCTTGTCCTGATAGTCGGAGCCACGTCTAATTCTTTTTTTCTCTTACATTTGTTACACTCTTCCTTTCTTCCTTCCACCTTTTCCCTTCTACTCTCTCCTCCCGCGATGGGCGACGTAGGCAAGCAGTTTAGGCCGATTGCGCCTCGGACTATGCCCCCAGGCGGCGGAAGTGGGAGTCCTCAACCGCCGAATGGCGGCAATGGACACTCTGATGACGGCAGGATGAAACGGGCCTCCACGGCCTGTAAAGAGTGCCAGAAGCGTCGGACAAGGGTACCTTCACCCCCCACATTTCCCCTCACTGCTCCTCGCTATCCTTGGTTTGAGTCTAACATTCGTTTTCTCCTCCAGTGTAGCATGAATGGATCAGGACATAGCTGCACTGAATGTGAGACTCACGGTCGAGATTGTCTCTTCGATGAAACGTCCGACAGACGCCGCAAAGCGGCCGCAAAGCGAACACAGGAGGATCTCGCCAACCTGCGGGAATTCGTGGAGCAGCTTCTCCAGCTGTTCCGGGCCGGCGACAACAACACGGTCCAACACCTCATCCACCAGATTCGCTCCGGCGCCTCGCAGGAAGAAATTCGCGTCGTCGTCCTTCAATACCTTGGTCAAATCGGCCAGTTGAATCCCAATATGATGAACAACACCAACAACTTCTTTAATGATCAATAACACCGCATGTGGTATATACGTCACCTCGTCTTCGTTGCATCCCACTGGAGTGACTCTGGGTTCTTTCTTTCCCGTCATCTGTCGTCCACACGGCGGTCGTATACGCCGGGATCACATACACGAATATATCCCGTGCGGGGCACCATCCCACCTTTCGAACTGGCTTAATCGCCTGCCTGTTAGCTGTTCTTCATATTCGTCACGATCTTTCTGTCCTTTGTTCCAATTGGAACGGGGACATGTGCATTGTCCATAAAGGAGAACCACCGAGGTCGATCCGAGTAGGCTCCCCGATGCACTATGCGAAACCCCAATCTGAAAATTGTTACAAACCACTAGTCCTCGGGACTTATATATCTTTTTCCTTCCGAGCCCTAGCCCTGTACCTTCTGCTATCATCTGGCCCGAGTCACGGCGGTAACAGCTTTCTATACGCCTTCACGACAAGATACTAATGATAATTACGATGGATACGATGGATATGATGGATACCTCGACTCTTTGCTCATGGATTTAGCTTTTTGTATGGCGGTGTTATGTCTGGCATATATCCCATCTTGGTTCCTTGTTTCTTCGACTTGAGTTTCGACCGCGAAAAGCACCTCGGTGCATCTGCGTCACAAAAGCTTCGAAAGCGATTTCTACATTGGGCCGCGTGATGCCTTTTGACTTCGAGTCAATGAAGATCGACTGTGTCTAGACTTCTACGCCTCCACTATGGGTCGCGGAAGTGTTGCAAGTTACATTATCTGTTTATTGCTTTCTGAATAGCAGGAATTAAAATGAACCTGAGCTATGAAATTACGATTGACGAATACGAAAGCTTCAAGATGCGCTGCAATGAGAATCAGTCGAGGCCTCGTCAATGATGCCCCGAGAATAGAAACAGTCCCGTGTAGAAAACCAGGATTCAATCGGCCCAAGCGTACCGAACCTTGTTTTGAACCTTGCTTCGTTCCAAACTGCAAGTTCACGTCCGGTGTGACTGTATGCAGTGGCAACTGAACCCAGCAACGGGCAGGCCATCACCTCGCTTCTGCATAATTGATCACCCGATTTGAGACGAAGAGCCTATTTCTTGTATTTTGTAGGACCCGAATTACCCAAACTTCGAATCTTCAATCCATGCCGACATAGACATAGAAATCCGGGGAGAAGTGGAGAGAGGCACGGGTTGATTCCGATCGCGGGGCCTCTCCACCTCCTCCCCGGATTCTTCTCCTCTCACCTTCACTCCGGAAATTCCCATGTGCCTACTATAGCACTCGACACATGACAACTAGCGCGGGAACAGCCACGCAAGGGCCGGGCCATGCCATGCCCGACCCCGTTGATCCCGTCGACTCGCCCAGTCGCAAGCGGAAACCGTCCGGCTCTCTGCCGTATAAGAACGGCACCCGCCAGAAGATCACACGTGCCTGTGATTCTTGCAAAGAGAAAAAAACGCGCTGCACTGGTACCTTGCCCTGCACCCGGTGCACGCGACTATCGCTGCCCTGCAGATACAACGCTGCCTACTCCAGAGGTCTGCCGCCAGACCCTCTGCCGTCGGGAGATGCTGCAGGCCGTGTCTTGAAGGCTTCCCATGTATCCAACGGCTCACGTTCTCATGGCAGTGTAGCGGCTGTGACGAGTCGAGACTCTGTTGGCAGTCATGCATTTTCCGGTCGCCATTCTGTGTCTCTGCGCAACTCGCCCGAACCGGGGTCGACGGATTTCGAGGGAAATTACATTGGTCCTGCGTCTGGCGTGTCGTTTATCAATCGAGTCTGGAGTCGGCTGTATCAGGATGAAACGACGCATATTCCCAACGAAGTGCAGAATGAGTCCTCGGCGAATACGGCCGTGTTCATGTTTGGCGATAAGCCATACTCCCATCCTCAAGAGGTCGACTTTACGTTGCCTTCGTTTGACAAGGCAATGGAGCTGGTGGCCATTTACTTCGATTTCTCCATGGTGACTTATCGTTTCTTGCATCGAGGTAGTGTGGAGAAATGGGTCAAGCAGGTGTATGAGAATAATCTTTCCGTGTCGAATCTCCCCGTCGGCAATATGGTTGCTCGCGCTGCTATCGTTCTTATGATATTTGCCGTAAGCACTATTCATAATGAGGTCGACCCAGCAGGTGTAGCAAACGGAGACAGCGAAAGGTGACCACTGCCAAAGAGTATCAATGGTAATTGGCTGACACGATGATAGCGAGCGCTGGTATGCGGCTTCCAAATTCATGTCTTCCCTGGAGTCGGGTCCACCGCGACTGGAGACTATCCAAGCTCGACTGATCCAATGCTTATACCTGCTGTCATCATCAAGAGCTAATGAATGCTGGTACTCATTCGGCACTACCTTGCAGGTTGTAACCGCCCTCGGCTTGCATCGTAAATGCCCTGTCAAACTATCGAAAAAGGCCTGCTCATACTTCGAACTGGAGCTTCGCAAACGCATCTTCTGGAGTGCCTATACTCTGGACAAATATTTGAGCATCATTTTTGGCCGGCCTCGTCTACTACACGACGAGGACATTGACCAGGAACTACCAGACGAGATGAACGATGAAGACCTGCTGGAAGAAGATCCAGCACGACGAACCGGATCTACAGAGAGCATGATGATCGCATCAGTCCTCCACTACCGTCTCGGCCGCATTCTAGGCGAGATATCCCGCCAACTCTACAGCATCAACTCAATATCCCGCGACTCTCCACTAGAAACAGCCGTCCGTCTAACCTCAGATCTCGAAAAGTGGAAAGAATGCGTCCCACCTCTCTTCAACAGCGTTCGACCAACAAGCTTAATCCCACCCCTCTGCCGCCAAAGCCAAGTCCTCCAACTAGCTTACTCCCACGCTATGATCCACGTCACCCGCTCATTCCTTCTTAACGACTTCACCGATCTAAGCCGTAGACCCCGAGACCCGCACCCGATGGTCAGCGCGCACGCGCAGAAGTGCATCGGAGCCGCTGAGGACGTCTTGACTCTTGTCGATAGCCTCGCGCAGCAAACATTATTCATCCAGTCATTCTGGTTCACACACTATGTGTGTTTCTGCGCTATCCTCGTGGTCTACATCCATATCATCCAGCAACACCGCCAGTCCACAGCCCCCAGTCCTTCAACCGGGAGTCCGGCAGACGCCGACAAGTTACATTCACTCCTCACGCTCGCGGAAACGTGTCAGCAGTATCTTGCCGAGGCTACAAGAAAAAACTGTCCTAGTCGGCGGTATGGGATTATTCTCGAGGAGCTTCGGCGTGAAGTCCATAGGCAGATTGGGTCGAATGATCCGTTCACGCCTGCGATGATTAGCCCTTTGCACGATAAGGAACTGACGGGCCAGAATATGACGCCGAATGGAGTACATCAGGCGGAGTCTTTGGGTGCTCAAACCCAGAATATGGATTTCATGCCGGGTATCTTGCAAACTTCAGAGCTGGCTTCTATTAATCCCATGGAGGGTGCGGGGATCCTTGACAACCTTGAAGGCTCGATTTGGTGGGCTCAGTTGGATTCTTGGGTAGGTGTTTCTTGGGGTTTTCTTTGACAGGTTCATTGCTAATGGCTTCATAGGCGCTTTCTAGTTTTCCCAATGATCCTTCGACGTTTACTTTCTAGCGGTAGAATTGATTACCTACCTGCTTTTAATGAATATATTGGGCTTTATAGCATGTTGTACGGTGCTCTTCTGGCGACCTCGGGAGTCCTTGTCTACCTTTACATCGTCTGGGGGGTCGCGGATAATAATCCGAGTTGTTTGGTAACTGGGCACGAGTCAAGTTCAATTCCGATGCTTGGCTTTAAGTGGCGTTGGAATGCACTTCATATAGCACTTCTAGCTCAAGTACTTCCGAGCTGCCTAGGCAGTGACAGTCTTTGTAGCCCATATGAACATCGCCGGACTCATTGCTCCTTGATTTCAACGTTTGGAAGCTGAACTTTTTCTTGGAAAAACATTGACAGATTTACTCCAGACTGACCGCAGATAAGTTGGAGATTACTCCCATCGTAGTTTTGATGTTGCTGGAATAACACAGCCATTCAATAAAAACGAAGTGCAAAAATATTCCAGTGTGGTCCGGCGATCCGGATGGCAAAAATGGACTCGCGGGGAATCGAACCCCGGACCACCCCCATGCTAAGGGGGTATTATACCACTAAACCACAAGCCCATTGGATGAAAGGAAAGCGAGAAATAATGCAATACAATCCTGTAAGAATCTGCACCTGCCAACAATATACTCTCCCGCGATCTGCCTACCTAGGTATTGCAGGTTCTCATACCCAGATGGGGCATGCGTGAGAAGCCTTCGCGAAATCCGAAGTGAGGTATACTCTGTAAGGGTGCATAGGGTAACTTTCAATTTAATGTGCCCAGTCACTGGATAGTCTCCTGTAAAGCTGGTCTAAAATTGGCATGAATGCGAATGAGGCTCTGCTAAGGGCTTTGACGCGCCTACATAGGTACACACCGCATTTGTCCGAATTCTCCCAAAAATAATCAACAACTGCTGACTAACTTGGGAAAAAGCCATAACCTAGCCCCCACAGAGTGTTTCTTTTTGGTTTTGGAGCATATCATCCAAGAACAGATCATATATACGACCATAATGGCAGCGCGTAGTCTTTTTAGGAGTATTATGTCCGATGCGCCTGCAGGCGCCATGGCCACGTGACTATGATCCAAGTCGACCAAAGGATTTTGAAGTCACGTGAAAAGAATATTCATGCCTGACAAATAAGGGAACAGCTGACTAACGGAGCGACATCAACTTCTCTGCTGAAAACTGATTTCTTGCTACCTCGCAACCCAGAGCACCACTTCACTACACGCGAATTCATAGGCGCAACACCCCAAGCTCGCCTTACCCTTACTTTTTTGTGCGCTGAACTCGTTGAACGCGCGTCTTTCCCTGGTGGCGCGAAACGCCGACCTCCCACGTTCGGGCTCTTCTTCGAACATCACTTTCCTCGCCTCAACTCCCCGACATGCTTCCGTCTATTGCCCAGGACTCGCCCCTGGCGGCGGCTGTTGCCGACGTCATCAAGCCGAAATTGGTAGAAATGGGCTGGAGTACGGACGACGGCCAAGAGTCTGCTCTCATTGAATACATCGTCCTGATGCTGGTCAACGGCAAGACCCAAGAACAACTTGCGACCGAACTCTCGAACGATTTCCTAGGTCTTGAAGAGGGCGACACACAAGCGCTGGAATTCTCAAGATGGCTCTTTGGACAGGTTGAGATTCTTAACCATCAGATCAACGGTGTTTCAAGTCAACCTGCAGCAGGGCAGGCTCCTTCGTTTGGACAAGGACCTACCCAGGCGCAGGGATTTGATGGAAATGGACAAGATTCGGAGATGGGTGGCACGGCTGATTCCATGTGAGATGCCTCTTGAACTTAAATGACCTTGCAACATACTGACCTTGTCCCTTATCTACAGACCCACTGGACCCAAGTCGATGCGTAACGGAAATCAACGACAAGGTGGCCGAGGGAGAATGTTGAACCAACTCAACCGCAATATGGATCGCGCAGGCGACGCCGCTTTGCACCGTGTTAACGGACAACAAGGCCGCATCGGTGGTCGCGGTCGAGACCAGCGGGGTGGCAGACAGGGCCGCGGAGGTCGGAATATGGGCGGCATGGGGATGGGTCCCAATATGGGTAACGGCATGATGCAAATGAGCCCCGAAAACCAGATGCAGATCATGTCGATGTTGGAGGAACAGGCACGGATGATGTCTCAACTCATGCCCGGCTTTAGCTCCCCCGCTATCAATCCTTCCTTCCAGAATGGCCAGTCTGGCCGCCCGCTCGGTGACCGTGTCCAGCGTCCAGGCCGCGGTGGACGTTTCCAAAAAGGCGCGCCGAAGCAGCGCCAAGAGGGAGGCGATGTCGACATGGATACCGGAATGGGTGGAGAGCAGGACGAGAGCAACACCGACAGCGTTTGCCGTTTCAACCTCCGATGCACACGCAACGACTGCCCATTCGCCCACCAGTCGCCTGCAGCCCCCGAAGGCACCTCGATTGACCCCGCTGATGTCTGCTCCTTTGGTGCCGCTTGCAAGAACCGCAAATGTACTGGCCGTCACCCGTCACCGGCAGTCAGATCTGCACACCAGGCCGAGGAGATGTGCAAATTCTACCCTCACTGCACCAACAAGTTCTGCCACTTCAAGCACCCCAGCATGCCGCTCTGCCGCAATGGAGCCGACTGCAAGACTGAGGGATGCAAGTTCACACATGTCCAGACCGCCTGCAAGTTTAACCCCTGCATGAACCCCAGCTGCCCTTACAAGCACGCCGAGGGCCAGCGGGGTGCGTTCAATGACAAGGTCTGGACTCCCAACTCCGGCACTCATGTCAGCGAACGCAAGTTTGTCGATGGCGAGGAAGGGACGGAGGAGTTGATCAAGCCTGAGGCTAGTGCCGACGGGTCTCAGGGCCAGGAAATGACCGCTTGACTCCGCCTTAATTGACTGATGACATCAACCGATTCCGTGCTGGAGAAAGAGAGCTCCTTAGAGGAGCAATATTGTGTACAATCCGATCTGTGATGATGAAAGATTGGGGAAGGCGTTCATACTTCGATGCATTTTTGCTAGTCTTAGGATATTTTGAGTCCCATTTGTCTGTACATAGATATCCCCGGTATTCACGAAAAGAATAATGTGACGCGATCGATACCACCTCAATGATTCAAATTAATCGTAAAATCGTAGGTTGCAAGATTGTAAATTGGCCTGCAGCGTTCCCGGGGTTCGGCGCCAGCTTAAGTAAGTCGCGAAACCCCCGGCTCTGGGGACCTTCGAGACTACAGCTACAACCACCTTGGAAGCCTTGTGGCCAGACCATTGCTGAAATGCGGTTACCAGGTGTCTCGAGGGGGCTCAGACCCGGCCGCAAGCCCCTAGTTTCTATCCCCCGGTCCCATCGGCGCGCCTACAATCTCGCGGTAGTCGGCGGTGGCATCACCGGCCTCACGTCTGTGTGGCAGGCGTCACACGACCCGCAATGCACCGGCATCACGCTCTACGAGAAAGAGCCCCGACTCGGGGGATGGCTCCAGTCTGAGAAAATTCCTGTCGATGGCGGGCATGTGCTATTTGAGTATGGCCCGCGCACGCTGAGAAGCTCGTTCCCGGCTTCACTGCCTCTCATTAACATGGTAATCTCCCTCCAATTGAATATCTCGCGCCATTGAAACGATATGCTGACTTGCTTTCAAAGATCACGGAATTAGGCTTGCTTGACCAGGTCATTACGACCTCTAGAAAGAGCTCGGCGGCGAGGAACCGTTTCATCTACTATCCAGATCATCTCGTCAAAATTCCCTCCCTAGACCTATCCTCGATCACGAATAGCATCAACAGTATCACGCAATTATTTCAAACACTCCAAGCTGAACCTCTTTTTAAGAATGCATTGTCAGGCTTTCTTCTCGAACCTACCCAGCCGTCACGACCCCCTTCTGAATGGCAAGAAGATGAGTCCATCGCAAGCTTCATTTCCCGCCGATTCCATCCAAACATAGCAGAGAACTTGCTTTCTGCCGTGATGCACGGTATATATGCCGGAGATATCGATCAATTGAGTGCCCAGACCATTCTTGGCTCTCTTCGAAACTTAGACGACGTCGGCATCTTTCGAGGCATGTTCGATCGTGCTGTTCAACAAAAGACGTCTGCACTCATGGACGATTTCATTGGCTCGAGTTTGATAAGCCGGACTCAGAAGTCAGAAGAATTCTTACCTGAACGGGCAGACGTGGTACGGGCTTCTACTTTTACCCTCAAGGGAGGAACACAGCAGCTTGTCGAGGGTCTGGAGACTGCCTTAAAGAAATCAGACAAAGTCAAGATCATGACCGGCACAGATATCAAGTCCATGATCCAGCGGCAAGGCTCTGACTCAATAAGCGTAAGTGTCTTTTTTTGCCTTTACCATACCGCCGTGAATCTTACTCTCCATAGATCCAAACAGCGAAGTCCGGCACTGAAAGGTTCAACCGCGTCATTGCTGCCCTCCCTACGCCTGCTTTGTCGAAGATCTTGGAGTCAAGAACAAATCATCCCAATCAAAAGGCCCCACCTTACGACACGATCAATAAACTTCAGGCGCATAATTACGCTACCACTATCATGGTGATCAATCTTTATTACCCGAATCCCAACCTTCTACCCGTCGAAGGATTTGGTTATCTGATTCCTCGCTCCATCCCAGCCGACCAGAACCCCGAGTGCGGCCTAGGCGTGATCTTCGCTTCAGCTACCAGCACCGGCCAGAATGCTCTACACCCGGACCGCGATGAATCGCAAGATACCGCTCCTGGCACCAAATTGACCATCATGATGGGTGGCCATTATTGGGATGGATGGAAAGACAGCGACTATCCAGACCATGACTCGGCTGTGAAAATGGCTCGCGCCATGCTCCAGAGACATTTGGGCATCACAGATGCCCCCACCTTGGCGCGAAGCCGGTTGCAGAAAGATGCCGTTCCTCAGTACACTGTCGGTCATCTTGATCGCATGTATTCGTTGTCCAAAACTGTCCGCAACGACTTCAATCGCCGGCTCGTTCTCGCTGGGAACTGGTACGCCGGTATAGGTGTGGGTGACTGCGTGAGATCGGGTATTCTAGCTGCAGGACTCGGCACCGGTCGCATGACTCTGCCCGCAAAGACGGAGGATGGCCAGCCGGGTGGACCTTGGACTGAATACAATTATCGGGATTGGGATTTCGAAGGCGGCATTCCTACAGCTCCGGTCCGACTTTTCGATTATGATCTTAAGTCAACTAGAGTGCGTTGAGTTGATGGGATATACAGTAGATATTTGTAAAATAGTTGCATTCGGGACTGGAAATTTATATACTGGACGGAAAATATCGATAGACAGAGGCCCATTCCGAACTCTTGACTTCTCCGACAGGGACCTGCCCATGTGGCTCAAGGTCATGTACAATTGCTCTATCTCGATAACCGAGATTCGTGGGCGAACAGAGACTTTCCACCGTTACTCGCCTTGATCATGCGTACAGGGCGGGACATGTAAGAAAAAATTGCCGATGTTAATGGAAGCAATAGTTGCTCAATGGTGCACATGCTGATCGAGGCTGGTGGAAGCAAGCTGATGGAAGCCGAAATCAAATTCCATTTAGCCTGGTGGGTCGAGATGCATCTCTGAGATGCCACAGCCTGTCGGCGGGAGCTTGATCGGGTCTTGAAGCACATGATCAGGTCATGATGATGTGATGTGCTTAGAATTCTACTCGGCCAGGAGCATCGTATGGATGAAAAAACAAAAGCCGAAGAGTTCAGGGGTTCTCCAGTTTGTTGTTCTCCTTCTTATCGCCATTGGAGTCAAATCCAAGAGCATCCAGCTGTCGCATAAGCTCCTGGATCTTAATGACCTTCTCCAACTGCTCTGGTAGCAGGGCCTCGCCCGAGTTCTTCTTATCGCGAAGGTCCCGCGCCTGTCTCAGCTTTTTCTTCAGGTTGCGAGCCTTCTTCTCATTCTCGGCCTCGACATCCACGGGTTCTTCAGCGGGCTTCTTTTCCTCCTTAGGAGGGGCCCTCCAGTTGTCCGAGTCCGAACCTTTCTTCTCAATGGTACCGTCAAATCCCTCGGCCTCCTTGGCCTTCCTCTTGGCTTCTCTGCGTTTGGCGTTCTTGTTGCTTGCTGTGGTGCTGGGAATTTGCGTATTCTTGTCGTCTTCGCTGCTCGGGGCTTCCGCACCCGGCACCCCACCTCGTGCACCACGGTTTTTCCAGGCGGCCGCGGCGCGATTCTTGTATAGCTCCACGTCCTCCGGGGGCTTGTATCCAGGTCGTACACGAATCTCCTTGCGTTTGGAGCCATCTGCACGAACGGATGAGGGAATGTATCGTTCGCCGGTGTTGGCGTCGGTGGTGATTCCGGCCTTGGAGACGTTCGAGGCCATGTTGAATGGAGATCCGGGGGGACAAAATAGAAAGTAGTCACGAAAACAAGCCCGAAGACCCAACCCCCGTAGGAAACGCAAGAATGCAAAGTGTAAAAAGGTGACAAAGTTCAACTGGAAAAAACAACGAGGGCGGATGGCCGGACTGGTGGTGGCCAGCGGCCAATCAGCGGACCGGGAATTCCCGCAGCTTTTCGTTCCTGCGAACTTCGTCCTCGTCTCTCTTTAACCTCCGCCATCTCTTGACTTCTCCCCCCGCCTCGGTTCGCCGTTTCTAGTCGTGTCACTTCCTCACAGTCACAATGGGCGTATGTTCACCTTCTCCCTTCATTGGGGGCTTCCGATCCCCCGCACATTGGGGTTCTTGACTGACTTGTCGTCGCATCTCCAGATCTCCAACATTATCTACCAGCACGTCTCTCCGCCTTGACATGGTCGCAATTGCTTGTTTCGAGTCTAACCATAGGCTTTTGTCGCGTTTAGGTCCCTCATTCGCAGGAACGCCGTCTTCCTGACTACCATCTTCGCCGGTGCCTTCGCTTTCGAGCTGTGCGTTACATCCGGACCTCCCTTCGTGCCGTACGGAATCCCTGACTGAATATCTTGCGACCTAGGACTTTCGATACTGCCTCCAACAAGATCTGGGATACCTGGAACGCTGGTGTATGTTTCCTCGGCCCTATCCCCTGACCGCGGCGGAACCCGGAACGAACCTCGCGAATCGCTTGCTAACACGTTTATCTCTTTTACAGCGTCAATGGAAGGACATTAAGCCCCGGTACCTCGTTGCCGCTGAGGAGGAGGACGATGAGTAAAGGAACCGATACGTGATAGCTGCGGTTCAGATATACCGCGGTAAAGGGGACATGGAAAAAGCGGAGGGACCCCTGTGATTTTACTCTTGCTCTATTCCACCTGCGAACTTGTACGGATAGAACTTTGAAGTGTGTATTTGACACGATTCTTAACAATCTTGACCTGAATGTGGACGTAGCGTGGATTGCTGTGGCGTTTGGAGACCGCTCCCAAGTGCCGTCGATGTCATAGCGAAAAATGCCTTACTTGACTAGACCTACTTTCCGAGCTTTATTTCACTCTGTACATTTGTAACTCTTTATTCCCATTTCTCTGTGATCTGGTGTATAATTTTACCACTCGTCGCGTCATATTTGACGAATGCACTGTGGCTGGTTCGATCTGCTTGTCGACCTCATCGATCCACATCTCGCCTGTCTCTTCCCCCCACTACAATCTTCGGGCCTCAGAAAGCCAGGCACACTTGAAACGACCCAGTGCTAAGATTGCACTTCTCTTCGAATCAGTCGGAGTTCCATTCTCGACCACAGATCCTGTACGGTTTCGAAACACTCGCTCCGCCCGATTTAGAGCATCTCGAGTCTTGTCCACCGCACCAACGGCTTTCCGTCCTTACGTCCGTGGCAGCCGAGCGGCCCCTACCCTATACTTCCCTCCGAAGCCCAAGTCATGCCCATGCTCGCAGAATGTGAGAGAATCCTCGGTGATGGCCTTCTACGATTGCCCGCGCAGCACAACTACCGCTACAGCCCAACGGCGGAAAAGGACTTGCTAGAGCTTCTCTTCCGATCGCTGGTCGGACACAACGAAGAGCTGATACGTCACCTGTTCCCCGGTGGTGTGCCGACAGGCCCGTGGAAGCTGGCCGAAGCCCACGGCGCCCGCGAAGGTGCCGAGTATAGCGAGGCTGCGCGGGGCAAGCGATGCGGTCACATCTTCCGAGCGGGGGAAGCCACCTATCGCTGCGTGACCTGCGCTGCGGATGATACTTGCGTGCTTTGCAGCCGATGTTTCGATTCTTCAGACCATACGGGTCACCAATATCAGATTTCACTGTCCTCCGGTAACTGCGGCTGCTGTGACTGCGGTGACGAGGAGGCTTGGCGGCTACCACTTTTCTGCGCGATTCATACAGACAGTGGTCATGCCAAGGAGAAAGAGCGAGAGCAAAGACAGCTTCCGTCTGAGCTGGTATCTACGATCCGGTTAACGATCTCGCGCGTGCTGGACTATTTCTGTGATGTCATTTCTTGTTCGCCCGAGCAATTGCGTTTAGGGAAAACTGTCGAGGGAATCAAGGCAGATGAAGAAGCTTCAAGACTGCGTTCGGGTTGGTACGGTGAAGGCGACCTGGAGGAAGAAGAACCCGAGTTTGCTGTGATGCTATGGAACGATGAGAAGCACACGATCCGAGACGTGGCCCATCAGGTCACCCGTGCCTGTCGCGAACGAGACAGCTTTGGCGTTGCACGAGCACATGAGACCAACGACATCGGTCGAAGCGTGATTAGGTACTCGAAGGATCTTCAGAGACTGCTGGCAGTGTCCAAGATTATCGAGGAGATCAAGGTGACAGTCACAGTACGCTCCGCCCGCGACACATTCCGTGAACAAATGTGCGGGACAATAGTCGAGTGGCTGGCAGATATTGCTGGCTACAGTATCCTCGATGATAATGAGATCTTCAGACAAATCATTTGTGAAGAGATGCTCAGTCCTTGGAGGAAAGGAAGCGGAGCCTACAATGCCGAGATCGGCAGGAAGGGCATTGACGATCACCAGCGAGCCGATTCGCATCTTCCTGGCCGGACAGTCATGCTTACTCTGCCGCCACACGGCCAGATTATGTTAGCGACGGAAGACGATGTTGAAGATGACGATGCTGAAGAAGGCAACGAGCTGGATGAGGATGAAGACTACGTGGAAGCTCATGATGACGCCGATGACGAAGATGATGAGATGGAACTCGAGCTTGCTCGGCTTCAGGCTGAAGCTGATGGTGACGATGGTGACATGGACATGGACATGGGCCCAGACGACGAACTTGCTCTTGCTGAGCGCATTCTGGCTGATCTGACTCGTCCACCTCGACATAGTCCTCCGCCTGAAGAACCAGAAGAGCAGCTTCCTCAACAGGAGCAGTCCGATGCAACCGCATCGGGCTCCCAAAGCTACGTATCCATCCCAAGGACTCCCCACGCCGTGGTCAAACCAACCCCGGCGAGAACCGAAGGCCACTGGGAAGTGCGGCCACCTATGCCTGCCCCTGGCGAAAAGGTCGCTCCTTATGAGGACCTGTGGCAGCGTACTCGTCTCGACTGGCTGGTCCTTTTCGACCTCCGGCTGTGGAAGAAGACGCGCACTGACCTGCGGGACCTCTACATCAGCACTGTTGTCAATGTTCCACAATTTAAGCGTATCATGGGTCTCCGCTTGTCTGCATTGTACACTGCCCTTGCGCAGCTCTATCTCATTGCAGACCGAGAGCCGGACCACTCTATTGTCAACCTCTCGTTGCAACTGCTCACGACACCTTCAATCACCGAGGAAATTGTCTACCGGGGAAACTTCCTCACTAAGGTGATGTCTATTCTCTATACTTTCCTGACAACAAGGCAAGTTGGTGAACCTCAAGCCGTCAATCCAAACGCCACCTTGGCATTTGATTCTGGCTCAGTGACCAACAGACGCCTCTATCACTTCTTCCTTGACTTGCGATATCTTCTTCAGTCTGAGTATGTCCAGCACCGTGTTCGCACAGAAGAACAGTATCTGCCTCAGTTCCTGGATCTAGTCAAGTTGTCTCAGGGTATTTGTCCCAATGTGCGCGCGGTGGGTGAGCATGTCGAATATGAGACCGATGCGTGGATCAGTGCATCGATCCTTATGCGGGAGATCAACCGACTTTGCCGCCAATTCTGCGAATCGTTCCGAAACCCTGAAATCGATGACGGTCATAATCTTTTGCGGGCGATCAAGACTACCACTCTCACCGCGATTATTCACTCCACGGGTGTGGAACGCAAGCGGTTCGAGCAGGCAGAAATCAAGGAGGAAATCCGCTTTAAGACTCTGCCGCCCTTCGATTTCGAAATCGGTAGATCCGGCCAGATTCCATGCCACCGGGTGGTCGAATTTGTGGTAGAGAAGGGCTCTATCAGTTTCCACCATGCGCTCCATTATACTCTGTCATGGCTCATTGAGTGTGGACGTGGAGTGAGCAGTGGGGTGATGCGCAGTGTCCTTTTCGAAGCTGCGCAAAATGCCAGAGACGAGCTTCATACTCTCAAGATTGCTGGGAAGCCCGTCGACGAGAATCTTCTCACTCTCGGCCCCGAGGATCTTCTTCTGGCCATGTTCGATTACCCTCTGAGAGTGTGCGCCTGGCTTGCGCAGATGAAAGCCGGTATGTGGGTGCGGAATGGTCTGAGTCTTCGACATCAGATGTCCCAATACCGTGGTGTGTCTTCTCGAGACTTTGCCTACTACCGGGATATCTTCCTTCTGCAAACCGCGATGGTGACATGCGACCCTAACCGGGTTCTTGCATCGATTGCGCACCGATTTGGTATGGTCGACTGGATGTCTCGCAACTACATGCCTCGATCTGGCTATGAAGATTCCCAGATTGTTGATGTCGCCGAGGAATTCGTCCATCTGTTGGTCATTCTGTTGACAGATCGTACCTCCTTGACTGCAATTGATGATAGCACTCATCTGACCAAGGAAAACATCAGCCGTGACATCGCTCATGTCTTGTGTTTCAAGCCTCTCTCCTTCTCTGATCTCTCGACTCGCCTGAGCGACAAGCTGCTTGACTCTGATGAGTTCCAGGATGTGCTCGAGGAGGTCGCCAACTTCCGTCCCCCAGAGGGATTGAGCGACTCGGGAACCTTCGAGTTGAAGCCTGAGAATCTCGATCTGGTGGATCCTTACAGTGCACACTACACCAAGAACCAGCGAGATGAGGCAGAGAGTATCTACAGAGAATGGCAGGCCAAGAAGACCGGCAAGAAGCCGTCCGATATTGTCTATGAGCCGAAGCTTCGACCTATCAGCTCTGGTGTTTTCTCCGATCTCCCGCGCTTCACTGGCACTATGATCTTTGCTCAGATCGTCCACCAGTGCCTGGAGTACGTCGTTTCATGCCAAGAATGTACACCAAATATTCCTCCTACGCGCGTGGAAACCTTCCTGCAAGTCATTTTACACCTTATCCTGGCTGCAGTGTTGGAAGACAACTCTCAAGATGGCGACATGGAGACAGACCAGAGCCAGTCGTTCAATTTGCATGCTCTGTCCAAGTCCCGTGAGATCAAGGTGGGCAAACTGACCATTGTCGGTCTATTGGAGAGAATCTCTGTGATGAACGAGTTCTCTTCCTGTGGACCCAAGATTCGCCATATTCTCAAGCGCCTGTGGCAGAAGCGCCCGCAGACATACACCTCTGCCACTGCCACTCTTAGGTTTCCCTTCGACCGCATCGATACGAACTCTCCTGCAATCGACCTGGACGGTGAGAAGGAAACCAAGAAGAAGCAGGCCCTGGAAAGACAAGCGCGAGTGATGGCGCAGTTCCAGCAACAGCAGCAACAGTTTTTGAACAGTCAAGGCGATATCGACTGGGGCGAGGAGGACTTTAGTGACTTGGAGTCAGAGACAGAGGCTACCCTGGAAACGAAAATGTGGAAGTATCCCAGCGGAACCTGCATTCTGTGTCAAGAGGAAACCAATGACTCGAGGCTCTACGGTACTTTTGCTCTTATACAGGACAGCACCATCTTGCGACAGACCGACATCAGAGATCCCGACAGGATACGTGAAGTGCTGCGGACACCTACGAGCCTGGACAGGTCTGCTGAGGATATCCGACCGTTCGGTGTTTCTGGAGAAAACCGCACTACAATTCGCCGACTAGACTCTTCTGGAGGTGAGGTGATCAGCGAGAAGGTTGGCCTTAGCAAGGGCTTCAACCCGAAGAGCACCCAGCGCGGACCCGTAACAACTGGTTGCGGTCATATCATGCATTACTCGTGCTTTGAGGTTTATTACGGGGCGACGCAGAGACGACACACTCAACAGATTGCGCGCAACCATCCCGAGAACACATTGCTCAAGGAGTTTGTGTGTCCACTGTGTAAAGCGCTTGGAAATGCATTCCTTCCAATTACATGGAAGGGCAAGGAAGAATCCTACCCCGGTGCATTGAGCACATCGAGTTCCTTCGATGACTGGATGGGCGCAGGGCTGAAGAATACCTTGAACCAGTCACAAAATTTCCCTATTCTCATGGTCGAAAAGGATAAGGCGTATCAGCAGCCTTATTCTGACTTGTTTGTCGACTATCTCTCAAAGACCCTGGTGCCTCCGCTTGCCTCCAAGGTCGGCCAGCTGGTGAGCTCTTCAGTCACATCAGCTGCTTCCATTGCCGCGCCTCCGCATTTCATTTCCTCCTCATCGCGGATGGCAATGCCAGGCTTGTTCCCCGGTACAGAAGATATCTCGCCACCTAGTCCGTTACAGCAAGTCTCAAGTCCATCGGACAGCCCTATGACTGAGCTTCTGCAGATATATAGGCGTCTGAAGAAGACAATCAAGATGAACCACATCCAATCGATCTTCAACAACCCTCCCGAAACAATCAACAATGATGACCTGGTGCATACTGATTCTCTGATCCGAAGCTTTGGCTTCAGTATCGCTGCTGTGGAGATTGCTCAACGTGGGGTTGAGTCAGAACCAGGCTTAACTTTGCTGGACAAGATTCCGCCTCTGACATTGACGCATCTGCGTGTCTTGTCGGAGACAGCCCTGACCTATGCTGCAGTGGGTTGTGTTCATTCCGGCGGAGGCACCAAGAGCCTCCCGACACACGAGTTCCAGGAAATGCACCGTCAGAAAATCTGCCAGTTGCTTTGCGGGCATCCTTGCCTGAGCGGCACCCCGTTGTTGAACGATGTTAGGAACATCGAACCTCTACTGGCCATGGATACGTTTGTTTTCCTGGCTGAGTGCTCGCTGTCATTGCTTCCAGTTCTCCATATCGATATGCGCCATCTGATTCAAATGTGCTACGTTGCTGAGATCGTCAAGGTTGCTGTGACCTTTATCCTGTGGCCTTTGGGACTGAAAGAGGAACTTGCCCAACAAGGGGAGGCAGATCTTGCAGGTTCCGAGGTTTTCAACGAGCGATACAGTGCTACACGACACTTCTTCGACTCGATTGTCGCTGAGCTCAAGGCAAACTCTGTTGGACGCGCCGAGGGCTCCTCGTTCCCTGCCGAGAGCGGCTATGTGAAGGATGGAGAAGAGTCTGCTACTTCAGCCGTCATCATTGCCCTTCATCGCCTTATTTCAAGCTACGCTCTTACATTCCTGCGCAAGGCCGTGATCCTCCTTCACGTCCAGCATGGCGTCGACTTCCCGCATTTGGGTTTCGCTGATGTAGGCGCATCGGAGCTCGACAGACTCACCAAGGCCCTGCATCTGCCTTCAATTGATGAGTTTTTCATGACTATTAACCCTGCGCGCAAGAGCAATAGCCCCTTCGACGCGGTCATCTCGGGATGGATCTTCCACTGGAACGCCTCGCGCTCCGGCATCCGATTCGAGGACCACCGACTTTGGCCCAGTCTTCCACACCCAGCAATCTTCGAGCTTGTTGGTCTGCCCAAATACTTCGACAGCCTGATCGAAGAAGCGAACCGACGCCGCTGCCCCAACTCAAAGAAGGAGCTCAGTGACCCGAGTATCTGTCTTTTCTGCGGAGAGATATTCTGCTCACAGGCAGTATGCTGCATGCACAACAAGCTGGGTGGCTGCAACCAGCATCTCCAAAAGTAATTTCCCTACATCCTTACAATCTGTCTAAGGTAACTAACAGTCTTTTCTACTGAAGGTGCGGCAAGAACATTGGGCTCTTCATCAACATCCGCAAGTGCACTGTGCTCTACCTTCACAACCACAACGGCTCCTGGCACTGGGCCCCCTACCTCGACCGCCACGGCGAAGTCGACCCCGGCCTTCGCCGCAACCGCCAACTAATCCTGAATCAGAAGCGCTACGATCGCCTGCTGCGCGATGTATGGCTGTCGCACGCCGTCCCAGCAACGATCAGCCGCAAGCTGGAATCAGAGATCAACAACGGCGGATGGGAAACGATTTAATGAACGACCTATCGATGAAAATGCGTTACGCGCTCGCTGCGCTAGAATTATGATGTTTGTGCGGGCGAATTCGGCATGCTGGGCTTTAGGTCATTACCTTCCAGTTTTTTTGACCGCTTCTCTCCTGTATTTTTGTATATGAGATTGTTTGTTCGTAAACTGGGGGTTTATGATAATATGATGTTTCGTTCTCGTTTATTGTCTGCTTGTTTGACGGCTATAGACCCTTTTGAATGTTTTCGATCCGAGTTGTATACGAGACTTGTTGGGTTGGATACGAGGCTGTAGGCTGTAACATCCATGAGTGCTGCCACGATAGCCAAAACCATAAAATAAAAATCTTCTATCATTATTGTCATTGTACTTTTTTTGCAGATTGCCTTGACTCTTTTAGGTCTACCCAAGGCCTCACCGATACTCCCTCGCAACCTTATCCGGTGCCAAGCCGGACCCTTCTCCATCTTCAAATTAACGACGCGCTGTTCCTGAACCGCCATCAGCAACCATGAACAACGAGCAGTTTCGGCGGCTGCTAGACAACTCGTCAGGCTCCGAGAAATCATCTACGCCAGCCCGCAATGCAGCAGCCGGCGGCGCGGACGCGGGCGCAGGCGGGCTTTTGGGCTCGCGAATGCGCTCCAGCATCCCGATGACTCCGTATGTCTTTCCCGCCCGACATCGCTCCTCTACTAACCTTCTCTGTCCTCAAATTATAGGCGCTCTGTATCTGGAGTCGATTTCGCCCGCCAACTCGCCGAACAGCGCCGTGAGGGCGACCAGCGACCAAGCAAACGATTCAAGTCCTCCGCCGCGCCCAAGGGAAGCAAACTGCCAACCGGATACCAAGACCGAGCACAACTACGCAATATACAGGGAGAAGAAAAAAGCGAAAATGATCTCGAGAAACGGATCAAAGCGTTAGAGGAGATGGTGAAACTGGGGCAAATCGACCAGGCGACATTCGACAAGCTGCAGGCCGAGCTCGGCGTCGGTGGTGACGTCGGTAGTACACATATGGTGAAGGGCCTGGACTGGAAACTCTTACAACGAGTCAAAGCTGGCGAAGATGTGTCGCATGCGCCGGAGAAACTGGAACCCGAGCCAACAGAAAAGCCCGTACGGGAAGAGGATGCGGAGGAGGAGTTTGAGCGCTTGATGGATGCAAAGGGCCAGGAAGAAGATGTTTCTGCGCCGAAGAAGCAGAAGGAGAAAAAGAAAGGAACTATGGCACCACCTCCGCCACGCAAGAAGACCAGAGATGAGATTCTCAAGGAGTTGAGGGCTAGCCGGGCTGCGGCAGCGCCGCCGCCGCCGCCGGAGCCGACATTGGGCTCGAGGTTTAAAAAGGTTGGAGATGGCAAGCCGGAAAAGACGCGTTTCGTGGAGATTGACGGCCCTACTGGTCGCCGGCGAGAGGTCCTAGTCATCACTGATGCCGAGGGTAATACGAAACGCAAGGTTCGGTGGATTGATAAGCCCACCGATTCGACGGGATCCGCTACTGCGCTCCCCATGCCAGACAAGGCTGCGAAACCTCTGGGTATGGAAGTTCCCGCCGAGATCGCTGCCCGGGAAGCTGCCAACGTCCCTCAGGAAGAGGATGATGATATCTTTGCCGGGGTTGGCGCAGACTACGACCCGCTTGCTGGCATAGTGGACGACGCAACTTCATCCGATGAAGAAGGCAAGACGGAGAAAGCTGCAGAGAAGAAGAAAGAGCCTTCCCAGGAAGAACAGAAACAACCGGAAGAAGCGGCTCCCAAGCCACGTAACTACTTCGGCACCACGTCTACTGCTCCCGAGTCCCAGTCAGAGGATCGCTCTAACCCTCTCATGAAAGACCCGACTATCATGGCCGCTCTCAAGCGAGCAGCCGCTCTCCGGCAAAGCTCTCCCTCCGCCGCAGAAGGCGAGTCCCCGGAGGCGTCTCTCCGACAGAAGAAGTTCCTTGAGGAAGCTCGACGGCGCGATGCCATGGATGCTGCAGATCTGGACATGGGCTTCGGAGGTAGCCGACTCGAAGATGATGAGGATGAGGACACTGTCCTACATGACTTTGACGAAGACGAACGCGGCGGGAAAAAGCGCAAGCGTGGACCCAAGAAGAGGAAAGGTGACAAGGACAGCGTTAATGATGTGATGCGTGTACTTGAGGGACGGAAGAAGGACGAGTAGGCCCATACAAGGGTCTCGGTGCATTTCATCTCGTGTAGTCGAGCTATTGTATACCCCATATGACATTCATTTCCTCTTGACTTCTGTGCACCCGTTGGTACCTACTTTGAAATACGTATATTGTCTTGACTGGTGACTTTTATACAGCCAATATTCTAAACATGAGTTCGCTTCTCGTTTGCCAGAAACATAAGTACCTGTTGATTTCTCCCAACCCCAATGCTGTGCTTACTACCTTGACAATACCGTGTTTCCTACGTTGGCTGTCACAGGATGCTCTTGTATCCCACCCAGAACCACCTGTGGTCCGTGCGCATATCAAGTTGCTCGACCACACTTCGACGTCAACTTCAATTCCGTCCCAACGCTCCACCCAAATGAGCCTCCGATGGCCGCGGAAGCCCTTTAACACATACGTATTTTCCCTAGATTTATGCGCCAGGTTTTCTGCATCGGCTCGAACAGCCATGACGGGAGCTAAACGCAACACGCCTAAACAACAGGCCCGACACCACCGACCAGAGAAGCGTCCGCCCCTAACGCATTTTCTATGTCTCCCACTAGTCAACTCTACCTCTCTGCCCCAATTGGAGTCATCGATTGCAACATTCAGGGCGGAATGTCCACCAGTACCAGTCGCAGATTTGCCAGATGCCTCAAAGAAGCAGGATGCTTCGCGCGCGATCATTCCGGAAGGCGCCGTGCGTCCGTTAGGCACGTTGCATCTCACTCTTGGAGCCATGAGCCTCTCCACAAAGGAGCGGCTCGAAGAGGCACTCCGATTCTTTCAATCGCTTGATCTTGCCGGCCTAATGCGCGAAGCGGAGCGGGTGGCCATGGAGTTGCGTGAAAAGGACAAGTCTCGCGCCCGCTCATCTGCCACGGATAAACACCCAGGAGATATTGAATCCCAAGAATCTGTACCCGAGACAGCGCGGGCTTCCAATACCCTTAGCGTTTCTCTCGAGTCGTTACATTGCCTACCACGGGCAAAAGCCGCGACTGTTCTGCACGCCTCCCCCATAGATCCCACTGGTCGATTATATCCATTCTGTCTGATGCTGCGGGACAAATTTCTCGAGGCTGGCTTTCTACAGGGCGAAAGCAAAGACAAGCAAAAGGATGATATGGAAGACGCTCAAGATAAACAACCTCCCCCCGAGTCTGAAGCCGGTCCTAAATCATTGGACCCCTACACAGCCGCTCTCACCCGCAAACCAAAGCCACGTCCTCTACTTTTGCATGCAACCGTCGTGAACACAATTTACGCCCGGGGACGACCAAAGCATCGGACCGACGCTATAAGTCCTAAGAAAGAAAAGAATAAATCGAGACGTCTTGAACTCGATGCTCGAGATCTACTAGCTCGCTACCGGGATTACTACGCCGATGAAGCGCGGACGATACCTCGAGCAGGTTTTAACTCCACACGCTCCGATAGCACGCAAGTCGCAGAGAATGAGGTCACCCGTGGCGAGACGGGATCTGCAATGTCACCTCAGTATCCGTTCGTCTGGGCGAAAGATGTACAAATTGACACGGTGTGTATCTGTGAAATGGGCGCAAAGAAACTCAGTCTCGACTCTGATCATGCAGCCTTGAATGCGCGGTTAGGCGAGAAATATACTGTCATTGCAGAACGGAGTCTTGAGGCACCGCAGAGTTCCATATTGGCCCGGCCAGGGAGCGCGGGAGGTGATGGAGGGGTGAAGCTGAGCTAGATACTTCAAGGTGTATCATATTGGCCGAATGTATTACCATATACCCGTGTGCGGATAGAATATCATTTGTATTATTCATTGCTGTTGCTTACTCTCCAGACTGCGGTGCGTTTCTCAAGCCAGCTTGAGCGTGCCAAACACCGTTTGATCCAAGCTTGGATCCGGATCGTCTGTCAAATCCAGATATCGGAAGTGGACAGAGATCGTCCAGTGTGGATGAGCATCTTCGTCGTCCCTTGACCTCAAATAAATCACCTCACTCGACTCATAATCGTCTCCATACCACGTTCAACAGACAACTCAGCAGCCTTAGCCTTGATAGAGCTAATCATGCTGCGCTCAAAGTCATCGCGGGTACGCAGCACAGCCTCCACCCACGACAGTTGCAGATCCCAGTACTCGAGCTTGAAAGCCTCGTACACGCTAACAATAGGCTGACCCTTCTCGGCTTCAAGCAAACGGACAAGCCAATCGACCAAACGCCACTTCTGCTTGATGGTTCCTTCGAAGGAATACTCGTATTTCTGGAAGAAGGCGAAGACAGTGAGGACGTCATCTTTGAACTTGTCCGTGAAGGGGTCGACGTGGCGGCGGAACTTGACGCCCCTGTTGCGGACAGATGAGAGGTATCGCACGAGCAACTCGTCTGAAAGCTCTTCGACCAGGATATCGACGAGGGATGGGTGGAGCACCGGTGTGTAGTCGGCCATGTAGTCCTCGAAAGTGGAGGTGATTCGCTTGACGGCGTATTCGCCATACCATTTAGTCGTAAACAGGTCTGGAATGACAGTCGCGAGATCCACGCTGAACACCACGGACACGAACTGTGCCAGGCAGTGCGTGCTCAAATCAACGTAGCCATCGCGCAGTGCATCCAGCTCGGCGGTTGCCCGCATCGCCATATATTTGGGTGTCACGAGCGGCTCGATGTCATTCTTAAACCTTGTCAGGTAACCCATTTGGCCGGTTTCTTCGTTGTCGTCGATGCAAGCAATCTGATCGTTGGCTACTCCTATCAACCAGTCCTGCAGTAGCTGCACACCCTCGGCCTGCTCGCTACCCGGTGCCTTGTGCTTGGTGCATTCTTCGTCGATGACGGCCAGCCATGCGCTCAGTCGGGTCTTCAATGCCCGGAACATGGCATCCATGACGCCTTCGACGACGTCGGCTCTTTCAGATGCACCTGAGGCCACGACCTGCTCGTGGAGCATCCGCCACATGTCCGCAAGAGTCTTGGTGCGGAAGTATCCATCTGTGTTGGTATCCAGGGAGTCTGGTTGCCGTTCCATAAGGCCTCGCTTGTCTGCCTCGAAAATACGGGCCATCCACTCCTCCACCGCGTTGATAATGACACTCTGCCACTGGCGCACCAGCTCGGGCTCACGGTCATCCAGAAGGTTGGGATGAAGTTCGGCCGGTGTCCAGCCCAGCTTTTTCATCTTCTTGTAGTACTTGTCGCTCCAGTGAATGATCTTCAGCAAGTTGTCGGCTGGGATCTCAGGGTCATCAATCATGGCCACGAGGAAATCATGCATCATTCGATGATACATATCGGTGTATAACTTGTAGATCTTCCATTTCTTCGGGACCAGGTTCTGCATGCCCTGTTTGACCGTGAAAAGATCATTGAAGTACCACCGGAAACTCTTCTCCAGATGGTCCGGGTCCCCGAAAAATTCCTCCTTGGTTTTCTCGAACTGGTTTGACGCGTAGAACTCTATTGCCTGAACGAACTTGTCCTTATACCCGCGAACAGTCTTCGGGCCAATGTTCATTGACTTGAAACGACTTGCCAAGTCTCTGTGGTCTTTTTGGGCTTCTTGCAAGGCCTTCACTGTATCATCGTTCTTCTCTTCATTCGCAACCACCACTGCAAGTCGAACAACCATACTCTTGTTGTCCTCCTGGACCAGTGGTATCAGGTTCATACAGGCTGTACCGAGGTGATCATCAAACCAGTCGATCACAGAGTCTAACCCTTGAAAGTACTCCGTCAAAGTCTCCTCGGCACTTGCATCATTTGTCTTGCGGATCTGATCCATCGCCTCGTCGCGGAAGTCTCGCAACCGTGAGATCTGCATATGAGCCCGGAGTAGATTCGGTTGATTTTCAAGATCGTCATCGTCTTCCCTCAGCAGATCCTCCACCTCTTGTATATCGGCGCCAAAGCTCTCCAGCCCCTTCTTCATCAACAAGGTGGCATCAAAGTGCCGTTGAATCCGGGCAAGTTTGTCGATCTGCGCAAAGTCCTCCACGCTGCCTTGGGACTCGGCGCACAACTTGTCGATCCCGGACAATTCATCCCTTGCTTTCGAGACTTGTCGCTGCCCTTCTGTCAGGATGCCTATGCTGCGCTGCACTGCCTCCAGTTGGTCCCGCAGGCCTTCTCGCAGTCGTGAATCAACGGCGCCTTTCTTTCGTAGATATTCGGCCTTGAGACCATTGATCTTGTCCAGGTCTTCGGGATGACGCAGGATATCCTCCAAGCGGGGCATGGCCACCGTGCTATCGGAGTTGGCGGCTTGAGCCATAGTGAAAGTACGTTGTCGGTCAAGGAAGGGTAAGGTATCTCGTCGCGGTCAATTCGGAAGCGCCTAATCTAGCTCCACTGGTGAATGCTAGGGCGTGTCAGCAGTGCGAGCATGTGACGGAAGGCCCGGGGTATTATTGTGCAAGAGTCGTACTCGAATTTGCACAGTCACGCCCAGACACGCCTCATTAGGTAGACGGTGTCTGTACAGGGCGTCCCGCGTTCCAGAGCTGCGGAGCTGACCCCGGGGACGCGGCAGAATGCGCACGTGACCTACCGCCTGAGATTTTGCGAAATCGCGCCCAACATCGACTGTGAAGACACTCATTGAAGCAGCACAGCGCAGAACCCCCAATCTCTCTCCGAGAGGAATTCTGCATTCACCACATCACCTATTCCTGCATCCAATTGTTGTCCCGAGCAACCACCAAACATTCGACTCGAGCGGCCCATCAATCCCGACCAGTCCTCAACACCAGCGGCCGTGAAAGACCTCAACATCTCCAATCCACGAATTAGCCGGCCGTTAACTCGACCTGCACTTAATCAAAATGAGTTTGACATACTTCCGCATCACCCTCCTCCGCTCCGCCATCGGCCTTCCGCGCCGCTCAACAGACGTCCTCAAGGCTCTCGGCCTCAAAAAGCGTATGGCCACAGTCTTCCACCCTGTGTCTCCGTCCGTGGCCGGTCAGATCATGCGAGTCAAGGAGCTTGTCTCGGTCCAGGAGGTCGACCAGGCTCTCACCAAGCAGCAGGTGCACCTCGAGCGGAAACCTGATCCCGGCTATTACGTTGAAAAGAGCAGTGTTCAAGAACGGGGGGAGATGCTTGGTCAGTAATGGGGAGTTCTTTGATGATTGAGGGATACTTTGGGGCATTGGATTGAATGCTAGGGCATTGCTTCCCCTATAGGTTCATCGGGGTTAGTGCTCTTCCGAGACCAAGTTTCTTGATGGTGCATGAAGGGCCGTGCAGCCTTTTCTTTTCTTTTTCTTTTTTGCTGTGATATTATTGCATGGAGCGGGCTTCTTTTCATGTCATGTACTCTACGTCCCTATTTTTTTCAACTACTGTACTATACCGGACGTCATTCCACAATCAGACAATTTTACTTGAAACAAAAAATATATGCAATTTGAATTAAACGCTGGATAGCAATCGCGTCAATCGTTTTCGAAATCGACCTGCGCAGCCTAAGGACTGGTTAAGGATATCTGGGAAAGCAATGGCCGGTGATGTACAGTGAAAGGAAAGAAGCTCCACTCGTGCTTTACGCTTTGTACAGCGTGTCAAGGAAGCCCTCTGCCAGACGGCTCACAATGCTCTTATCAGGTATGCTTCCAGCAACACCGTAGAGGGCGGAGGTCTCGCCACGTTTCAAGATGTAAGCCTTGCCTTGCTGGCGGCGTTCCTCGGCCTTCTCCAGCTCTTTCTCAATGACTTCGACCACGTCTGCGATGAGGTGGTCGACGGCTTTTGCCGTGGGAATGGTGAAAGCACAGTGCAGGGCAGCTGGGGACTGCAGGGCGTTGAGGTGCCAGCCCTTCGCGGAGAGATCGTCGGCGATGTCGTAGGTATCAATAGCGCCGTTCTTGCTGCGGAAGGCGACCACGCTGACCATAGGGTTACCCACGACCTCCATGTGAAGCGAGATTATGGGATGTCCACGGACAGCAGAGTCGAACTTGCGCGCGGCATTGATGATCTCCGTGCAGCTGTTGATGTATCCCGTCTCACCAACGCTCATCAAGCTAGCCCAGCAGCCAGCAATCAGCGCACCGGGGCGAGAACCGGCTACGGAAGGCGAGGCGTAGACGCCGCCCGACCAGTCAGGGTAGATGAAGTACTGGTTACTGCGATAGGCCTTGTTCCGATACAGAACAACGGAGTTGCCCTTGGGCGCAAATCCGTACTTGTGAGTATCCACACTGATACTGGTGACACCGGGCTGGCGGAAGTCGAAGCCACCCTCTTCTTCGTAAGGTGAGGGGAAGCCAGCCTTCTTAAGAAGAGCAATAACGAAAGAGCCCAAGCAACAATCCACGTGAAGAGGGATCTTGTACTTGGTTGCAAGGTGCGACAGAGCGGGAATATCATCGACGATACCATGGGGGAAGTTGGGTGCTGAGCCCACAAGGAGAACAGTGTTGGGGTTTATCAAACGTCGCACAGCGTGGACGTCAACCTTGAACTCGGGTTCAGGGCAAGGGACGCGATGCAGCTTAATCTTGAAGTAGTTGCAGGCCTTGATGAAGGCTGCGTGTGCGGTATCCGGAATGATCCTGCATATTGTCAGCAACTACATATCACTAACATCCAGAGAAAAGCCGAGCTCACATTTCCGGCTCCGTGATCCCTCGCTCCAAGAGGCCCTTTTGCCGGGCCGCCAAGCAGGCCATGAGGATAGATTCCGTGCCACCACCGGTGGTGACACCAGCGCCATCCGAGGGAGCATTGAACAGAGACAAGACCTGCAAAAATTAGCTATCCGTCCCCAACGGTGTCGCGCAGTATATAGAGCACAAAGAACATACCATAGCAACCACCTCGGCCTCCATCTTGCGAACGCCAGGGAAAACATCTGGGTGAATCGGGTTGGCAACGCCAAATTGGCCAAATGCATCTGCCTGGAGTTTCAAGAGGTCCTTGCCACCATGATACACCGCACCACTCACGCGTCCATCTTCCCAGCGTGTATGTTCCAAGCCAGCCAACTTAGTGAGCTCCTCACGAATCTGATCCGCAGACCAGCCATCCTTAGGCAGCGTGAGATACCGAGTAACATCCGGACCTCTCTGTACAAGCTTCGATTCAAGGTTCTCAATAGCTGTAGAGACCTGCTTATCGACTTGGCCTCGGACGCCGGGGGTGCGTAGGAAGATAGAGTAACAGAACAGGCGAACAGCGATGTAAGCGTTGCGGATGCTTCCTAAAAGGCCGTAGCCACGAAGCGAATAGAATGTCTTGCGCGTGTAGCGGAAAAGGAAGAGTATAAATACGATGTTGCGGATGCTGTGGTGGTTCCGGTCAGCGATGACGATGGACGTTTCGCGGGGGAGGCGCGGTCTACTCACAGGTCCAGATTGACGGCAGATAAATGCGCGCTGGACGCCCGGCCGTACCCCAGCAGCTTATTCTGCAGGGCGACAGGGAGAGTCGTGGAACCCATTGTGTCCCTATGGATAGAGGTATGTAATGATGGGAGAGCTTGTCGCCGATCGGGAAAGTGGACGTTAAGTACCGTCGGTTCCGCCCGCGGATCCCGGACTGTCTTAGCGCCTGCCGAGGCTGCCACATGAAGAACCCTAGCACTTGTATTGGACAATTCTTGACTTCGTACACTTCCATCTTCCAATTTAGCTACTTGGAGGTTATTGTCCAGAGTATACCATGCATTCTACGCGGAAAGATAGTCATTTGAATGCTTGAATTGTTGCAGCCGAGTGGGCTTCGCTTATATACATGGAGAGATCGCTCTCCGAACACCGGTCCAGACCTTCCTTTTCGGTATTCATAAAAAACAAGAACGACTTTTGGAATCCAGAAGAAAAAAAGAAAAAAGTCCCAAACACATAAATCACATCAAATCATCAGAGATTCCACCGCATCCGGACTTTATAATGAATGCGGAAATGGTCTGGCGAAAAGCACGCTATTTAACACAGGATATATGATGTCGCTTAAAGGGCAACACCGTTGGCCTGAGCCTCAGCGGCAAGCTCCTTTTCCTTGGCGGCGAACTGGGCCTGCTCCTCGGGGTTCAGGTCCATTAGAGGCTTGTTCTCACCGGACTTCAGGTTGCGGTGATAGGCGCGGATGACGGAGTCGGCGTCATCGACGGCGATGGGACGAATGTCAGCAAGAGCCTTGATCTTGGCGGTGCACTCCTTGCACTGAGTGTCAGTAAGATCGATCTTGAGCTGCTGAGCACGCGACTTAATGGCGTTCCAGCCGGTCAGACGAGAGGCGAAATGGACGTAGCGGGTCATGCCGAAGTCGGCAGGATTGATGATCTCATAGGTGCTGGGGTTGTTAAGGATAGCCTTGGCGTGGATACCGGCCTTGTGGGTAAAGGCACAGAAACCGGTGATGTAGTTGTTGAAGGGAATGTTGACCTGGACGGCCTCGGCGACGAGGTCCTCGATGTCCTTGATCTTCTCCAGCTTATACTTGCTCTTAACGTACTCGGGGTCGGCGACCATCATGCGGGCCATCAGACCACCGAGAGGAGTGATACCGTTGCGCTCACCGATACCGAGGACGGATGTATCAATGTGGGTGGCACCAGCCTCGAGGGCACAGTAAGCGTTGGCGATGGCGCAGCCAGTGTCGTTATGGAAGTGAGTCTCAATATCACAGCCAACAACACCACGGAGCACACGGACGAGTTCGTAGACCTGGCGGGGGGAGGCACAGCCGACAGTGTCCGCAATACCGACACGCTGAACACCGACCTTATCGACGGCGGAGTAGATGGACAGAAGGTCTACCAGGTCGGAACGGAAAGAGTCCTCGCTGGAGAAACGGATCTCAATACCCTTGGACTTGACGAACTGGATAACTTCAATGGCGGCGTTCTTGATGTAGGTCATGTCCTTGCCGTGAGAGTGCTCACGGAGGTAGGAGGAAGTGCCAATAACGACATCGCTAGAAATCGGGTCAGAAATAATTCAACAAGTCTCAAACAATGTGAATAACTCACACTCCGTCAACACCAGTCTCGACTGCCACGCGGGCATCATCCATGTGACAGCGAATGTGAGTGAGAATCTAAGCACAATTAAACTCCAGCTCAACCAAATGGTCACAATTTGCCTCATGGTCCAAAACGTACCTTGGCCTTCAGACCAAGCTTGCAGATAGCCTCGCAGTCAGCACGGGACTGCTCGGAAGCGCAGGGGCTGGTGAGCTCGATCTATCGCAGTACCCACGGTTAGACTTCGTCTCTTTATGATGTTATCCAAAAGGTTGTCAATGACTCACGTAGTCAACACCGAAATCATCGAGAGCCCTGGCAATCTCAATCTTCTTCTCGGTGTCAAAGAAGGCGTTGGCGAATTGCTCACCCTCACGCAGAGTGCTCTCGATGATCTGGAAGCGGGAGACATTGCTCAAGAAGTCGGTAACACCGACGTTGTGGCCATAAGGATTGCGGGAGGGGGCGGGGTGAGGGTTCTGGCGGGTTTCGATGCCAGTGAAGCCCGGGTGGTCACCTAGAGTTCCTGGCGTTAGCACGGCGAGTTCGATGTCCAAGTCTGCTGGATCAGTCTCTTACCATTGGTACCGTTGGCACCGTTGGCTTGCCCATTGAGCTCGGGGTCGGCACCGGGACACATTGTGTGCGTAGATAGTGGGGTGGAGGGGTCAAGGAGTGCGCGGGTGGACGGGAGTGACGATAGCAGTCAAAGGGATGCAAAAGTAAGGTAAAGTGACCAAGTACAAGACCGAGTCAGTTCAGCGATGATATTTATGTGCTGAGGAGAAAGGAAGTAAGAGTCATAGTGGAGTGGGCGGTGTGGTTCTTCTGCGTAGTAATCGGCACTCTTTCGCTCGGCGGCAAAAAGCGAAATTTTTCACCTGGGGGTGGGGAGCGCCGGGTTCGCTCACTGGATATCTGGTCCGTGGTATGTGCAGCTGAATCCAAATCTGTACTTTCTCCCCGGTATGACTCAAAGGGATCTACTATGGCTGATCTACTACGCCCTATGCATCAATTGCCCATGAATGTGGTGAGGAATGGCGGGTTGCCGACTCGATCCTACATTCTGCCCTTGGGTGCATTTTGAGGGGAACCGACATCGGCCTGCGGGGCCGGACTCAGTAACTTTTTTTTTTTTTGCCTGCGGGAGTGGATTTTGCCGATGACCTGGTCCAAGAATCTGAAATTGGTCATACTACACGTACCACTTAATCAACAATTAAGATAAGGTAGTTACCGTAGACGTAGGAACTGTCGATTTCCAGGGATGCCCTGATGCCCTTACATTGGATAATGTCGTCATCCCCATTTGCCCCACGCCGGTTGGCTGGCGCTAAACGTAGGTGATGGATTCACCCGACTTTCGTGAGACCGTGTCGATCATATGCGATTGTATCTTACCGATGAAATGTTACCTGGGCTAGTACCGACAATGAAGCTATGCAAGAATTTGAAGAACCATCGCTCTCCAAGCACAGAATGTTATGAATTAAGTACTCGTAGGACTCGAGTACTTTCTTCGGCCAAGGCGCAGCTTCTCCCTAGGATGAGAATGTGGAGGACAAGATTTCCTACACATGTATTCCGATAGCTCTGAGTGCCACTGTGATGTCGACTTGGTCTACCGCGAGCTAGTTCTAGGTCTTGTAGTTCGATCAGTGTGGCACAGCATTATGGCCATTGTGATTGGAAAGGCTGAACTGAAGCGATAGCTTGTCCTAGTGAGTATCCCTGGACGTATCTCAGCGACTGGTATTTTCAATATCTGTTAAATAGAGGATTCATGAGGAAAACCTCGACCGAAGAGATGACCTTTTTCTTGTATATACTCGAAAACTCGCCCATTGTTTGCTGACTAAAAATAATCAGGAAACCCTTTCCTTTTGGCTTTTAAGTCAACGCTTCCCCGGAATTTAAAGTCACGGATGATGCTGTTTCCACCCAATTAACGCCAGAGATGGGACAGAATTCATCGCCATAAAGTCAAAATCTCTAAGGATAGATCGTTTTATGTTTCAATTGAAGTAGTACGGGAAAGTATATGTTCCCATGGACTCCCCGTGACACTCCGTGGTAGGCTGTTCGATGGTTGAAACTTGGTGCAGGAGGCTCTGAAGCTCGTCGTAACTTTCCGGTGAGAACGGCTGGGAGTTCATGAAGCTAGAAGAGTGATATCCTAAAGAATAATGGCTAGACGTGGTAGGAACACTCGTCACAACATCTTGCCGCTTTCTCTTTGGATCCTGTTGCAACGTCGACGCCGACGGAGGATCAAAGTTGCGGTAGTGGTGTATGGGAAGGTCCTGCGTGATGTTCTGTGTCGGACTAGGGGAGGTAGAATGAGAGTTGGGGGGATTCGCGCGGGGCGCAAAGACAGCCTGGTGTCCGTCCCCATCTAGAATATGTCTGCTCTGGATGCACACCGTTTCGGTTATCTGCCCTTTCTCTTGGCTGAGTGCCTCAGTTTGGGTCCTCTTTCGGCTACTTTTCCCATGACTGCTTGAGATCCCGATTGCGTCAGGTAGATTCGCTCGAGAAATGGCCACCACGGCCTTGCCATCTGCGGCCAGTAAGTTGTTATGGCCAACGCGATAGTTTGCTTGAGCACGGCGCACGTACCGGTGATCCCCTCTAAAAACTTTTCTTCTTCCTCTCGGACCTGATATAGTTCGTCCAGTATTTGTAATCGCTCGGGTGGGGAGATTTGGCAACGGATCGGCTCATCTGCTTCTTTCAGTCTCCGGGCGGAGATGCCATAGCTAGTGCGTAGCTCGCAGAGGATATGAACTAGGAGTTTAACGCGTTCTTTTGAGCTTGTCAGGAAACACCTGGGGTACTGAAAGGAAAAGAGGTATAGCCTTACCGGCTTTGAGGAGATGGTCTGGTTCTCGGTGGCTCACTTCAGACGGCCACCACGGCGGCTTGGTCTCGCCGGGGTCCAACATTTGAGTTTCACCAGCGACGACCTTCCGCCCGTTGTAAGGATAACTCAGCTGCTTGCGTGGCTCCACGAGTTTGATGTAGGCTTTTGCCAGGACTCGGCAGTTCGTCTGCTGGAGATTTTGAAATACCCTCTCATAGTACCGCCGCAGAAAGTCATTGTCTCTAATGCTGATCAGGGCTTTTTGATTACTTGTCATGCTGCATTCTTCACTGCGGGGCCTCCTGAGGTGCTGTAGGCTTTGCTGTACATGGAAATGTCCATTGGGCGTCTTTCGCGGGAGGGATGGTGATGCTCCACGCTGAACTACTTCGCGTCAACCAACCGCATGAAGCTGGGTATTTGACACCTACATGGGGAATGTGACGGAACGACTTCCTTCGATCGTGCAACCGCCCTCAGGAAGGCATCTGTAACCCATGGCGACAGGATGGTCTCGCGGCTATTGGCAATAGACTGGGATGTCTCATGGCGCAGGTTGCCGTATCTGTCAATGTAGATGATGGCAAAGTGCGGATATGCCAGATCGTCCTGCTGATATTGCGACATGATACGCAGGATTTGTGCTGGGCGAGAGATCTGGCGGTCAGAAACAAATGACTCGCTCCAGCTACCCAGATACCCGGGGAATTGCCTGCGGTAAGATTGGCCAGCAGCCAAAAAGGAAGAGGAGGAAGTAAGTCCGGATAGCTGGGTATGTCAGTTGAGTCGAGAGATATGCAGTTGGAGTGGGGAAAGAGAGAAAATATCACAAAGTCCAACAGGAGGACTCATAGTATGCGGAGTTTCATAAACAATCTACTAGACCACCAGCCTCGCTGTGGCGCACGGCCCGAGCCTGTTGGAAAAAGTGGAGAGATCAACTCCTAGGCAGAGAAGCAGTGCGAGGTGGGAAGCACGGACAGGAAGTGGCGGGCTCCCAAGTCAGCACCCACGATCATTGGTGTTGTTTGGAAACCGGTGTGTTTTCATGTGCGAGCCACGATGTTCCAGGCTGCCCAGCTATCACCGTAGTTTGTAGCTTCTACCCTCTTATACCAACAGCGTGACTAAAATGTTAGTCCAGCTAGTCGCTGTACGATGGCACTTTTCTTCTCGATATGCAATTAGTGTGATGATGCAAGGGTCAGATTCCCCAACAAAGCAGGCCCTTCTCGCACTGAGGATTCCCACATTCTGGGGATGTGTCCGCTCCTCCGACTATTGTACGGATAAAAGATGATCAATCAATTGTGTATTTTGGGTGGAGAGTAGGGGAAATGACATTTATCGACGATCTGGACTGTGACGCTATGAATCTGGCTACGGGCGATTCCCGTGTGGAGAGATCCTCGCTAGCATGGGAATCCCTGCCCAGGATACTGTATTTTCTCTCTACCGCATGACATGTTCTGCTGGAGATGTACCAGAAGACAATGCACATTCCTGATTCATGTGCGCCACCTGTGGCTGTGTATTGTCGATCAACCACGTCGAGAGATGATCCTTGCCTCAAGAAAGCGGCCGAATGGCACTCAACCAACAAATAGTCTCTCCTCTCGTGCATCTTTACCACATTGGTACGATTCAAGCCTGGGATACTCCGAAAATATACCGATAAACCCCGTCTTTAATTGGTATCGAAATAACCGAATGAGTATTTGGTATCAAGCCGATCGTCCAATTGGATTGGGGTCAGCAGCGAATCGGTCAACATTTGATCAGCATCGCGTGGATCGCAACTTATGGGAAGTGGGGATATGTCTTGTTCGAACGTTTGTGGTAGTGTAACTAAAGTCCTCCGCATACTTCGAAAACGTACGTGGATTTCAGTAGACGCTGAGCCCGGGGCAGCTGCGAACCAAAAGCCTTAGCGAATTTTACCGAGTAGTAGTATAGTAAACAACTTTGGAGCTGGAAATAAGCGAGAAGGGAATAAGACTGCAAAACGATCCGCGTGAGGCTAAGACGGGAAAAATGTGGCCTTAGCGGCGGATAAAACGGAGAATACACACCCACACATCCTAGCTCGGAGGCTCGCTATCAACATAAATCGCTTTTCCCTGTCAAAACAAGCGCGTGGCCGCCATACACCCTGGTTTCTTCGTCAAGCATGGTGTAAACTCCACCTCTCACTCGCTCTCTTCCTCTACGAGGATATTAGCTACACCAGTGTGACTAAGAAAATCCCATTATTTCGAAGAAAATTTTACATGAAGGTTCTTGTCACCAACGAAGATAATGTAGGGGGTTTACAGATTATTGCAAGGTAGATCCATATTCTTCTTGGGTGACAAGTGCACAGTATGCATCGAGAATGGTGGCTTTGTGTTAACAGAAACCTTTTTCCGTGGGTCCCCTCTTGAGGTATCAAATGAGATAGCCCGAGGGGTGGCATTGCCTCTGATCCAAGAAACAGTTGGGTCCTCTGCTCCTCGATGACTAGGATCTGCTCCGTACCGCCCGCGACCTCAACGACTCCCCGCACTTTCGATCGTTTCCCGCCTAATACGCATATCTCATGATGAGTAGACACAATGCAATGATGGCAAGACCTATGAAATAGAAGCTAATGAGCCATGTTTAGTTAGTCGTCATAATACTGCAGAGGCTGGAGTCCCGGTGTAAAAATAGGCCAATCGGTAGCTTTAACCAACCTGTTTCCTAAAAATCGTTCCTTTCGTTTTCTGAAATCTCGAGGTTGTTTGCTTGTCGAAGTGATAACGCCATAGGAAGGATGTCAAGTATCTGAATCTTTAATAAATAGTAAGGAGTTCTACAGAACTTGAATGCAAATATTGATTCGTCCACTGATACGATTAGCACTGAAGGATAGATTGCGTAAGGTTTCATCCTCATACGCTAGACATGCGTCTGGAAGTCACCATTATATAAGGCATTTTTGTTCACCACAATAACTTAAAAAAAGGTCAGCTCTCCCCCATCATTTGACTTGAAAGATAAGTAAAGTATCAAACATGATTCAGGAGCAGGCTGGCAAAACCCCCTTCGAACAAAAACAGAAAAGAAAAGAAAGAAAAGGAAGTTCAAGATTATTACAGTTAAGATAGAATTTACGAATTATTGGTTATTGAGGATTCTTTGACGACTATGTACATGCATACATAGATATTCTACCCCATCGGTCGCGATTTGCGGCTTAGCCCTCATTGTCTCCATTTATTACTCGATATTACCCCCGATCAACAACAATGTCCTCCCTGTCCGGCCATCCGAATGTCGGCTTCTACAACAGTCGATTCTGAAGCTACATTAATATCCTTAGAACATGAAATCTATCTAGTGCATTTTTCGCATTGACTGAGCAAAGTCTTCACAAGCAGAACGACGTTGTCGAGCGATACTGAAAAAGCGGTCCTCCGGCGGAATGCACCCGACATAGACCTCATCATCGCCTTGAACTAGTCCCTCCCAGGCTTTGTCTGTGAATTCTTTCAAGGGCATGCCCATTTGGCGACCCTTTTCGACTCCCATGTAATCGTGTAGTTCCGCTATATTTCCATGAGCATATTACCATTATTTGCCTCCGCAAGTTTGAGCGAAGAAAGGGGGAACAAACGAAATGAACCTACTCTGAACAGCCGGAGGAAAGACTTCAATCACGTTGACGTTGGACTTGGCCTCTCTTAATTGAGCCCGAAGACACATGGCGAATGTATTCAAAGCCGCCTTGGATGCGCAATAACCAGGCAAGGAGACCGCAGGCACGATCGCGAGGTTTGATTCGGTGCTGTTCCGCACTATTAGCTTTGATATACAATGGGATATTTAAGGGGCGCCTAACAAAATCAGACCTGCCGCAGTTGTCTTCCCCGACAAGAAAGGGAGAAAAGCGCTCGCCAGAGTCACAGCAGCGGTATAGTTGATATACATTATTTGATGGTACATAGGCAAATCAACGGTCTGGGGGGATGTAAAATCGGTCGCCCGCTGGAAGCCGGCATTTATGAAGACACAGTCGATATCGGGGTATTGACTGGTTACCCTATTCGATCGTTTGGCTGCTTTAGCCTTGATATGGCCATTAAAATAGAGAGCTGGGGGTAATGACTTACTCTGCCACGAATTGAGGAATGGCATCAAGCTTGCCGATATCAAAAATGACGCCATGGGCTTTGTTGGTGCCATTCTCTTGCACCCATGCGTCCAGACGCTCTTGGCGTCGACCCACAGCGGTCACTTGAATGTTATGTTCGAGCATTTTAATGGCCATGGCATGTCCAATGCCAGAGGTAGCTCCGATGAGCAGGACGTGCTTATAGGGAAAATTGATCATGGTGCAGGCTTCGTGGTGGAATTAGATGAGGGTGGAGGATTTGAACTTAACGTTAAAATGAGAGCCGAACATTCGGTTACATAGTGTTTATAAGCATGACTTGTGTAATTTAATGGTTGGAATGTGCACCATTTGTTCAAACTGAGAGCGGTAAGAGATACTGAATACAAGGAAAGTGGATCGCAAATCCGGTATTCCTCGGTTGCAAGTGAACATTACTCGCTAGCAGATTATCTTCAGGGAAATTACAAGACGCTGGTGGTGGGGACTCCAGGACCGCTATAGTGACGTACATCGGACTTAACGTAACTGACCGTCGGAGATAATAAAGGGTACAGGAAAGTCAGTGCGGGCTTATTTAAGATGGCGTGGGATGATTTTGGCACTTTCAAATCATTAATTTCAATATACATATAGCCATGGCAACAGTAGGTAGTGTCCCACACTCTCACAGTTGCTTTGATAAACCAGTCTGCATATCTAGGAGTTTCGGATTTCCAAGATTTTTTGACGAAGAAAGTTCTCAACAGTTGTGGGCTTCCGTCCAATTAACCACTCTAACACGTTCGTATTGCCTTTGATTCCATAAAAATTGTAGTAGAGTAGCAGTCGATGGATCGCATCACGGGTACCTGGTGGAACATCGCCCTCCTTCCCAGCGAACATACTTTGAAATTGGTCTGCGGATTCAAAGTACCCCTTCTCTGGGATCTGAATAGGCTTGCCGATTTCCCCACTTAGCATCGCAATTAAGTCGGCATAGGAGGTTGGTCCAGTGGAGCAGGCTGTGTACTCTGCCAGGTAATGCTTCTCTCTCTCATTGAAAATACCCGCGAATGCTTCCGCCAGGTCCTGTAGGGCGGTAAATGAGAACGTTACTTGTGGATCAAAGCGGGCAGGGAAGACAGGTTCTTCCGGTTGCAGCAATTTCTCCACCGGAAACTGATCCAGGATATGACTCGGTTGAACGATGGTGTAGTTGAGCCCGGATTCAATCAGGTATTCCTCCACGTAGCGCTTGCAATCGTGATTCATCAATTTGCGGATTTGCGGATGCAGCACGGACGAGTAAACGAAGTGCTTAAAAGTACCGTGCCGGGATTCGTGGCGCGCAGCGTCGATCATGGTGTACCCGATTTCAGTTTCATGGCTATGAAGAGATGGCCCTATGTAAAGCACGGTCGTAACTCCCGACAATATGCGCCGCGCATCGTCGATACGGGACATGTCGGCTCGCACAACTGTCGCATTAGGGTACTTTGTCTTCAGAAGCTCCTCGGAGGACGTAGTGTTCACAGCGAGCCGCAGTTGTTTCCATGTATTGTAGAGAAGAGGAATCAGCCGGGAACATTGCTTGCCGCTCGCACAAGTGAGAAGAAGAACATCGTTTTTGTAATCAACTGACATTTTGACGACTGGCTTTCATACGGGAAGGAAAAGTCGGGGGAAAGAATTAAATAATCTTATATTAACCTCCTGGGGGAATGTCAAGTATTGACGTACAATTTTTGAATAACGTCAGCATATAACCGGAGTTAAGGAAACACGACCACGACCCGGTTAACAAGTACGTTGTTGGTTCTCTGTGGTTGATGTCACTGGCTTGAGGGTGTCTTAGCGGGGTCGGGTCTTTTGAACGCCGACCTTTGATTCAAAAACGCGGTGAAAGAGAGCCTTACTGACCACTTCGTTCTCAGTTTTATCGCATTATTTGGAAACCTCGGGCGCTGTTATGACAATTACCGAGAGATGTGACGCTTAAGGTTGGATATACTCGATGGTACAATGTAGATGCTAGACTTTTGGTATCATAATAAGACTTATTTTGACCAGTTCGAATTTGCTACTTCAAGGGGCCAAATGAAGCAAGATGAGGTTCATAAATTCAAGATTACTGTAAGAAATTTAGTCCATTTAATTTGAAGTTTCACAAAGTGCCGCAGCAACACGGAATCCATGTAGGAGGCCTTGCGGTTCTCAATGGCCGACAGAAATTCGACATCGGCCTCACGCGGAAGATTTTACCGATAGAAAGGAGGAGCTAGCCTGTAAAGCCCGTGATGATAGTATCAATTTGATCCACCCTCGAAATATAATATCCAACGAGTAGGCGTGCAACCGACCGACCGGGACTAAATTCCCTCTCGTCTCCACGTGGAATTATTGGAATGACGTCACATCGATGAAAGTTAGCAGAGCAGGCAAAATCTACAGGCGTTTGCCCTTTTCCTGTAGAGGATACTCTTCTTTCTCGTAATGATTGATCTTACTCTCTATCAGTTATATGACCTTGGAGTCATATCTGATATCATCGTGATCAGTACTACTTGCCAATTACCGGAGTCTTAAAAAGTTTCAACCCCTTCTGATTGCCAATTTCATTGCCCTAATCGTTTATCAATTCAGAGAAAACCGCTTTCCTAGAGGGTTCTATCACTGTTAAGTCGTCGGGAAATTGCTCTAGTTCTGAGAGCTGCGTGTGAGAATAGGATAAAGGCTAGACGAGATGAGTTTTCGGCGATGGTTGTCTATTAGCTACTATGCTAACTTCACATAGAAAGCGAACAAAGGAGAACGAAAGACGGTGTTTCTAAAGTGGGATAATCCACATTATTTCACTGCGCGCTTTTAAACTTTTGACCCCACACTTTTTCGCAGGATCTAACATCATCACCGGGCCGAAAGGGCAAAAGTCGTAGAGACTGCAGACGGGTAAAAGAATAATACGCGGGCCCATTATTGCTGCCCATCGTTTCGACTTCGGGAAGCCGGCTGGCGCAAATCTCCGGAAAGGGTTCATGACAGAGCTCAAATGTGTCAAGGTCGGAGTGACCCAATTCTTTTTGCTCTTTTTGGAAATTTCATTTGCCTGACTTCGTGTACCCGTGTCAGTACCCATATTTCCGGAAAATGTCCGATGATCATCAAGAAATACGATGTCATCCCTAATAAGGATCACCACTACGAATACTGCAAATAGCATCGAAATCAAAGGAGATACCGAAGCGAAGTCATTTTAACATTGAACCGTGGCCAATCAGGCCGGACGTGACTAACGTCCCCAGAGGAGCCACGAGTCAATAGTCCTCGGAGGCTGCCCGAGCCAATCATTTCGTTTCATTGTTCGATAGCCGTCTTGTCTACTGCACCCATGTAGATACCCGTGGACTGTATATTCATATCCACACGAGCGGCTATTAGCTTAACCCGACAAGACTGGGGCCCCCTGGGGTGAGATATGATGCAACCTTGTCTCTCCCTACACGCGTGGGGGTCGTCGGGAAAATATCCCACTCCTGCTCACATATATATACGGCTCTTGCTCCTCGAAAATTGGACATGATGCAGGTAAATTCTGCGGCGACCCTTCAACCCACAGTCATTGAAGACCTGACGAAGTTACGCCATGAATTTGTGGTTTCTTGCACTCTGGATCACCCTGGTGAAGGCCTGGGTCGTCAACCAAGGGACAACATGCACTTTGTACCCCGAAGCGCTTGCTCTTAAAGGACAAGTCGTTGATGATGCTCCATCTATCCAGCAAGCTTTTGATATGTGTGGTACGAATGGAACGGTTATTTTCACCAAGAATGTGTTCCATGTCAATACCGTTCTCAACACAACCAATCTGTTGAACTGTGATGTTCATCTCCGCGGAGAACTACGCTTCTCTGACAACATCCCATACTGGAGAACTCATGCGATCAGTGTTGTTTTGCAGAATCAAGTCACTGCTTGGCTCTTTGGAGGTATAAATGTGAACTTCTATGGAGAGGGCGGGTTCTACAATGGCCAGGGCCAAGCTTGGTACAATGCAAACAAGAATGAGTCGAACCAGCCAGGGCGGCCAATGAGTATTACATTCTATAACTCGACCAACCTACTTGTCGACAGACTGAGAATCATTCAACCGCAGTTCTGGGCTACATTTGTCTGGGATAGCAAGAATGTATCCGTTACCAACTTGTTCGTTAATGCCACGAGCAACAGTAAATGGGGTACGATGAACACCGACGGTTACGATTCCTGGAAGAGTGATACCCTGCTTGTGGAAAATGCCACTATTATCAACGGCGATGATTGTATCGCAGCCAAGGGTAATACGACGAATTTATACGCCAAAAATATTTCCTGCGAAGGCGGCACTGGAGTTACAATTGGGTCTATCGGTCAATACCCAGATACGCCCGACTACAATCTCAATACCACCTTTGAAAATGTGAAAGTCAAAAACTCAATGGATGGCGCCTATATCAAGACATGGCAAGGCACTCAGATCTACACCCCTAGCAATGGAGACTGGGGTGGCGGTGGAACCGGTCTTGTCAAGAATATTACTTTCCGCAACTTCGAAATGGAAAATGTGGGACTTCCGATTCAGTTGTCACAATGCGTTTACTCGGCCGGAACTAACAAAGGCTGCAACACATCGACGTTGCAGATCGAAGACGTGAAGTGGCAAAATATCCGTGGCACGTCACGCTTTAACATTGCTTCGTCTATCTATTGTTCAGACGAGTGCCCATGCCCCAATATCACCTTTGATAATGTGAACATCACCAGCGTGAATGCCACACGTGGTCTGCCATTCTATGGCACGGACATTCAGCACGAATTGTTCCAGTGCACAAACATCATTGGTCAGAACGACTCCGGAATTCCCTGCAATCAAGCCGCTCCTAGCAATTTCAGTCAGTGGATCTATGGTAACGTCGGTAACCAGGGCCTGGCGACCTTGACTTGAACGTCTTGTTGGATCAAATGCATGTGAATAACATTTACTGATTACATTTTATCTGACGAGATACCTGCGTCAATAATGTACCCCGTTAGGCCGAACAGACGCAGCTGGTGCCAATGAGCTCGTTCTCGCCAGGCTAAGTAGGGAAGTAAGGCATCAAGTTTCAACTTTGGAGGCGGTACTGTATGCATGCCATAGATAAGCACGGAGAAGACCTGGGCAGCTGGCCAGAACCGTGTCTTATTTTCCTTAATCACAGCCTATGCTAGAGAATCTCACCAGACCAAAACCCCTGTTCGGGCACATGGTCTGCATCGCTTGGGATTATCTCAGTAGCCTAAAAAAGGCTCCCAAGAGGCCAGTGATCGACATAAGCAATGAACAACACGTCAACTTAAACTGACGAAATTGGGAGTTCTGTGAGGCTGAGAGTACCTCGAATGGAAATACCCGATTCAGTCAACCCTAGCCGAGCTTCGTACTTCAAGGTCCATGCTGTCTCTATGTCTTGCTAGGCGTGGGCACAAGTTTTCTGCCCTGCTGAAACCTCCGTCACAATTAGCCATCTTGGCTCTATCCGTTCCCCGCTCCAGCCCGCTACCAACCCGCTAGAAGGTCTAAGCGCCTTGGCAACGGCCTCGGTCAGGAGACAAGGCTATGACCTATTATTGGTTATCAATAGCCGAGACATTATTCGGAGCGACAGGTGTCCGAGGTGCCGAAGTCCTAATCATCTATTTTTTCCCTAGAAAAGACATTGAATTTGCAAATCAATCGAATGGGATCTAATTAATTCCCGAGCTTACATACAGGCACTCCTCCTCCATCAAATCAGCATCATGGGGGAGGGGAGGGTTACGGACGGTCGAAATTTGAGGGGCCCATTCGCACTAAAGAATAAGCCCAAGGGGGGCCTGAAAGGAGACGTGGTACGTTGCAGGGGTTTTTTTCTACTACCTCGTATATGGACTTTTTGCAAGGCGTCTAGATATTTAATTGCGCAATCTGCCTCCAAAATATAGCCATTTTCCTGCACCTCATTACCCTACGCCAAGTTAAGCTTATTTGCGGCAGTGCCTATCATTGATTACTGTTTACCATGGCTGCTAGCGACATTCTCGAAACCAACGGCGCTCCCGCCGCCGCTCCCGCCGCCACTCCCCGCCGCTTATTGCTCGTCTCCGTGCCTCGCACCGCGTCCAATCTTCTTCTAAAAATCTGGAATATCCCAAACCAGCCTAACCTGCTCACCAGTCCCAAGGGCGGTTACTTCTTTTATCCAGCGTTCATCGAAGCAACGCAGTATGGCGACTTCCTGAACAAACCCGGGGACCAGTGGACCGATGAACAACAAATCAAGGTGAAAAATTCTTGCCAGAAGTGTGTCGACGCCTTGGAGGAGTACTCGGCACGGGCCAAGGAGAACAACCAAGTGATGTTCACGAAAGAACACGCGTACTGGATGTACAGCCCTGCCGCTCTCCAGAAGTCAATCACTGGCCATCACGATCAGGAGTTCTTCAAGGCGTTTCGGGTCGACGTACCCGAGACCTACGGCACTGCCAGGACCTACTCGCCATCAAACGAAACCATTTTTTCGGACGAATACCTGCGCTCATGGCAAATGGTGTTCATAATTCGTCATCCGGCACTGGCATGGCCATCCATGTATCGTGCCATGCAGAAGATGGCGGACTCGGGAATAATCGACGAGGACGGCGTGGTGGGCTCTTCAACTACCCACATGACCATGCACTGGTCCCGCATGTTATACGACTGGTCGCTGGAGCAGCCGGATGTGCCTGTCGCACCGCCTGTGATTGATGCCCACGATCTAATCCACAACCCCGAGGTTGTCCTCAAGCTCTGTGAGCTGACTGGGCTAGACAAGAGTGCGGTGCAGTTTGAATGGGCAGGCAATAGCGAGAAGAAATCTCAGCACTGGGCATGTCACGACCCCGATGCCAGCATCGAAGAGGTGAAGATGCATCAGCACGCTGCAAGAGTGATGCTTTCTACGCTTGAAAGTTCGTCAGGTATTGTCAAGGACAAGGCCCCTGAGATCATCGACATCGCTGCGGAGGCAGCGAAGTGGCGGGATGAGTTTGGAGAAGAAGCTGGTGTGCTTATCGAGGAATCCGTTCGCGATTCGATGCCTGATTATGAGTATCTAAGGGCTCGGCGGATCACTTTCTAATGCTGTAAGAAATAACCCAATATGAGGGTTTGTAGAATGTATGGATTCTCCGACCTATTAGACAGCTGGATAGCGGTAATTTGATTGATTCAGAGCATTTTTCTTCGAATGGTTTTTTTGAAATGTCTTTCTTCTCGCCCTTGTTAGATCCCCTCTATATGTTTTTTTGGCACATTCAGGATAGTATTGTCCAAGTGGATATCGTGTTCTTTTTGCGAAACTTCCTGGCCCTCCGAGTAACGCACCTCACCAAGTCGAATCAGGACAAACCCAAACGGCCCCCATTTCAGTGATGGAAATCGGGGGGTCGGAAAAGGGCGCAGTACTCCGGAGCCAAGGCAGCAGCCGAGGAGGCTCAAGTGGGGTGCTCTGTGCTCTGCTGTCACCCGCACTCCACCTCCACTTTTAGCACGTAATGTTTTGATGTTCTGAACTGGAACCGAGCTTAGCTTAGAGCATCCGTCAAACATTACCATCGACTGTCCAGTATGTCCCGTAATTCTGACTCCGATGGAGACGATGCTATTCTAGTAGGCCGAGAAGATGTTGAAGGCTTCAACACTGAGAATATCCTTCCCCTACCAGTCGCAGGTCTTGTCAAAATTAGAGAATGGTTGCAACCAACTCCCTATGACGAAGGAAAAAGTGAATATCGTCGCCATCGGGCATCGCACCTAGCTGGAACTGGCAGGTGGCTTACATCGACGGCCGCGTATCAAAACTGGCACTCCTTTTCTGAAGGGTTTCACCCGATCTGATAATGCGGAAGCATCTATATACCAAATCCTCCGACCTGGTCCCACGAATAAGTGTCTTGCTATTGCATGTCTGGACTACCTCAAATCAGGCTGTCTGGATGACTATACGATCAAAGATAGAAACAGGGACTGTGTGCTTTGGAGCCCAAGAACGGACGATCAGATTGAAACCCTACTTCAGTACCCCTTCCTGGAATATGCAGCAGTTAATTGGTCTGTGCATTCCCGTCGTGCTGCTCTGGCAGGGGCAGATATGCTGCCATTCTACGACTTCATCGACGCCTTTTTCGCGAATGAGCAACAATTCCGAGCCTGGTTAGATTTTGCCTGGCCCGATAATCAATTTGAAAAAGTCACCCCGCTACACGCCGCAGCTCAAACTGGCTGGCTCGGATACGTCATCTATCTACTCGAAAAGAACCAATTCGATATTGAAGCTCAAGATGACAGAATGAACACTCCTCTTCTCTGGGCCGCCACGGCAGAACACGCGGACATCGTTAAGCATCTCATGGAGAAAGGAGCTAATCCTGAAGCTGAAGAAGAGGATGGATTAAAGCCACTTCATCAAACTCCTGCTCACAGCTGGGATTGACCCGGTTACTCCCAAGACGAGTGACATCCATAGAGGATGGTGTGGAAATGCATCAACAACTTATGAACAAACCCCGCTGATGTACGCTTGTCACAACGGCCATTTCAAGTCAATGGTCGAATTCATCCCTTTCCTAAAAGACCCCCAAGTCCTCCAGAAAGCTCTTTACTGGGAAGCAGAGAAGGGACGGGCAGACATTGTGGGACTGCTTCTTGAGGAGACCAGTGTGGATGTGAATGGGAAATATCAAGGAGACACCGCTCTCTTCAAAGCCGGTGAAGGTAAACATCCGAAAACAATCGAAATACTGCTGCACGGGGGTGCCAACCCGAACAAACTTTGCTGCCGATCTGGGGACGAGTTTTCGAACGAGTGTTTTATGCGTTATCCCAGACAACTTCGCGACGAGGGAACGCTGCCAGGATGGCGTGCCTTGCACGCCATCTGCCGCAGCAAACATGGCTTTTCGCAAGCCCGAGATGACGTTGAAGCGCTGAAATGTGCTCAGCTTCTACTCGACGCTGGTGCCAATGTTCTTTTTCAAGCTTCCGATGGCTCTACGGCCTTGCATCATGCCTGTAAACACTACACTAGTGTGGTCAAACTGTTGATGGAGGCAGGTGCTGATCCGACGGCGGAAGACGACTCGGGCAATACACCTTTGCACACTGAGGGTAAAACCGACAAAGAATTGCTTCCTCTGCTTTTGGGCGCAGGTCACGTTAATATCAATAAGCGTTCAGAAAAGGGCGGCAAAACGCCACTACAGTGTCGTCTCGAGGGCATTCGTCGTGGCAATGGCATTGAATTCCTCAAATACAAGCCTGATGTCAATGTTACCAGCCCTAATGGCGATGGCCCGCTTCACATATATGTGAAAAACGTGGGGCACCGGAAAATTAAGGTCATTGAAGCGTTGGTTGCCGCTGGGGCGGACCCGAATATGAAGAATCGTAAAGGCGACACGCCATTGCATACTCTATCTAGAGACAATATCCATGTTGCTACTGACCTACTGAATGCTGGTGCAGACATTGAAGCTCGAAATAACGAAGGCCAGACCCCGCTCTTCAGTCACGTCATTCCAGATAGTAGGCACTGGGAACCCCCAATCGTCCAGTTCTTGATTGATCGAAGTGCTAGACTGGACACTCGCGACTACAAGGGGCGCACTCTTTTGTTCCAATGCTTTTGGGAGCGTGAGTATTTCGACAAGCTGATAGATCTCGGCTTTAATCCTGCAGCCGCAGACTATATGGGCAACACCATTTTCCATGAAGCTGTTGCTGATAGAACTCGGTTTAAGGATCTTGGTGACTTGAAGCGTCTGTCAAGCTTAGGATTGAACATCGACCAGCCAAATCATTCCGGTAGAACTCCTCTTCATGCGATTTGCAATACGTCAGAAAATGAGAGAGATGACAAGGATGCGGAGCGGACCCTTGATTATATCCTTCGGGTTTGCAAGAATGTGAACCCCCAAGACTTGGAAGGCATTCTACCCGTACATCTCGCTGCAGCGGTCTCCGAGGTCTCTATGGTCAAGCTGGCCAATGCCGGGGCCGATCTCTCTGTCGTCACTCATGATGACATGACTGTCCTTCATATTGCAGCTCGGGTGCGCCAACCTAATATCATTAGCTTTGTTTTGTCACGGCCCGGCGGCGTTGGGGAAGATGAGATCAAAGCGTTCATCAACAAAGAAAACCACGCAGGTGCAACAGCTCTCCATTATGCCTGCCGATCGGGTCGTTCTGAATCCGTCAAAGCCCTTCTTGAAGCTGGAGCCGATCCCAATCACCTAGACAAATCAGGGGACTGTTGCTTTGGAGCAGCGGTGCAGTTTGAAACGGAGAAGGAGCTTTGGATTGAAGGGAACGGAAAGTCACATACAGGGACAGGCTTAGTTGCAGCTGGTATCTTGATCGAGGACGAGGAGCGGCCATACGTTACCCAAAATGGGGATTGGAGACGTCCCCCATTGACCTCAGAGCACGATACAACCCGGCTAGAGGAGATATTTGACTTGCTCGTCCTTCATGAATCATGCTTGACCAGCTATCAAGGGGAATTTTCCAAAAAAAATTTGAAAATCTGTCCAAAGAACATCAATACAAACTCGATTGTCTCAGCCAACTGGCAGATCGTCTTCCAGACTGAAAATGCCTTCGGTGGCACTGTTCCATGACAGCTATTGTCTCTGCAAATATCGCTTGGAGGGAATACAAAAGTTCTGGAGGGAGAGCTGGGTGGCCACTAGATCTAAAACCTTCATGGGGTCTGATCCAGAAAGCGAAAAGCAAGAATTTGCCATGAAGTTGCTTGGAGCTCGACAGTACAGCATTTTCAAGGAAATATCCTCGGACCTTGATCTAGGCCGACTCGAAAATTATGGGAAATCCATTTTGAATCGTCTCGTGTGTTTTGGTTACAGCGATCTTCTGGCTTGTACCTTCAACGGCAACGCAGCTTCGCATTACGATGACCCGGAATGGTGTCTGGCAGCAGAGAGCAAAAACACCAATCTCCATGGGGAACCTAGAATTCAGCCCTTGCTACCAACTGCATGCTCGCGTGAGCTGCCCAATATGGAAATGGTGGAGCTGCTGGTTGAGAAAATCGGCGTCGACATCAACGCACGGCGGAGAGGCGAAACCTGGGGAACTGGATCCAGAGAGGTTATACTGTGCGGAGGGGCTCTTCATGGCCTCACAAAAGGCACTAACTGGTGGCACGTGAATGAAGCTTTGCCATAACTGATCAAGAAGGGCGCAAACATGGAACTCCGGGACGAAAATGGGGTAACACCCCTGCATATTGCCTTGGACCATGAGAATTTCCTTGGTCTGTATCGCAAGGAAGCGGCGAGGCTCATAATCGAGAGCGGTGCTGACGTTAATGCAATTGACAACAATGGGAATACTTGTTTGTCAAAAGCCGGTAAAGATCTTGATTTGATCAAACTGCTCCTTGATCATGGAGCCACGGTGAATGGAAGGGCAATATTTTCTGTGATAACGCTGGGCCAAATTGATATCCTGGAACTGCTCTTCGCCAAAGGTCCGCTCGAGGTTCGCGGAGTGGGACCCAACGCAAGATCGGAGATATCCCGGCCAGCTGCACATCATATTTAGTGCAGGTGGAGATGGATGCTGTCAAGCTCGGGGGTTATCTCGCCCCGACGCTCGCGCTTCAGTACTTTCAAAGGTGTAGAATAGGTCAAAGAATCGACATAATACCCATCGCATGCCGAGCTTAAAAATACTTCAAACCCAGAAAAGAAAACGGGACGAGATGCCAGACGATGGAGAGGAGTGGATCTCCCCGCCAATTAGGCGGCCGTGGTTGGCCCGAGCGCTCAGGCCAGCTGTCGTTCCAACGAAGCCCTTTCCTTCTCCTTATCCCTCTCGGGTGCCGTTGTATTGATCTTCCTCTGTTAATCAAGGTAAGCTTAATTCTTTCCATGGTCTATCCTTCTCGATTACCTCCCTCTTCTCTCCCCCTCCCTTCCGAGCTAATTCTTCCGGCGCGTCGCAGCCATCAAGATGCGTTTCACATCATCGCTTGTCGCCCTCCTCCCTGCTGTCGCTCTGGCGCAGGAGCAGGTTCCCCCTCGCCGATCGTGTCCAGGGATGGTTCAACAAGGCCAAGGCCATGGTTCCCACTGCCGTGCCGGCCGATCCCATCGTGAAGTTGGCCGAGAAGGTCTCCGAGAAGCGCGTCACCCCCGTGACCCTCAACAACTGGCAGTCCATCCTGGAGCCTTCCTCCACCGCGCAGGACTGGTACATCTTCGTGACCGGCGGCAACAAGACCTGCTTTGGTCGCTGCGAGCACGCCGAGAAGGCCTTCAATGTAAGCTTACCCACTGCTCCCGCATCATCCCGTTTCCAGTATCTAACCATCATCCAGGAATCCGTCCTCCTCTTCTCCGCCGACCGGACTTCCCCGAATCTCGGTCTACTGAACTGCGAAGAGAACCGCGTTCTTTGCTCCGCCTGGTCCGCCGGCGCTCCCTCCGTCTATTACTACCAGATCCCCAAGGCCCTGCCCGAAGGCGAGGAGCGTCTGCCCACCCCCCTGCACGTCGTCTACATGAACAGCACCACCGTCACTCCCGAGGAGCTCTACCAGATCCACTCCAAGAAAAACTTCGAGGAGGCCGCCGAGTACACGGGTGCCTTCCACCCCACCGACGGCTGGCTGGCCAAGTACCAGCTGCTGATGCCCCTTGGCTATGCCATCTTCGCCGTCGGTGCCATTCCCAGCTGGCTGTTCATGATCGGTATCTCCTTCTTCAGCCGCACTGTCATGGGTCGCCGTATGAACAACTTGGGTACCGACCGCCGTCCTGCTGCTGCTCCTGCTGCGGGAAGTGCTAACTAAGGCTTGCTTTTTGGAGAATATATTACTTCTTTCTGGCATGTACATAGTAAGCGGTTGGCTACTGCTGGGTTCAATGCGCTTGGATTGGCTTGTTTTATTTACTCGCTTTTAGAGGCAGTTGGAAGCAGCCGCTGGTTATGGCCCGCGATTCGTGTCTTCTCCAGCTCTAGGAATTTAATCAACTTGGTCATGACTCAAAGCTCGGCCCTGGGGCGTAGAGTGTAGACATGTAGACATGTAGACATGTTGTAGAAGGCCTCGTATAGATCTGGAAATAAGAAGCCGGGATTTTGACATCTAGCGTCAAAGTGGTTGTAACTGTGGCGAGTGGGATATGTCACCGAAAAGTCTCAGGTCAGCCTCGCTATTGAAAAGCAAATCCGTAGAATTTTACAGAAAAAATTTCAGCACAAGTTGCAATTGTTGGTCCAAGGCAACGTAAATTCAATTTTACATAGTTGAACCCAAGGTAGTGCAGAGTCAGTGGATGCACATCGAAGGATATGTCATCACCGCGAGGCGATCCAGCGCCGCGGCATTTATCAGAGCACCACCCACTCACCTCCACCAACACCACCCAGACCCTCTCCTCAGCTCACGATGGCCGCGCCAGTGTCGCTTGACCGGATCCCTCCCACAACGACCGCCTACGTGATCGCCACCGCCATTGTCGCCGGCGTCACAGGGTACTTCATCGGCCAAGGCGCCTCGCTCGGCCTGTTCAAAGAAAAGCAGGGCTGGCCGAATGGCTACGACGTGAAGGTCCACAAGGACTCCTCCGACGAAGAAGGCATTTCCGAGGAGGAAGAGGAGAGCGATGAGAAGGACGAGGGCAATGGCGAGGAACTGGCCAGCTTCAAGGACAACACCGATGAGGTGAAGCTGGTGCTGGTCGTCCGGACGGACCTGGGCATGACCAAGGGTATGGAGCTCTACAGTCTTTTGCAAACCAAACTAGAAGATGATACTGACTTCTGCGTTTATCAGGCAAAATTGCCGCCCAGGCCTCCCATGCAACCCTCGCCTGTTACAAATACTACCACGCGCACTCGCCTGACTCCCCAATCCTGCGCCGGTGGGAGCGCAATGGCCAGGCAAAGATCGCACTGCAGGTCAAGTCGGAGGAGGATTTGCTCCTGCTGCAGGCTCAGGCTATGAGCTTGGGGCTCTGTGCGCGCGTTATTCAGGATGCTGGTCGCACTCAGATTGCCAGCGGTAGCCGGACGGTATTGGGTGTCCTGGGCCCGAAGAGCGTCGTCGATGGCGTGACGGGACATCTGAAGCTTCTGTAAACTAGATATCCTCTGTTATAAGCAATGACGATCATGATGACAACCCATGCGACCCGAACTCGGGAATGCGACATGCGCCTGCAGCTCCTATATGACCTCCGCAGGATTTTCACAATCACGGAGGACATTATGCGACAGCGTCTAGAATATCCATCGCGAGTTGCCAGTAGCAACTGCTCAATCCCCCAAGCAGGCCCGTAATAGGTTGCTGTTTCACTACGAATAAATACTTCTAAAGAGTTATCTGAAGATATGTTGGCTGGTCATGGTTATTCCCTGGCCTCACTAGCCAACGGCCAATCGGCAAAGGGATCAGGAATATGACGCCGACCGCAACCAGGACCTGAGCCGAGCTCACCAGAGGGAGCTCAAGACCCAGGCCACACCCGGCGCGGCACTTTAATCTGAGATCTGTCGACAGGAAACCGTAGTGTGCCATACACGTGGGAATTGCATGGCTCCATAGTCGTCGAACTGTCCAGCTCTCAACCGAAACACAGATTGCTCCGTGGACGGGAAATCTGGACACAGATCCATGGTGTGTTGTGGTGAAGAAAGAAGAAAAAAGAGAAGGGAAGAGCCTTCTTATTTATCCGCACTAAGAATCTGTGGCGCTAACCCGATCGGACCATAGTGTCTGATCACATGATGACGCCTGATATCAGGGTCGGCGACACTTGCGGTTTGTCAAGACAGCTCTTTTCCCGGCCATCCTCCCTTCATTACGCGTGAGCCCGATCAGACCGTCAACATGGCGGACGCTCTATCCATCGAGCAGAATAACAAGATCCGAGTGGCCCTCGGCCTCAAGCCTCTCCCTGTACCCGGTGCCCAGCCCGACGCCACTGGACCGGACTTCAAGGACGATGACTCGAGCGCATCTGGCGAAGAAGAAGACCCCGCGAGCACCCTCGAATCCCGACAGGCTCTAGGCTATGAAAACTGGCAGAAACTTCAAGATGAGGCCAACGCCAAGAAGAGACGAGACGAGAAAAATGCCGCCATCAAGAGGGCGCGCGACATTGCCCAAAGAAATCTACAACTACAAGGAGCCACTCTTGGAGATGCGGACGGTGCAGAACTTGACACCAAGGCCTGGTTAATGCAGAACAAGAAGCGCTCGAAGAAGATCGAGAGGGAGCGTGCGCGCAAGCTTGCCGAAGAACTCGAGGAACGGGAGCGGGCCGCAGCTGTTGAATACACTGCCGCAGACCTCGCTGGTGTCAAGGTTGGCCATGCCATCGGTGACTTCGAAGGTGGCGAGGACCACATCCTTACCCTCAAAGATGCCGGAGTGGATGATGATGAGGAAGGGGATGAGCTCCAGGACGTTAACTTGGTCGACAAAGAAAAGGCCGAGGAGCGGAATGATCTCAAAAAGCGCAAGCCCGTTTATGATCCTACGGCCGAGAATCAGGGAATCCTTTCACACTACGACGAGGAAATCGAGGGCAAGAAGCGCAAGAGATTCACACTGGACGCCAAGGGCTCGACTGAAGAGGAGCGCGAAGCCAAACGACAAGAGGTTTCGGATAGATTGAAGAAGGGTGTCATTAGTCTCGACTTTGAACCCGAAGTTCCGGCATCCGATTACATGGACATCAGCGAGATTAAGATCAAGAAGCCAAAGAAGAAGAAGAGCAAGGCGACAAAGCAGAGAGCTGTGATGGACGATGAGGACGTTTTCCCCACGAACGAATCGACGGGTACTTCCATGGACATCGACACCACAAATGGGACCCCGGCACCCGCGCCCAAGAAACCCGTCGACCAAGATGTGTCCTTTGTGGATGATGACGACCTGCAAGCCTCACTCGCTCTCCAGCGCCGTGCTGCATTCAAGAAGCGCAAGAAGATGCGCCCCGAAGACCTTGCCCGGCAACTTCGTGAAGAGGAGTCTCAGACCCCGATGGAGGTCGAGACTCCCGAAGAAGGCGCCGAGGAACCCGGTCTTGTGATCGACGAGACCTCAGAATTCGTTTCTAATCTCCAGAAACCCACATTGCCCGAACGGGAAGAGCGGCGGACAACGACCCCAGCTGAAGAGGCCACTGCCCACCCGGAGCCCGAGGCGGAGACCGAGGATGTGGACATGGAACGGACCTACAATGACATCGAGGACGGGGAGGATCTCGAGGAGCGCATCAGGCGCGAGGAATCTAAGCAGGGACAACAGGAGTTTACTGGCACTGGTCTGGAAGAAGAAGCTACATTGGACCAGGGCCTCGGAGCTACACTGTCGATGCTGAAACAGCGTGGCATCGTGAAGGACACCGACAGCACCGATCACAACGCGCTCATGCGCAAACGCCAACAATTCCTACAAGACAAGCTGAACCGCGAAGCAGATGCCGATCGGCGTGCACGGCAACAGCGCGAGCGCGATCGTGCATCCGGCAAGCTGGACCGCATGTCGGCCCGCGAGCGCGAAGAACACGCACGCTGGGAAAACAAGCAGCGAGACCAGCAGGACGCGCGACAGATGGCAGAGGTGTTCAACCGCGAGTACAAGCCCGACGTGCAACTCAAGTACACAGACGAGTACGGCCGCTCAATGAACCAAAAGGAAGCCTTCAAGCACCTCAGTCACCAGTTCCACGGCAAGGGCAGCGGCAAGATGAAGACTGAGAAGCGGCTGAAGAAGATCGAAGAGGAGAAGAAGCGCGAATCGATGAGTGCCCTGGACAGCAGTCAGCACACGGGCATGAACAACGCCATGGGAGCGACGGCGCGCAAGAACCGCCAGGCCGGTGTGCGACTGGGCTGACACGACTATTTGTGTGTATAGAAGTGAAATGATCAACGTTACGATATCCAGCCCAATTGGGCAATTACATCCGCCGTCTCTTTTCTGACATGTCCTCCCGATTTGCTGGTGGAAGTCTCCGAAACGTAATATCGTAACGTCGGGGACCAGACAATTCTCCAGCTGTCTCCGCGTGTGGGGATATCCCGGGTAGCGTTAGCAATTTAACCGAGCCGGCTCCTACATTGTTTATGCGTAGCTATGTAGGATGTACCCAGGGCGTGCGCATTAAGTGTCCACAGGAGCAATTACACAATCGGGTGCGAGTTGCCCAATAATTATTTATTCTGCACGTAGGTCCTTAAGGCCATTTACCCCAACTCGTGAGGGGAACAGGCGGGTGGAGCCAGGAGTCCTCGATCAGCTCACCGGTTTTTCACAAGTCCCGATGTCGCGTCATGTAGCACGCTATCCAGGACGGTGTCCAAGGTATCCCTTGGACACTCGATCAATAGACAATTGGTTTGTTTGAGTATTTCAATACTGTTGTACATTTCGAATGCGAATTGATTCAGTCCGGAGAAGTCAAAGGGAGAACAAAAAGCCGCAGCCTCAAGTTGTTAGTCCTTGTTGTGCGGAGGATGCGGCCAATCCCGCGTGATCGCTGTGCTCGCCGAGGTGCAAGGTACCATATACCTGCTTAGACATGTGGGGTTGCCTACATACCAAAGTATCCAGTACGGCCATCGGGTGAGTCAAGCCAAACAGACGCACCCGCAGCATCTCCGACCTTTTCTTATTCCTCCGGTTCTTCCCTTCCCCTTCCATCCCAGTTCTTAGAGCTAGGTCTTGCCCTTTCTTCCTCTTCATACTCATTCATTGCCATCATGCTCTCTACTCTGCGCGTTGCCAGCCGTTCGGCTGCTGTCCGCGATGCCAACATGCGCACCGTTGTCATCGGTGCCAGACAAGCCTCGGCCTGGTCCAAGGTTCCCCAGGGCCCTCCTGTAAGCTTGAAATTAATCTTCTTGCGCGCGGAGTGCAATTGTTCGGGTCAATGCTAACGTAGTGGATGTGCTAGGATGCTATTCTCGGTATCACTGAGGCTTTCAAGGCCGACTCCTTCAAGGAGAAGATCAACCTGGGTGTTGGTGCCTACCGTAGGTACACCTTGAAGGAGTAGAGAAATGCGTATGGGAACAAATGGACTAATTGGATTGCGATTATTCAGGTGACGACCAAGGCAAGCCTTACGTTTTGCCCTCCGTCCGCACCGCCGAGGACAAGGTCGTGGCCTCGCGCAGCGACAAAGAGTACGCCGGTATCACCGGTATCCCTGCCTTCACCAAGGCCGCCGCCGAGCTGGCTTACGGCGCCAACTCCTCTGCCATCACCGAGGACCGCCTCGTCATCACCCAGACCATCTCCGGCACCGGTGCCCTGAGAATCGGCGGTGCTTTCTTCGAGCGCTTCTACCCCGGCGCGAAGAAGATCTACCTTCCCAACCCCAGCTGGGCCAACCACAACGCCGTCTTCAAGGACTCCGGCCTCGAGGTCGAGAAGTACCGTTACTACAACAAGGACACTATCGGTCTGGACTTTGAGGGCCTGATTGCCGACATCAAGGCCGCCCCCAACAACAGCATCATCCTGCTGCACGCCTGTGCCCACAACCCTACCGGTGTTGACCCCACCCAGGACCAGTGGCGCCAGATCAGCGATGTCATGAAGCAGAAGGGCCACTTCGCCTTCTTCGACATGGCCTACCAGGGCTTCGCCAGCGGTAACGCTGACCAGGATGCCTTTGCTCCCCGTCACTTCGTCAAGGAGGGCCACAACATCGCTCTGTGCCAGTCCTTTGCCAAGAACATGGTGAGTCGGAACATATCCGATAGTATAGGAAGTGATAGCTGGCTAACAAGAAATTCAGGGTCTCTACGGAGAGCGTGTCGGTGCCTTCTCGCTCGTCTGCGAGAACTCCGAGGAGAAGAAGCGCGTCGAGTCTCAGATCAAGATTCTCATCCGCCCCTTCTACTCCAACCCGCCCATCCACGGCGCCCGCGTCGCCTCGACCATCATGAACGACCCTGCTCTTAACGAGCAGTGGCTCGGCGAGGTCAAGGGCATGGCCGACCGCATCATCGAGATGCGCTCCCTCCTGCGCAAGAACCTCGAGTCTCTCGGCAGCAAGCACGACTGGTCTCATATCACCAGCCAGATCGGCATGTTCGCCTTCACCGGTCTTAAGCCCGAGCAGATGGACGCTCTGGCCAAGGAGCACTCCGTCTACGCTACCAAGGACGGCCGTATCTCCGTTGCCGGTATCACCTCCGCCAACGTGAAGCGCCTGGCCGAGTCCATCTACAAGGTCACCGGTTAAAGTGTAGACACGATAAAGGGGTTGATTTGACCTGAAAAGATTATTAAAAATGGGGATGGAATGGGCTGCTAGGCTTCAATTGGTGCCGAAGCCGGCTCTTGTACTGATATCTAATGTCAATGGGTTTTATATTTAGCATGGCTCGGCTTTGTCCATCTCAACGGAGATTTTGGATTCATCTTCTTTTCTCGTAACTCTAAATCATCACCTTCAAATCCTTACTCTAGGCAGTCTCCCTTGTGAGGTAGCCACCGCTCGCTAGCAACCGAGCTTTGATTCACACTCTTTCCTAACGTCGCGACCTAAAAGGTAATGAATACGCGAGGGGGTAGTCTCCCTCGGCACAAAACTGAACAAGCAGTCCAGGCATGCATTAGCCCAAACTCGACATTAATGATACCGGGTGAGGGTGCGAGGACGAGCATCAGGAGTTCGATTCCGGGGTTCTTGATCAGTGCGTACACAGACAGCTTGACTGCAGGTGATGTCGGCCACGGAGTACATGTTGAGGATGCAGGTTTTCACGGAGGTTCATTTGTGGTTTATGCATGTGCGGCATTTCAAAGCCCTTGGGTAGCAAGTTGGAACCGCTTATTTGAGACAGAGGTTTCGATATAGACCCAAGCAATGAAACACACCTGCAAAGCGTATGCAGCAACGAAGACAGCATGGAACCTTCCACGGAACATGATTGGCTAATCTGGATAGCTCCAACCAATGAAACCTAATAAACTGCGGATTCTTTATATGAAGCCCAGATCCATAATAAAGCCCTCAACCCCACAAAATAACAAAAAGAGATGTTTCGAATATGATAATCGTCAGCGACAAGATTCGAACTTGCGCGGGCGAACCCAACGCCTTACATAGGTCACAGTGGAGCTGTGATTCATAGCAGGGCGTCGCCTTAACCACTCGGCCACACTGACATTTCTGATTGTTAGTCATCACTCTGTGAATCGCGATGCGAAAGTGATAGTTTAGGGTTGGTAGGGTGGTGTGTCTGAGCTGGGAGATTGAAAGCTGGGCGCAGGAACTATTGGTGACTGTTTGGATCTGGAGAGCGTGGTTCACCCCCAGAAGAGTGGTGACGGTGAGAGAGAGGGTGTCAACATGAACCAGAGTTCTTGATCCATGTGCTAACTCGTTCATAGGGAAAGGGTGTAAAAAGTAGAAAATGAATTGACGAGTTAACGAAGCACCGCGAGCCGTTCTGCGAGCCGTTCCACAAAAATATACAAAGAGCAGTTTTATTTGTTCAATCCACTCCGTAAACCCCAGTACACCATATTTCCAAGTTAAAAGATAAAAAGCCACCACACGGAAGCATACAACCAAATCAAAGACCGAATCCCCGATTCCCACTCAACCCACTAACATCCGACCCACCAGCAGGCGGAAGAGAAGGGCAGACACAACCAGGCGGGATATTCACATTGTTATAGGAGAAGTTTGACGGGGAAGATGGCGGAGTGCGGCCCATAGCTCGGGCGATGATACTAGCAGGACTAGATGTTGCGCCTTGGCTGGCGTGCAAGAGGCCGAAGCGTAGGAAAACTTCTGAGCACGTAACGATGATGGAAATGATGATTAGGATGATGATGATCCAGGTTTGGTCTACGGATGTGTTAGTGTTCGAGTTTGAATAAGTACGGGAAGGGGGAGGTTGGACGTACGGGATGTGCGGTTATCGGCGATGGAGTCGGATAGAATCTCTGCGAGGTCTAGGAAGACGCGGCAGCGTTCGTTGAGGACTTGGATGCGCGGTTTGATTTCGAGGTATTCGCGCACGGCGATATAGAGGGGGTAGAGGGTTGGTTCGCTTTCCCAGAAGAAGTTGGGCACGTCGAGCATGTTTGAGGCTGTTTTGATTAGCGTGCTTATTCAAGTTTGAGGGATATGAAGCTTACATAGATTAACTTCCACGCGGCTCTTAAACAGTCGGCCCAGGATACGGAAGACTTCTTCGCGTTTCATGCCTAGTTGACCTGTCATGGCAAGGCGGCGTGGAACGTCCTTTGCGTCTGCCATTTGGCGGGCCATGACCTCCTCGAAGAAACATAGCTTGGTGCTTTGTGAAATGCCGTGGCTGATGGCGAGCTTGATCATGTGGTCGCCGCTGCGAAGAGTGATCATGTCGTTGTAGACGCGCGGACGGGAGATCTCGGTCGAGTACTCGAAGTGGAATTCCTCGGTTTCAAAATCCTCTTCGTGGAGAGGCATTGTAGCTAGTGGGATGGGAGTGCCAGTCGCGGATGAGGTAGCGAATGCCAGATCTGCCAGCAGGTCTTTCTCTTGTCGCTCTGTGAAGTTCCAGAAGACGACCACGCCGTAGCTAAAGACGAACATCTCAGCCACGTTGTAGAGAGTTCGGGCTGGGGCTGGGGCTTGAGGTTGTGCTGTTGGCATTGGCGGGGAAGACCGTTCCCGCGATAAAGCTTGGCCATCATCGTAGCTGTGTCGACGGCGCCGAGGGGCTGGCTCAGATTGATGTTCTTCATCGGGTCCAGACTGGGAGGAGTTATGCAATGCGCTATTATTGCCTGATGAATTTTGCTGGTCATCCTGAATATGGCTGTCTTCCTCGGAAATGCGGCTCAAGAATCCCTGGCGATGCTCTTCTCTGGAGCCATGTTGATCAGAATCTTGAGGAGAGGCTTCATGGTGATGCTCCTCCCCAGGACGGTTGTGGCGACCAACGGAGTGCTCCTCTACCTCACCCATATAATCATCATGGTGATCACGAAGCTCATTCCGCTCAATCTCTTCATCCAGGAGCGACTTTCCACCAGGGAATTTGACCACGGGACTACTCCGCAGACGATACCCCTCATGACCAGGCAGGAGAGGCAAGTGGTATGCAGTGTAGAGACAGTCATCGTAAAGCTTCGTCCTTGCCCCATGCCACTCCTTCACAAAGGATGCCACAGATCCCATCTTATACGCCTGCGCAGTGCAATATGCCGTCACACGCGCAAGTTTCTCCGTCCGTCGAGCCTTAGGCAAGCGCTCCGCATAACTCTTCGCACGCTCAGGCCCAATACGTCGTTTGCGCAGAAGCTCTTCTTGAGCCAAGAGAGGAGCAGTATCATTATCGATACCAAAGTCGCCGCCGAGTCGCTTCTGCGCCAGCAACTGCTGCCGCACGACCTCCGGATCAACATGTCTCTCGTTCGCCAGCTGCTCAACAAGCTCCTCATCAACGAGATCTATATCCGGGCCTTCATCATCCTCATCATCCTCACCAGCATCTGGCTCCCCAACACCACCCGTATCAGGCAAAAGCACTAGCTTCTCGCTGACCTTAGTTGTCCGCGGAGGAAGACGCGGCTGCGCCGCAAGGCGCCCGATAGTCCCCGTCGAATTGGAACCTGCAGCAGAACCGCTCCCACCAACACCAATCAAACCACTCGTGGCTGAGGCAAGGCGGCGGGATCTCGAAATGGGCGGCGGGTGCCGCTGCTGCATGGAGGGGACGTCGGAGGCATATTGGAGCACGTTATCGACGGTGATGAACCGGGTCGCGGGGGATCGACGGCGTCTGGGCGTAGAGGCAGATTGTTGGTCGCGGGAGTCAGTGACCTACAGGTTCCGTACAGCTGTCTCAGTAACCGATGCAGCACGGTAATTGCTTTTTGGGGAGGGTATCATTCTTACCAGGACGGTCGGGCTTCGTTGACTGGTGCCCCGTCCGCGAGAAGGGGGAGTCATTGTCGCGCTCCTTGGACAAGGATAGCTCCAATTGCTCGAGGGTTTGGACGGGGAGGTTCGTGCTGGATGCTCAGAGATGGAGATTCGGACTTTCCCAAGTTCCCACCGGCACTAGACCCAATGAAGCTTAGCGTGTGGTAGACTGGATGACGTAAACGAATGTAATGTTTCGGTTTTGTTTCGCTCAATATTACTAGATCCCGTGACTGTCACACGTGCTTCCCTCCAATCACAGACCTAGAATGGGACCCGCCAGCCACTAGCAGTGAAAGTTCGGTTCGCTGATCCGGGGTAAAGCTGATCGACTCTACGAGTATGAGAAAGTCAAGACTGGAAAATATTGCATCATAGGAATATTTCATTGATGTTCTGATAAAAAGTGCATGCGTACTGGTGCTCGGAGATACGAGCGGAAATGCAAAGTCTATTCCATAAATCACTAGGTATGAAGGAATGCACAGTGGGATTCAAGGGGGGATATGCATGAGATAGAAAACAGGAAAATGGAAATCAAAGATGTGAGAGAAGGAAAAATCCATGAAAAAACGCCGAGCTGTCGATCTTGTAAATTGAGAATTTAGGTTTTCGCCATGTGGGTGGGAACGACCACGGTCGTCCCCCATGCAGAGGTATCGTTAGAAATCACGAGAGATGCCGTCATTGAGTCTTGCGTGTTCGTTCCAAATCTCTTCTTTCATGTGTTCCAGCCGCGTATGCTGTCGGTGGAGTTTCTCCAGATCGGCTGATGATGGGTTGCTCTGGGCCTTGAGGGTTCTATGCAAGGAGCTGTACTTTGCATAATACTGCTTGAAAGTCAGAGACTTTTCCCGCAGTTGTTGCCAGAGGATTTCCTGGCTCAAGGGAGGAGATGCGCTGCCCGTGCTGCCTCCGCTCGAGGTGCTGATCGCCCGGCGGCGCTTGTGGTCGAGGTTGCCGGTTGTGCGTCCCGTCGCTGCACCAGGCACGGCTAGCCGCTCGGGTTCCGCCTTGCGCTTCAAGGGGTTGCCGGCGAATCCAGACTTGGGAGGACCATTGGCCGAGGTGACAGGCTTTGAAGGCCGGGCCGCTGTTCCAGTTATCGCTCTGTTGGTACGAGAAAGTTGGGAGATGAGCGGGGAAGAAGAGGAGCTGGAAGACTGGTTCTGACTGTCGGAGCGGCTGCGACCGGTGGCATCGGATGCATTGGCAGGAGGGGAAGACCCGAGAGGAGACGGTTTCTGAGGCGAGGTAGAGGCTCGGGGGGCGGGTCGCTTGGAGGAGGCAGCGGCAGAACGGGATTGAGAAGATTCAAGCTTGGGAGTCGACGACTCAGTCTTGGTAGACTTTGATGCAGACGGAGGGGCATTGTTGTTGGTACGGGGTTTGGCCAGGGCTGGAGCCTTAGCTGGAGCTTGCGTCTTCTTGGGAAGAGCTGTCTTGTCTCCCTTCGTACGTTGGGAGGGTGCCGGGGGAGACGGCGCAGAATCAGGCATGTCCTCGTCATCCTCGTCGGAGTCATGCACGTACTCTGCAGACTTGAACTTGGCGTCTGTCTTCGCTGGGGGCTTGGCAGCAGCCTTCTTCGTAACCCGACCGGTCAACGTAGTGTTGTTGGAGCTCTTGGCCTTGGCAGGTCCTTTGGCAGGTCCCTTCGCCGCCTGAGGTTTCTGCGTGGGAGTCGATCGAGGAGCGGCGTCCGTCTTCGACGGGCCGCTGCGTCGGTCCGATTCATTGCCCGTAGTGTCATCATCCTTGCCCGTGTCGTCGCCGCCGTCTAAATGAGCACGTGCCGGAGCAGACTTCTTGACAGGACCATTGCTGAGGTTGAGTCGAGACAAACACTTGCCCTTACCCCGTTCCCCTTTCGGAAGAAGCATTTGCCACAGCTTGTCCGTACGGGAGATCCGCATACGATCGAAAGCGGAAATGGCATTCTCAATTGCCTCCTGTCGGTCGTCCTGGGTCGGGTAGGGGAACGTCCACACATCGAGGTCTTTGTAGGACTTATCCTTGAGGTCGAATTTCTCGCGGTTCAGGCGGTTCTCGCTTCCGTATTTCTGGGCGAGGGCCGTGCAGTCTTCGATCGCGGAACGGGTTTGACGGGCCAAGAACTTGCAGGAGACGGCACGGACGGCGAGAAGGTGAATGAAGGGAGTCTTGAGAGCCTCAAGACGGGCGTTGTTTTTACTTTGCGAGAACGGTGCGGAGGTTGGAATGGGAGCCGGAGACTTGGCAGACCCCAAGGTCGGGCTCGAAGTCACAGACCGGGAAGCAGCCGTGCGAAGAAGTCGGTCTTTTTCGAGCTCGGCCTTGCTCCTAGGGCCTCGCTGACTGGATCCTCCACCGGCAGCACGAAGAGCCCTCAATTCGTCCGGGTGCTGAATCATGTGTGTTTTCTTGGATTCCTTGCCTCTTTCGAAGGCATTGAGGCTCTCCTCCAGGTTGGCCAAAGCTTGGTCAGTGGCTGCAGTAGCCGCCTTGGCCTTTTCCACCTCCAGGCTGTGGCTCAGGACGCCCGTGAAGTAGATGTTCCGCTTGTCGGAGGAGCTGTGGTAGATTTCGGATCGGTGTGCTTCAGGGTAGGTATGGAAGGAGTGAGATTTGCCCGCGTACTGCAGAGAAGGGTGCTTCCCTAGCCGTACTCGAGCAGGTTGGTCGTTCCGTAAGCTCTGGATCAGTTCGTCGAGGGTACTCTGAACCAGGTTCAAACGCATGATCTGAACCGGCTTGGAGGCAGAATCACCGGACTGGTCTCCGGGACGGAGAGACAGCCCGGTCTCGGGCACGTCGAGCCCAGTCGTCATGACGAGTTGTGGAAGGTGAGGGAGGAAGATTGGAAGGGGAGGGTACGGAGGTGCGAGCAGGGTCGGATGGCAGCGTGAGAGCTGCAGGTCAGGCGGCCAACTGCACGAGGAAGTGAGGCGACACCATCCGCCATAAGATCGAGGACGGAATGGGGGCCAGGAACGGCAGAGTGTTTGAGAATGAAACAGTAGAGGAGTTGAGAGAGGTGGGAGGGTAAGAAAGTGAGGGAGTGAAAGTGTAGGAGAGGGAATGAGGAGAGGGCGAGAGCAAGGCGAAGCCGGAGAGTGGGGAGAGCTGACGGGGCGATTTCCTTGGGTAAAATTACAGGGGATTCCCGATAGGTGGGGAAAAAAACGCTTTTCTTTTCATTTTATTCCCAGGTCTCTCTTGTTCTATACCAATCAATCTAATTGCATGTTCCCTTCTGATTTCTTTCTGCAGGGCAGTGGCGATTTTCGGGTTGATCTCCATTCGGAAGCGCGATCCGCCCTGTCTCAGGTCTCTTTGCTCTTTCACTGCTGGGGCAGAATCATAATAGAAACAATCATCGAAGCCCCGGTCCCGACGTACGATCCATGGTCTCTGAACAGGAGGATTGTTTTCCATTGCTTTTTCCTCCGGGGCTGTTTCCAAGGGAACTTTTGTTTCCGTACGCAGCTTACCATCTTACCATCTTACCAACCTTACACATATTACACCATAACCTTTCGCTTTTCCTTTCCTCCGAAGCGAGTCCGAGCAAGCTGCAACGCTGTACACCCCCAAGGTTGGCCGAATAAGCGAGCCCGGGTCAAACCAGACAGAGGGGCAAAGAGTTACACGACCGTGAGGAGCAGCTGTCTTTATCCGACAGACATGGGGCTTCCCGAGTCCAGAATCCACTTTCTCCCCCCCCCCAGCAGTGCCGGAGACCGTGAAGGGTAATCCACGGGTGTTGCCGGGAAACCCTCTTCAGTCCGTCACTTCACTACCGTAGACCCCGGTCGCCTTACACCTTACCGTGGGCAACTGATTACCGTACCCTGGTAGTGGAGCGACTGTCAACTGCCTATGTAATGGTCCAAGGCAAAGAGGCATGCGCATACCACGGGATTCCCAGCTGCGCAACTGCGATGACGGCCCTCTTCCGAGCAAAGGAATGCCAGTACCCCTCGTTCATGCAGGCAAGCACGGATCCAGCAGGGGGCCGGAACAAGGTCGCCCGTAGTTGAAATTTCCCGAGATTGTGGTCTGGCTGATTCGATTTCCTGCGGTGGTTAGTCTCCTGCGAGAATGTACAGTACTGTACGACCGGTGACGCTCCGTGAAGTACGGTACCCGGCCCTGGACTTATGCCCAAACCGGAAGACCGAGTCTAAATAGATGAAGTTACACGTACCAAGCGATTACGCCCAGTTGATTGGCGGCGGCCCCGTTGCACGGCCGCATGGACTCCGTTCATGCACGCCCCCAGTGGACGCGACGGGCTCCGGGCGTTCTGACAGGGCCGCTGTTCGGCTGCATTTCCGCCCTTTTTGACTCGATCCGATATATGCGCGACGACGCAAGTCTTCACTGTTTACCAAGGTATGGATGTAAGAGGCGTAGTAACCGGAAAGCCGGGAATGCGTGGAAGTGGGATCGGATCCCCTTGCTGCTTGAGTCCGAGTGGGCTCCGACTACCAGCCATAGTGCCGTGATAGTCTGAAACAGTTCAATAACCAGTCGTGTCCTGCATTGCGTGACTCGCATCGACTTTCTGCAGGTAATTCCCAGTGCTCCGTACCGTTCACCCAGGATACCTCCAGGTTGCCGTAGGTGCTGTACTTTGGGTACCTACCGGGGCTCATCGTACCTCGGGTGGGTCAACTTTACTTGGTTTGTCGGAGTTGACTCCATTGGATACTTCTACAGCAACATCCTCGTATCCTCACTGACTCGATCTACTCAATCTCAAAAATCTAACCAATACCTACTACTACCCACTAACCAACACCCACAATAGCACTCAATCGTACATCAGTCTCACTCTTACAATGAACCCCCAAAACAAAATCGCCCAACGTCTCCGCGCCCTCCATCAACCGGGCAACCCACTAATCCTCACAAACACCTACGACGCACCCACCGCCACAATCATAGCCTCACTCCCCACCGCCCACGCCGTCGCCACAGCCTCCTTCGCAATCGCATCCACCCTCGGTGTAGATGACAGCTCCCTAACATCATCCCAAAACCTATCTGCGCTGAACTCCATCGCGTCGGCCGTGCGCGCCGTCAACCCGTCCAAGCCCGTAACGGTGGACCTGCAGGATGGCTACGGTACCCTGGTCGAACTGACCGCCACAGTCAAGGAAGTGGTCGAGCTAGGCGCGGTGGGGTGTAATCTCGAGGATCTGAACAATGCTACTGGCCAGCTACGGCCGCTGGACGATGCGGTGGCGCGGGTGAAAACTGTTGTTGAAGCTGCGACGGAAGCCGGCGTGCCTGATTTTGTGGTTAATGCGAGGACGGATGTCCTTTATCAGGATGGTGCGACGATTGACGATGCTGTAAAGAGGGGTCGGGCCTTTTTGGAGGCCGGGGCCTGTACGGTTTTTGTTTGGGGTGGGCCTGGGGGACGGGGGGTGTAGAGTGATGAGATTAGGGTTTTGGTGAGGGAGTTGGGTGGGATGGTGAATGTGAAGATGAATCTGAGGGATGGGTTCTTGGGTGTTGAAGAGATTCGAGATCTTGGTGTTGCGCGTGTTAGTGTTGGGCCGGAGTTGTGGAAGGCTGCGATGATGGCGTTTAAGAAGAATGCGGAGATGCTCCTGGGGCCGTTCTGAGGATGTTTGCCTTGAAGCCAGCTTAAATGGTTTGCATATTTCAATTCCATGAAACTGATCATCGGCGATCACGCCTTTTCCTGGACGACTCAACTACTTGGCACAGCGGCCCTCAATACACCTATTCCCATAACAGCAATTGTCATTTCCCAGACATGGCAACCCATTCTCCTTGCAGTCAGGCCACTTATCATCAGTCGACCGACACTTCGTGGCCGCACAATAGCCCGAGCAGCAGTTGCCGATTGTCTGGCCGCCAGACGAACAGTCCTCTGGGCACGGGTCAACTACGGGTCCGGTGGGGCGACGGGTAGATCGCTATACTCACCGTACACTCCCAGGCAAGTAGGGGTCGGGATACAGGTAATGATTGTTGTAGCAATCGGCTTCGTAAAGGACGCTGTTGCACAGAACTTGGTGCCGATGCACGCGTCTGCGTCGCCACATCTCGCTGCTGCTGATGGTTAGCAAAGGTTGAGTAGTGGATGTATGATGACGTACAGGCTACGGCGATGTTAGAGAGGAAGAGGGCGAAAGGTCTTGAACAGTGCATTTTGATTTATATCTTCAATTCTACCTTCGAAAGCTGTTCATCAATTTGCAACGATATCTACTCCCTCGTTCCTATATACCCATCCCCACACGCACCGTCAACCCCAAACGACCATGTCATTTGGTAACAATCCCTAGCATAGAACAGATGACCAGACATGAAGCCGTCTGCATACCAGCCATCCGAGTGCGAGAACCTTACGAAAAGGTTCTGCGGGCAACAACCCAATTGGGTATACGCTTGAGACATTCCTCACGAAGCACACTCTACCTGGATCTCTACTGCAATAGCGTGTGGGAGACTGAAACAGCTTCATTCAATGCAGGTCTTGGCTCGAATCGCGCAGTGGATGTAGAGGCAGGATTGACCAAAGTCTAATTTTAGTGTAGCTGACCACCAGAGTTTCTGTTTCATTCCAAACCACAGAAGAGTATGACACATCATATACTTCTATTTCAGCGTTGCATTTCTCGCGGCAAATAATCCGTGCCCAAAACGCCGGACCTGGACGCCTAAGCTCGCCCCATAAAATACCCACCCAAGTTCACCCGGGCTTGGAAAAAAACGCCTAACAACTCAGCTCTTCCCACCGCTACATACTAGACCGCCGATCAAGTAAATCCTACAAATATTACTGTACCGCCCGTCCCGCCACGCCATAAAAGTGACTCAGACTGAGGCACGTTTCGCCTCGAACCGGAGGTTTCAGGGTGGCCTGTCTATACTGTAAATAATTCGGACTTTGACGTCTGTGTTCACTATTTGTTCATGGATGAACCTTGGTAGAATGGTACTTTGGGGCTATGCGAGGACCCTGGTACCCAGTTCCTTTTTGTGCATTTGACTTCGGTACCTAGTAGGAGTGCTTTACGAGTTTGAAGGGAGGAGAATAAAGGGCATCTCAGGATGGGTCCATAATGACAAACCCTCCAGAGGAGCTAGCTTTGACCTGAAACTGTCTCTTTTGAGCGATCTATTGATCAGTTGAGAAGGGCTAGAACGCTTGCTCCAACCGACTGTTTGAGATTCGCCCAAAGCAGTTGTCATTTAAATATCCTACTGTGTAAAGGTTCAAAGAAAAATAGAATGGATAAGATAATGAACTGGTCTATTATACACAGCTATCGTACATAAATGAAATCGAAGCCGACCTCATGTACAAAATGGTATTCGAAGCGACAAAGGAAAGAAAAAAACATGAAACAGAACAATGAGACCAGACCACGCAGGACAAATCATAGTAGCAATACAAAAACGGATATTAAGGGTCAAAAAAATGTATATGAAACAGACAAGAGAAGAAGAACAAAAAAAAAAAAAAAACAGTGAGTATGCAAAACATGAACGCAGGGGAAAGTCCAAAAAAATCCCAGATACCAACCAGACACCACATCCAGGGGCCAGATCTCCCAAGCAAAGAAACCCCTTTTCCTATTCCCATATCCAGTACAAATGATAGCCCAAAAGATCCCGATCCCTGGTCCCGCGCTCTATCTATGCTGTTTCCTCGTCTGGTCGTGTCTCGGCAAAGCCATGTCATCCGCAAGCAAAAACAAAGGAAATGAGGATAGTGTGGGATGACAAGTGATAAAAACAAAACGATGGGCAGTCCCGACTCCGTGGAGAGTTTCCTCCGTATAGATACAAATTTGGTAAAAAGATGCGAAAAAGAAATGCAGCTCAATAAGCAACGATGGGAAAGTTATTATTCTTTCCAAGGGAATCAGGTGAACGATGCAGTTAAAAAAACGAAGTCAACATAGGAAATGTGGTGATGGAAATGCTGTAAAAGCAATTCAGGATCTCGAAACCCCAGAGCATAACAGATCATACGGGTGTAGACCAGCTGTGCTCCCCCATTCGAGGCTTGGTCTCGTAGTTATCCGGCTCGGTGCTGCCGGGGCGGCGGAGGGTAGAGTTAGGGAAATACATGTGAGGAGGCATTGAGGTCGGGTATGCTGGACCGCTCGGCTCAGGGTAGGTGAAGTCGTTCGCCGAACCCGGGGAGGGCATACTGCCGTGAGACGGCGAGGCCCACCCGAGGCTGGTCATATGCGGGCTCCCGCCGACGCTGTTCGGACGGTGGTCATTATTCGCGGGAGGCTCCAGCGGCTGCGGGGGAGCATAAGGGTGAGAAGTCATGGCCGGACGAGCGTGAGGCGCACTTCCGTAACTGGAGAGAGACGGAGAAGTCGCTGTCGGAGAAGCACGGGGGCTACCTTGCGAAAAGTCGCCTCGTACATGTGGTGGGATTGGCCCGTTACCCATGTAGTAATCACTGGCCGAACGATGCATGTTCAGCGGGGGAAGATCACCACCAGGCGACATGGATTGGGCAGGGGACGGGGCCGACTGAATAGATGTGTGATCCGGGAACATCCCTTCGCCAGGGCCACGACGCTCTTTGTTTTGACGCAAATTGGCCTCAGTCTCGGCAGCGGCTTCCTCGATGGTACCGGTGTGATGGTTTTGGTGACGGGTCAGGGTCGTACGGCGCGTGAATGTCTTCTGGCAGTTGGCGTACGGACATTTATAGGGTCGCTTGCCAGAATGGATACGACGATGCCTAGCCAATGACGAGGAGTCGCTGAAGGGCTACATGGAATGGATCAGCTTGAAGGTCAAACCTCAAGGTCTTGGGGACACAAACCTTGCCGCATCGCTCACACATATGGGGCTTTTCACCCGTGTGCACTCGAGAGTGTACTGTCAGGGCGGAGCGTTGGATAAACTGCTTTCCGCAGCCAGGCCAGTCACAGGCATGGGGCCTGATTCCAGTGTGGATTCGCTCTACAGTCATAGATCGTCAGTACTAGCAAGAAGAGCAAAGGAACAAGTCACATACCATGTCGCGCGAGATCACTGCGTCGAGCAAACCCTTTGTTGCAAGTAGAGCAGTGGAAGGTCTTGGGTGGCGCATCAGCACTACTTCTCCCCGCAGGAACAGGCGCCGGTTGCATCTGAGCATCGCCAGCATATCCGCCAGGGATGTAGGCCATATTTCGTGGGGTGGCACCCTGTGCTTGAGCGTAATAGAAGGACTCCGCGAGCCCCGAGTCCATCCCCGGGTGAACAGCGTGAGGAGGGTATGCACCGACGGAGTTGTCCGAGGCACCCGGTTCGGGCTTCATGGCGGGATTATGGTGAAACTGGTTCTGCAAGTATTGCTGCTGTAATTGTGCTTCTGCGGCGACAGCTGCTGCGGCAGAGTTCTTTCGGTTCAGAATGGTCGTGAAGTCCATGACACGACCCAGCGATCAGCCGAGTGTCCGTGGTAGAGGACGGCTTCAGCAAGCGTCCTATCCTGCGCGATCCGTTCGGGCTCCTGCTCTTTTCGTGTTCACGGTTTTCTAAATTGATTCCTCCCGTCGGGTGGCGTGTTTCTCAGCGCAGACGCGTTTTTGCCGCCGTACGTTTCAAGTCTCAGTAATGTCGAGGAAATAATGCAGCTGCTATAGTCTGGGAAGAAGAGGTGACGTCTTCAGGTGTAAAACCCGGCTCGCGAGCCTTGTCGAGTGGTTATGCGCTGGGGGCCGAGCCGGAGCGAAAGCGGTTGCTGGCGCCGTGGTCTTTTTCGAGAACGTAAGAGTAACGTCCTGTCTGAGTCACGCTGCTTGTAAGAACAGAATAAATTCAGGTATGGGGACCGGCTAGAACCGGAGGGTACGGCTTGTGATCGGGATGGTCGTTAGGGAGAGGGAGAAGGAAGGGCAGAGTTCCTGTCGCGAACGAGTCCAGTTAGCTTAGAATCACCTTGTAAGGCGCAAGTTCCCCAGTGCAGCCCAGTTGCCCCTCGGATATCGAAGCAGGTCTGTGTCTGTAGTCTTCACGTCTCCAGTGCAGTGCTCCACATCCGTGGACCTTGCAGGAGGTCCCAGCGCAAGGAAAAGCTCCCCAGGAAGACAGCAGAGAGGCAAGCGAAAAACGATACCATACTCGTACGGACGGCAGGCCCGCTCACGGAGGCAAATATCGCTCAGGACCGGCACAGTTCGTTGGGCAGCCGCGCCACGCGGACACTGGGGAGACAGCGGAAATCGCGGTCAGAGTCGCGGAAAGCAGGAACGAACCTTCGCACAGCCAAGGATAAGGCACAAAGGATATCGGGTGTCGGGGCGGTCCGGGCGTTGGGCGTACCGGGCAAGTCCCAGGTCAAGGAAAGGATGGAGCGGAGGTTGAGGGAAGGACGCGAAAACAGCGTTGAAAGCCGAGAGTCGAAAGTCGAAAGTCGAAAGTCGGCAAGGCGGAAGGCGGAAGGCGCGCAGGAAGCACGTTTGAGCTCGAGAATGAAGGGTGGTGAAAAAGTGAGTGAGAAAGGGGAGAGGCACGAAAATATGATTGGGATCCGATGTGTTATGCAACGATGGCCTGGGTTATTTAGGTGTGGTAGGTGCCACTGGCCGGCATACATCATTATTTACATCTGAGGACTCGTTGCTTCGTTGCCCCCACTTGGTAGAAAGTCTGGCAGGGGGAAAGTGAATCCATTTTTTTGGTTTTTGATTTTATTGTTTTACTTTTCTCCATTTCACGTCAGGCTTCTGCCTCCGTTTACTGTTTCGAGGGTGTAGCTGTGGCTAGAGCTATGTAGACCGTCGCTGAAGACGCCGGTCACCTCCTATTTCCTCCCCTGATTTTCCGTATTCCAGCAGACGTGGTCGGCCACGCTCGTTCTAGCTTAACCTATTTCTCCTAGTCGGCCCCAGCGAAGTGCGCTAGAAGGAAACCTGCCGCACCAGAAGCCGCCCGTCAGCATGCCGGCTCCACAACGTGCGCTTTCCCCCGTCCCTGCGCGTGAAAAAAAGAGTGGATACGAGATAGCGACGCCGATCTGAATCACAATTTCGCCGGACGGGGCTAGTCCGACTAGTCCACCTTAGATCCGTCTTTTCTTCACCAGGGATGAACGGAACACACGAGACAGACCACCTGCGCTAGTGTGAAACGCCTGGGAAACTCTGCTTAACAATGACGCAAATTCTCTAACGATCGGGCAGGTGGATCCCCCAAGTCCGATTCATGAAAGGGGGACTTCAAGTGCCCGCCAACAGGGGGTTATAGGTTATACCGGTATAGTACGGAGTCCACCACCGGTCTAACGACACGCGGATGCCCGGCAGTCCTTCTCCTTCCCTTTTGCTCGAGTCGGAGATAACGGGGGAAGGAAATACGATGACATGCATGTCTTTCCTGGAATGGTGCGACACGAGGCAGTATGCGACGGCCTGGCAGATCTTCAATAACCCGCAAAGGGGAACTGTTTTGCCCATCTCGATAGTTCGTTCCCACTATTGCCGGCCGGTACACGACGGCCAAAGACTAAATCGATGTTCCTTCTAGAAGGATTCTACGGAAGGAGGGCGCTCGTCCAAACACGCCAACACGGGGCACGATGTGGCCTGTTACACCACTCAACCCTGTCGGTCCAGTTCTGGATGATCGTGCAACCCTTCTTTCCCGAGTGCCGTAGGGACGATCCAAAGTGAGTGGAGGCCGGGGATGCCCCCTAAGCATCGGTAATTACACTCCCTTCTCGTCCATTGCCCCTTTTTGCCGGAGACGCTAGAAGGACCAGCGCCCGAGTTCAGCCTCTAGAAACTCCACTTCTCAGCGACCGCGAGCTGGAAGGATCGCGCTCAATTGGCCTGCCAAGCCTTCTCCTGAACTTCTGGAAGGCCACCAGAAGGATTTCGAAGGGCCGTGGAAGCCGCAAACAGAAGTTGCCGTTCTTCTCCATCCTGCACGGGGCGCCGTATGGGTCCGAGCCCTAACCTACTTGGGTGTACTACCGTGATGAGCAACGCCGAGACCCAGTTCGAGGCTGTGTTGCCTGGATTATAATTGCTGTTCTTCGCACTCTTGCCTAAGATGTAATAATAGAATGAAAAAATCGTGCCTAGTGGCCCGACCTTGCAAAACCAAGGAAATCCCCGACTAATCTCGGAAAGGGGAAAGGGGGCCGACAGGTAGTTGGGCACGCTCGTTGACCAGTCAACTTAGCGGTCGATGCTAGCCACACGGTGGCCTGAGTCGTGATCTCGTCGTACATGTCCTATTCCGGTAACCCCCCTGACCAACCGTTGCTGACGGCATCCGCACATTGAGAAAGACGTTGCAGGCCTTCATTCCGGTCCTACGGAGGTTTGCGGAGATTATACTGTGAACATGCATGTTGCAGGCGTCTCAAAATTGAAGCCACCGACCCATCACATAATGGAAAACGTACCATTCGTCATCCTGCCTTGTTATGAATCTTCGAAGCGTCGTAGGTCGGAGGCTTGCGCAATGACTATTGGATGCTCGGCACGGGCGAGAACCACATGGTTGTGGCTGAGACAGTTTCGGTGTATCAAGTTCACGCTAGTCTCCATATTTCTATTAGTAGTAACAGGAGGTGAGCGCCTCGTTCCGACACCGAAAGAGAATGTCAACTGCCGTGTGTCAAGTCAAGGCGACAAATGGGAAACACTCAGAAAACCAAGGGTCAGCGCCAGGACCACGGGGAGGAAAGGCACCAGGGGAACCGGCATGATGTCAGTGGGGAAATCGTGCACTGGCCCACCCGGTTCATCAGTCGACATAATCTCCTAGCCCCATCCAAATTTAAATAGTTCAGATCGATCAGCACGCGCTTTCATTTCCGTTTTTGCCTTGCTGAGATGATCGGATCCTCTCTTGGAGAATATCATCATGTCCCTAAATGATCTGCCAGAAAATGGGAAGACAGCGTTCGGCTGAGTGGTCTTGCGCACCGGCCTCTGATCTACCGCCGTTTGATCGTCCGCGATTCTCATTCTCATTTCCTCGCGTGCTCATGCTGCTTTCACGTGGAGGTCTTGGACACCTAGCTCTTTGATGCCTGAAGTTTAAGTCAGATCTGCGGTGAGCAGAGTCAGCTACGGTGTGACCGAGCTGGATAATTTCACTCGTAGATCGAAAACGTAGCATGGGCAAGACAGGTGCTTTTGCGGCTGCCCGAATGTCTTTTTTGGAGGGAGAGAAGGCTCGTACCGACTTTCCTGCTAGAGTTCTCTGTACACCGCATGGTAGTCAGGGAGGGTTAGGAAACAGTGGCTGTTTGAGAACGTGAGCACTGGCTGCATGCGAAAATGCCCTGGGACTGCAAGAGACCCTGGTCTACCCCGCAACGCCATTGTCTCTCCCAAGGCTCGGGTCACTTCGGGGTTCGACCGCGATGGTAATCTTTCTATACCAAGCCAGCTGACGAACCCCGGAGGCACGGGCGTCGAATGAGATGCACCTCGGTATATCGACACATTTTGAGGGGTAGAGACTGCCGAAAGTATAATCCTCGGGGTGCTCTGATCAAGCGTGAGAGTATCAGACAGCTAGATCTACCCAATTCCACCGGGCAGGAATTTCCAATTGTTGTGCGGGCTCTTTCCCGAGAGGCCCGTGTTTATACTATCGGTAATCTTCAACCCTTTCAACAACTTTGGAAACGGAGTCGGGCTTGATCCATGGATGCATTCAAGCAGGTATTGATCCGAGGCGATGGCCTTTTGATGCGTTCTGTGGTGATTGACGGTATCATACAATGACTGACTGAATGCTGAAATCTAATACGTGAAAAGACACCATACGGCTAATCAGTGACTGTTGATATAGTTACCAAATATGGACTACATAGTGCGGTTCCGGGTACGGGCCTAAAAACAATGTGTGTGTCTACGAAGGGGAAATTGTTTTCGACTCTCAGTGTATGATGCCCACACAGAACATGTAACTCAATATCAAGGGTCACTGCACCATCCCCCATCAACAGTATACGTACTCCCAGTGACCGCACTCGCCTCATCACTTCCGAGAAAAACAATGACTTTAGCAACCTCCTCTGGCTCCAAATCCCTCTGCAAGCTCTGGTTCCGCATGACCGTATGCCGATACTCAGGTGTAAGGATCTCCTCCCTCTGCCTCCTCGTCGCAATAGCCCCCGGCATAACACTATTAATGCGAATATTGTCCGCGCCCACTTCTTTACTCTGCACCCTCGTCAATCCCATAATCGCCGCCTTACAAGCTGCATACACCGGCTGTACGGGATCCGGAATCCGCCATGTAATAGATCCCAAATTGACAATACTCCCCCCGCCGGCACTCTTCATTGCCGGAACCACGGCTTGCGTGAGGAAGAATACGTGCCGGAAGTTGGAGTTGACGCTGAAATCCCATGATTCGGGTGTCACTTGCGCCGTGGATCGTCGAGCACCGCTGCCTGTTGCGGCGGCGTTGTTGACTAGGATGTTGATGACGCCGTACTCCTCTAGTATCTTAGAGGTTGTGGCTTGAATAGCGGGAAGGTCGGTGATGTCGCAGTAGTGGAAGACTGGGGCGATGATTGGGGGTGCGCCTGCTTCGATGGGTAATGAGACGATGCGGTCGATTGTTCTTTGCGCGGAGGTTTTTGATATGTCCATGAATAGGACTCGGCTGCCTTGTCGGGCGAAGAGCTCGACTGTTGCGGCTCCTATGCCTTCGGCGCCGCCTGTGACGAGGACGACTTTGCCTTCGAGGCTTGGGTAAATCGCGTGTCGTGTCATTATTGTATTCTAGGGAACTGGATGGTGAGATTGTACAGCGCCAGCGATAGTACAGGTGTAAAAGATGCAAAGAGCTGCCCAGGTGTGAGAAGACCCCGCTCGGGGATCGCGGGGGTACTCATGACTTCGTGTGGGGGTTGCAGGTTCTGAGCAATACTTCGGGGGTTGGAATCGGTGTTATCAATCCTGCGAGCTCCGTCGTTGGCTAAAATGTCACGGGGGCATTTCGGCGTGGGTCTTGTACCAGTCTTTGCCGATACTCGGATACAGTCAACTTCCAGTATTGACATGGCCCTCCGTTCCAGCGAAAACAGATGTTATTTATGAGATAACGTAATTCACAAGCGAGCCGCCCACACAAGCGAGCCGCCCACACAAGCGAGCCGCCCACCCAACTATCTACTTCTTACTTTTCATCTATTTTTTTCAACCAAAACGCCTCTATATTAATTATTCTACCTAACTGGGCATGTAGGGGACTTATGCCCTATCTCGCCACATATAGAATAGGTGTATGGACGCCGTCGCGCTGGTGCTACCGCCTGCTGAATAGGCTGCCTGGGTGCTGCTAGAGAGGGTGCTGTAGGCTATAAACTAGCCTCATGGGCTTGTAAATGCCCCTGAGCCTCTAGCACTGACATACCAGCATTAGAGGCTATATACCTACTAGCCCGTGCACGCTTTTGCTTCTGCGCTGCGTTGGCAGCGCGTAATTCCTTAACTTCTTGCTTAAGTAATATACCGTTTTGTATAGCGATCTAATAGCCCTTAATAAGCTAGTTTAACGCGGTTTTTGAGGGTATTAGTGGGCTATTTGAGCGTCGTTTTAGGAAAGCCTAGATAGATGCTCCTTGTTTAAGCAATTTAGCGACGGTCGTGGGTGTTTTAGGGGTAAAAACGCTTGATCGGCTACTTAGGCGGCTTCCTAAGGGTATAGGCGTCCGAAGCTAGATATTAAGCTTTGAAAGCACTCGTTCTGGATCGAATGGCACTAAACCCACTACTACGAAGCTATTTTTTATTATAAGCGCTTAGAAAGCGCTATCGCGAGCATTTAGGTAGGCCATAAGGAAATTAAGCTTATTAATATAATTTATACTAAGCCGCATTTTTTGATCAACTAAGCCTCTATATAAGCGCTTTAAAATAGCAAAACAACCAACATCAAGCGGCTATAAAAGATGCGAGCTATACGCTAGTATATAAATAGGAATTGTCAGGATTTTAGGTGTCTGCATTTATAACTGCAGATTTCTAGAGCTTCCAATTCAACATGGAAGTTCCCGCTGAAGTTCTGGTTCTGCCATTTCTCACCGCCTTTATCTGATCTTGCAGTTATCTCTCATTTATCTCTCACTTTGCTCTCACTTCAGCCTTTACTATGCTTTCTCTTTCCATTTGCCTACCGGACCGAGGTTATTAGGCCTATCCTGTCTATAGCCGCGGGTAACAACACGTTTACCTACCTCGGGTAACAGCACGTTTGCCTACCTCGGGCAATAGCACGTTTACGGCAAGATTACCTCGGGCGAATATTACCTTAGGTAATTAGCCAGATGAACTGAATATTTGTCTATAAATATAGCCTAGAAACCAGACTAAATAAAACAAGAGCTTTCATCTCAATTATTCTCTTACTACCTTTCTCTCATAAAGGCAGACTAAAGAGACCCTTTATCTTTATCTACATCCATCTTCCTGGGGTAAGCTACTACGCCGCAGTAGTAGCCGACCTCTACGGGAGGTAGTATTTCTCTCTACAAATATTTGTCCTAAGGACTGCCCTGCCGCATAGGGACCCTTAGGCATTTATTTATCTCTCTTATTTTCATATACTACCAATCCCGACAGGAATTATCTCGTTTTCTGAGTAAGTTTAGTCGAAATAGGGCGTGAGATAGCTACTGTGCCTAGGCATTGACATAGGTCGCCCATGGGCCGGGACCTAGGACCTGGGCCCGGGCCCATAGATGCCCATGGGCCTAAGGTCAGGACCTGTGCCCGCCCATGGGCCGGGCCGGGTCGCCCACGGGTCGCCCGTGGACACCTAATTTGGCCTGATTTGGCCTGCTTTGGCCTAATTTTAGCCTTATTTTTGTGCATAACTCACTGACTAACCTTTGTTATTTACCTATGTTTTGGTCTAAACACTTACTACTCTCACCTTTCTCCCTTTCCCACTAGGTAATTATATGAAATATGCTTATTTATATATATCTAAGGGTCGGTTTTATCGGTCGGATTAATATTTTAGGCCTATAGAAGTAAAGGTAAAAAAATGGTGGTAGAATTTATAGTTGGTGCTCTAAGATATATATTTGTTGTACACAACCACCGTACTATATTATTTCCTTCAATTTTATTATAGTATAAGACTAGGTTATTACGGCTTATTTTATTAGTTAATTAAATGATTAGAGTTTCTTTTATATATATTTATCTTATAAACACCTAATTATAAGTGTAGGGTGTGTGGTTGAGATAAAAAGGTCAGAGTTGAGAGAAAAAGTTAAAGAATTTTAGGGGGGGGATAGCTCTCAGCAAATTCTATAGGCCTATAGGCATGACCATAGGCATGCCCATAGTCGTGTAGAGATTTAGGCCAATAGGATATACTAGTTTCACCCACTTAGTAATGATTGGCTTATAAAGAACCAATAGTATTAGGCTAGGTGCTTTACCTAAACATCTTTATCCCTTTGTGTTTTGTCTTACCTTTTCTCACTTTATCTTCACTTTTAGGTAGGATGGCACAACCTTTAGACCCTATGAGCCAATCTATCTATAGTGATAGTATTGACCCTCTCCTTCTATCCGATTCCTTCTCTTTTGAACCCACCGAACCAATAAATAGCCAAACAACTAAGCTTACCCTACTACCACTACCACCCTCTATTCAACGTGTTGGAGACCGGACTAAAGACTGGGCTCTCTAGACAGAGATAACTAAGTCTAAATTTATTGAATGGTGGCTTACTACCCAATATAGCTCAAAGCCAGACGCACAGCGTATATATTGGGACAAAAAGGGCTATACATTAGAGATATAGACATCATTTAATCAGATTGCACATATCCTAACTGGGAAGCCTAAGGTTATATGCAAACAATGTGGTATAATGCTTGGTCACCCAACATTAAATGGGACGACTGCTCTACGTAGGCATCAGAAGAATGGTAGCTACCGAAAACCAAGAGGGAAACAAACAAATATCCAGCATTTAATACAGAAGACGGTACGTTTACTAGAGAGAGAGAAAAGTGAGAGCAAAGTGAGAGCAAAATATAAGATAACTAACCTATTATTCTCTCACTAGGCAGTTAATTCTAATCTATCCCAATCCCTACCTTGGTCTAATGAGCTCTAGCAGGAGCAGCTTTTAACCACAATCACTAGCCTACGCCTACCCTTCCAAATCATCGAGAGCGAGCACTTCCAGAAGCTTCTACGCCTAACCCAGTCTGCCCCTTTAGTCCTAACCTTTCCTACCGATCGCACGATACAACGCCGACTACGAAATATAGTCGAAGACCGACAGAAAGACATCCTTCGGATGCTGCCACCTAATTCAAAGCTCTCAATTAGTCTAGATTGCTGGACATCCCCATTTCAGCAAGCATTTATAGCTATTACTAGTTATTTCCTAGACCAGAATTGGGATTACCGGGAGGTGCTACTAGGATTCGAACCCCTAGAAGGCACACATACTGGGACAAATCTTGGTTCGGTCCTAATTAATACCCTTAAAAAAAATCATATTCTAGACCGGGTTATAGCCATTACTACGGATAATGCGTTAAATAACTAGACCATGATTATAAGCATCCAGGAGAAGTATCCTAGTATCCCTTTGATCCGAATTCCTTGCCTTACCTATGTCATTTAGCTTAGTTTAAAGCAACTCCTTAGGCAGATGAAAGCAAACCCCCAGAATGACACAGTGGAAATGGTTTGGACGGAAGAGCTTAGCTAGGCTGCTCGGCAGAGATCTAGAAAGCTAGATATTGCGAATACCCTTAATAAGGCTCGCAATCTTGCTATCTATATCAATGCAAGCCCACAGAGACGGGAGCACTTCCTAAAGCTTCAGAATAAGTAGCCTACATTAGTCCCAATCCAGGACGTTCGCACCCGATGGAACTCGACCTATCTAATGCTTCAACGGGCTAAACGGCTTCAATCTGATCTTGAGCAGTACTGTAGGGCCTTCCGGGTTGATCATTTAATAATTAATTTAGAGGAATAGCGTTAGATTAATTACCTTCTTTGTTTAACTAAGCCTTTCTTTGATTTTACCTCAGTTATGGCCAAAACTAAAGATATTACTATCCATGGTGTCTTTAGTGTCTACAATTTGCTTTTCGACCACCTTGAAGCTTCGATTCGGCAGTTAAGGCGGAAAAAGGTTAGTCTCCTATATTCTCTCCCTTTTCCGCTAATTATGACTCTGATTTCTCGCACTTTAACCCTTGTTATATAGGTTGAAGAGCTAAAAATCAGAGTCAAGATTAGCGGAAAAGGGATTTATTTAAGTCTCACTTTCTTAATTTTCCTTTACTTCTAGGCTAGGTGGAAACGACAGATGCTTGAAGCTCTTGAATCAGCTAAAACTAAGCTTCGAGAGTACTATGCAAAAACAGACGATCCAGAACTTAGTGATATCTATGCGCATGGTATAATCCTCGCCCCTGAGCATAAATTACAGTTCTTTTCGGGCCCGGATTGGTAGGATAAAGACTACTCTTCTTTATATTTGAAAAGCTTTCACGACCGTATGAAAGCATATCAAATAGAGAGCGATTTAATCTCAAAACCCTAGGCTTCCGTCCAAACCGAGTTTGATCAAATGCTTAGGCGAAAACCTCCATCCACCTAGAACCAGGATAAATTGACCCAATTTCTCCAAGGAGGTAAGCTAACCTCTTATTTTACCTCTTATTTTACCTCTTATTTTACCTCTTATTTTACCTCTTATTTTACCTCTCGTTTTACCTCTCGTTTTACCTATCGTCTAATTTCTTTAGTTTCACTTAGGTTTGGTCCTAGTTAGCCCTCGTCTATTCTGGAAAGACTATACGCAAGAGTTTCCTACCTTAGCACGTATAGCACAGGATATTTTCTCTATCCCTGCTACTAGTGCTAGTGTAGAAAGACTGTTTAATTTAGCCCGTGATATATGCCATTATCGGAGGGGCCGTCTAAATACTTCAACCATCCAAGACCTAATAATGTTTACATACACGACTAGGTTTAAGATCGAAGATGAGCAGCTAGCTTTTATCCAAACTCTGTCTATCCACGACGAGGGTGAATCAGACGAAATTTCTGAGGAAACAGAAGATTTTGAGCCAATCAGTGATACCGAGGAGGGTGAGGAGGATGAGATAGATGAGGTGGATGATTCTGATTTGGTCTCTCTGCCTATAATGCTAGAAAGCCAGATTCGGGCCTCTAGTCGGGTGAAAAAGCGTCCAAGGGTGTTGGATGACTATGAAACTATATGAATTAAAATCTCAGTTTTCTCTCACTTAAATATTACTTTTCTCTCTCATTTTAGTTACATTTTCGTCTGTAATTTTACTAGTAAAATACCAAAAATTACTGCATACACTACATTAATTATGCTCTCTGTATCATGGGCATCTTAGCGGCCCATGGGCCTAAAGGTCGGGACCTAGGACCTGCCCATGGGCATGTCAATGTCTAAGCATAATATTAGATTGATCGGGCTTATCTACGTCGTTTTCACCTAAAGGGTTTAGGAATTCATCTAATGGTATAACCTCTAGCTACCTATCTATAGGATCTGCGAGCTTAGTAGTTATCTCATTATATAAAGACCTTAGATGAAGATCCTGATGATATTTTGACCTTAACGCTTCAGTCTAAACTTTAGGCCCTTCGGTCTAAAACCAGGCTATGCAAGCCCTCTAGGTAGGCTTTAGACGTGTTTGGGATGAATAGATACGTAATGCTTGCTTCTGAGCATCAGTAATACCTAGCTTCTGCCGTTTCGGAAGGCGTATTTTAGTTGAATGGGCCACCAATCTGCCCTTGTTGGTGCCCCTGACGTCCTGATTTGGGATAAAATGTTGCATTCTGATTGGTCGCTTAGTATGACTAAGCGAAAAATCCGAGAGGAAAGGGATGTAATGTCTGAAAATGTAAAAGGTGCTCATTTTATATGGGAAAACCTAAAAAAGTGGGCCCATCAGCCGAAAATCCATGTTATAAGAGAGCTTATGTAATGTATGGAGACGTTTTATCTGGAAGTTGACTGTAATTACTCCTACATCAACCCAAAGGGTTACCTATCTACCGTACTTACTCGAAGGCGATTCTAGGACTCCATGAATATTAACATCCGGGGAGGTAGATCGTGTGCAGCATAGAAGGCTTGTTAGGCCATAATCTTGGGAACGCTTTTTAGAAGATAGCCATATATTTATTCCATAGCCACATTAGGTATGATCATCCTCAGGCATTAAATAGTGTAACATAAAGGGCGTATCACCGATCTATAAACAAGAACCCCACGGAAAGTGCATAAGACCAAACGCCGGACTGATGAAATGAGGAAAGGACATTTCGAAACCAAACGCCACAAAAGTGAAACCCAAAATGAAAGGAACCACAGGAGCATAATCAACGCTTGCGCCATGATAATTCCAACACTTCGTCGCCGAGGGTCGAGTCCCGCTTGACGTACCACTGACGAACCCGGCCATTCTCTTCCATCACGGCATCTTCGAGGAGGAAGCTTTCCTTCATTTCGTCCTTGCGGCGGAGGGGGCCCAGCTCGTGCAGGTATGATTCCTCTACAGCGCCGTTGTGCGGCTCCCACGTCATTTCCATCGAGAGATCACCCGGCCCAGGCGGGAACCCGTACTTGATCACCGAGAACCCGTTAGTCAACATCCAGCCGTCGGCAAACTGCCATTGGCGCAGCAGGCAGGTGTCACCGCACAGTTCGGAGATCACACTGAGTTTGGGCATGTCGGCTTGGAACCATGACTTCCAGTGGTGCACCGAGAGCGGGGGTTCGCGGCCTGACTCGAAGAACCCTGATGCGTCTTTCATCAAGTCCAGCTGGTGGAGGCGGTGGTCGATCGTCATGCGGGTCGTGGTGTACTGATAGACGCAGTTGGCGATGCGGCGGTCACCGGTGTATGTCATCTGTTCACACTCGTCGTAGACCGCAGCCAGTTCGGATAGCAAGGGCCGCGATAGGAAAACGCCAGCGCCTCCAAACGCGATAATTCCGAATACTGCGATCTGCGGGGTGCCTTCTGAAAGACCGCCGATGTACATCGGTTTTGTGTGGTCGTATTCAGCGAGCGCGTCCACTAGCGCGGACATAGATAGGAAGAAGGTATCGTCATCGATGATGCACGCCCACTGTGTCTGCTCCCGCATGTGCTCTTTCATAAGGGGAATGAGTGCAAAGTATCGGTGCAGGTAGTCATCCTCGGACTCGGTGATGAAAAGATTGATTCCTAGGTTTTCCGCCTTGGTCTTGACGTAGGAAATCCCCTCTCCAGTTTCATCGGGCTCGATAAGAGCGAAGATGCGAGTGCGCGTATACCCAGCCCAATGAGCAAATTGGTCAAGCGATTCATTCAGTCTTCCAATAGAAGTGGCAACACCAAAGTCAATATGCGGTGCCACCGCCATCTTGGGCGGTTGAACAACCTGAACCTGCATGGGCATCGGGATGGTGCAGCCGTCCGGCGACTGTCCAGGCTCGACCTCACTCGAGACCGAGGGCTTCCACTTCACGTCCAGCAGCGGCTGATCAACGCTCTGTCGGACGGGGAGCGGGTCCATCACCACGTCCACCACCATCTCGCGGCGGGTGTAGGCGACCAGCTTGCGCACACCGATGCGGTACAGCATTTCCGGGTCAAGGTCGCATCTGACGTCTGAGGAGATCGTCACATTGGAGTAGGCGTGCATGGCCGCGCGGTGAGGTGGGGAGGGCCACAGCAGGGCGGCAAAACCCGTAACCGCGACAATGATCATAGCGAATCGCATCATCTTCTTCCAGGCCCATGAGGCCGGGATGGACCTTTCTCGATTCTGGAACAGCATCGCGTTTTATAGAATCCTCCTGTGGATTCGGGACCGGTGGTATCGGGGGGCCGTATGCTCGTATTATATAAGGTCAACAAGTGGGCATCCGCATCGCGGAGAAAGGCTCCGAGATCAAACGGGCTGTTCGAGAGGCTCGCGGTCGGGAAAGAGGGAAGGAATCGGTACGGTGAGTGAAGAGTGAAAAAAAGGAAATGCAGTTGCAGAGAGGGACGGGAAGGCCAGGGACGATCATGGTTCCATGGATGCTTGAAGCGGCAAAGGCGCAACTCCGCCCTTAAGGGGGTGACGTACGGTCACGTGCGTACGGTTTTTTCGAGACTCGATGCTCCCTTTTATAGGGTTCAGACTTCGGTTCTACCGGGTTGATTGGGACCAACCAACCGCTCTAGTGATTACGGCGCTTCAAGCCTATCGTGTAAACCAGACGCTGGTGAAGTGCCGGAATGGCACATCGGCAAAACCGTCGACTGCCAAGACTCGGACCAACGCTTTCCTTTCACTCGCCGTCTTCCCGTCGTGCGGCTCCACGTCCGCGCGTCCCTTGGCACCGCCCTGTTGCGATGGTCCGCTTCCCAACAATATAAAGATACAATACTTTACATCGGGGATCCGATTTCCAATTTCTAGTGAGGTATTTGCCGTGTCGCCTAGACTCATTCCCTTCTGAGACAGGGAAATTCTCAGCGTCTTGTTTTCCCCCGTGCAGCACTTATTTTGGCGACCTGGACGTCGATCAGCCAGCCCCTGTCGATGATCCACTAGCTCGGCTCACCGACATCAAACAAGTCTCTGGAGATCATCAACCCTGTTGATGTGTCCATAGCGGCGAAGCGGATCACAAATAGACTTTCAAGGTCCAGCCTGGATACAAAACCGCCCCTGGGGCAAACGTCCATTGCGCCCGAGGCAAATGGGCGCATTGGGGGCTGTACTTGGCACGTCACAAATATCCTCGAAGGAATGATGGGGCCAGCACCGGCTTCTTTTTAGTCCATCTGACAACTGGGCCGATCGATTGTGACACTGTAGCGAGGCTCAAACTCTTAGACAGCGTTCACCTCAGAAGCTTGGCTATTCTTAGCACTTGGCAGTGAGTGCTTATTCGGCCATGGGTGCCGTATATAAGGTAGAAGTACAGATACATATCACATAGTGGGGTTGGGACTCGGATTGGGAAAAGTTTACCGTTCACATTCCTGCTCGGTCTTTCTTGCCAACACTAACCAAGGCAGACGGTAAGCTCCCCCTTGAATAGAATAGCAAAATCGATCTGGCCTCGATGCTTTGGAATAAAAGACTTCATTATTCGAGAGTGTCACTTGAAAGCACCCCGGCCTTTACATAGGAAATATTATATCTTGTACCCAGATGCTCGGGCAACACTTTTCATACGGTGGTCAGCAAACCCGAAAATTTCCATCTTCAGCTCGCCATCGCCTATTCAATTTGCTTAGCACAACCCTTTTACCTTGACTCCGTACGACACCAAGTAAGCAAACTTGGGTTTAAAAGATATGGACATATGGGCATATGCACTGTTGGCGACAGGCGTGATTAGCCAAAACGTCTATCTATCCAAATCTCCCAATATTTAGCCTGTTCGATACCCACATCTCTCTTGGTTCCAACCTTACCTTAGCCATGGAAAACCATGGAAAACGCTCCAAATCGTCCTTCGATCAGGGATTCTACTTCCGATGAGCAGTGTTATAACCAGACCTGTCAGTAAAGCCTATCTACCCCATGAGTTCTGGGCACAGCTGTGGGATTCCTGGGTTAAGCAATCCAGCATACCTTGTTGCTGGAGACAAATCGAGAAATTGACAGAGCTCCGCCATTATCAATCTATGGTCGTGAGGGACAGCTCTAACTCAAATGAAAACAAATACTAATACAATAGTTTTAAATCCTAAATTTAAAGGAGAAGAGGACAAGTTAGTAAATATTGCTCCTAAAATAAGATTCGGAGTAGAAACTGGGCGTTTTGTCAAATCTGATGTCTGGATTGTGCATGATATCTAAGCTTTGGGCTTCTATTTCTCAGTCAGATGTCCAAGTGGCGCTTTCCATGCAACAAAACAGACAGATCATTATGGTACCTACCCAGGCAGGACATTCTTTGACTATGGCAATACCAAACACTATTTAATCTTTACTCTTAGCTTCCATTTCTATGTTAACAAAAGACATGTGTGAATATGCAATCCAGGAATACAGCTTCCCACACTGTGCAAACCCTGGACACTAAATTGAATTCAACCGAATCCAACTTGGTATCTCCACAAATATAGATGTCATGAAGATCTGACATTTGATATTGCCGCCTTAGAAATATGGCACCAACAGGTAAATTCACGTGACTTTATACGGCGGGGCATTCGGGCTTGTGCGCAGGATTGCCCAATGGGGAAGGACAATTCCGCACACTCTGGCATTGTGGAGGTGCATATCAACCTGGAGATCTCGCCGATTGTAGCAATTGCATCGAGTTCCTGATATCGTGATCATCTTATTCTGACCGACTCCACCGGCCACGAACAACCGGTGCCCTCGACTTTCTCCCCGCAACCCCCGCCATGGTTGCGCAGTCGCTGAGCTCGCTTTTGCAGCGGGCAACGATTGACGATCATGAGGAGGTCCTCCAGTCCTGCAACGAAACTCTCGCCAAGTCCAAGAACGACATTCACGCCCAACACATCAAAGTCATTGCTTTATTAAAGCTCGATCGTTTCGAAGATGCGCTGCGGGTGCTCGAGGCCGGAGGCGATGCCCTGAAGAAGCGGGCTGGGTTGGAACATGCTTATGCGCTGTACAAGTGCGCGAAGTTGGAGGAGGCTCTTGACACTGTGGCTCGGTCGGACGCTGGTCGTGGTGCCAGCCATTTGGAGGCCCAAGTGGTATGGCGGACAATGTTTGCTTCGACTCGTGACATGTGCTGATATTTAATTTTGAACAGTCCTACCGTGCTGAGCAATTCCGTCGCGCCGCAGAGATCTACGAGAAACTCTCTCAGTCTTCTAGTCCCGAGGATAACGACTTGAGCATCAACTCATGGGCGACCGATGCCCAGCTGCAGTGGAAAGGCGAGGCGGAATACGTGCGCCACGAGCGGCCCTCGAGAGAGGACCTAGAGTCATTTGAGACGGCATACAATGCAGCTTGCCTGAATATTGCTAAGGGAGCCCTTGCGCAAGGCGAAGTGCTCCTCAACAGGGCGAAGAGTAAGGATCCTGCCAAGTGGTCACTGGGCTTAATGCTGACGGACTTGTAGACATTTGCCAGACATCAGAGGACCTTTCACCCGAGGACAGGGCTGCAGAGCTCCTCCCCATCTCTATTCAATATTTATATGTGTTAATTCGGCAAGGAAAGACGGAGGAGGCCGAGGCGCTCCTGAAAGAGATCTCTGTGGAAGAGTATGTCGAAGACAGACATCATAAAAGATGAAAGCTAACTTGTTCAACCAGCATTCAAGAACTCTCCACGAAGAAGGTTGCTTGTAACAACATTGTTCTGGCTCGCCAGACCGCGGTCAACCCATTCGTCCTCTACAAGGCCCTCCACGAAACCCCCGAGGCCATCAACAACGACCGGCTGTTCGATTTCCAACAAAATGCCCTGCTTGGAAACTCGCACGCAGTGGATCTTCTCGTGCAGAAATATGACGGCATGATCCGTTCAACAGCCAAAGCGCTCTCAAAGAGCCCTTGCCCCTCTGCCGAGGCCAGCACCAATCGTCTCTCCGTCTACAATGCCGCTGGCTATGCGCGAGGAGAAACCGGACAGAAGGCCCTGAAGCAGATACTCCCTGTCCTGGAAAGGCGGCCCAAGGACCTGGGTCTCCTTTTGACCGTGGTTCAGCTCTACGTCAATGCCGGCAACACCACTTCCGCCATCATTGCCGTGGAGCGATCGCTCCGCAGCCTCGAAGAGTCCATCTCCGAAGCTGACCAGGACGCTCGATTCAACCCAGGCTTGCTCAGCGTTCTTGTCGCCCTTTACCAGCGCGAGGGCCGGAAACTCCAGATCCAATCTACCCTCGCACAGGCCGCCGCATACTGGCGCAAGAAGCCCGAGCCTCCTGCGTCTCTCCTGCGCGCCGCCGCTACCTCCCTCCTTCACTCCGACGACCGCTCCGATCTGGCCACTGCCGGCGACCTGTTCCGCTTTTTGTACCAGCAAGACTCCAATGACCGCATGGCCATCGCCGGCTACGTCGCCTCCCAGGCTACGCTGGACTATTCTCAGGTTGAATCGCAGCTCGACCGTCTGCCCGAGATTAGCGACCTCGTCGCCGAAATCGACGTTTCCGCCCTCGAGTCCGCAGGCATCGCGCCCTCTGCGTCATCTGCTGCGGCCGCGGCCGCCGCGTTTGCCGGAGCTCGGAAGCGTTCCGCCGCGGACAAGGAAGGCCGCGCTACAAAACGTGTCCGCAAGTCTCGCCTACCCGAGAACTACGACGCGGACAAGAAGCCCGACCCCGAGCGCTGGCTGCCTCTGCGTGATCGATCCTCCTACAGACCCAAGGGAAGGAAGAACAAGCAGCGCGCTGCAGACCGTACCCAGGGTGGCGTTGTTACCGAGAAGGCAGAGGAATCTCCCGCTCCGCAACAGCAGAAGTCCGGAGGTGGAGGAGGTAACGCCAAGAAGAATAAGAAGAAGGGCAAGCGGTAGTGGAGTTTTTTGGTATTGGTATTGGTATTGGTATTGGTATTGGATTGTAGATAAGAATAGATTCCCGCTTATTGCATATCCTTATTACTGTTACATTTTGGCCAATACTGCATTGTAAGAATTACCTTCTAATCCGTCCCGTGAGCAGTGCTTTTGACCCGACCAGCAGAAGCCTCTCACCACGTAAAGCTGCAAATCTCAACCCAAAGGCGTGCGAATCGTTCCGCACTGCCGGTCATAGTGACTGAAGATCATGTGCAGCAGACGGAGATCATTCAGAGCGTCCTCGGGAGTGGTCTTCACCTCTGGACCCGTTTCACCCGTGCAATAGGAGTGCAAAGCACGCAGTTCACGATTATACGCCTCCTCGCAGGTGCTCACGTACTCGGTTCTCTTGACGCGGGGACGCACGACCCCGGTTGCGGTTCCGTTTCCGTTGCGGTTCCCACTTCCATTGACCGCGGTCCCATCTCCATGACCGTTACTCTGCTCCTCGCCCATATCCATCTCCTCGACAGTAACCTTTACCGATCTCTCCTTACCCGCCGCTTCGCCGGGGTGAGGGAAGTCATACTCCACGGTGAGTGTCTTGCGAGCACCGTACACGGTAAGATGTGCGTCACAGCGCGGGAGCGCGTCCACGCCAGCCTCGTAGAACAGGGTAAATGGGTGTCCGTCAACATCCGAGTCATCGGTGTAGTGGAAGTTGGCAGAGTAGAACGGTTCGGTAATAGAGACGCAGGAGACAGCATCCGGGAAGCCGAGTGACTCGCGCATCAGAGACAGATCGTGACATCCCAAGCTACCCAGGAAACGGCAGAAGGCGACGCGGTCAGGTGTGATGTCATCGGAGCCGAAGATGTCGACTAGGAGGTTCTGGAATTCGTCTGTATCGGTGTGGCCGTTTACTTCATTTGTACCGTTGGTCCCGTTCCGCTTGTTGACTCCGTTTGTGTGGTGAGCGGGGATTTGAAGTGGACCGGCGATATTGCGGCATCGTGCGTAGTGGATACGGTCCAGATTGGCGAGCTCTTTCTTGAAGATGTCTGTATAGCACGGTGCGTAGCGGCGTGCACATCCGACGAAGACGCGAGGCGCACCGGTGTTTTCACCTGGGGACGAGCGTGCGTTCACGACCTTGGTGGTTGCGTTGCGAATTTGACGGAGGGAGTGGATTGTCATGCTGAGAGGGACTTCCACCATGACATGTTTGCCGGCTTCAAGGGCGGCGATGGTATACTTCTCATGGTATTCGAAGGGGAAGAGGTTGAGGATGACATCTACCTCGACGCTATTGAGAATGTCCTCGGGGGCTGTGGTGATGTTTGGGATGTTGAAGAGCTTTTGGCAATGCTGGGCGGTTTCAATTTTACTGGAATGGAGGGCGAGGATATCGAAGTGTGACTTGAGGGTGGTCAGAGTAGGTAGGTACGTGGACTCGACAGCGTCGGTGGCGCCAAGAATGGCCAGGCGGAGAACCGGAAACGGGGTCGTCATCGGTGGCGAGTTGAAGGGACGAAGGATGATCGATCGGGTTGTTAGGATAGAAAAGACGCAGAGAGCTGCAAATTCAGCCTTAGAAGGCCTCTTCGATGCGTGGCGAAGGTAGCGGTGTATCAAGGGGGGTGGCTTTGATGATATGGGGATGGTGGGAGGTGGTAGTCCTGGGGATGAATAAAATTCCCTTGGAGGTGAGGGTTCGAGTGATCGGTAGCACGAAGGAGCTTCAGCTTCAAAAGAGAGGAAAGAACAAAGGAGCTCGTATTGTCGAACCTGTCCATTCCACGCAACCGCATGCCAGATCGGCCGTGACATCAGCGGCATCTACTGCCACCCACAGGTGCTGGAACGGAGACCTGGTTGGACCCTGAAGCTTCTCCACAATGCATCCGTGGATCAATCCATAGATCTAGGGAATGGCCCCTGACGCTATTTTGCCAGTGCCAGCGACTGCACCTGCACGTCGATCTGTACTATCTGTACTCGGTCATGACGCCGGTGCCGGTAAGACAGGTGAGACGAGAGGGCAGTGCTAATTACGGACTGATGGAAATATCATCAGTGATAGTAGAAGCATAGATAGTAGTTACATACAAACATAGAGCAGAAGTAAACCGAAGGAGATCAGAGTCCACTTGTTCTGGAAGCGTCGCGGGTGGAGCTGGTGGGTCCGACACTGAGGCACGAAATGACGCTGAACTGGACATGTAGCTACTCGCTATGTGGCTATCCAAGTACTCTCACGGAGAGAAGCCAGACGGTACCTAGATGTATTGTAATGGAGATGATGTACAAGGTTCGGCAAGTCCAGGTCATCCGCCCGCTCAGCTGAGGTGGACAGTCTCACGTATCCACCAACACAGCCCTGCCAGGCATCACAGTCTTTCCCCGATCTGGTGTGGCGTCTAGCTGACCGTCATCAACTCATCCACTCGCTTTTCTTTCTTGCCATCTCCTCATCTCTTACAAAATGGGTGTAAGTATTCGATCAATCACTTTCATCATTTGTACCCCGCTGGATGCAGAATATCTGATCCGCCACTCATCATCTCACTAGTTCGCCTCGAAACTTGCTGCTGCACAGAGCCAGAACCCGAACCAGACACAGAATCAAACCATGGCAAATACAGGCGGCTTCTACCAAGGAGCACCTCCCGCAGGATACACTGGAGGTCCTCCGACTGCCCTGCGGCCTGGTGGATCCGTAAGTCACCTGTTGACCTTGCGACGTCATGGCGGGACAATTTGTTGACTCGATCTTTCTGCAGCAACAGCCACAAGCGCAGTACCAGGCTTATCCAGGATCCCCTCCTCCCCAGGGATCGGTAAGCTACCCTTCGTGATATCTTTTTTGCTTCGTGGTCTTTGTCTTGTTTTTATTCTATCCCTTTGAGTTACCCCTCCACCGGTTCCCTCGGTCTTCCCCTCCACCGGCGTCAGACGACAACCTTGGAACCATGTCGGGCCCCTACCACAACCAGGGCTATCCTCAGTACGGCGGCTCATCTGCTCAACCCTACCAGTCCTACAATACTCCCCCTCCGGGTGCTGCTCCCTACAATAGGCCCCCTCCGCAGCAACCGCCTTACCCCGCATCGTCTCAGCAGGGCTATGCACGTCCTGCCCCGCCACCGCCGCAGGGTCAGCCCTACGGATCTTCACAATCGGCTTATTCTGGACAACAGCCATCTCAGTCCCCGTACCCGGGACAGCAGTCCCAGCCTCCATACCCCGGGCAACAGGCCCCGTATCCTGGACAGCAGGCTCCCTACCCCGGACAGCAGCCGCCTCAGTCCCCGTATCCCGGACAGCAACCGCCCTATGTACATATGAACCCTATATACCCCTGTTCTATGTTATGCATTGCTTCGTGATCTGACAAAAGAGAGAAGCCGAATGTCTGCTAACGGAAAATAGGGCCAGGCGCCCTACCCGCCCCAGGGTCCTCAATATCCCGGCGGACAGGGACGTCCTGGACCTTCTCCAGGACCACCTGGTGGCCGGCCACCCCAGGCCGCCCCCGTCACTCCTCAGCAAGTCAACGCATATCGCCAGTTGTTGGTTAGCACTATCCAAGAGAGGAACCTTCAGAGCTTCTACCCGCCGGAGAGACTGGAGCAACTCGTACAATCCCTCGCCAATGATGCACCCGGGAAACTTGCCAGGCTGACCAATGAATGGTCTGTGCCCATGGAGGTGGCCACCGATGTGATGAAGCTGGCCCTGTTTGACGTGATTCTCTACGTGGACGACAGCGGGTCGATCGAGTTTGAAGAAAAGGGACTTCGCAAGGATCAACTGAGACAAATTCTGGGCATCGTGGCCACTGCCGCGTCGACTTTCGACCAGGATGGTATCTCGGTGCGATTCATGAACAACATGGAGCGCGGTGATGGAATTCGTAGTGCGGCGGATGTCGACATGCTGGTCTCCCGCGTGCGGTTCGCAGGGTTGACTCCCCTGGGCACCGGCTTGAAAGACAAGGTCATCGACCCCATGGTCGTAGGCCCGGCTCGTGCCAACCGCCTCGACAAGCCCGTGTTGGTGATCACTATCACGGACGGACAGCCTGCCGGCGAGCCCCACGGTGCTTTGCGCGATGTGATTCAACACGCCGTAAACGAGGTCTCGCGAACTCGGTATGGCCGCGGTGCTGTTTCCTTCCAGTTCACCCAGGTTGGCAATGACCAGCGCGCGCGTGAATTCCTGTCGGACTTGGACGAGGATCCGCAGATTGGACAGCTGATTGACTGCACCTCGAGTATGTTGCACGATCCGTGAAGCTTCCATCTAAGTCATGCTAACCACTCGATAGACTTCGAGGTTGAGCAGGATGAGATGTCCCGGGCTGAGCCACCAGTGTATTTGACACGCGAGCTTTGGGTAAGTTTTCATGCTGACTTGTGATACGTAGAGGTGAACTGATTATCTCCGCAGTGCGCGAAGCTCATGCTCGGCGCCATCGATTCGTCTTACGATACCAAGGACGAGAAGGCAGCCGGACGGTCCAGTGGACCACCACCTCCGCCGGGTGGCTACGGTGGATATGGTCAAGCACCGCCGGGTCAAGGCCCGCCTGGAGGATATAACGCACCGCCATCTGGATACGCCCCACAGCCCGGCTACCAGGCCCAAGCCCCTCAGCAACCGCCCTACCAAGGCAGTAGCCGCGGCCCTGAATATGGCCAGGCACCGTATGGATATGGCGCACCCTCGCCACAACCACCCGCCGGTGGACCAGGCTATCCGCCCTATGGAGGCCATGGACAGGCGCCACCACGTCGCTACTAGGAAGTGACGTCAAATGCCCTTTTGTCTCCGGTTCCTAGCGAGTGACTTTGACTTTTTAACCTTTTCAACGTTTTTACCGCTCTCCACATTTATCATGTTCTCCATACTCGGGACGATAGATTGAACGGATGGGATGGCGATTAGTAACAAATAGTTAGGCGAACATACATGTTGAACCGTCCCCGCGCTAAACTTAATATTGCCCAAAACGGAGATCTCGCCGCTAGAGGTCCCGGACCCCCACTGCCCAGACCGAGAACAGGTATTTGCACTGCGAGTTCGCTTACGCCAAGGGCTGCCTAGTTTAGTCGGGAATAGTCGTAGAAGTACATTGTGCACAGTGTGTACTGTAGACCGTGTCGAACGAGTAGGTATTGTCCCTAATAGGGTTGCCACCGAACTGACATGGAAATCTGGCCACGCCGACCGTGGAATACAGCCGGTTGGCCAATGGTTGTTGATGCCCTGTTCACAGCCCTCCTGTCAAAAGAGGGCTGTGAACAGGGCCACCCATGGATGCGGCAGTATTTATAAACGTTCCTCAAATTCGACCGTGGCTGAGTGCCGTCGCAACCAGGCAGGGGCCCCGTCCGGTGGATGCAACCATCCAACTCAACCCCCCGTTGCGCGTTGAGTCTCCACACCCCATATCCACGAGCCTGGACACTGTTCTGCCGGGCCTGCGATGGTGGAGATCCATTTTCCTCTCCTCTGGCTCTTCGTCAATTCTTAACTTAATTCTGCTGCCTTTTTGCCTCTCGCTTCACCGTTTCGGGTGTCTTCCCGTTTCCGGTCCTCGCCTCTACGCTAACAACTTTGTTCTTTGCACCTTTGAGACGGGCGACTTTGCGACTGCTGCGATATTATCTTCTCTTCACATTCGCTCTACTCCGCATCTTCAGAGTCGTGCCCCTCATTTCTTGTCCCTTGCGTCGGACGTATTCTCGTTTGCGATCTTCTGCAGCATTCGTTTGACCGAAGAACTCGCCCGCTGGACCGTGTGGTGAACGATAAAGGAGGCATGGTCTTTATCCAGTGTCTTTTTAATCGATCGCTTCGATTATAGGAAACAAAGGGAAGTCAATCACAGATCTCTGGAAGAACAGTGATCGATCGGGTGCCCCGCAGGCACGATCCGAAGCATTTAGCATTTTCCGCAATGTCCAACCACGAGTCCTCCTCCGATAGCAACCCTCCGGAGCAGCATGAGGTCGCGGCCAGTCCTTCTCTCGTCTCGTCGCGCACCTTATCGGACTCCGGGCGGCGCACCTCCCAATATAACCATGTGCGCTTTTCAACAGACCTCGAACGAGTCCCTGTCGAAGAACCGCGACAGGCGGACTGGGACCGACGCCCAAGCTCGCGTGGCCTGACAATCGACACGGCGCTGGCGCCTCCAACTGTCCGATCGCCTCCTCGCTCTCCCATCTCCCCTCTTTCCCCCGGTGCTGCCCCCGGGGCCACCCCCGGGGCCACACTCTCTCCGCACTCCCCGACCTCCCCAACGAGCCCGGAATCTGGGCGTTCGCGCTCACGAAACCGTGGCTATTCCCTCCGCAGATCGATCTTCAACAGGAATATCCAGCCAACTTCGGAAACCGATATCGCTGGTGCCGAGCTGGGTGAGGCCAAGGGGCCGAGCCCCGTTCCCGAGGATGGCCCAGCCCCGGTGGCCACTGAGCCCGGTGCTATCGATGAAAAGCACGAGCTGATCGTTGCGCAGACCGCAACTGTTGGATCTACCTTGAAAGAAAGCTCGACGTACCCTTCTTCCGACCCTTCAGAGCGCACCTGCAAGGACCACTACACATCTGTTGCGCAGGACGAATGGCTGAAGAGGAAGGCTGCCACGGCGGTGATTTTCTCCCGACTCGAGGCGGTCATGACCGCAATGCAAAAGTTCATCTTGCGCATTAAAGACATCCCACCAACTCAGGACGGACGCCATATCGATTTGAACCCGTCGTTGGTTGAGACATTTGTTGACGAGCGCACCGGGAAGGTTTACATTGGAAATTGGATTCGGTCCAGCCGCTATAGCTTCTGGAGCTTCTTCCCCCGGCAGCTATTTGCGCAGTTCACCAAACTGGCGAACTTTTACTTCCTGGTTGTTGCGATTCTGCAAATGATTCCCGGCCTGAGTACCACGGGAACTTATACGACTCTGGTTCCACTCTTGATTTTCGTCGGTATCTCCATGGGCAAGGAAGGTTTTGATGACTGGCGCCGGTATCGTTTGGATAAGGAAGAAAACAATCGATTTGCCTGGGTGCTTCGATCCGAGGCTGGTGGTGTCCAAGATTGGGTGGAGATCAAGTGGCTGGATATCCGGGTCGGAGATGTCATCAAGCTTAAGCGAGATCAGCCAGTTCCGGCTGATTTCGCTTTGCTGCATGCAAACGGTCCCAACGGCGTTGCCTATATCGAGACTATGGCTCTGGATGGTGAGACCAGCCTCAAGAACAAGCAGCCGTGCCAGCCAGTTTCGAAGGTTTGCTCTACAGTTGAGGACATCACCAGCAACTCACTTCATTTTGTTGTAGAGGACCCGAACATGGATCTCTACAAGTTTGATGGCCATGTTACTGTCAACGCCCAGGAGAAGCTGCCATTGACCAATAACGAGATCGTTTACCGAGGAAGTATTCTGCGGAACACCGACGAAGCCATCGGCATGGTTATTTACACCGGCGAAGAATGCAAGATTCGCATGAACGCCAACAAGAATCCTCGCATCAAGAAGCCGACTTTGCAATCAAAGGTTAATCGCGTCGTTATGCTGATTGTGGCTCTGGTGGTTATTCTGGCTGTCATCTGCACGGTTTGCTACAAGTTCTGGTCCGAGAACGTGGAACGTTACTCCTGGTACCTGACGGACGCGAGCGTGCAATACGGTCCAATCTTCACCTCTTTCCTCATCATGTTCAATACCATGATACCCATTTCGCTGTATGTCAGCATGGAGATTGTGAAGGTTGTCCAGATGTTCCTGCTCAACGACATCGACATGTACGATCCCGAAACCGACACCCCTCTCGAGGCTCGCACCTCCACCATCAACGAAGAGCTGGGCCAAGTGAGCTACATCTTTTCCGATAAGACCGGTACCCTGACGAACAACTCGATGCGTTTCCGAAAGATGAGCGTTGCTGGTACAGCGTGGTTGCACGATCTGGATCTTCAGGAAGAAGCTGCCCGTGACGGTGACCACACGAAGCTCATCCACAAGAAGCGTAACCTCAAGGGAAAGAAAGCTGTGGGCCGCAAGTCAACTGCGTCCGAGGCGCGCATGCAATCCGGTCCTCGGCCTTCCAATATCTCTGCTGGCCTCGAAGCGATGCGCCACCTCCGCCATTCGCCTTACAGGACCACCGACATGCTTGAGTACATCCAGCGCAAGCCGTACACAATCTTCGCGCGAAAGGCAAAACTGTTCATCATGTCCATCGCTCTCTGCCATACTTGTATTCCAGAGGAGGATGCGAATGGCAACGTCTCCTTCCAAGCTGCCTCACCAGACGAGCTTGCCCTGATTCTCGCGGCCCAGGAACTCGGATACTTGGTTATTGACCGCCAAGTGAACACTTTGACGATTCGTACCTACCCCAATGGCCCGGAAGAGGCTTCCCAAGATGAAGTTTACGAAGTTATGGACGTGATTGAATTCTCCAGTGCGCGCAAGCGCATGTCGGTTGTGGTGCGCATGCCTGATCAGCGTATCTGTGTCTTCTGTAAGGGTGCCGATACTACTCTTATGCGTCTGCTTAAGAAGGCCGATTTGGCGCATGAGAAGGCTATTGAGATTGAGCGCCATGCCAGCAAGCGCAAGGCCGCAGAAGCGAATCAGGTCATTCGTCGCAACAGCGAGTACCACAGCCGCAAGGACAGTGGTGTTCGCAACAGCTTGAGTCGGCCCAGTTTCAACCGTCGACGCTCCTCCGTTTCTGGTCAGCATGCGTCGGCTTTGCGAGAAAGTATTGATGTCTGGCTGCGCGACCGTGAGACGGATGGTGGCATTCTCGACCGACGACCTGATAGCGAATATTACAGCCCACGCCCGTCTGCACAAATGGGACGGAACTCGGCGGCTATCTCCGACTCGGGTAGCTCTACCAATGGCGAGGAAGAGGAGGATCTGGTCGAAGAGGCCCTTGTCGTGAACGAGGCCGCTGTCTTCGAGCGATGCTTCCAGCACCTGAATGACTTTGCTACCGATGGATTACGCACCTTGCTCTATGGCCACCGCTTCCTGGACGAGGCTACGTACAAATCCTGGAAGGCTGCCTACCACGAGGCGTCTACCAGTATCCTTGACCGTCAGCAGAAGATCGAGCAGGTTGGCGAGGAGATTGAGCAGCAGCTCGAGCTGACTGGTGCGACTGCTATTGAGGACAAGTTGCAAAAGGGTGTCCCGGAGGCTATTGACAAGTTGCGTCGTGCCAATATCAAGCTGTGGATGTTGACTGGTGACAAGCGTGAGACCGCCATCAATGTCGGCCACTCCTGCCGACTGGTGAAGGACTACTCGACATTGACCATTCTGGATCATGAGAATGGTGACGTCGAGCAGACTATTATCCAGTTGACTTCCGATATCAGTCGCAACCGCGTGGCCCATTCTGTTGTGGTTGTTGATGGCCAGACTCTGTCAAAGATCGAGGCGGATGAGATTGTGATGAAGCGATTCTTCCAACTCGCCATTCGTGTCGACTCTGTCATCTGCTGTCGTGCCAGCCCGAAGCAAAAGGCTTTCCTGGTAAAGTCTATTCGCACACACCTGGATGACGCCATTACTCTTGCAATTGGTGATGGTGCCAATGACATCGCGATGATCCAGGAGGCGCACGTTGGTATCGGTATCACCGGTAAGGAGGGTCTTCAGGCGGCGCGTATCTCGGACTACTCGATTGCGCAGTTCCGCTTCCTGCTCAAATTACTGCTCGTTCACGGAAGGTGGAACTACATGCGCGCATGCAAATACACACTCGGCACATTCTGGAAGGAAATGCTGTTCTACCTCACCCAGGCGCTGTACCAGCATTGGAACGGCTACACCGGAACCAGTCTGTACGAGCCATGGAGCTTGAGTATGTTCAATACTCTCTTCACCTCGCTTGCTGTCATCTTCCTGGGTATCTTTACCAAGGACCTCGCCGCATCGACTTTACTGGCCGTGCCTGAGCTCTACTCCCGGGGCCAGCGACATGGTGGCTTCAATATCCGCTTGTGGCTGGGCTGGACCTTTATGGCAGCCTGTGAAGCTGTGATCATCTTCTTCACCATGTACGGTCTATTCGGCATGTGTCAGATCAACCCAAGTGGCGTCGACACATTCTCCCTCGGCCTCCTTACCTTTACCGCCTGTGTTGTGGTCATCAATTTCAAACTACAAGTCCTAGAAGTCCACAACAAGACCTACCTCTCCTTGATCGTGACCATCATTTCCGTCGGCGGCTGGTTCCTATGGAACATGATCCTCTCCGAGCGCTACACCATGAGTTCTGGTAAGGGCATCTACGACGTGCCCGACAACTTCCTCCACCACGTCGGCGACAATCTCCTCTTCTGGGTCGTCCTCCTCATCGCCGTCGCGGCAGTCCTCCTCTTCGAACTCACAGTCAGCACCCTCCGCGCCCTCTTCTTCCCCACAGACGTGGACATCTTCCAAGAGTTCGAGCAGGACCTCGATATTCGCAAGCGTTTCGAAGAAGCAGCTGCCCCGGAGCTCCAGCAAGGTTGGGCCCACGGAAAAAAGAAGTCCAGCTTCGAAAACGCCCGCGAGAATGCCGAGTTGGATGCCCGCGAGCGCCAGGTCCAAGAACTCTTATCCCGGCCTCGCGTCATGACCGAGTCCAAGTCCAAGCCTGTCACCCAGGAGATCGAGGTGGAAGGCTACTCCAGCGCCAGTGCCAGTGCCAGCATGATCCACGTTGGAAGCAATGTGATCGATTCTGTCACCCCCATCGCTGACTCGGAACCCATCTCACCGGGTGAATCCTGTGTGCGTCGCCGCTCAGTCGAAATTCACGAACTATTCAGCAAAGGCTTCGGTACCATCCGCAAGGGTCAGCTGAAATGACTCATGTGTAAATCATTTGTATATACGAGCGGTTGCTCCTCTTTCCCTTATTTTCTCCTCTTTCCCTTATTTTCTCCTCTTTCCCTTATTTTCTCCTCTTTCCCTTATTTTCTCATCGCGTCATTCCCTCATAGCGTGTTTTTGTCCTTGTTTCTGCCTGAGCTAAACGGCGTTGGTGCTGTTTATCGTTCCCTTTTTTATCGTGCATAGTCGAGACAGACTTAGATACCCCGTCCATCTACGTCTGGTTGTTTCCTTTTGCTAGTGGTTTTGGGATGACTCCCGGTACATATCATACTCCTACTACCTCATCATGAAGTCCTAAGCATATCTTTTATTTCTTTCCACGTATCCAGAGCAGAGTAGAGAGCGGACGTAGCATACATGAGAGGAGAGAGAGTCAACATAATACAAACCCCAACCCTCCACCCTCAAACCATCAGACCTGATTAAACAGGAACATCAAACGGCCACATAGCCCTAACCTCCCTCTCCCCGATCCTCTCCTCCCCCTCCTCAAGCTCCGCATTCATAAACTCGTTCAAAGCCTTCCCATAAAGATCTTTGTGAACCTCCTGCATAACATCCCAATTCTCCTCAATCAACCACCCATCAACCTCCACGTTCAAAGTAGTACACAACACCTCCTTCAACCCAACCACCGCTTTCATCTCCTCATACTCCTTCTCATGCACCTTGATCTCCTCCCCACTCGGCTCCGGATACGGACACGTCCCATTGAACCCAAGACCCTTCCAATCCTTCCTCAATTCAACAAGTTCATGGTGTAGACTCGGTATTCCCCGCGACCACGTATCCGCACACACCCAGTAGAGACGGAAGATGTTCTCATGCATGTCTCTCGGCTCGTTCAGCCTCGGTATATCCCGAATAGCGTCCCGAAATGCCTCCGCGCACAATTCGTCTCTTCCTCGCTCCGCATCCTCCTCTTCCGCATGGATCCGCTTTTCAAGTACCGCTCCGTTGGGAACGGGTCTCCCTGCTGCGCGATGCGCGAAATCAGGCGTCGCGCTCGCATACCGGAATGCGGGTTCGATGGCAGCTCCGTTCCAGTCGAGGATGGCTGTTACCACGGATGGGTCTGAGTCTGAGATGAGGATGTTGCGTTTTTGTACGTCTGGTAGGAGTGTTGGTGTGCTTTGGGGTTTGAGTTGTGGATCTTGGGATATGGCGTGTAGGACGCCTCGGGCGGCTTCGAGCAGTTTTATGTGTTGGATGATAGAGCCTTGGTAGGTTGGTTGCGGGGTTAGGTCTGGGTCTGGTGTTCTTGGTGGAAGGAGGGCGAGGCCGGCGTTGATTTGTGCGTTGGCGTATGCTAGCATGTCAGGCACTGTAGGAGTTAAGACTGGCTCGGTTTGGTTGGGGGTTGAGGGCATACATGGTTCTGGAGTAGGAGATCCATGATGGTGGTAGAATTTGGTTGTTCCACACTCCCAGTATCGCTCTCCGCAATGAGGTCCGATGCAGAATTTGTCGTCGAGGGCGTGGGTTGGGTACGTTAATGTATTGGCGAAGTAGATGCTTCCGTACATGGGAAAGTCCAATGCAACTACTTCCTTGAGTATTTGGTAAATGTTCTCTATGCATTTTACTCTCTGGTCATCTGTCATGTCGGGCCATTTCCAGTAGAGGTTTGTACCAGGTGCGTGCTCTGAGATGATGTACTCGCTCCCGATGTTGTTGGAGGCATCGGCGCTCCAGTCGAGTATTTTTGGTATTGGGATATTTGTTTTTTGTTGAACTGAACAATGTTAGTTCCACGGTTATGGGACTTTTTTACCGATGTAGACTGACGGTATCTGATTGTAGCCACTTCGGAGGCAGTGGTTAGACTGGGCGGACCCGCGACTTTGAATGGGAGTCGCGCTATAGTGCAATTACCGTTATCGAGAGTGAAGGTGAACACTCGGTGGTTGCTGCCTTCTATCTTCTCGCAGTTCGTAATGGACTTGGCATCTGATAGCGCCAGGACTTTCTCGCTCAATTCGTTGAAGTCGAAGTTGATGTACCGGAGCCGGCGCTGAACGTTGTCTTTTAGGAGCCAGCGGGCGCCTGTATAATTGTAGGGGTCGAAATCTAGGACTTTTTCTGTGTCGGATACATTTCCAGGGCGAGGCGCAAGGTTGGGCTGACTGTTGTGCGTTGCGGAGCCTGTACATGCTTCCGTTGAGTAAGAAATCCTGTGCCATGCTGTCTTAAGTTGTGATATTTGCCCCCAAGAGCGTTGACCTAAGCGGAAAAGGCCGAATCGGCGCACGGGTATCATTGTATCTTTACCAGAACCTGTAGATGGCTACGCCGTTCCAAACCAGGGGGTGGAGGACGCGTCTGCCAAGAATGGTCGATATTGGAATACGCCAGGGTACTTTTTCAATACGTTTCAGGAATTAACCACAAGGGGCATTTGGACATCAGGATAAGGCTTTGTTGATGGGGGACTGACCGGAAGGAAGGGAGGTTGAATTAGACAGGGGTCTAACCGAGCTGGGGCCAATTGCAGGGATTTAAAGGAACAACATCAACATCCACCATATAGCATAGATTGCTACAACAGATACGACGCATGACAAGCGAATCAATAATACGGGCGAAAATATGGGTAAGGTTTTCGTAAAGGCTTGAGTCAACCCTTAAGCGGGCATTATTCCATATTCAATTCATGTATATACATTTGTTATTGCTCGGTCATTTCGGGACTGTCCATCGACCTATTTTGCATTAGTTTCCCCAAAGTCAAGCCAGTCATGCCATACATACTAATGTCCAATGTTTACAGCAGACCGATAACGATGTCACCATAGAGCTGAGCGTCGAGGTCAAGTCGGACCTTGGCGTGCAGATTGAGGTGGATCTTGATCTTCAGACTCTCCTTGCCCTCCGTGTCACCCAGGGTCTCGCCAGGGATCGTAAGGCCAGAGGAAGGCTGGGTGGCAATACCGCCACCCTTGTTTCCGAAGATGCTGTGCTCCTCATCGGGTCGGTTGCCCTTACGGCCTCCCTTTGGCAGAGAGTCGGTCATGGCGGTAGTACTAGGCGGAGGAGAGTTAGTGAAGGCTTGAGGATCAGGAGATGGCGTGCGTTTGGGTAGATTCGGATTTGGGGGTGGCCGCGGCTTGTTCTTGGTCTTCCTTTTGGACATTGGTAAAGAGTGCGAGGCAAAGTAGAAGAACCAAGTTACCGTGGGCAGGTCAAAATGGGGGATGAGGAACTGGAGGATGCTGAGATACCTGTCGGCCATTGTGTAATTTGTTTTGTGTCGCTGGAGTGGTTTATGAAGAGTGAGGAGGAGGGGGAAAATAAGCAAGAGAAGGGTTTGGAGGGATTTCGACAGTGAGCTATTTCAAGTTTCCCTTCGGCAGTGATGGGAGCTGGAACGAGTTCAGCGATCTGCAAGCGCTGGGTCCTGGAATGGACCGTCCGTGTGTTTATCAAGCTCGTTTTGTTTAGTTGCAGAAAAGTGATGCAGCTCGTGGGGATAAAAGTGGACTTCATCCACTCGGGTTGAACTGTATCCACTGCCATCTCCCCGGTGCTAAAACTGGAAAGCTCGGTATTTATCTGTTACACGCTGGCGCCCACTACAGTATAACTATTCCTCAAATTACACACCCGAGATCGTACCTGCGCCCATTCCATCACGATGGTACTGGGTGTCGTCATGATGGCGACCATGCTACCGACCATGATCGGTCTAAACGAGGCCACGCAGGGGAGCCGCCAGCACGAGGAAGACCGAGTGAACAACGCGCGCAAGTCGCGCACCCATCTCGTGGCCACAGTGTCGTTAACTCAGGGCACGCAGGGGCAGCGGGAGCAGGTTCATAATGCCATGGTGCAAGTGGGTCGGGACGGAAAGGTAAGTTCATGCAGCGAGTTTCGGAAGTTTGACTTCTGTGCTAATGTGCTGCAGCTCTATATCACCAAGCAGCCCGCTTCCACCATGGTCCCCTACAATGGCGGATTCTACTCACACCCAGACTTCCCGCCCAGTAATACATCTGGGTTGGTGACCGTCAGTGGCGAGGAGACTCCGACTCTCCGCTGGGTGTTTCTGGATAAAAACACGCATGAGCTGCGCTGGGGCGGCCGTCCCGATAGTGAGGGCCACGTATGTGGGCCTTTTGACTGGTCCAAAGACGAGACGTACGTGACATTGGATGGTTGGGAAGGATGGCTCGCCGTGCGACTACCGGACGATGAGACCCACGATCGGACAAACCACGAGCTGGGGATCGACGATGGGCGCGAGGTGTGGCGATTGTATTTTGATCAAAATGATGATGGAGCTGATCTGCCACCCGGTGCTCAGGGGCTGGAAGTTCGACTGAAACGAGTGACGGCAGAGTCATGATGACGAGGTAATATTACATGTGGAGATGTGACATGATAGTCATCGTTCCGGTTTGCTGTATGCAGTATAGAATTTGACATGTACATCCTACTTCATTTCTCTCGTGGGTGATCATCGGCACAAATTTGCCCGACATCGTCAAGGCGTGTACTGTACCGCTAGGCCGATCGCACTAGATATTGGACGAACAGTGGATCGAACTAATAGCCTGCGATCCCCACTGGGTGCGCTAAGACCCAATTATCCGGCATCCGATCTGAGGCAGTTCGCGAGTGGTTTGCCGAGCTCCACCGGGCTTCCTTGCTGTTACCATGTGGAGCTCAACACGGACTGCTTCCCCGCTGTTCGCTCATGCCGAATTTTACGCTGCCAGCTCGTCACCCTGGGTCCCGGGTCCTGGGTCCTGCCGTGGGGTCGGATGCATGTCACTATCTACTGTTGTGAATACTGTAGTTGAGGGTCGGACCCGAACTGCCGTGCCAAGGTTCGCATTCCGCGGCCCGCGACTTTCCCGCAAATTCTAGCTTTGGTCAAAGCGTAGTGTTCTCCATTACTGGTGGAGCTGAACAGGATTGTTCACTTCCATCTCCTCACGGTGGCGTAGCTGCCGTCCCTAGATTGACTCCACTTCGGATGCAGGCTGATGTAAAATAACGCAACCTCGAGCTCCATGCTGTGGGAATTATCCAATAGGAGATTTCAAGAGCTCCAGTGAGGGGTTGTGGAAATATATATCCCCGCTTTCTTTGACTGCTGGGCTGGAATCGTCCGTGGCGGTACGCATTGGTACTTTTGAAGGGCCTAGTGTACTTTACCTCACCGACATGGTCTACAACCACGCCGAGCTGCAGCCTCCGAGGTCTAGAACGAGGTTATCGTTCTAGATGAAGGTGCCCAGTTGCAGCATTCTCCATCTGTTTGCTAATGCACATTCTTGCGGTTGTTCCGCAGCTGGCATGTCTTGATCATGCAGCTACTGACCTGGAACATAGGGGACGACTTCGCAATTGAGCGATGTCCAGAACTAGATAAAAATGGTCAGCAGACTCGACAAGCAGGCCCAAACTGGTAATCAGTTGTTCCCTGTTCTGTATACGCACTATCCATGGCTCGATGCTATGCCTCCGTTTATTCGCATCGAGGGACTTGCCCTCGACCATTCTCCTTCCCAACAATCGCCTGCACCCGATTACTGGGCGTCAGGGACACGTATCAGAGACTGGAATATGCGGTAAGTGGTTCGAGAAATGAAGGAGAGCAATTATAACTGACTCCATATAAGATCTGAAGCAACTGTGACATCATGCAATTCTTCCGGTCAAGCATTGCGCAGCATAGTTGCTCTTGACCTCTCCCACCACTATAGAAGCGTCCCAAAAGAAAAACTTCACAGTGACATGGTCGAGTGTATCCGTGTACGCCAAACAGATCCGTTTGAAATTCCGAAGCAGAAATTATGCTCCTTGTATTTGAAAGTTAGAGCATCTGGGGATTAGAGTTAGACTAATCGGGTTATCACCCGAACAAACTCGACAGGCTATATCAGGCTACGCCTCAGATCTTGCCGAGGAGCTGATATTCCTTCCGGTAGTAATTACCGACGGGTTGGTCAGTACCTATTCCAGGAACTGCAGACGAGCCGATGATTCTCGCTTTAGATGATCGCGTCCACGCCATGGGTGAGTGGAACAATGGCCTGGGCTAAGCGATTGAAGTCGGCCAGGAGGTAGCATACCTTCAGCCCGCTTTTGTCCGTAACAATGGATGGACCAGCCGGTGGTGAAAAATCTCTGAACTACCAATAAGATTGAGTCTACGCACACCGAGTTCAAAGCCACATTTGTGAAGCTGGTCACCTTCATCGCTCCTTTCAACGGCAAGGGGGGAACATGAGGCACCCATGTTCCATACACTCTCCATCATCCTGTGAGGATCGCTTGGGTAGTATTTTATAGAAGTCAAGGGCGATGTTAGGGGAATTTCCTATAGTTTATTTTTAGAGCATGATCTTGGCTTGTTACCGGTCCTCAACTTGAACCCCTTGGCGAGGTGTTTGAATTTGATGAAAAGGGAAGGGCCATAGTAATAACGTTTGAAGACAAATTATTTCAATTTTTGTGCTGATCAGTATATAACCGAATATGTTTGCGACAAAGATACAATGCGAATGAACGATATACAAATTGTTCGCAGAAAGGCTCAATAATCAAATACGGTCATGAATGACGTGCCACTAGGCAACGACAACGCTCTGGTTGAGAGCCTCGAGCATGGGGAAAGGTCCGGCCTGTAATTTACGTTAGAAATCGGTGTGCAGACATTCGCGATTCGGTACTTACCCCAATGAGAGTAGCGTGAGCCACGTTGATCTGGGCAGAGCCGGTAGTGAAATCGGCCGGGACTTTCACGGAGAAGTTCTGGTAGGGAGGCAGGCTAGGCTCGTGGTACTGGGGGTCGAATTTGCCATTGTAGAGAATGGTTCCCATGACCTCGTCGGCCTGGTGGCAGGTGCCGGAGCATGAGGAAATGCCGATCGCAACGGCCATCTCGATAGATCCGGTGAGGGAGTTCTGCTAATATTAGAATCGTAACGTGAAAGGCCGGTAGAAATCAAACATACAGGACGCTGGACCTGGACAGTCACGTCACTGTCCTTCTCGACCTTCTGTCCGGCGGTGGGCAGGCCGATGTGGGCGCTCTGGGCCAGAGCGACACCGGCGAAAGCAGCGATAGCAAAGAATGACTTCATTTTGAAAGTGGAACGAACGACAAGAAATTAGAACTAGATTAAATTAAACGGGCGGATGCTGTGAATTGGAGATATCAAGCTACGGGCAATGAACTATTTATATGTAGATGATCAGGAACCAGACTCGATTTTTCGACCAGGAAGGTTTCAAAGGCGACCGTGGTCGCGCCGTGGTGATTCGCCAAGTCTCAGCAGATCTTAGCAAATCTCGGTAACTTGTCTCGGTACAAGGCCCAATCCTTATTCTTTTCTGTTCGGTGTGGACCGCCCTTGAGGGGATCCGCCAATGATACTGCAAGGCACATGTACACCGAATCCCGGTTCCAAATTAATTGATTCCCCACGCTAGGTGCTTTTTTTGGTCCCCCGGCTTCTCGGCGCGTGGTTACCGCGGCGATCCGGGTCCCTCGAAGCCGCTAAAGCTACCGCTGCCGGCCTAAAAGCTTACACTACCCGCTACTCGATCTCACCGTGTTTCACTGGATCTAGTACCCGGGGCAGTGGATTGAGGCGTAGGACACCGGTAGGCCCTTTCATGTGGCCGACAGCGCTCACTCGACCCGGCTGTGCCTATTGGCTCTGGAGGAAGCATGCACGCTACCTGCACGTATGATTGGTAAACCCATCTGGAACACGTCGTACTCCTAAGACCCGTGCATTGTCTATAAAAAAGACTGTTATTTTTAGAAAACGATATCATTGTCTGCGATTGAGAGCTCTCAAGGGTTGCCTGATCAGAGAGAGTATAGCCAAAGACCATCCAACGGCGTGGTAAGGCCCCCAAGCGGTTGAAGCAAGAATGTTGGCTCTCGTCGATCGAGATCGATCGCCGTTATATGGAACTCTCGGAAGTCACTTCAACGGCTGCATCGAGAATACGACGAGAACAAGCCCTGGAGTATAGGCGCATTCCTCTGGTGGTGGTTGTCGGTGTCGGGTATATGGTCACTAAGAGAAATTACACGAGGTTCCTGATTACCCCGATTATCCTGATTATCCTGATTATCCTGCAAGGGTTGATTACACTTAATCGACTTGACATAAATAATTTGTTCATTGAAGAGCACACATACGATACCAACTGGCTGCCCGCCGCCCTGCATCTGCGTTACTTCCATCTTCAATAATACCTAAATACATGTAACCAGCCGTTTTTAAGAACTTTCAACACCGTATTCACAGGTAGGTTGAATCCACACGCGTCTTCTCCCGCTTCAAAAACTGGGCAAAGCTTCCCAGTTCTACCCCCCAAGACTTGACCTTCTCCATATCAACAAACAATGACAGATCGCGAATCACCATCTGTGCACCGAGAAACGGGTCCTGTGATGCCCGATCCTCGATCTCCTTCTCCGACAAGAAAGTAACTTTCATATCCTTCCCAGTTGCATCCGACAGATCCCGCATCACCTTCTCAACTCCCATCATCTCCGATGTGATCTCGATTTCCATTTGATTGAACTTGTCAGAGTCCAAAACTGCCGCTGCCGCGAACTTCCCGATGTCGTTGGGATCAACCATTGGCAGCACCGTGTCCCGAGTAAAAGCGGTGGTAAATGTGCCCGTCTCGACGAGGCCTTGGTACATCCGAACGAGCGGGTCGAGGAAGTTGGACATGAAGTTGCCCGGTCGCAGAATTGTCCAGTGCTTGAATCCTGCGTTTCGGACTTCGTTTTCAATGGCTTGCTTGCCGAGAACTACCATGCCTACAGGACCGTTGGGGTTCCAGTGCCGAAGACGGGTAGGGTCCGTGGTGCCCATGGCGCTGGTGTAGATGACTTGCTGAACGCCGAGGTGTTTGGCCAGAGAAAGGACTCGTTGAGCTTGTTCAAGCTCTCTTTTGGGGTTGGTATGGTCGGGACTTAAGTTGAGGAAGAGGGTTGTGCAGCCTGTCATGTTTTTCTTTAGGCTTTCCTCGTTGTCGAAATCGCCCTCCGCGAGGGAGACCCCGAGAGAGCGGAGCTTCTGCGCGGCATCGGAGTTGATGTTTCGGGTGATGGCATGGATTTCAATGTGATGCTCGAGGAGGTTCTGAATGAGGGCACCTCCTTGGGTGCCGGTTGCACCGCAAACGAAAACTTTAGGCGAGCACATGATTGAATTGAGATCCAATAATGAATGGGTCCTAGAAAAATAGTTGATTGACCCTATTTCTCGGAGATGTTGGCATTCTTTATATCTTTCTGTGAAGCTATTCCACTATCGCCTTCCTTAGTCTTCTTACTCGGGATTGTATAAATCGCGGAACTCCGCCACTGATTGGAGGGGCCGGAAGCCAGATCCACTTTTAGCAGGCGGAATTCCGCACGCTAGCACCGAAATGGAAAGACAGGATCCACGGCCTTTTTGAATCCTGGGTAATTTTTTTGAACCTCGCTGATTTTCTCGGTCAGGCACTATGTACGATACGGGCGCTCCACCGCGCCGAAAGTCTTGCGAGACATGCAAGACGTCTAAAAGACGGTGTGACCTTGCCTTCCCGTTCTGCTCCCGGTGCGTCAGCCGGAATCTACCGTGCGTCTATCCCGGAACGCAGCCTTCAGCTTATCCCGACTTCGTGGAAGACATACCCGCGTTGTTGGCCCCGACAAATACATGGCAGGCCGACGTGCTCTCTTCGCCCTTTAATTTAGACCTAGCCCTTTGTTCACAATCAAACATCGCGCCAAATATTAGCCACATTGATGATGGACAGCCGCGATATCCTCCCCACTATCTACCCCGGAGCCAAGTGCTGGGTATACATGACGACTTGGCATCTCTCCCGAATCAATCTCTACCAAATCGCGAGTTAGTGGAGTCGAGAACAAGGCCGCTACGGCCTCTTCCTGACATTGTCGCCACCCATCTTCAATTCGCCATCGACGTTCTCAAGGAAACGCCAAGAATGATGGTTCTTCAGAATCAGACTCCCTGGTGCCATCCATCCCTCTATAAAAGAAATATGCCAAGAGCAATGCAAGGTCAGTTGAACTCTCAACCCCCTCTTTTCGGATGAATTACCTAAACATATTCCGTGCAGATGCCTACGCCTGCTGCTCACTCTACATGTCCAAAACCGAAATAAACGCCCCGGTGATAATGTCCCTCTTCGACGACCGGACACGAGACCTACTCTCATCCTCAGAACCAACAACCACCCGAGAAATCCTAGCTCGCACACATGCTCTGATTCTCTACCAAATAATGCGCCTATTCGACAGCGACATCCGCTCCCAAGCAAGAGCCGAAGCCCTCTTCACAACCCTGGAAGCCTCAGTGGTCGCCCTCATGAGAAATATCTATGTTCCAGGTCTTACGGGACCCGCCGAACTTCTCCCTTTATCAATGAATTCTATCATCGAGTTCTGGGAGTCGTGGGTTCTGCAAGAGTCCGCCAGACGAACTGTCCTCTTGACTTATTACTTTATTCAAATCTATAAACTCCTCCAGGGTAAGGTGCCTGTGCAATGTGATGGCAAGCTTGGGATTTATCAGGACCATGCATGGTATATGTCGGCGCATTTGTGGAATGCTCAGAGTGCGTTTGATTTTGCGGTTGCGTGGGCGGAACGAGAGCATTTTGTTGTGCATAATCTTGACTTTTTCTTCGGTGCTGCTCAATGCGCAGCCGGATGATGTGGACATGTTTGGTAGGATGCTTTTGGTGACAATTCTGGGGCTTGATGAAGCTAGAGCCTGGTTCCATGTTCGGGGGGCTATCTTGTAATCCTGGGATTTTAGAGTGTACTTGGGACTATGATTAAAATGAGACTCGGTGATATGAATATGAATGGCTTCTTCTTTCAGTTATCCATTTTACAATTCCTTGCGAATGTGGCATGTTTGTTGCATTTGTCCTTTTCTCCTGTCAAACCATCATGCCAATTAACGTAAGCGTGCAACTGCTAGCAAAGTCTTCGGTTTCGATAGTTGAGGACTAGAGGAGCAAGATATCAGTATAATCCGTATAGCTCGTGGCATGCACGGCGCCAAACGAAGTATGCATCCACTCACTTTTGCAAAGATAGAAGCCTGTCCAACTCCCATATTCTCTTCAATCCAGACAAGACATTTCTTCAAATAACTCCGAACAGCAGGATCCACAGCCGGGAGATTCGAAATAACATGCAGTGGATGCATAACAAGTACCCCAGATGCTGCCTTTCCGACACTTGCCAGAGGAGTTCTATTATCAATCTGATTTAGGAATCCATAAAGATTGTCCGTAAGATGATATGGGATAGAAGACAACACATCTTGAACAAGAACATCCATCTCTTGCACTTGTTTGAGTTCCGTCGTTGAGTTCCTATTGCCATTAGAGAGACTCGAAATCATCTCCGAGAGATATAGACGCGCCGCTCGATAGATATTCCAGATACCGGAAATGTAGCGATCAAAGTATATGTCCACCCGTCCCGGCCAATAGCCGACATTGTACTCAGAGGTGGTGCTGGCTTGGCCCACCTGACCGATTATATTCGGTCTGTATGTCCGATCTTGGGACTCGTCCCATTGTGCGAATTCTTGATCAAGCTCCAATGCTTCTCGCAGGAGCCAGACCTTCTCGTCACAATCTATGAGACCCTCCGTCGAGGTGACTTTAACTCGTTCTCCAATTCTCAAAAGTGCGATCAGCAGGGATTGTAGGGATTCAGTCAAAGTTTTGTGGTTGGGCATAGCGAGTACACCTTGCTCGCCATTCTGGAGGCAAGTAATTTAGTTTCAATTGGGGTCGGCAAAAATAGGGGGCATACCGTGAAACCTTTCCTGAGGCTCCCGAGCGATTTGCCATCGTGAAGAGCTTCCAAAACAGATATCGGGTGATTCTTTAACCCGAGGAGAGCGACAAGTCCACTTGCGTGTACATTGTGGAAACCATTTCTTGAATTATTCGCGATGATCATCTTTCCATCGTTAGACTAAGTGACAACCGATTTTAACGCACCACTCACTTCATAAAGTCCAAGCAACATAACGACCAGGGGATCGTCTTGTCTAGACGCCGCAGAGTGGTGCTGGAGATCAATAGCCAAAGACGCGACCAGCTCATGATTCAATTTCTCGGCCTTGGACGTTAGAACGGCGGGACGATTGAGCTTGGTGCCTTGGCTGGCAATTGCGACCATCTTGCACGCTTTCGCCAGATTGGACTGCTCGTCCAGCTGCCGCAGTCTTGGCTCTATTTCACGCAAGAAGCCATACGAAGTAGCAGGGCCCGTGGGTGTGATGCAGAACTCATGTAAGAAGGATCGAAGGTTCAAATCATCAACATCTCTCAGAGGAACCTCCTTGGAAAGAGCAATTTTGGCCAAGGTGCCAGTCCTGGGACGTCGCTCCCTGATAGGAAGAGAAAAATCTCGTGCGGCAGACCTGATCGGGAGTGCCACTTCCTTTCGGCTATCGTATTCTTGAATTGCGATTGCTTTCTTGTTTCCATAGCCGCCACAAGTCCGCCGCGTATTTACACATGTTGTGCATGACTGTATTTAATGGTTAGGATGTGAAAAAGCGTGAAGGCAATTATCTCAACAAGTCGTGTTAGACATACAGGTCGGATTTCATCACACTGAAAGATCGTTAGTCCTATCGGGCCAAAATAGAGAAAGAGTACACACCTTCTTCCTTCGCTGCTTACAGGGTTTACAGCCTTTTGAGCGGCCTAGGTAAACCATTCCAGATATCAATGATTTTTAAGCACTTTCTCTTCTTCCAGTAGCTTTGACTCGATCCACCAGCTTGAATAGGGGGGCTGCCCGCCGCGGGGCTACCCCTGGGCGGGGATTAGGTTCCGGCCCGAATTACGTGAGACTTTGCCTCTAAGTTAGGAGTTTTGCTTTTGCGAATAGAATATGAGCACCTGCAAAATCGTTCATATAGCTGACTTTGGACCTAGATGTTAGCCATTAACATGGATTCTTTGAAAGCGGAACTTGATAAGACATAGTTAAAATTCGACAGATCATCCTTATGTACAATTAAACGGCAAACGCAAGATTTTGCCTTCAGGCAGTCCCATGGGCCCGTTTATAATCTAGCCAATGATCATTCCTCGGAAACGGTGTCGCTGGTACATCCAGCCCCAAAAATTTGCATATAGGCTCCCATCCGTCTTTGATATTGTAGACCAGCAGAGACCCTTCCGGCGTAATCTCCTGGACATGTGCGTTATGCTCTCGGTACTTTTCCCGCCCGTACCGAGGGAAGTCGTTCTGCCACATGTGGAGATTATATTTATCTGCCAACGGCCTCATAGGCGTATCTCGAGGCGCATCGGGTGCACTCCAAGCATGCCACAGAGTTGCTTTGAGAGATTCAAACCATTTGTCCTCATCGCGCACTGTCAAGATCACCTTTGCGTTTGGGAACGCCTCAATCAATTCGTCAGGGAAAATAGCTGCCGGGAAATCCGCCACACCCTTTAGTTCTTGTTAGCAAAACAGGACCAGAAATCAAGTCTGCTTTAGGGCTAATTACATTGAAGCCGCCTAGAAAGGCCTCAAACTCATTTCGCCCAAAAGGAGGTCCATGGTGCTCAAATTTAGCTTCCAAGGCAGCGATCCACTGTTGTTGGTGTTTGTTCTCTCCCACATGGCGCATATGGTAGATTGGACCCTGGCCAAGTTCGGCTAAAGCATCCGCGAGGGCTGTATTTTTTGTGAGATAGAGCTCTATAACAAAAATGCACGGCTTACATTGTGTTCCAGTCCGTGGCATGCCTAGGATAAGGATTTTCAAGCCCTCTTTATCGGTAGGTTTGGCCATAGTGTAAGGTAGTCGAAGATTATTGGTGATCCCTGTCAGATTTTTTGAGATATTTATTCTCGCATCCAAAAGCAAAACGTGATTGGGATCGGGCCACCCTTTTATAGAGGGGACAATCCTAGGCCTTAAGCCAGGGTATGGAACAAGGATCGGCGGTGTTATCGGGCTGGCCGTCCCTTGTATCTCCGGTAGCACCCGTCCGCCCACCTGACTCATGGCAAGGAGGTACTATATTCTTTTGAAATGTAGCGCACTGCCCCCACGCGGGAAAAAGGCAAGCTGGCCAGCTACTAGGTTATCAGCCGGTAGCAGTTCATTTTGGACCCCCGACGGAAATCAAGCACAAATGTCACAATTCCGCAGTGACAAGTACACAGCGTTATTCCCTTCCCAGAGAACTAAACTACACCATAAAAGTGCAGCTAGTCTGAGCAGCGTAGCATTTCCGCTAATGCTTGTATCCAAAACTCACGGTTCTTGGTCTCGGACTCCGAACTATGTCGCCTTTCCACGCTAGGAACACAATGCATAGGGACGTACTCCGACTCCGACCCCTACTCCGACCTCCTGCGTGGTTTACCAGGCAAACACACCTAGATAGGCTTAGCCGTAGTAAGATTTATGCGGCAGATAAAGTGGAAACCTGGTAAATCAGGCCGGAAGGGTCGGGGTAGCCAGGGTGGGGTCGGAGTAGTACGTCCCCAATGCATATTCTTAGTCTACTTGATTGCCGGAAAATACTATAACTCTGGACGACGCTAATCCGTTTGGCTAATCCAAAGCCACCTGGCTTTTTATTTTGCCACAAAAATGAAGACAGTCATTTCTCTTTACTAGTCCCTTTTGTAGGTAAATGATCAGGGGGCTTACATGATAAAAGACGATGCGAGAGTTGACCCACTTTATTTTGGTCCCCATGGCAGGGGTTTGAGCCAACAAGCTAATCGCTAGACCCGGTCACGTGGACTTATTGTATGATCAACGTAACGTGAGGCTCAAGTCCATCCCAAGGAAGAGTCATTTGTCGGTGAGTCAGGTCGTCCCTTAAATCACGGGACAGGATTGACAACCGGTAGGTTTCGAAGCAGATCAAAGCTTAAATGCCACTGGTACGAAGCAGCATCTTGTCGATCGCAGCAGGCAGCGAAGCGGCGGAACCCGGCTGAATGCCATGGGCCCCCGGACGCTCGTGAGGCTGAGAGAATACGAGGCAAGGCGGTCAAACATGAACAAAGGTACCGGCCACTCAGTTAGAGCTGCTTGAAATTATTATAAAGCCATTGCCACTTTGCTTAGACAGTTTCAGAAAAAACCGAATTCATGCAATAAACGTCCCATCCGCCTTCGATGGATCCCTACCTCTCTCGAACTCTCCAGTCGCTGACTCGGAGCAAAATCCACGAGCTCGGAAAACAGCGCAACGCATACGAATCACGCAAAGCCGAGACACTTGCGAGCGCAGCCCAGCGCCCGGCCCTCCGCGATAGAGTTGCACACCTCCTGGCTGGGACAAAGGAGCTCGCACCGGGCGCCTGTCAAGACAACGACATTTCGAATATCGAGCACTGGGTTGAACAAGCTCGATATGACTCTTCAATTCCCGCAGAAAAGCTCGTGGGGTTTGAAACACATCTGCACAACGCTCTGGATGCTCATAGTCGAAAGCTAAATCTCGCGGATTTGTATTCGCGTCTTTTGACCGAGTGGATGACACCGCCTTCCAAGCAAAGCGCCGATGAGGCAAAGAATACTAGCGAAGAAGAGGATTTTCTAGTTGTTGACGAGCGGCAAAAGCAGAGACTCCAGCAACTATGTGATCAGTTCGAGAGAACGGTGTTCGAGCCTCATGAAACCGATCCAATTGAGACTGGCTTGTTTCTTTCCAACCTTTTTTCAACAGAAAATAGCAAGAATGCGCTGGAACGCTTGCGCAGACGTGTGCAGACGAAACTTGCGGACATTTGGGAAGAGAAAGACCCTTTCACCGTTGACTCTTTATCAGACTGCATTCGAGGGATCCAAAGAGAAGAAGTTGTAAGCGAAGAGAAACAAGAGACGTTGAAGCACTTTCTCAACAACAAGGTCGCGCTGTCTGAAATTGCCGATGTCCTCAACATGCGATATGCCGATCTGAAGAATTGGGACTGGCATGCTGGCGACGAAGGTGTGCCTGTGCTTCCTCGCCAGCAGCTCAATGGCAAATACCGAATCTGGATGGATGACGACGTTTTGGAAACCATTTTTGTGGAATACATCTGTGTCAAGCTTTGCGGCATGCTCAAGACCACTTTAAAGGATTATATCCAAGATGATTCGGGATGGAACTTTTGCCAAGGCCCGCAATTGACGGATCGTGATCGCCATCGACGACAATATTTTATTGGCAATCAAGGTTGCGGTTCTGAAAATGTTGAGTATCTCCGCAGAGAGGACTTTGTCGACACCTTTTTCCTAGCATCTATGCCCGAAGGCCAACACACATTGGCGAGTCGGGTCTGTGGTTACGATGAAGATGAAGATGGCTCAGCTCAAGGAGAAAGTTCAGCTCCAAAGAGTGTAAAACAGCAGCTCCTACGAAAGATTGTAACCGAAACATTTTTTCGCCGTCAGTTCTATGGCGAAGCCGCTGTTATCCAGTCAGATCTGCAGTGGTATGCCACGTCGATTCCCCATAGTACCGCCTACACCATCTTGGAGTTCATCGGTTTCTCGCAAGAATGGATTCAGTTCCTCCGAAAATACCTTGAAACGCCTTTGAACATGGACAAAGCTTTTGAAGGACACGAAAAGGTCGGGCCTCGCAAGCGCAAAAGAGGTATTCCGATCGCACATGCTTCGGAGAAAGTAATTGGAGAGTTAATCCTCTTCTTCATGGATCTCGCCGTCAATGAAAAGACTGGTTTGCTATTGTACCGTCTCCATGATGATATCTGGCTGTCCGGCGAGCCCGAGAAATGTGCACAAGCATGGGAGGTGATGCAAATGTTCGCCAAGATCACCGGTCTCGAATTCAACAAAAGCAAGTCTGGTTCAGCCTGTCTGGGTGACTCAGTCAGTGACAAAATCATATCCCGAATGCCTCGGGGTCCCGTCAAAATTGGCTTTTTGATGCTGGACGCAACGACGGGAGACTGGGTCATTGATCACGCTCAAGTTGATGCACACGTCCGGCAGCTCAAGACTCAGCTTGGGAATTGCGATAGTGTCATTTCATGGGTTCGTACCTGGAACAGTTGTATCGGGCGGTTTTTCAAGAACACCTTCGGTGAACCGGCTTACTGTTTTGGGCGTCCTCATATCGATGCGATTCTTGACACCTACAAAAAGATGCATCGGGTCATTTTTGAGACTGAGCATTCTCAGACGGGTTGCACTGTGACTGAGTATTTGAGAAGAAGGATTGAGTCGCAATTCGATGTATCCGACGTTCCAGACGCGTTTTTCTTTCTTCCTGAGAAGCTTGGTGGTCTGGGTTTGCGTAACCCCTTCGTCTCGATCTTCATGCTACGCGATAGTCTGACCGAGTCGCCTCACGAACTGATGGAGGAGTTTATGAAGAGCGAACGTGAGCTTTATGGGAAGGAAAAAGGGTCGTTCGAGAAGACGAGCGCAATTCAGCGACGTCGAACCTGGGAAAACATGGGAAATTACATCGAGTCCGAAGAACTTCGGGCGGCATTCTCACCAGATGAGATGGACACCTTTATGTCCTTTGATGAGTGGAGCAAGTTCCGCGAAGTCAAGAGCTCCAAATTGTTTGAATTGTACCAAACTTTCATGAATGTTCCCCGTGCAAACTATCCGAAGACAACGTTAGCTGTGGAAACTGAATTGGAGAGAGCCCGTGAAAGATTCGGTGTTGGAAACTTGGATGTAGAGACGAGTTGGACTCTTTATATGTATGCCGAGGATGTTCTGGCCAAATTTGGTGGGTTAAATCTAGTGGACAAGCAGTTCTTGCCCATGGGTGTCTTGGACATGATCAAGGAGAAGAAGGTGACGTGGCAGATGGTGCTTTAGTGTGGCATTTCAATTGACTTGGTTATTACCTACAAAGCTTTGTAGTATCTGCGATCCTACTTCTAGATCCTACTAGAAACATGTACTGTTGAAAACTATCTCGGCATAGTCTTTCGGCTTCTCCCTACTTAGCACCGGCCTATCTATTTTTTCTTTTCTTCTTTTCTAGATGTGGTCTAGGTATCTTTAAAGCATATTTCTGCAAATACCGACGAACATACGTTTAGTGGTTTTAACATGTCAAACTAACATCCCACTTTGCAAAAAGTAGCCCGTCTGTGACTTCATGTTGATGCATTGTTTCAGCCTTTCTCCTCACGCTGGTCGTTCTGGTCACCACTATAACCGCAATCGACGAAACTGATAATGCACTAGATTTATCAGATAGAGGAAGCGAATCGCAACTTATTTGGCTAGCCTACGGCTTGGTGTGTTTTAATATTTTGCTATGCCTCCTGCTACTGGCCCTTCTAATGTTCGTCGCATGCTGCCTGCAAATCGATGTTCTAAATATCTCTTGAAATGCTTCTCGAGGCTCCTTTCCAAACTTCTATCTTGATTTACTTTTCAGTGAACCTTTAAACGCATTGCCATAATATTCTGCTATTTGACAAGACCCCCGCTCGTTTCTCCAAGTCACCAGCAAATCCCCGGGTTAAGTCCGGCTAAGTCCGCGCAACTTTCTATTTAACATCACACAAATTCATATAACTCTTCACCGTTCAAACATTGCGTACCTACATGTTTCAAGGATAGCAAAATGGAACCCACGCCAAGTCAGCTCAATGCGCAGCACTGCCGCAACTTCGTCACCACTCTTCACACCACGCCCTATCCAGCAATAGATCCGTCGCGCGTAAAGCTACCTTCACCTTTCTTCGTCTGTATAATCGGTGGACGAGGCGCAGCCGGTGGCGGAATAGCCCGGGCATACGTCCAAGCTGGCGTATCGGGCCTCATCCTCGCTGCTCGCACACGTTCGGGGCTGGAAGAAACAGCCAACGAAGTTCGCTCAATCAGCTCTACAATCAAAGTGGTCATTCAAATTTGCGACATCGCTGTCGAAAAGGACCTCGCGTCAGTTGCACAGATTGTCAAGACCGAATTTGATGGGCGCCTTGATGTTGCCGTGGTGAACTCAGGCTACACGGGTGCGATGGTTTGTGATGTCGCTAAAGAGTCACCAGAGGATTATCAGACTGCATTCAATGTCAACACAATCGGCTCCTTTTATGCGGCACACCATCTGCTGCCATTGCTCGAAGCAACTCAATCAAGTGCGATGTCTTTCATCGCGATCAACTCTATGGCCTCGCCCACGGTTTCTGGGATGGGTGGTCATGCTCACTACTGTGTGAGTAAGGCAGCCCAGGCGAGACTGGTTGAGATGATCAATGAGCAGTATTCGAGTCGTGGTCTCTTTTGTGCAAGTGTGCACCCGGGCGGTCTGATGAGTGGGTTTATCAAGCATGACTTGCCTGAAAATATCAAGAAAAGTAAGTTGTGGTTTTGGTTTGCTTGTATCAAAGGAGCTCCATGGATTTGTGCTAATCCTCTTGCACACTGTTAGTGATGAATGATAGCCCTAATTTGGTTGGTGCCTTCTGCGTCTGGCTATCAACTCCAGACTTTTCTGAGAGACAACGAACGGCCCTTAACGGTCGCTTCCTTTCCTGCAAATGGGACGTTTCTGAGCTTGAAGAACGATTTGATGAAATTTTGAAAAAGGACCTGCTGAGGTTCCGAATTGCCATGGATTAACAAGTTCTTACTCGGAGGTATCAAGTTTCCACAATTGTCTTGGGGTGAAGCAAATGTAAACTAATGCGCCCTACGCAGCTATGAAATCGGCAATCATGAAAACAGCACGAACCCTGTCCCTGTCGCACGAGGACTGGATACGTCACTAGGGTTCGCGATAAGGCCTGATTGTCCCCAGTAGATGAATCAGTCGTTGGACCAATGGAGCGGTGAATCTTTTCTGTTTCCCAGGGATCGCCAGCTTCATGACAACTCTTGGACAAGTGTCCCCACCATTCTGCATTCCTCAATTCAGCACCATGCCGCAACACAGATCCGAAGGGCCAATAATAGATCGAAGCAGCCAATTTATTTAGATAATTGGGGACCGCTTGCATGAGAAAGCGCAAATGGTTGCATGTTTAGGACTAGTTTCAGCTGGGAACGATTCCACCGAAATTCCGCCAGGTGCTTTATTTCCTTTTAATTGTTCCCCCCTCTCACATCAGAATATAATAACACATCATACATTTCATTGCATCAAGTACACCTCGCCATGAACGGCACACCGAATTGCATTAGGATCCTCGTCACCGGAGTCAGTTAATCATCGCCCACCGGAAATAAATTCCTACTTATCAAAGATTTAGGGTGCTGGGTTTCTTGGATCTAACATGATTGACTTTCTGCTAGAAAATGGACATGAGGTTATCGGACTTGACAGTTTCGAGACCGGCTCTCCAACAAATTTAAGTCACCTTGAGGGCCACCCGAGATTCACTCTGATGAAGTAGAAGTCCTATGTTGCATGGTCAAAGTTAAGGCACGTGCTTACCATAGGAAATTCAAAAACAGACACGATATCCAGACTTCACTAGATGACGTGGGGCAAATCGATCAAATATACAATCTAGCCTGTCCTGCAAGCCCGATCCAATATCAAAAAGACCCAGTGTCAACTCTGCGGACGTGCTTTGTGGGAACTGACAATCTCCTAATGCTCGCAAAGTCGAGAAATATTCGGATCTTGCACACTAGTACCTCTGGTTGGTCTTTCCTGAGCATTGCCCCCCGGGAATAATGAATGCCAGTTAACGCGACGATGGAAAATAGAGATCTACGGCGACCCTCTCGTTCACCCCCAGCCAGAGAGTTACTGGGGAAATGCCAATCCATTCGGACCCCGCTCATGCTACGATGAAGGGAAACGAGTTGCGGAAGCCCTGTGTTTTGCACACCGCGAGCAACACGGGGTTGATATTCGTATTGCACGAATCTTCAATACATATGGACCCCGCATGGGTAGCAGCGACGGACGGGTGGTATCAAATTTTATTGCTGCAGCCTTAGCAGGCGAGGACTTGAAGATCACCGGAGACGGCTCCGCGACCCGATCATTTCAATTTGTCACAGACTGTCTCGATGGACTTTCTTCTTTGATGAACAGTGCTTACCACGAGGGGCCGGTGAATATCGGAAATGATGGGGAGTTCACCATTCAGCAACTGGCTGAAATTGTCATTGAGCTCGTTTCGAAGATGACGGAACGGCCTAAGGTATCGATTAGCTATCATCCACAGGTCGCTGATGATCCTACTCTGCGCCGGCCACAGCTATCGCTGGCTAAGGAGGTCCTTCGTTGGGAGCCGAGGGTTGAGTTACGTGAGGGGTTGCGGAAAACTATTGAGTGGCATATGAGTCAAGGCAAATCAAAGGACGTTGATTGAAAGTCTTACTGTTTACTACGATCCTCCCCAATACTACACGGTGATTTAGCCAAATCAACTTCAGCTCTACTGAGCAATCGGACGTCCTAGCCAATCCAACACGATAAAAAAGTGCCAACTTTATCATCTACCACCTCGAGTATCAGATAAACATGGATACCGGCAACTTTTAGTAACATTTGAAATCGTCCGCCTTTATCGCATCTCCGATTCGATGACCTTCAACATCCCATTCCGAGGGTGTGGGTCCGACAAAGATTTCCTCTTCGGGTTTAGCGTTCCGACTGATAAGACGCCTTCTGTTCACTTTTGCTTCTGGATCGGACCTCATCCACCAATCAAGACAATTTCCTTTAGATAATGGTCGGGGATAGTGTGCTAGAACTATGAGATTGTGGTTGCTCATCGCCAAGACCCCTCAATATTTATATGCGGGGGGGTCTTCCGGTGGTGAACTCATCCCAACTTGTTCTTTCATACTTCTCTCATTCTGCAGTTGACCTGAATATATCATACCGGTATGGGTGATTACATGCCAGAATCAGCCAAGGTAGTGGCCCCCGCCATGGCTGGGAAGCCACATGATAACGGTACCGCCAAAGAGCAAAGCGGCGTTCTGTACCACCAGCTTCGTCAAAAGCCTCTCAATATCGTTGGTGGCCGGGGGAGCTACCTCCTTACTGAAGATGGATTGGAGATCCTCGACGCCACCTGCGGTGCTGCAGTGTCTTGTCTTGGCCACAGCGACATGCGCGTGCATGAAGCTATAATGCAGCAACTACAGAAGATCCCTTACTGTTATTCGCTTTACTTTACCAACACTGCTGCAGAGAATCTTTCTAAGATTCTGGTGGACTCAACAGGAGGAAAGATGACAAGGGCTTTCATTGTGAGCTCAGGTAGGTTAGGCCCATGAGAAATTGGGTTCAGTCGCTGATACTGAGAATTGCTCCAGGCACCGAGGCTGTAGAAGCAGCTCTCAAAATGGCTGTCCAGTATTTCATGGAGCTGCCTACTCCCCAGCCACAGCGAGCCAACTTCATCTCTCGCAAACAGTCATACCACGGAAACACGCTTGGATCACTTTCTGTTGGGCACCATGTTGGCCGGAGGGCTCTCTATGAGAAGGTCTTAGCAAAGAATACTGGTCACGTCGCCCCTTGCTACCCATACCGTGGCATGAAGACTGGTGAGAGCGTTGAAAGCTACGTTTCTAGGCTATCCCAGGAATTGGAGGATGAATTCCAGAGGTTGGGACCAGACACAGTCTGTGCATTCGTGGCGGAGACGATGGCCGGCGCGGTAAGCTCCCCCTCCAGCCTTGGAGAAATTAGCTAACAGGAGAATCAAGACACTCGGATGTGTTCCCCCTCTACCCGGATATCTCAAAGCAATGAAGGAAGTTTGTGAGCGGCATGGGGCTTTGTTCATTTTGGACGAGGTCATGTCCGGCATGGGACGCACAGGGACACTTCATGCCTGGGAACAAGAAGATGTTGTCCCCGATTTGCAGACTATGGCCAAGGGTCTCGGGGCTGGATATGCCCCTATTGCCGGTCTACTCTTGAACAAGCATGTTGTCGACACTCTGACAAAAGGCACCGGCGCATTTTCTCACAGTCAAACGTACCAAGGACACCCGGTATCCTGTGCCGCTGCGGTCAGAGTGCAGCAGATCATTCAGGAAGATAATTTGCTGCCTAATGTTCGTGCGATGGGTGCCTATCTTGGCCAACTTCTCCATGAGAAATTTGATAGCCATCCTCATGTTGGCGATATCCGTGGAAGAGGACTGTTCTGGGCTGTAAGTTTATCGCAACTGCTATGTCCTTCAACTTTACTAACTCTGCATAGCTTGAATTTGTCCAGGATAAGGAAACGAAGGAGACTTATCCCCCGGCTAAGAAGCTGGCATGGACTATTCACGTCACCGGTCTCAAGCCTGAGTATGCTATCTCCCTTATGCCTGGCAACGGTGGTGCGGACGGAGTCCATGGTGATCACATTTGCTTGGCACCGCCGTACAATACCACGCGTTCTGAGATTGAGATGATCGTTGAACGGACAGCTCGCGTCATTCAGGAAGTCTTGGGTTGATGTTGATCCGTCTTCCATCACCAATGTAGCCTACTTTAATTGTACCCCATTTTATACTAGTTGCTATCATGATCCAAGATTGAGTATATGAATGCACAATGCACCTTGAGTATAGTCCAAAAAAGCCCGACTACTTTGAGATAAACCTGTTTACTACTACATATCTAATTATTGTTTCCACTGTTCCTGCAAAGATCGTTGCGCTTATTTAATTCGTCGGGAAACCAATTGATTACCCGGTTCCTAAATTACTATGACGTATTTACAGCGCCTAACTTTCGCGCTGGCGACAAACTTGTTACATATAGACAGGATAGAGTCTGGTAACTCTTGGCTTTCCCTTTCCGCTTTAGTGCTCACCCCTTGCCGTTTTTTGATCACTGAGTAGAATTCAGCACGCCCCTGAGCAGCCTGACATTATTCACTTATAACATGCGTTTTCTCTTGGATGGCGGGCTATGCTATAACCGGAAGTTGACTGTATTAGAAAATACGTTTCGTCCGCCTTGATCGTTGCATGAACTGTTTCGCGAGGGCCAGGACTAATCTTTAGAATGCGGGGAGGGTATATGGTGGGTAATGGAAACTGCTATGGGCGTTGGCTCGATAGGGTGGCCGGATACGTCGCGATCGGGTACGGCTCGCAGGGACTGGGGAATTTATACAGTAGGACCCTGGTCCTTTTTCGTTTCGTCGGTGACAATGTCCTCCTCGGAAACGTCGTCAGCGATAGCCTCGGTAACCGGGCCGGTGTAGACAGCACGGCCATCGAGGTACCAGTAGATCAGAGCAAAGAGCAGAACAGCCACCACATAAACACTGGCGTAGTTCATCTATGGTCATGTCAGCAAACACAGCGAGGTGAGTTGGAAATGGGCGCGTACGCTATTTGCGGTGACGGGCATTTCGGTGGGCAGGACGAAGATGACGCTGACAAATAGCGTCCACAAGCAAGCCCATGCGTTCACGAAGGGACTTAAAGGCCCCATGTGCCAAGGGCCTCGCTGGAAGTTTTTGTGAAAGATAAGCTTGCAGAGAATGGGGATGCAGTAGCTCCAGTCCAAAGCGATCGCGCATAGAGTGAAGATGCCACCAATAGCAGTGTAGGAACCCAAGGCGATCAAGTTAATCGCAATGCAGAAGAAGACCGAAATCCAAACGGCGTACAAGGGCGTGCCGGTATAGGGGGTGACCTTAGTCCAAATATTGGCAAAGGGCAGCAGACGGTCCCGAGAAAAGGCAAAGACAGTACGACCAAGCGACTGCATCGCAGTGAAAGTAACGAACTTAATAATGATCAGCCCCGCAACGGTGAAAAATATGCCGCCACCCTTGCCAAGGCTGTTGTAGAAGATTTGCGCGACGGGCTGGTCGATTGAGGAGCTGAGGATCTCATTCGGATCGCCCATACAGAAGCAAAGGACGATGTTGAACAAAAAGCCGCCTAGGTAGGTGACAAGCATAGCTAGGGAAATAGCCCAAGGGGCTTTCTTCTCCGGCTCATTGATCTCCTCAGTGATATGGGCCGTGGCATCGTAGTCGGTCATAGTCCAACTGACAGACAGGAAGCCAAACAGCCAGCTAAAACCAATAGGCACCCAACCACTTTCGCTCTCGGTGTAAGTGAACACGTACTCTGCACTGTGCTTGTCTTTCGTTAAGGCCAACAGTGCGATAGCGCATACCACAAGTACGCAGACGTGGAAGATCACGTAGAACTTGGTCATCTTCTCCATCCAGAAGGTCGACAAAGAGTTGACCACACCAGTCACAACGGTCAGGGCAGCCATAACGCCGACGGTGGTGTTGGTGGTGATCGTGTAGTCGAAGTCGCGGCTCATAGACACCGCAGCCAGCAACATCTGGGCTGCGCCATACTCGGACGAGGCGACGCCAGCAATTTGACCCAACAAGTTGAGCCAGCCCGTCAGCCTGGAGGAATCAGCATAATCATCATGAATCCAGCGATGCAGACCCTCCTTACCAACTGATCGATGGAACCCACTTCCGGGGCGCCGTTCGAGAGATTGTGAAGTACAGTCCACCAGAAGTCGGATACGCAGAAACCAATTCAGCCACCGAGCACTAACGGTCGCGTGAGATCCACATTTGACAAATCAATCGTGGGGAAACTGTGTGCAATACTCACCGCAATGCACATACAGCCAGCACCTGAGACTAACCAACACCAGACCACCGCACTGCTGCCGCCGGCTTCCAGCGGGTAGGAGAAGGTGGTCATGATCGTCGCGAAGACACCACTGATACTGATGGCGAAGGAGAAGGTCGACAGATATCCGAACTCTCGCTTGAACACTGGATTGTATCCAAACCTGGCCGCCAGATCCGAGTCGTCCTGTGACATGTTATTGATGGCAACCTTCCTCTGCGCGCCATCAGGTCCTGGAATCTCGACTAGTCTCCCGCCATGGCGATGACGGAGCTCAGTGATCCCGGTGATATCATCGTTAATGTCCGCCATAATGTTGAATTTGGTATAGAGTCAGAGAGAGATGGTTGGGGAAGGGACCAAGGATAATTTAAAAAAATAAAAAGAAAAATAGAGAGACCACGGCCCGAGAATCTTTTGTTTGAGGGGGGGGGCGATGGAAACCGGCGTCGCATGTACGATGAGATGAGTGGTGGGCCTGTCCTGAAAGCTTGAAATCTCCGCTCCCTCCCCCAATTGGTGAGCCTCCAAACGGGCTGGAAACACCTTCCTAAATAGCATATAGAGTCCTCCTGAGTGGATGGGAGGATAGGACGCATATAGAAAGCACTCGCATGATTCAATTTAAGCCTCGGAAAGGCCCCGCTGCGGAACTCACATAAGAGGATCCGCTTCCACAAAACAGCCAGCGCCTTATCTTTCTTTGCAATATCCCGGCGGAAGAATTTTCCCTCCTTGGTCGCATAGTCCGCTAATGCACGCACGTTGCGGAAGCATGTGGAACCCTGGTTGGTTCTCCCCACAATCTAACAGATCAACCATGTTCACGCAGACACGCGACAGAGCCTACGCAGAGACGTCAGGGTGATTGGCCTCCCGACGTCTATGGACCCACCTTTCGACATTGACGAATCGAAGTAGATGTGCCTTCCACCTTGAGTTTGCCACACATTTCCTTCCCACGTTTCCAGGCAAGTGACTTGGATACCAATGAGCTCGTCATACTTTTCGTCGATACAGAAATTCCAGTTCTTCTTCCAGCTGTTGGAACCTTAATTCCATCCCCTTTTCTGGGCGAGGCGCTTGAATTCCTCGCCCATGGGCGCAGAAGGACTGTAGTCAAAATCCGGAAATCTCTTGCGGAACTTGGAATCCGACAGTGGTTGACTGATGAAGACCGCTCTCCCTTGAGATGATTTGGGGTATCGTTATCGGTGGGAGGGTGACACGAAGTGGAAAGAGAAAAGAGAGAAAGGCGGTGATGCATGGAGATGGTAGCTTTGATGGGGGGAACCCAGTTGGATGGAAATCGGATCAGGGAAGAAGCCATTTCATAGGAAGAGAGTGCCAAGGGAGCAAACTGAAGACGAGAACAGCCCATATCGTGGCCACGGAAATATTGCTGCGCGTGCAAGGAATCTGTTGTGTACGCAGGGCAACCGCAATGCAGAATGAGTTTGATTTTCTTCCTAAATTGGAAGCTACATTGGAAGCAGCCACTAAGAAAGGTGTCTCTTTTGTCATGTGCCCTTTCAAACTCAAGTGCCCCCTGTCCAATGTTTTCCATCAGTTCTTGGTTGATGGCAGCAGCCGCATTTACAGTCCTCCTCAGCATCTTCATCTTCAATTTCTGGGCCCCATTGGATGCAAAATTTGACTATGTCGTGTTTGGTGGAGGGACATCAGGGATCACAGTCGGCGTGCGCTTAGTCCAGCAAGGGTTCCGAGTCGTGGTGGTGGAAGCAGGTAGGTTTTAGCAAGTTAAGTACCCAATCTCTCGTACCCCTGGGGCTATCACATTAAGTGTTGATGCCAACATCAACACCGCATCAGCTTTCGACCGGAAGTTTGCGATCCATGGTGAGCCCGGTGCGGGCTATCGGGACATTCATTACCCACGACGCAAATATATAGGCGGGTCTTACGTCCACAATCAGTCCGTTGACAAGCCCGTGGATACTGATAACCTAGCCAGATTCGCATTGAACTTCATAATATATTAATAGTCAAGAGCCCACGTCCATTGGAGCAGCCCGAGACCCGAGACGGAGGATGCGGAGCAGACTATCAGCGGATGCCATAAGGAAATGCGTGGAGCTTGCCGGCGATCCAAGCTACTTGTTCGAGAATACTCTCCCGTTCTTCAAAAGGATTTAGGTGATGTGTAATGCTAGTATACAATAACGGATATACGTCCTTTAGTAGTGATCACTACTCTCCCTTAGAGGGCTTTCCTCCTAAGTGGCTATTGGCTTGGGGATTTTTTGTCTCTTCGCTCCTCAAATATTGGCTGTTCTAGACAAACGTAATAGAGTAATACGATTAACGTTATCATTGATTGGGGAATTGATACTTTATTCCGCAAGATCTATTCAGACTACTTAGAAATGCTCGGCACAGAAAGTAAAGTGAAGTTTTATCCTAAAAGGGTAATCGTCATATCTTAAGGATCTATATTATCCTTCGCTATCCGTGATTTTAGACATATCTATAGTTAGAATGTATACCAAAGATCGTAATGGCTAAATACCTCTAAGCGTACGTTATACCCTTTCTCTGACTCTGAATATTTGTTAAGGCTGGAGTTGGACTAGGTAAGGGACCAGATAGGACTGTAAGTATGCGGATAGGAGCTTCAACCCTCCGATTGTGACCGAACAAAACCTTAAGGAAGATAGTTCATTAATTATAGGAGAGTGCCTTTTATTCCTTTGTGCGATCACATGGCTTTGGCTTTTATATAGGTTCTCGGGAAACTCTCTCATAGAGTTCCTAGTATACCCGATTGGGCATCCGAGTAGCTTCATGTTGTTCAGGGGCCGTAACAAGAACTATCGTCCTATCTTCGTAGACGCTGCCTAATTAAAGCTTAAGGACACTGCTCAAGGGAAGTGATCTAAATTCGAAAGAAGTAATAGGGCATCTAATGCTTGGGATATGATCCCCTAATATCCCTAATATTTTGAGCTCGAGACGCCGAGGGAAAACGTAGACTTTGGCATTTCACAACAGAAAACGTCAAACCAGTACGTGTGGCTCTGCAAAACAGGGGAAACGAAGAGCATTTAGTCGCGAATCCGGCGGTCGCGATGACCGATATTTTGTTCCGTTGAATCCTGATTCACCAGTTGAATTTGAAGCGCCCTTCGTAGGAGATCCAACCGTGTTTGAGCCGGGGCATAGATATCGCTTTGCACTTGAAGAAGGTCAAACGGTAGATTGGTGGCGGGTCGGGAAGAAGGAAGATGCAATGGCCCCTGCTGGAGATTTCGCTGGCTTGGGCGAGGCGTGTGGCAGTCCAATTTCTTTGAGGACAGAAAGTGTTGATATCGAAGTGGTGTAGCTAGCCATACATATAATTATGTGACGCACTATGTTTTCAATTAAACTAGGCTGCCAAGGGCCATATTCAAAGGTATTCCGACCGGGGCCGGGGGTGTTGATTCTCGTGGGAACCATTTGTTCTGACGACGTCATGCATGGGCTTCTTCCCTGGGATATACATATAGTTATGGCCCCCATCGCCTGCTTCTTCCTTCCATTCTCTCTTCCCCTCCTCCCTTCTTGCTCCTTGTTGTTGTGCAGCACCGAGAGCTTTTGCTCTTGTCAAACCTACACAATTGTTTCGCGGCCGCCGCAAAATAATTGTAATTATCCCTGTTTCTGATTGCCGCTTTGCTGTTATCTCGTCCTTGTGGACGCTCTTCCAGTCGTAGCCAAAGTTGGACTTCGGGTATCATCGCCTTTAATTTGGGCAGTATATTGTCGCACTCGCCACCCATATTGTCAGCCTTTGTCAAGACTTTGAATCCCTTTGTCGTCCCGATATCACCTGCTCCTAACACAGGGCCCAGCCAGCCAGTCCAGGAACACGACGGCCATGCATAGCAAGGACGGCCATTGGAACGACAGAATCATCATTTCCATTTCGGAAGGTTTGTCCAGCAGGGTTGAAGAAAAGTAAACAAGCAATGACTCAATGCAGTATGGAAATCCAAAAGTTGCCAGACATTATCGGTACATATGCACAAGTTATCACATCAAGGCGCCCTGCGATGTGGGATGGCATCTATTGAGCAAACAGTTGCCAGAAGATACGAGTCTCAAGCAACAAGAAATACTCCTAGGTTTATTCAAGAAACAACACAGTTCATCCACGAATCCCTAACCCAAAGAGGAAATGTAACGCTGCCCCTCGTTGATTGGCCATTGGATCATCATGTGATCGGCTGTCGTGATAAGTGGGGGAAATCAAGACATGGAGAACCCTCTTCATGGCAATCTGCAGAATCAGCGATCATCAGTGCACAAGCTAGTCATGCTAGCGGGATGACCCGTGGAGATCGATTCCAGCGATCCAAGACCGGTACAGAGAATGAGGCACACCGAGGGAGTATCAGAACAGGCGCTAATGTGGGGCGGTAGGGTGTCTCCAGTGTCGCAAGAAACATCACAAGTGTGATGAGAAGCGACCTGTCTGTTCCTTTTGCTCTTTGCGGGATTTAGACTGTCAATATCCTTCAGGGCTAAAATGGGTCCGCCAGGCGCAGCCTACGTTGTCGAGGCATCGGGCTCGAAGAGATACTCGGCGTGTGGATGAGATGGGGATGGTACGGAGGTCTCCCGTTGTATTTCCGGATGTTACGTTTCAATCTGATGAGGATAAGCATGCGTGGGAGTATTGTGTGTGTTCTATCAATGACCCGTGTTCACCGTACTGATGGATTTCAGATGTGAGGCTGGTATCCTCGAATGTACCTGCACTGGATGGCCCAGACAACCCATACCGGCAATTATCCTTCACGGCCTTGACTTCGCCAATCCTGCTCGAGACTATCGTCTGCATCGCTACAGAGCACATGCTCAACTTTGGTCTTGGCAACGTGTCAACAGCAGCACAACGCCAGCAACGAATGCTGAGAACCATTGGACAAAGCCTCCACACGATAGATGCAGCAGGGTCTTCTGAAACAGGAGGCACAACAACACACAACATAGACCATGAAGCGCTCCTCACAGCGGTCGTCCTACAAGGGGTTGTCGTCGCCCAGTCAGCAGACGGAGTCCTAGAACCACATGTCAAATGCGCCTCATTTCTCATGCAGACGTTGGATCACTTCCACCAGGTACCACAGAGCACGCTTGCACGCATGGCAGTACAACGATTCGCCATGGTAGACGTGATGCTAGCCATTTCCAGGCAACGACGACCCTACGCTCCACGCAACTTTGTACTTCATCAGCCCGATCCGGAACGATGGGACAAAACCGAACCCTCTTTCCACAAAATGACCGGCTGTCCACAGCCACTGATGTGCTTCTTAGTGCGCATCTCGCATCTGGCGTGCGACGTGGAGGAACGGCTGGAACAAGCTGTGTCGTTCAACGATATTCTCACACGGGCATATCGGCTCGAGAGTGACCTTCGGTCTTGGGGCTCCGGGTTCACGGGGATGGTTCCAGAAGAACGTGTGCGCCCGCCTCTGGATATTCTCACCGAGTGCTTTTACTGGACGGCTCATCTGTTACTGGCACGTCGCGTGTTTCGCGATTCGACCCGCAGTCCTCGGGTGCAACATCTGACGCATACGTGCTTCGGCCTCATGGATCAGTTGTCCACTGGCTGCGGACCAGATTCGTCTCTGCCTCAGCCGTTCTATCTTGCGGCTCGAGAGGCTGTTAGTATGGAAGACCGCGCGTGGGTGCGACAGAAACACGAATCGATGACTGAGTACTATCGAGAACAGCAGCGAAATATGGCGATGCGGCTTACGCAAAGAGTCTGGGATATTACCGACGAGGCGGAATTGACAGATTCTATCGCAGTGCAGGCTGGTCCTGCCGTATCAAATGGAGATGATAAGATAAGGGCTATGGACCAGCAGAGTTGTCTGTTCATTTTCTGACAGGCCTGTTCTAAATATATCGCGGTGGCGAAACGTATCAACCGAGTTTGGGGTAGCGAGGTCAAGTTTTAAGATCAACCTGTACTCTAACGTGGTCTCATAAAATCATGCCAGTCAGTTTTACGTGCAACCCTGTCTAGGTACGTAGTGCGCGATATCCTGGCGCAAGGTGGTTGGCAGCGAGAAGGTGCGCACTAGTCCGCGTCGGGCAAACCCGCGCAAGGATTCGCGGTGCTGCCACACCCGCCGAGGAATGTGAGTTCGCCCCTAATTATTTGCTTCTTTTCTTGGACCAAGCCCTTCCAAGGTTCTTTGGCTGTACCACTCACCGGGGTGGTACGACTTGGTTCTTCGGCCCTTTTTGGTTCGGTTCGATAGAAATTGACCGATTGCAGCCTGACAGCCTGACAGCCTGACAGCCTCACGGACAATGTCTCGGCACTCCCTCCCATTACCGTTCGAAAGATCGAAACATCGGATGCCGCGGAAGGCGCGCACGGAGTCGGCCCTGCGACGTGCGCCCAACCTCATCCCTGGCGGTATCGGGACTGATCGGGCCAATGGGGCCGCCAACGAAGCGCACGGAACATTTTTCGAGGCTAAATTGACCGGGGGGAACACACTGGGGGACGACTGGCCAGGCCCAGCAGGGTGCTGGTCAGTCCGGGACTGAGCCTGTCCAACGCGACACCGTCATGAGAGTCTTGGAATGACCTGTCATGGAGCGCGAGGCCAATCACGAGTGAAACCGAGGCGGGTACCTGAATGCGGTTCCCCTCTCAGTCCACAGACGGGGCTGCGTGGGCCACCCACGCAATTCTACGCTCATTGGTTCTGGCCTGATGGATCAGCCCCTGGAGCCGTGGATGTCCAACGGTGGGACTAAAGTCGTGGGCACCGCATTCTCGAATCAGGGGCAAGCGGTTTCCCATGGACCTGGGCGGACTCTTTTTTTTCTTAAGGATTCGTAGAGATGCTACGTTTGTGATAAGGAATTGTATGGCGGTGAGCCCGGCGCAATGGCACAGGGCAAATCGACGCGTCAACCATCACAAGCCAGTCCGGTGTTTCAGATCCCCGCGGAGCTCACGTGGAGATGCCGTTCGGCGGCATTTGGCGACGATCGGTTGTGGTGGATGGTCCAGAGGGGGCCGAGAGGGTTGAGGACGCCTGTGGGTTCTCTGGTACTGAGCGGACGTCCCAGTGGCCACGGTGAGTGTGGGCATGTGTATCTTAGGTCCGTGGGCGGGCTTCTGCTTCTTCCAATTCTTCCATTTTGCCGGCGCACCCTGCCTCGGGGGTAGTACGATAGGTACAATAGTACAGTAATCCGTGCGAGCCGAATCGAGCAAGGAGCAGTGCAAAAAACCTCAGACTCGTGCAGTTTGTATGCAGGCCGATGCAGGGGCAGTAGAAACTGGGAGGCGGAACACCAGGCGGACAAGAGGCGCAGAGGCGCCGATAGAAACCACACAGACCGTAGAAGGGGTTCGCACAAAGTCGAGGCCTGGTGTTTGAGGCGGTCGCAGGCGACTGAGGCCCCACGAGGTGCCCAAAGTCGCGCGCGGTTCTCAAGTTCCCGGATTCTCCATACTGAGTCAGCATCTCCTGATCTCCTCTTTCTCTTCACTCTTTGTGTCTTCCCATCCTTCGCCATCCTGTTCTTTTCTTTTTTTGCCAGGTCGTTCGTTTCACTCTTTCAACGACGACCTAGACCACTCTTTCTATCCGTCTCTCACTTTTTTCCCGATCGGTTTCCCTCGAACCCGCTCTCAAACCCCGTTGATCGATTCAACCTGGGTATTGCGACTCCCCTACAGGCCGACCTTCGTCGCTTTTTACGTTCGGTTGATCTCTGAGGATCAACTGCCCTTATATTTGAGCTGCATAGGCCAGCCTTTTTTATTCCTTCCTTTGCTCGGGACGCCTCTGCGACGTGACCCTTACTACCCAACCCCCCCGTTTCTGACGTGGACGCCATCGAACGCGACCGCAATTCGATCTCCTTACGCCAAAGCGATTTCGTTCATTTTCTTTTCATCTAACCTCTCGCGCTTGACGCTGCTTCGAGAAACTAGGATTTGGAAGACCATCCGTCATTTTCTGCACCCATCTCCTTTCGTCGGCCGGATCGTCACACATTGAACAACTCTTCTTTGAAAGAAACCTATACGCTATACGCAAACAAAAACATACCCTTCGAAAACCGTTTTGTTCTCGCAAACTGGGTTTCTTCAGCCGATTTCACGCTGAATTGTGCCGCAACATGTCTTCGTTGACGGAAACTCCCGAGCCCACGACGGGCCCGGGCACTACAGCATCACCCTCGCCTCCAACCTCCACCCCTTCTCCGTCGGGCTCGAGCGCTACGACTGCTGCCTCCGGCTCGGCTTCGCGCCGCCCGCCGCGCAAGAGCACCCTCACTCAGCAGCAGAAGAACAACAAACGCCAACGCGCAACGCAGGATCAACTGGTCACCCTGGAGGTCGAGTTCAACAAGAACCCCACTCCCACCGCGGCGACCCGGGAACGCATCGCGTCAGATATCAATATGACTGAGCGATCCGTTCAGATCTGGTTCCAAAACCGGTAGGTTTCAATCGAGTTGGAATCATTGGACCTTTTGCTGACCGTAACAGTCGCGCCAAAATTAAGATGCTCGCGAAGAAGAGCATTGAGACTGGCGAGGGCTGCGATTCGATCCCCGAGTCGATGCGCCATTATCTTGCAATGCAATTCGATCCCACTAAGCCAGGAAGTCGTGACACCTTTGGCCGCTCAGTAGGGTACGGGGCACCCGGCATGTATGCCAACGAGTCTAACCCGAATGGCAAAGTTGGTATGTAAACGACCAATCAAAGACTAAAATCGGCCAACATACTGACTCGTCACAGTTATTTCTCATTTCACTTGCCGTTCTTTGACCATTGGAAGCTGGCGCCGCATCGGACAGAACGCCATGGATTTAGTCATCTTCTACTCGCCTGACAAGGCCTGCATGACCTACTATATTAACAACGACTCTGCCGGCTATAAAATCGAGTACCCTTTCGCCCACATCAAGAACATCACTTTGGAGACTGGAGACCCAAACCCTGGACCGAATGGCGCACCGCCCCAGCCTGGTGGTCTGGTCGTGGAATTGAACCGCCCGCCGCTGTTCTACATGGATTCCTCCAACTCTGGCGGCTTCTATCAATGCGGCGATTTCACCGAGGAGCAGCAAGCGAGCCAAATCATGGTTCACCACCTGGGAGGCCATCCCAAGGTCCTGAGCGTTCAGCTCGCAAAGCTGGTTTCATTGGAATCTTTCCAGAACCGCTTGGCGTATAATAACGTCAACGGCAATAACAACAACTTTGCCGTGCCCGGTGCCATGTCTCCGCCCTTTATTCAGCGCCCAGCATCCCAACCGAATCACTTCCAGCCTGCTGCCTACTTGAATCTTTACCAGGATCACAACCACCTGGGCTTCAACATGCAGGCTGCCCGTGGACACAAGCGCCAAAGAAGCCGCTCGGTGCCAGTAGCAGTTGACATTTCAACGCTTCAGGCTCCAATGTCTTCATTCCATATGCCGCAGACACCGGCTCCATTTAACCACCACGCCGAGTCTCACATCTATGCGCCAGTCCCGCAGTCAGCACACGCTCTGCCTACGGATCTGCGCATTGACACCGATGGATATGGTCTTGAGTTCCGCGCGAACCCAATGTCTGCAACGACCACCGCCTCGCCGTCCGACTTTGCTAGCCCGTCGATGTTCAGCAGTGCTGCTAATGGTGAATCGACTCCCGTCGCCAGCATGGCATCTCAGTTCAACCTTCCGTTTGGGGCTGGTCCTTCAGACTCTTCAACTGTCGGGTCACACGCACCATCGCCCTATTCTGGCGTTAGTTCTGCGGACCCAATGATAGCCAACCACTCTCCTCCGCTCTCCAACATGTCCCACTCCTCATCGGACATGTATGGCTTTGCGCATGATCAAAAATCTGCCTTTGTTGAGGATGGTCTCTCGATGAGCGATATGTATCCCAAGCATAACTTCAACTACACGGTCTCGCACGATGCTCCCGCTTTCGACCTACCGATGCATGGCATGTCAGGTCACGATTCTCCTGGGATGGGTGATTACTCCCACGGCATGGTCAACCTCGATGAGATTAACTCGCAGGGCCTGCCCTCCGGGTCATCCTGAACTCGATCATGAAGCTGTTTTTCCCTTATCCCTTTGATGTTTCACGGCCTTTGGAGTGCTTATGGCGCTTGTGTTGATGGATTCTTGGTTCCACCTCGGAGGGTTCCTTGTTGTCCAGCGGATGGAGTAATCACTCCAGATCAGGATCCAGTGGAAATGGCACAATCTTGCCTGGTGGTTTACTTCGTCCTCTGGACAACTCCTGTCTCGCTGGCGACGGCCGGGAAAGCAAATCCGATGGAATGGTTGCTATTTCTGTTCATTGCGTGGCATATATCCCTTCTGTCTTGTGCGTTTGTATTAATACCGTTTCTATTCTGGGGCCGGACCTGCAGCGATTTTCTGCTTTTTACCTTTTTCTGGAATCCCGGATGTTCCGGTTGACTCCTGATACTTTTTTTTTCTTTTTCCTGGCCAACCCCTTTTTCCATTTTTCACTTGATTTACAGGCCAGGATCTTCTTTTACGTGGTCATGCCAAACAGACCGACTTGGACGGCGACTCTTCCTCTGGTCTTCTTTGTTTTCCCTATTTTGTGTGATTTTGTGACTTGTGACTTTCAAGATAGCTCCCAGATACGCGGATTGCATTCCCCGTGATGGGCTTTCTCATGGGTTTGGAGTCTATCTATTCGCTTCCATTGTCATTTCTGCACCTGCTTTGGTCTGATGATACCGGCGTTACTCTGAATGTCCTGGCCGGGTTGAAATATCCCGTTGGGGCATCTACGGAGTACGAATGGCGCTGTTCTGGCAGTAAACGAGGGAGATTGACGCTAGGCTCCGAATCAAATACTCTTTTTTGTCCTTTGTTCTTGTAGACTTGGTATCACATTTCTTGAATTAAGCACGGCTCGTCTACGGGCATCATTTTATCGTACAAGTGGCAGCCATCCACCACGATGCAATATTCTACAAAGGCACATCACCAGCCTACTCCTTCCAGCCCCTCGGCATCGGCGCCCTCATCCCTTTCGTCTCCCTAAGATACCTCTCAATCCAAACCTCCATCTTCTCCAAGATGTTCCTTGCGGGTTTCCCAACCTCCCCAGCCTCAAAAGCACCCTCCTTACACCAAACACTCCAAGACCCCATCAACCCTGCCATAAGCACATCCGTCCCCAGCCGATCCCCTACCACAGCAATTTCATCCGGGCTCTTCACAACCTCCCTCTCTTTAAACCACCGTAGCACCTCATCCCCACAAAACGGCTTCTTCTCTGTTCCCGCCGGAAGTCTGAATACCGGGATTTGTAGATGCGCGAGCTGAGATTCGAGCTCATGGACCTCTTGCTCGAAGGATGGATGACTGCCGGCGCGGTTGGAGACGATTAGGATTGAGTACGGGTTTGTGGATTGGTGGAAAGGGGATATTGGGGATGTGCGGAGGGATTGGAGTTTTGTCAGGATTTGGGGTGGGAAGGTTGTTGTTTTGGGGGCGCAGAGGGTGTTGTCTTTGTCTAGGACTAGAGCGCGGATTGTTGGTGGTCGGGGGGTCTTCTCCGGTTGTGTTCCATTTCGACTTAGGTTGAGGTTGTTGACTAGGTGTGGACCGAGTTCTTCGGGGAGGTGCGTGAAGGTTGGGATGGTGAGGTGTGGGAGGAACTGGGCTGGTTGTTTGAGGAGAGTCTGCACGGCCAGGTTAAAGGCGTGGAGGTTGGAGTTTGGAGAACCTGCCATTTTTCTCCTGTGGTAATAGAGAGTGGCTATCGTAGTTCCATGAGTGGTGTGAAGTAAAGTGTTGTAGAAGCGCGGGTCTGGCGCCCAAAGCGGAAAGGAGGAGCTTGGCCGCAAAACTCGCCTTTTGATCCTCCAACTCCATCGTTGTCCCACCACCCGCCACCGCTGCTCATCGTCCCCTCCTCGAACACGATCAGCTTAGTTTGATCGTCGCTGGGATATCCTACTCGTCTCTTCGACCCGAATCTTTCCTCCTTCCCTTCCGTGTCGCACACTCCGCCGTCGAAATGGGCAAGCTCACCAGCACGATCGGCATCCCGATCAAGCTCCTGAACGAAGCGCAGGTGTGTTCTTGCTCTACACTGGGTTATTGAGGGTCCTGCTTCAGCGGAATGGATACAATTCTTGCTTGCTGGGGAAATGGGCTGGATCGCGTGCGCAGACCGCTAACTTCGTCTTCTCAGGGCCACGTTGTGACGCTCGAGATCACATCCGGTGTCGTCTACCGGGGGAAGCTGCTGGAAGGTGTGTTGAACTTCTGATACTTGTGAATTTGAGAGCGCAATTGGCCTATCATGGCCGACTCGGGTTGCTCAACTCGCTCAACTCGCGCCAGTTGAATCCCGCTAACATGTCTTTATCTCAACAGCCGAAGACAACATGAACGTCCAGCTGAAGGATATCACTGTCACAGCACGCGACGGTCGCGTTTCGCATCTCGATCAGGTCTACATCCGGGGTAGCCATGTCCGATTCTTCATCGTGCCGGATATGCTGAGGTACGTGGAGCCCGCAGCATCGCCATGGCTTCAATTCCCAATTTTGAGTGATCGGTACTAACTTGCCTTTTTCTCCCCTACAGGAACGCCCCCATGTTCCGCTCACGAGGCCAGCGTGGGCGCGGTGTCGGTTTGGCTCGTGGTAAGGCCACCGTGCAGCGTGCGCGCGGTCAAACACGGAGAGGTTGAACGAAATAAGAACGTAAACAGGATGAGAGCGCAGTTTCAAGATCGGGCAACTTCAGTGGTTGGCGTTTATGCTTTTTGCGTTTTCAAAGGATTTAAGGAAATTTCTCGGGCTTCCGTCTTACTGCGCTGGGGCATTTGTCTGCGAGAACTATTTCTTCCCACTCATGAATGAATACCCGAATCGACGGATGTCTTCCAAAGCTCCCTTCATGGAGTTTTACTCCAGTGTATGAGTAGAATGTCCTTTTCCATGTGTATCAATTGAGGGCTTTTAGGCGATAGGTTGAGCCATTGAGCCAAACAACCCAATATACACGAAGACTATAATCAGATTCCTTAAATCACACTAATCTTGGATTGCCATATTAGAGAAAGAACCTGAGTATTGAATACCGTGGCAATTGCTAGTTCATGCTGATAACCTATCGGACTCGTCGCATCTCCGCAGCATTTTTTGCTCATGCGGGGACAAGCTTCCTCTCTCACCCCACCAACGACCATTCCTCGACCATTCCTCGACCTGACCAGCACTATCCTCTTGAAACCGCATATAGACATATTCAAACCCATTACAATTAGACAAAGATCCATCATGACCTCCACCTCCGCCCCGGAGGTCTCAAAACCGAAAGTCAAGAACATCGCCAACCCCCGCCGCCTCCTCATTCTCGCACCAACCTCCCAATCCCTTACAACAATCCCACCTCTCCTGCACTCGCTCACTGGCGTGCCCATCGTCGATCCTCCCCAGAAAGAAACACCCGACGTACAGATCCCGCAATCTTCCACCCCTCTACCACCGGGAACTACAGCACCCACCACAACGTTCGCAGGATACACAACACACAGCCCCCTCCGCCTCTCAACAAAATACTACACCGCAGAAGTACCATTGTGGGTTGACGAGATCCCGCTCTCGACAGAGAACACAGAGACAACTTCAACCCAATGGCGCACGGAATTCCTCAGCGCAGAAGCTGAGATCGTGCGTGAAGCTGTTGGTGCTTTGATAGTCTGCGTAAAGGCTCCGGAGCCGAGCTCACAACCGGGCGACAATACGAATCCTGTCGAGCGCGAGGATGTGCGCGCTGTGCGGGAGCTAATGGGCGACGTCGGTGTTGTGAAGTCGTGCATTGATGAGGAGCGCGGTGGGATGGGCGATGTTCCTGGTGTGTTGATCTTGGTTGGAGGGAAGAAGAGTGCGCCGGGTACGTCTACGTTTAAGGCTAAAGACGAGGATGGACTGGACCTTGTTGGTGATGAGGAACTTGGGGAAGATGCGGCGCCGTTGTCGGCTGGGTGGTGGGAGGACCAGATGTTTGATATGGGTTTGCTTGGATGGGAGGTTATTGAGTGGGATCCGACGGAGCAGAGTGGTAAAGTGACGAGGAATAAGTTTGGAGGTATGTCTTCCCCTTCAATCTACCCGAGTAGTGCTAATGGTCCATAGAGTACGAAGGCATGCCCCGTATCAAAGAAGTCCTAGAAACACACGACTGGGCAGCATCGGGAGATACACTCGACGCCGACGATCTCGGATCAGACGATGACTTTGACGACTTCGTGAGTGGTGACAAATCGACACACTCGCGCGGTTTCGGGGAGGAAGTCAATGAGCTGGAACGTGAGATGTTCGGGTTGCGCATGGCTATTGAGCGTGGTGGAGATGGACACGAAGATAGTGAGGAGGATGAGAATGGGGAGGATAAGGTTGAGTCTATTGAGGCGCTAATGATGCGTATGCAGTCTATACGAGGTATGTTGGATGTGAAAGGTGGGATTGAGTGCTTTGCTGACCGTTTTAGATATGAGCGCTGACATGCCGGAGGCTCAGAGGAAGAGGCTCGCTGCGAAAGCTGTGCAGGATATTATGAAGGATTTATGAGAGTAGCTGTTTCTGTTGGATTGAGGTAGATAGCTCTTGATAGACAGTCACCCTGGCTGCACTAATAATGCGCAAGCATCAGATATCCAATTCTCATGTTCTTTATACTTTCAAGCCTTGTCAGCTCCCGAGGTTGGTATCGAGATACTATAGATCTAGATCAGCCAAGATATATGATCCAGTAACCTTAACATCCACTTGAATTTCATTAAAACTATTTATTTCTTTGGCCCGGTCCTATCAATTAATGCACCTCGGACCGTATTCATTCAAATAGGTATTCTATACAATCGCCTCTACCCCTGGGATCGATACTCTCCTCCTCGAACTTCCAAGGGGTTCTTCAACATACTGTAAAGCACGTCCACTACCTCCTACCTAATCAGCACGCTTCTTTCCACGAAGGACCTTTCGGCGCTGCGCAATCATATGAGTGTAGAGAACATAAGAACCTAAAAAAACGTCAGCAGACAATCCAACCAACCATCCCCAAATCGCGGGAGAACATACCAGGCACATAGATAGCCAGAATAGCAATCAAAGCCCACCGGAACAACGGATCAATTTGCGCCGCGGGCGCCAGCGCCTTGAAAATAAGGGTGCACTCGCTCGAGATACCGATGGGATACAGCACATAGAAAGTGTTATACCGCAACCAAGTCCACCAAGCCGGAACCGCATTCCCAGAGAGCGTGATAGCGAAGAATCCATAGCGGATGATCTCCGTGATTCCCCATGCGCTCACGCAGCCGAGGTACGCGTAGTCGCCCAGCTGGGTCGAGCGCGCGCCGACGATGTCACCGCCAAAGGGTGCCATGATCCCCCAGACTAGGAGCAAGCGGCTGGCGACTTGCATTGCGGTTGTCAGAAAGGGTGCGCGAACGAGGCCGATTAGGCTGTGGAGAACTTCGAGGATGGCGAGGGATTGTGTTGCTAACAGGAGGGGGTTGAATGTCGCGGTGAAGATGGAAGAGATGTTGTTGCTGGCCAGGTGCGAGGGCAGGAGGCTGGCTGTGTAGAGTACACAGGTGCCCCAGGTGAGGAGGTTCAGGGCATTGTAGGTGAAGAGGTAGTCTCTTGTAAGACCCGAAGGCGCGGTGGAGGACATGGTTGTCGTTGAGAGAGGATAGTTCGGGAGTGGTGATGAAGAGCGTGGTTTAATGCAGACTCCTAGTCTGGGTCAATTGATGCCCAGTTGGGTCGAGGTGAATTGGTTGGGATTTCACGAGCTGCAGCTTTGTTGAATCTGGAAGGGACCTCGGGATATTATGTAAGCATTCCAGAAGCCGCGACGAAGCTGCGGGGAGGAAGAGCTTGTCAACAGATTGGCTTCGCTCTCGAGATTTGATATTGGGTGTTATTGGCTCCGCAGAGGTGTCATGCCATTTGCCGATCGTTGATTTGTTCGAACCGCACATACTGCCGGTGGCTATAGTTCGGAGCCGAGCACAAGTTCCCATTTGTCGGATGAATCGAACTGTTTGCTAGTCGACCGTCTCTACGCTATCTATAGATACAAGTGCTCCACGAGACAACCAACCGGAAGGCTTCCCTTGCACTACACTACGCGAGCGAATGCCCCAGGCGGTTGTGCATCATCCACCACTGCACGAACCTAGTCCCCAGTTCCACTAGTGGCTAGCATTTCGCTTGCAACCTCGTATTGTGGTGTTGATAGCAAACACAAGCGGGGCTGGGTTGCCATTTCTGCGTGGGTTTGTTGCTTTTGTTAAGTGGTCTGCTTCGGTCGTCATGGGGTGGGTGCTGGCTCATTGGGGATTGGAAATTTGCATCGGAAGATCATGGCGAAGGAAAATGCTGCCGTTGCTTTGCTGTTGTGGTTGCTCCTGCTATTGCCGGTGGGACTGCAAGCTCGTCCCCTAGCAATATTTGCCGATTCCAAGCCGTGAACTTGTACGACGAATGCCCAGTTACTCTTCGCACGTCACAGGGGCCCCCTCTTACAACAGCGCGCTAAGGTCACACGGCCATCTGCGGCTTGACATCATGAAGAACAGCCAATGGCATTGCCTTGCAAAGAGGGTGCGAACTGTACAGGACTGGAGTAAGGGTGTAACAAAGCGCACGGAACGGGATCAATGTAATCCCGAGTCACGCGAAGGGCTGTACTGTATATACGTACGAATGACATCAGAGGCTGCATGAGCGGAGTGTGCTCCGCAGTGATGTCATGGCTGCATACGACGCATATGATTCGCCAACAGAACTCGGGCGAACCACCTCACGCGAAAAAAACTAGGAGCAGGCCACGATGAGCACGAATGCCCCCGTCTGCTATATAAACAAAAGAGTCGGCTTGACTTCGTAGAGTGGATGGTCGGTTCATTTCTGAAGATTTTAATATCCTAGAGACCACCTACTCTTTCAATTGAATGCATCGTCAATTGTCAATACTCCGAAAAGCAATCCTGCAAAAATGTCCAGCATCGTCATCGGTGACAGCATAATTGCTCGTGTCTCGTGTTTTAGGCACCCCCCTCCGACCCCGACCCTACCTGACCAGCCCGCCAAGGGGAGAGAGAAACATGCCGTACTCACGCTGACCACTTCAGAACCCATGCATTCATGCAACCTGACCCGGTCCAGGTGGAAAGGGAAACGGTTCCTCCGGGTTGGGCTCGGATGGCGAGGGCCCAGACCGTCCGTCGAACTGGGTCAGGTTCTCCCGTTTGCGGTCCAGTGCACTTTGACCAGACAGATCTTGCTTTTCCCTGTTGTGCGGGACTAGCTGCGGCTACTGAAAAAAAACTTAGCACCGGTCTCACTTTCCCTCGAATGAGATATGTGACCGGACTCTTATCTACCAACTGAGACCCAAGTGGAGGTCAGACCGCTGTGTGTGCTAGCCCTGCCGCTGGAACTGTCGTGGGTTCCACGTGTGGCTCGGGGCATGGGAACCAACCGTCACATTCGGAGAAGCGAGTGACGTGCCTGGACTGGGATCGGCGCCGCGATGATGTCGTTTTGCGGCTCCACCCCGCCAGGCTTGGTTTGCAGGCCGTTCTGCTGCTCGGTAGCGTGGTCTTTTGCCCCTTCCCAAACTGGAGATGTACCGAAATGTACACTCACAGCAGGTGCCCACTGGAGAGGGGGGAATGCTGATGATCTCACGTCCTCGGTTGCTGGTTCCCGGTGGAGCGATAGTCCTGGAATTGTCTTGTGGTCTCGCTCCACTGGCTCGCTGCTGCCGGTGGTGGACAATGCCCAAATGGCCATGATTCAGTCATGATAGATTTCAGCTCCCTTGTCCCTTGCGGAAAAGGCTGGAGGTTGGTCACGGTCTAATAATGCCGTTGGGGATGGTGACGGGAGTCGGCAACTCGAAGGGATATAGACTTCGGGCCGCGAGGACTATACCCTCCATGATCTAGGCTTACGCATCAAAAATAGCGAAAATTTGAGAGAAAAAAAACTTGAACAGAAACAGCCATGATCCCAGGTGCGCATTAGCGCACAGTTCCCAAGTATAGAGTAGGCCTCTCCGGAGATCCGCCAGTACGAGCACAAATTATTTTTTTTTCTTCAATTTTCTATCTACTGATCACGAGAAGAAGGAAAAGATCAATCAGATAAATTTGCAAGGAGATTACGAAAGAGAGGGGGAGGGGAGAATCATTCGTCCTCCACTCGTTCGGTTTGTGAAGGGCCGCGATAATTACCCACCCTACGTTCTCCGCCCTCCCCTTTCCTCGCTAACCCCATTTTCCCTTCTTCCCTTCGCGTGTCCTCTCCCGGCGTGGCTAAACCTCGTGCCCCCGTTCTTAGACCACCATTTTAAAGATACCCAGACGGGTTGAAACCTTTGAAGCTCAAAGAGCTCCCAGAACAGAGACAAAAAAAGGTGGGATGAACTCCAATCCGCGTTTGACAGTCTGCCCCTCCTTCTGGTCCATTATAGCCCGGACATAAAATTCCCCCTACACGCGATACCCGATTGATCTTCCCTCGTTTTCTTTTGAATTGGGCCTTTTTTTCATTTTCATTTTCATTTCCATCATTCTCCTCGTTCCCCCTGCCTACCTGTGTGGGACCCTGGTCTCTTTCCGGAACTGCAGCTTGAACCCCCGCCGTGACGGTCGAGTATATATGCCGATTGATTTATCAGGGCTTGTACACTTCCTCCACACTTCCCCCCCCCCCTCTCTTCGACTCTCTCAACCCTGTCCCTTCGGCTTGCGGTCTCGCACAGTAAGCCCATTCCCTCTCGCCGCGTCCATTGCCGGCTCTGTTTGGCCCGCTCCAGAGAACCCCAGCCCTGTTCCTCACCTGAGGGTGGCTTGTTTCCCCCTGACCTGCACCCTGGTCTGGATCAGCATCATGCCTACCGCCCTGGTGACCGTCAACCATTCAATCATCTCCCCTCTCAGCACCCTTCTGCTGCTTCGATCTGTAATACAACTTGGCTTTGTAGGGACACGAATGTTTCCTCCAGAAATGAAGCGGGGCGTAGTCCCAGCCCGGGATCACATTTCCGCTGATCTGATGCCTCATGCGCCTCACAAGATGTGTCGTTTTCGTGGAGAGAACCGTGGCTGACTGAAACTAACACAGATCTGTCAAGCTCCTCGATTTGGACTCCCTGTCAGATCGGGTAACCGGAGTTCGATTTTACGACCGTGAAGATCCGTGCCGTGGACTAGGTTGATCCTTTCCTCACTATCCATTCTCCATATTGCCAACATGGCCCCGACTGAGACCACCAAGGCCGGGGGGTATGTATCGCCAACAATGAACCTCGACTTACCGGATACTGACAGATCTTAGTCCAAGAGCGCTCCTCCCAAGCTCTCCGATGTCAAGGAGCTCATCGATGAGGGCACTTTCGAGCAGATCCTGGAAATGGATGACGATGATGACCGCGATTTCAGCAAAGGTATCGTCTACGGCTTCTTCGATCAGGCCCACAATACATTCGACAAAATGGAGGCCGCACTGTATGTTCCCCGCCCTGTGATAACGGGTCCACTCTGACATGCAACAGGAAGGATAAAAAGCTCGAGGAGCTCTCACAGCTCGGCCATTTCCTGAAGGGCTCGTCAGCCACGCTGGGCTTGACCAATGTTAAGGACGCCTGCGAAAAGATCCAGCACTACGGCGCTGGCAAGGACGAGTCCGGCTCCACAGACGAGCCCGACGAGAAGGTCTCTCTCAAGAAAATCGACACGACCTTGAAGGAAGTCAAGGTCGAGTACACCAAGGTCGAGAAGTTCCTGCGCAGGTACTACGGCGAGGAGGTTAAGGAGGAGGAGCCCAAGAAGGAGCAGCCCAAGAAAGAAGAGCCTAAGAAGGAAGAGTCCAAGAAGGAAGAGTCCAGGGCGGAGGAAAAGGTAAAGAAGGCAGAGCCTACGAAGAAATAGGCGACTTGCAATTTGCTTCTCTTTTTTAGCGCCGGATGGAGCATTGCAAAGGCCTTTGTTTTGTTCTTTAATGCTTTCTTGACGTACATACAAACCCGCCATGGTGGTCCGACTGTTGCGGACCCAGCCTGAAGATGCGGGGAACTCGCGACAGTACATCTTTCCCAGAGAGATTTGAAGAGTATTGACGGAATCCGAGTGCTCCTATCTGACTATCTCTTGTCTCTGTATTTGGCAGTACATTTTCGAGCGAGAGCAGAATCAGCTTCAACTTAGCCCTGGGGGATCAGGGGGTTGAGGTACCCGGGGAAGTAGACACGCGCCTAGAATGTGCATAGACCACGTAGACGCAGTCTGGAGCCAGGGCCCGATCCACGACCTCCATGCACCCAGTGCGACCATCGGCGCCTCAAAAAAGCTTGCTTCAGCCACCGCGGGTTTAATATGCCGTCGATAAGCTTGAATCGACTCCTCCGGAGCCGCAGTGGCGCAGACGATCGTAGATCGATCGATCTCATTCGACGTTGATCTTAATCAGATTACCTGGTGGATATCTTGCGATTCTTACATTCGCCCACTTTATGAATCTGTCCTCAAATTTTCCAACTTTCAATCCCCATCTCAACTCAGTGTACCACAGCTCAACAAACTCGGCAGCTCGCCACGCAACAGCCAACGTGTTCCATATAAGTCGAGGCCCGGCCCGAGCCCTGTCAATCAAGGCGTGAGCCTTCATCAAACGCCAACCTTGGGGAACCGGGGTATCGAAGGCTCCCAACTTCCCCGAGGAAGCCTGCATCCTCACCCAACCCCGCGCCCACACTTATTCGCTATGGCTGGATCAATTGAAAATGGATCTTCGGAAACCTGCATCCCATTCTAGTCGTGGCTGGAAGTCCGCGCAATAACATTTTCCCTTTGACAAGAATTACGGCTTGTTTCTTCAAATAAATGGGGTATGAAGTCCCAAACTGGATATTCCAGGCCGCGTAGGATTTGCCGGCAAGTTCTCGCGATATCGCGAAGCGCAGAAGCATCGGCAGCATGCATCGAAACCACGGGGCTTCAATTGACGTGCCACGGCCTCGTGTTTACGGTGGTGACATCCGCGTTCGATGACCGACTGGGTTGTTAAGGAATGTCTTGAGCTAAAACTAAAAGGCTCCAGAAGGGACGGACAATCAGCGTTTCCCCGTCTACATCCCTGTGCCTCACCGATGTGGTGCTTGCTCTCGCCATCCCGTTGCTCTTTACTCGAAACTTTCAAGGACATAGCTCCTATGTTTTGGAAAGTGCGAGGGCATGAAGAATATGTTACTGTTTCACGAGTGCGGTCGGTATATATCAAATCAAGATTGGATATATCTGTATGCGTTGTGGCCTCAGCTCTTTCGTTGCACGTTTCTGCCGCTTCGATTATTGGACGGGAGGCTCTGTGTCCTGCATTTTCGGGAGCCTAGGTTACCTGTGTCTGCAAACGAGGTTACCGACATCGAGTCATGGTGTCTTGTGTCGATGGTGTCCCTTTTCCCCCACACTTCATGCATTGTGAGGACGCTTGTTGATGAGTCTCCGATACAGATGTACGCAGGCTGGCCGTTTTGTTTATCGTGAGATTGCAATATTAGATATTCGTCTGGGGCGCGGCTTGGTGCGTCACGCGGCATGGCTACCGAGCGGCGGCCCCGTATAGATTCCTTTTGGGATTATCCCCAGGAACTGGGCCATGATGAAGACGTGGGTTTGACAGATGTTTCACCTATCCTCGAACTTCAGCTTTGTCACGCAGCATTTAGTGCACGTCAATCAGATAGTCAGCTCAAGAGCGACACTTATTTGGACATGTGGCCCCGGATAGGCTACTTCCCTGCTATGAATAAAAGCATCCAGCCCCTGGATGTATGTCCACCCATCATTTGCTTGTCTCCAATATTCAATTGTACCTCAGATGTATTCATAATCAAAAGGTCCAATCACCTGCATCCAGTCTACATAAACCTCCCGTCTGTCTGTCTCGGATAGTAGACTCGACATCGGGAAGTCTCCCTCGAAAGCCTCCCACCGTCCTCTGCCCACAGCGCTCAGTCCTCGACCCCGCCCTATGCCTCATGATACCCTGTTTGTCTTAGCCGGAGCCCACATTCTTGGTGAAGGATGTACAACTTCCAGCACTGGAAATCAAGCTCATACCCTACCGAAGAGTTCCGTTTGCTGGAATTCCGGCTCCTTCCATCTCCGTACTCATGGGGTCATATGGCCCTTAGTTGAGATGCTACTGTAGGCCCTCCAATCCTATACTCACTACTGAACACCACCAGGAAGCAAAAAAACCACTACAAGAATACCTCAGCCTGGTGTAGTTAGTCTGGGGTAGGATCCCAACGGGTGTGCGATTGACGAACAGGCACATTGTACAACTGTCACAACCAAAGAGGAGTCACGAATCTTGCAGATGTATCGATGCGTGTCCCGGATAATTCAAATGCCCGAAACTGGTAGAAGACAGGGCAAGTTAATCTCTGCCACGCCGCCCTTTCTAGTCCATCTAGATCTTATTTCATTCGATTTATCTTTTCCTCCAGAGGCCACTCAGCTAAACCCTGAGGCATCCGTGTCTTGGTTATGGATGCGAACAGAGCTCATCTGCATTGTCCTTTGCCTCAACGTGAGCTAACCCCCTCGTTCGATTGCATTGCGCTCGACTTGATTGCTGTCCGTTCGTCCTGCTCTTTCCCGCCTAGCCAATCTGATTGCATTGCATCTTTGACTTTCCCAACGGCCGCGTGCAAGCCCCAGCACTAGCGACCGTTGAATGAGATCGCCGTTGGACTCGGAATGGGGTGGTCGACTGATATAAAGGGCTGGCTCTTCGAGAGAATGTGTCCTCATTCCACAGAATTTCGCACATCACTTTTGGATAATTCTTCCGGTTATACTCTTGACCCAGTACACGACATTTCGGTTTCTGTAGCACAGCAGCACAATTGTGCACACCTTCGACTTAATAAACACCTCGAAACCCCATCGCAAATACAATGGTTGCCGTCGGACCCCGGGTTTCCAAGGAAGAATTCATGCACGCGCTGAACCTTAGTGCCCAGAACGCTCAGGACGAGCAGTTCTACCGCGCTATGCGAGTAAGTACTTCTCCCCCCGATTCTATACAGCCTCCTACTAAACACATACCCCCGCACCTAATCTACATGAACAATAAACTAATATTCCCAGGATGAAGCAATAATGGTCTACAACCGCATGAACCAAGACACCTCCCACCTTCTCGACAGCGTACGCGCAGACCCAAACACCCGACCCCCATTCTTCTGGCACCATATCCGGCCCGAGCAGCAGCGCCTCGCCATCATGGAAATTTGGCTGAATGCCAGCCCACTCACACGACGATTCTTTGACTGCGGCGGTACGAATGGCGAGTACGGACCCAACTGGGTTGCTGGGTGGTTGCTGTATAGTGTGTTTCGGTCGAGGGATGTGCGGAATAATCGTAATCGAAGAAAGGGGGAGAGTGGTGCTGTTGCTGATGGTAAGTATATATTTACTTTGAAGTGCTCATTCTGTTTGGATAGAGCTAATGGGGGTTTCTGCAGGGAAAAAACAGGCGGAGGAGACGACGTCGCCGAAGAAAGGCTATTACGACCCCGTGCGGAATGGAACACTGTAATTGTTGCTTGACTTGGATTTAATGGTTTATCGATGATTGCCCGGGTTGTTCCAGAAACTCCGAACGATGCAAGTAATACAAAGGAAAGGGAAAGCGCTAAGGACACGTAGAAAACAGATCTAACGCAGAATGATATCCCGAATCCCAATCAATCATCATCCTCGCTCTCCTTATCCTTCTTATCCCTCTTAGACTGCTTCTCCTCCCGAGTCGACCTCAAGGCCTCTGTAACCCTCTCATCCTGCTCATCAGCCCGCTCATTCCACTCGGCATCATACTCCGCCGCAATACTCTTAATCTCGCGCCTAAGAGCTTTTCCTTCATCCACGAGATTCTCCCAGAGATGCAAGTCCACATTATGCAACTGATACAGTTTCTTCTGTCGCGCGCTCACTGTAAAGTCCAATGCTGACTTGTACGAGATTTCTCGGTTGTGGTACAAAAACCACAAGTATCCACCCATCAACGTGGATAAACTGACCAGGTATGTGACGGGTTCCATGGTGTCCCACCCCAGATCCGTTTCGAATGTGAGCTTGTACACGCTGTACCACCACACGGACAGGATGCCGAACCCGCCAATCGCCACCCGCTGCGCGCCACGGTGTGCTAGGGTGTCACATTTCTGTTTGACTTCTGCGATCTCCTGGATCCGCCGCGACAATTTTCTTAGTCGAAGCCGAAGAAAGTATGTCCGCTCATTGAACGACGGCACGGTAACTCGGATCTGGCCCAATCCTTCAGGCGCTCCTTCAATCGTGATGATGAACTCGCGCGCGCGAGCCGCATCCCGGATAAAATCACCCACTTCGGTAGATTGCGACCACCGCACAAATCGCTCAGATTGCCCATTTAGCGGGTCGAGGCTGGAGTCTGTTTTGCGGGGGTAGCTGTAGATCTCCGCATCTTCTTCGCGGGACCGTCGGCGTTGGACGGGTTTCTGTTTGTTGGGATGACCTTCAGTCTGAGCGTCTGGGCCGAAGGCGTCTTCGATTCGTTTGCGGGGTTTGATTGCGTTGTCTTCGTGTTGGAGGGCGATGAATGATATGGCGGGTGGGCGGAGTTTTTCTTTTTCGCCTTGGATTGGAGGGACCTCGGACTGGATTAGGCGTTCTAGGTAGGAGAGTGGTTGGTGGGGATGGACTAGTATGGCAATTGGTTCGATGCCTGGTAATGGGTTAGTAGTGTTGATGGTGGTTGGGACAGGTTTGTTACCTTTGTCGCCGTACTTGTCGACGGTTGTCAAGGGGACGATCAATTTGAAGAGTCGTGAGGGCGTCGTTAGCATTTTCCCTGTTCTGGTTAGCTGGGGAATATTTCGCTTTCTAGGAATGCTTCTTACCCTTCGTCATGTCTTGTGACCATTTGGCATCCTGGCGCTCAGTAGATGGCTTTTCTCCATTGGCACCTAGCACGTTTCGTGAAGGTTTAGTGTCTGGCTCATCATCCTTGACTTCGAGAGCCTCAAGGACTTCTTCGGTTTTTTCGTTATCACCGATTCTCTCAATGTAGTTTGCCTTTTTGAAGAAGCGAGTTTGGGTCTGTCCTAGCTCCCGAGGAACTCCGATACCCGGTCTGGATAATGTCGGCGCAAGCGACAGCTTCCTTCCAGACTGAGCGTTCTGCCCAAATCGTCTGCTTGAAAGCAGGTGCAATTGTCGATGACCTCCAAGAGCAATTGTTCCCGATCTGCCAGCTAACGAGTGTAGTCCAACGCCACGGCATGCCTGATGTCTCGCTGTCAACACAAAGGGAGCACAGCTCCGTGTCGCGTGACGCATCGTTGAATTGGATTCTTGGGATGTCCTTCACTCGTTCTGGTAGCTATTGCGGGGCGAGGGAGCTGAAGGACATAGTTCAGAGAAGGTAGGGAGACTAAAAGTAAGGCGCAGTCAATTCATGACGCAGATGTGTTTCGAATAATTGTGGAGAAGCTTGAGGTGTGCAGGTGTGCGCGGTGTACTCCGCTAACGCGAGCCAGCAAAGTCTAGGTCCAGGCACAATGTGGTGTGGACAGGTCCGATGTCATGTTGTCCTGCCTTGGCTGGATCACCGACATGACGTCATGTGGCGGCGCGGTGCTGTGTTGTGGCTGTGTCCTAAGGCTTGTGGAAGCTTAGCTGGATCAGTGAGCCCAGGTGTCGCGCCTTGTGCTTTTTTAATTGTATTGCGTATATCCTGCTGCGGATGAATGCTTCTTTCTTCTAGCAGGGCCTCACGATGTTGTCATGAATGCTTACTGTCATACATATTTACTCCCAGGTCACCGCTACTCTGAGGCACATGATTTGGTCTAATCATTTCCGCCGAGTTGGCCTCTCTAATATTAAAAGTTAACACGACAGCCTTTCTTAAGCTCCTTGCGTAATCTCGTCATGTTCTAGCGGGTTTCTTGGAATGAGGTACGCCTGCAGTTGCGCCACGCATGAGTTCGAGAGACGCGACCAAGGAGAACCTTAAAACGGCACCAACCCCGGTCCACCCCCTTCCCCGGAGCCTTTTTTAAATGTCTGTTCTCTAGATTCGTGGAGATCACGGATATCGTAGAGGAGCGGTCACAGGGGAGATCAGAGTATGCTGCGTAGTAGTCAGCAAGGTCAGAGACTTATATTGAATGGAAATGGATGCTGATGGTTTAATCGTATGAAAAGAGAAATTCAACTGGCTGGAAAACCTGCAGTTCTACTACGTAAACCAGATTTCAAATCTCTGTTCTGCTGTTAAAAAAAGATCGACGTCGGGTCCGCAATGTTGAAAGGGGTATGCAATATGCTTCCCACAGAGATCGCCAAGTGCGGAACTACATCCGGCAGCTGGAAACGAGATCTAAATAGGACTTGACGGCATAAATCGACGGAATCAGCAATCTTCGAAAACCGTCTTCTCAGCCAGAAAAATAAGATCTGCGGTTCCAGTTTCCAAAAGTGGCATGCAAGATGTTCTCTTAAGGGTTGCCTAGCTTACTGTGGGGCCGTCACTACGCACGGCAAATAAAGAAGTGAGATTGAGATCTCAAAGCTAAGCCTTCGCGATCGTTGCTTTCTATGGTCTGGACGACCCAATCGACGAGTTCAAATAATCTCTTGCTCTTAAATCCGTCTTAATTTAGAAACAGTGGGCTTCCATAGCCTTAACAATTTCCTGGGGTCTTCAACCTATATAATGGGGCTGGCTGACCAGGGAGTCGAAAAATATTTTAGAAAGATATCCAGAAAAAAGTCAATCCAAGTCCATAGAGCTTCTTCGAAGGCTCGGTTGAACCTGTCTTTGAACATGGTGTCCATCACACTCAGTCTTGTCGTCCTTGCATTTTCAGCCTGCGGTAGAGCAAGTCCTGTCCGCAAAACTCACCCAACTGTACACCTTGCGCCAGATATAGTTCGGTTCGAGGGGTCATCAGCAAACAATGTCGAATCGTTCCTCAACATCCGTTTCGGCCAAGATACCGGAGGCAACAACCGCTTCGCACCACCAAAGCCATACAATTACCCAACCGGCTCTGTGGTAAACGCCACTCAGTCCGGGGCCGCTTGTCCACAGCAAAAGGTTCCAGTTGAAGGCATTTCAGTCTTTGATAATGTCACCCATATCTCTGAAGACTGTCTTACCTTACGTGTCGACCGTCCCGCCAATACCTGCAGCACGGCCAAGCTCCCCGTTATGGTCTACATCTACGGCGGCGGAGACTCCATTGGCCAGATTTATGATTCTGCTTATGATCCAACCACTTTGATCTCCGGTGCGACCCAAAAGGGCATACCTGTTATCTACGTCGCTATGAACTACCGTGTTGGGGTTTTCGGATTCGCCGCGTCGCCGGCATTGAATGATTCAGACTCGTTAAATGCAGGACTACTAGATCAGAGACTCGGTCTGGAATGGGTGCAAAAGCATATCTCGGCATTTGGAGGCGATCCGGATAATGTCATTATCTTTGGAGAGAGTGATGGTGCGACTGGAGTCGGTCTTCAAATCACGGCTTACGGAGGCAATATGAAGGCTCCTTTCCAGAGAGCCATTATGCAGTCTGACAATGCTGCCGCCGATGCTGGGACTGCGAGCAATGCCTCTATGAAGCACACAGCTCAGTTGATCCGCAAACTCAGCTGTACTGCATCTACAAGTGCGAAAGAGCTTGCTTGTCTGAGGAAAGTACCTCTCGAAAAGCTGCTATCAACTGCGGTTGAGTATGAATATAGCCTCAATTCATATGGATTCGATGTTTTCATTCCGACGGCGCCATCTACTTTCATCCCCGAGAGCCCCTCGGAGCTTCTGAGATCTGGTCGGTTCGCTCGCAATATCGACATGATCGCTGGGTGGAATGAAAACGATGCATCCCTCTTCACGCCATCCACGCTCAACTCAACCGTCGGTGTGGCAGAGTTTTTGTCCGCCTCTCTGCCAAATCTGTCAAAAGAAAATATCCAGAAAGCTCTTTCTCTCTATCCAGTCTCATCTTTCTCGGACATGCCGACGGAAAATATCAGCGCGCAATACTTCCGTGCGAGCCAAATGATGCGTGATAATCAATTCGTGTGCCCAAGCATCTTTACGGTCCAAATGAACAACAAATATTCGGACTTGAACACCTCCAACTACCTCTTCGTGCTTAACCAGACAATCTTCGCTCCGGTATACGCCGAGGAGCACACATCTTACTTGGGTGTCTCACACTTCAGTGACATTCCCTACGTCTTCAACCAGGTGAATACCAGGTATTCATCTATTGCCTCGGCATCGGGTGTGAAGCTGTCATCGGAGATGAGTGGCAGCTGGGCCTCATTTGCTGTATATGGTGACCCTTCCCGAGCGCGAGGTACAATTCCGGATTGGTTTGATGCTGTTTCATCATCAAATGGAACAGAAAGACAGCTCAGTCTGCAGGTTATTGGCGGACCTCAGCCTGGAATTGTGCCCATTGGGCGGACTCGGGGCTCCTATGAAGATTTAACCTGCCGGTGTGCTTTTTGGAATTCGCCCGAGGTGTTTGCACAGATGGGTGTTTGAGTGTTTTATGTGTACCAGGAATTTGTCAAGTCATCAGCGTGGCTCATTGCTTTCTTCATTAGGAGTTATATAATTGTACATTCATTTCACACAAGGCGTCAACACCGGTAGAATTTTGTCGAGACAATCATTAAGTCAATCACGCGTTCTGCTTCACACCTTGCTAAGATACAAATTGCAGGGGTAAAATCTCTCTATAGACAAACCCGAGAACGCGAAAAGAATGTATTTAGCTAGTACCCAAGAAGGTTTGAGTAGAGTTTCTAACATCGTCATCAGCAAAGTGCCATGTATCCACAAGCCACGCTAATTGAAAATGAGAATCATTCCAAAACATCTCAACCTCGGAAAACAAAGACGCACACAATCATATATCATAATTGACCGCTGACCTCCACTATGATGCAAATTTTCGAAAGGCACATTCTGAGAGCTCGATGCCAATCCACCATCTATGCACCATTAGTCCAGACACAGCCATCGAGCCCACACAATCATCAAGTCATCATTCAACGTAGACACATATTTTCCATCTATGAAATTTCGCAAAAAAAGCACTCGGAAATGGAATCGCAAAGAAGCATCATCATAAGCCGTAAAGTCGTTATTCCCCCCAACCACATCCCTCAGTCAACTAAAATCACACCCAGTAACCCACTAAACCTGCCTACTCTTGCCGCGTATAATCAAGCATCCTAGCAGCAAGAACATTCACCTGTCCCTCCGCATCCAACCTCATCATCCTTTCTGGACTACTTTCCCCACTCCAGCTCCCTCCACTACTGACAGAGGTATCAGTATCATCATCACGGCTAGACTTGCGTCCCGTGCCAATGGCAACCGGAATACCCTGTACAGCGCCGCCGTGTTTGTGGCCACTCGGATACATGCCGTCATTGACGGAGAAGTTGCGGCAGATCAGATACGCGCGCATGGCTGCATTTTCGCGCGCCAGGGTCTCGGATTCGTAGATGATATCCGTTTGGTATTCGCGGTTGTTGACCCGCGCAACGCACGTGTACCCTCCGGTTGTGGGGTAAGCTTCGTAGGTTGGTTCTGGCCAGCGGCGGCGGCGACAAAGGCCTGGACGGTGTTAATTGGTTTGCTCTTGTGGGGAAGTATGCTAGGAATAGAACGGCTTGAGCTCGTCGTTGGGCTAGGGGTCAAGGGTAGCTTATGCAAGCGTGACATACTCGCCAGGTAGAGGATATAGTACATCTCGTGGATCTGGACCGGTCGAGAAGGGAAGAGCGGATGTGCCCACTGACGAGATTGCGAGCGGCTACCCCGACAGCATTGAATGGATTGGCTGGCCGGCGACGGGAAGCGGGTAGGGCTGAGGCCGAGGCTGCCGGTGCAGCTATAAGAAATGCGGATGGTGATGCCCAACGTTCGACAATAGTACCTTGATGGCTGTTTGCCGGGAGGCTAGACAGGGAGCAACAGCCAAAACTCTTGGTGAAAGCCTAACCACAGTGGATCTTGCGAGCCGGGGCGAAATGCGAATGCGAGTGCTGGGGACGAGAGGAGGAGAGAGGGACCTAAAGACTTGAAGAAGACATTGGAAGATGCCACGCCACTGTAAAAACACATGCAAAATACACGGTTGCCTCGTACTGGGGAAAGGATTTTCAAGTGAAAAATTCAGCGAGTCTACTTCAAGCTATACTTAGTTACTTCTATGGAAACGGGTGGGGCTTTTGATACAAAGAGTCATACCGTGAGTTGTCCCGTGTCCCTACACATAGAGGCAACGGTTGCAATCGAGACGAAACCCCTTTTCAGCTTCGTGCTTGAAGGATCCGACGTCATCCTGGCAGTCGCAGAATTCCCGAACGGGTACAAATAACTGAAGGAAAACACTTTCCCTCGCCAATTGCCCTCAATTCGAACAAAACACAGAGCACCGGAATTCCAATACCCACTAACTCTCGGCTTTGGACATGGTTCCGGGGACCTATACCCTGGGTAAGGTATAAACCTGCCAGAATGAAAACTGGGTCGTATTGAGGTATCGGTGGGCTCGATGCCTTGAGCAAGGGAAGAGATTGGACCGGGGCTGGAAGGCAAAAGCCCACAACTGTCCGTTGGCCTCAAGAGGGGCAATTGGATGTGTCCCCAGTTTTCGGCGGGTTTTAAGGTACTGATGCGCTGGCATGGCTGCTTGCCAGTCGAATCGAGCCGAATCGAGGACTCCGGCCTTCCTGGGCCCGGCTTCTCCATCCCCTGCAATTCGCCGACCAAGCTAAATAAACAGGCTCTGCAAGACACCGGGGCTCTTCCTTGAAGACTTGAAGTCTCCAAGACTTCAATCTTCAATCTTCAATCGTCAGGGCCTGCTCATTTCCCACTCGGATTTGACTTTGGGGTGAATGCCCCGCAGTAGACGCTGAGACCATAACATTTTGCCGCTAGGTCCTTGGATCTTCATCTCTACGCGCTGGAATCCACACAAGTCCACAGAAACCCACAGAATTCCACGGTCTGAGCGGCCATTGGCGCCAAGGCCCCCATGTTGTGCAGAACGCGTCTGACTTGTGGGCTTGAGGATGCACGCACCCCCCCGGAACGATTCAAACGGACAAAGTTACTCGACAGGCATCTCGGACGCAGTGATGAGTTGGCACTCGCAGCGGTGGGGGATGGGCGTTGATTTATCGGCGCCCGTGTTGGTTGTTGACGATATCTTTTGCCCTCTTGGGCTTCCTGCAGCCCCTCGGTCCGTCCGATGGCAAACACTGATCTACGATTACTCAAGATCTTTGTCACCGGGATAGTACCGAGTACCTAGGGTAAGGTTGAAGTGAAAAATGACAATACATGCTCCGAGTCTGACGTTGCACTCTTTCAGCCGCCCAGACCGAATTGATCCCTTGCGTCCTGACGATTCACCCGCGTGGCTCTCACGGGGAACCCTAGCTGTCTAGGGCTTTGCTGGTCACTCTTTTACTACTTGTTCGCTTATTGCTCTGATAACCGAGGGTCCTCCGTCCTGGATTTCCTTCTATGCTTTTCTCTTCTCATACATGTCCATGGCGTGGGACTATTCCATCTTCCATGACGCTGCATTGGCTCACCCCCGACCCTTTCTGTCTCAGAAAGGTTCGGATTCGTACCAGAGCCGCATCCTCTCAGCGGCCTGGTGCGGGATGACATAAAGCGGGTGGAGGGCCGTTAGTCGGTCGTTCTTTTCAAATACATTGTCCTCACGGATGGGCGAGGACTTCCAGGAAAAGGCAGAGGCAAATACCTCACTGGACGAGGCACTAATGTCCGTGCGATAGTGATGGTGCTGTGTTTCGCTCAAGCCCGCCAGAACGTAACATGTGTGGTATGAATCCGGACTCCTGGTGTCACGGTCAGCTACATCTCCAAACCAAGGGGGATAGACTGGACAACACATACTTTCCCGGTTTGTCACGAAGGCCACCATGCGGAGACTGGCAGCATCCGAGGATATATCGGTCTAGTCCTTCACGGCTAAACAGACTGCCCACGGCTTGCGGGGGAGGGCCGGCAGACTGTGGCTTCCCATCGATTGCGGACTGCAGCAGTGGCCAACACCCGCCCACCCAGTGACTGTAGCATCCATCAACCAGCTTGTTTGTTCTTCCGGAGAATCCACCCTCCGGGGCATTCTGCCGAGCAGATAGCCATGATAGAAGCAGGGGCAGGTCCATACATCTCGAAGGCAGTCAGCATCACATAAGGTTAGTAATCATCCGAAGGGGCCTCGTACCTGGCAATTGTTTCCTCCGGCGGGCCTATAATGGACAGACAAGCCAGCGCGCAGAAAGCATATGCTCCATGCGCCTCTACACCGGGACTACCGGAAATACCCCCCTCAAAGGTTTGACCTGGATACACAAGACAAGTCAGCACCAGAGTCAGATCCACTAACAATGACATGCCTTACATCTCGCCAAATAATTAGGAAGCTCGTCCGTAAAATTTTCCATTCCTGTAGATCGACCTACCGCGTCGGGCGGCAGGGCCAGGGGCAAGTCCAGAAGCGAGATGATAGTCATGGCGCAATATGCACCGCTGCATTGGCGAGTCAGAGCCTAGATCGTGCATCACCGACATGAGCTTGCTTACCGCACGTCCTCTTCCCCGCCTTCACAAACGCGAAAGCCTCCGTCCGCCTGTTTCAACCGGCCCAACCATCGCCACCTGAATAACGGGTCAGACGCACGCGGCAAAATCTTGAAGAGACAACTCACATTGACTGTCGATCCACCAACGCATAGGCTTCTTCGCCCCCAACCATGGCTAGCGAGAGAACGGCCGCATAGCTTCCCGCAAGGTGGGATGTTTGGCCATGTCCGCCACCAAAGCCGCCAGCGGGGTTCTGCATGGGCTGCAGTGTTTTGATGACGCTGTAATCGCATTAGCCTCGAATATTCCCTTGATAGTGTTCATGCCATGCCGGTGATGCCAATGCCACCGAATCCCGGAGCTGCACGGCTCGGCACAAAAACCATAAGCAACAAATCGCAAAAGCGGCCGATGGCGTCGATCACGAAACAAGCAATGAAACTCACCGCTGACGAACACTCGTAACATCTTCTCCCAAAAGGGACAGCCCTGTCAGGGCCCAGTAGACCATCCACGGCCGGCTGGCATCCATGGCGACAAAGCCGGCGGGGTAATCTTCCAGGGAGTCATAGAGATAGCCTACATGATCGTCACGCTGGAGCGCAGGCACTCCGCATACATTGAAGGGGCCTTTTTGACTACTATGGAGGCCCTTGAGAAATGGCAGGCACTTCTCGATAGTCGCGTCCTGCAGATCGACGGATTCCGTCACGAGCGGGTCGCGGATGGGCGGCGGCTGCGTGAACAGGGCTGGGATCCCCGGCCTGGGTGCCTCTTGGCTGGTCATTTTCCCGGCCGGATGTGAGCTCGCGGGACGCGTCCTCGGGCGCTTCTGTTCGCGCGGTATCTGTGCGGGTTGGTTGGTGGACGGAAATCGAACTCGGCGGTGTTTCCCCGCGACCGTGAGTGGCATGGACGGGACCTTTTTAATCAGACGGAGAAAATCATATAAACAAAGAAGGTCCCCGGACACGAGGTGTTTCTTGAATGGGCGTATCGCCGTTGCTATTGTCTGAATGGAAGAATTGTCGTTGGTATTGTTCTCCCCACTTTCCTTTTTTCTTTCCGCCCAGAACCCCCCCCTCGCTCCCTGGACATGTTGTACATCTCACTCTGCAACTTTAACGCCCCGCCTAACATGGGATAATCCACGGGTGGTCCTCTGGATTATGTATCATGTCATGACAGCGTGCAGCAGCTATTGAAACTTCCGCATGTCAGATCAAAAGAGCACCCATAGCCAATGGTCGCACGCCATGGAATGTGATATATCCAATTTTCAGGCTCCTGCACGCGGCGGTGGCTGGTGCGGCAGGTTTAATCTGTCGTACTCCCCCAGTGGCTTGTTAATCTCCCTTGCTTGCTGCATGTGGCCCAAGCCTCCGTGCGGGAGAACGAGGGCCCCGAGGCCTTGATCTGTCAACTTCATCTCCAACGCCTTTCCCCAGGGAGGGCTCTTCAATGATTCAAGGTTTGCAATACTCCGTACTACTCCCTAGTTCTACGTTGGATCGGCGTCATCTCCAAGGCCCAACAGGAAGTATCCTCGTCGACTGCATGGTCAGCCCCCCACCTTGATACCCCATGAGGTATGGCGTCTCATTTTCTAGGAAGATCCTGGAAAAGCCGAATCACGGGCATCGTGCTCATCACCGGGCACGATGATTGGAGCGGATTAGGAAGGACTTGGTTATCAATTCACGATCGAGTGTCAGATCGACCCGAAGCACGGGCCTGGCTTATTGCCACGCCTCTCTTCGCTCCTTTTTTTTTTCTCTTTCCCTTCGTGCTGGGCTCCACTGATCTCCCTTTCCGTTTGGCTTCCCGGGTGTCTCCTCACCCTCAACAGTACTCAATAATGGGGGAGGGGTCAAGTAAACAAGCACGATCTATGGAATGACGGGGTGATCATTCTTCCTATAGCTTATGATAAGACGATAAGAATAAGAATAAGAATCTCATCGTGGGAAGGCACCCGGTCCGCATTCTCCATGCGAAAGATCATGGGACCTCACGGGACTCGCCCGGACCGTGTAGTACAGGCTACGGTACTGTACACTGTTGAGGGACTAGGACGGGCCGGGACTAGAAGACCAAATGGCACGGCGTGGCAGTAGGGCTTCTCCAATTGAGAAGCACCATCTCAGCCAGCCTCTCCACTCCCCACACGATTCTCCCCTAGCGCATCAATCGCTCACCGCTGCTTTGAACCCCCCACCGCCTCACTCGCAGGTCCCCCATGGCTGTGTGACTCTCTGAAGAAGGCCTTTTCATCCAGGCTGGCCCTTTCCCTTCCCTTCTCCCTCACCTAAACCGCCACGTTTTGGACATCCAAGACGCCATGTCAAATATCGATCTACCTAACGATGGCCTCATCGCCGTCGACTACGATTCTAGAGGTTATCTCCAGCAAACATGGTCCGTGCCGGTAGACCAGAACCCCCCGCGGGCTGACGAAGGCCATGATCTCTCGCGCCTTCAAACCAGCGGTCACACCCTGGAACAGTCGGTGGCCCAAGACCACAACCTGATGGTGGACTGGCAATTTCAACAACTACACCACAGCCCACACCAGCACCACCCTCTGCCCTATTCGCCCGAGGACCCTTCATCCGCGCCCCAGTTTACCTCGAGCTATGCCATGGCCATCCAATCTTCCCCGGTGGATCTGATGTCTGCCCCCCAGGGCCAAATGAGCGCCGGTCTGCTCGACGGTCCCTATCTGCCTATGTCGGGCTCCGTCGGCGATATGGTGCCTTTCACATATCACGACTTCCAGGCTGATCTGATGGCTTTCCCGAACGGTCTTCCGGATGTCTACCACTCGGCCCCGCACCCTGTGTTGGAGAGCAGTTCGCCTACGGATACCTATCTCGAGGTCCGTTCCCTTTCTAGTAGCGACAATGGCTGGAGCACGGTCGACCACCGTCGCTCTCTCGACTTTGGTTTCCCCGAGCAAGGTGTCTTCGTCAACCCCACTCAGACACTCCACGACCGCAGTCTTTCAGAGTCTTCTTACTCGACTTCCTACGGCAGCTTCGTTGATATCGCCAACCCGATCAGTTCTCCCAGCTCTGAAACGCATATTGACTTGCCGTACAACCACCATCACTATCACCACCAACACAATACCTCTTTGAGCCTGGCCGGTACTTCTCCCATTAGCACCGCTATGATTCCCCGCACCAATGATGAGCACTCCTCTCCCGGCTCCCGCTCTCCGTCTGCTGTCAGCCCCAGTGCCATGGTTCGCCCGATCCCAGTGCCCATCAAGAAGTCAACCTCTCCCACTCGCTCATCCGGATCTCACTCCTCTGCTTCTCCCCCAAGCCGGAAACCGTCTCGGAAGAGCCCAATCGCCGCCAAGACCGCGGAGACCAAGGTTCGCAAGCAGTCTCAGACCGGCAAACCCGAGACCGAGAAGCGAGTCGGCAAGCGCAAGGGTCCCCTCAAGCCCGACCAGCGCAAGCAGGCCAGTGAGATCCGGAAGCTGCGTGCATGCTTACGATGCAAGTTCCTCAAGAAGACCTGCGACAAGGGCGAGCCCTGTGCTGGCTGCCAGCCGTCACACGCTCGGTTATGGCAGGTGCCTTGCACTCGCATTGACATCAAAGAGATTGGGTATTTCATGAAGGACTGGAAGGCCGACTACGAGCGCCATATCTCCATGGGCTTCTCCGTGGGCAACATCAAAGGCTTTTCGGACCAAGAGCGCACACTCTTCATCACGCACGGTTACGGCCAGATGCTGCCGATCAACGCTCGCGAGGTCTATGTCCGCGACGAGCAGTGCTTCACCGTCGACTGGGTCGAGACGATACACCGCGAGCCAACGCCGTACGAGGTCGAGACTGCCAAACTGTCTGCTGGTATGGAGGGCATTTCGCACGCTATGTTGTCCGACTACCTGGACCGTCATATCGACGGCAACGGGACTTTTGAGAAGTTTGTCGACGATTACTTTGAGGGCACTCCGTTCCTGACGCAGATGCTCAAGACTGCCTTCCGTTATTACTACCGCACCAAGCTGCCCGTTATTCGGAAGGCGCTGAAGTTGATTATTGCCTACAATCTGACCCAGCACGTTACCATGGTCGAGGGACTCGGTGACGAGGACGGGTTCCTTGGTCAGATTCAGGAGCCGAGCTCTAAGTTCCGTGGCAAGACCGTGGCCCCCGTGATGATTAACTTCCAGATCAAGTGTGCTATGGCGAGCATGTGGCGCGAGCTTCAGAAGGATGTTCTGGAGGAACTTTCCGCTCTGTACTCCAGCGTGTATAGTGGTGACAAGCTTAAGAACTGGCCTACTATCTTCATCCTGGCTTCCATCTTGTTGGCTGTGTGGGAGGAGATGCAGTTCGACTCCGCATACCGCACACCGGACCAGTCGGCTGTCGACAAGTTCTGCACCGACATGGAGACCACTCCCGTCGGTGTCATTGTCGGACTGTTCCAGGCCATTTCGCAGAAGCTGCCTCCCTTCACCGAGTGGGACTCGCAGAAGCACCACCAGCTGCTGTACTCCAACCCTGACGTATGTAATACAATGACCGAAGTCCGCCAGCATGTTGAGCAACACGGTAAGAATACACCGACCCCTTCTTGATCGTATCGTTCAATCACTAATGCCTTTACAGAGAACTACCTCCGCGGCCGCTCAAATTCGAAATTCAACCGCAATGACTTCGACTGCCTCTCCAACAAATTTGTCTCCCGACTTGTGATTCGCGCCAACTAGAGACGACCAATGATGCGCATGTGCATGATGACGATGATGTTTATCCACGACCATTGTGTTTCCCGCAGCGAGCTTTTCCAGTCCAGCCTGTTTTTGATTCCTCGTGAAATTTCCTCATGTCCTGGATGAAAAGAAATTACGCCGTTCCGTCGTGACGATGCGCGAGCGCGTCTTTCCCGCTCTTTATGACTACTCACTGCTCTCCTAGCGAGATGCGTGGTAAGTTATTTGTGTTTTTTTTTTTTTTTGCATTGGTTCCAGAGAACCGACTGTCTTTTTCAGCCATCCTGTCTTTTATTTCCTAGCCATTTGTCTTTGTGGTATACCTTACTCGCATAGCTTTCCAGCGATGAACGAGGATCACGAATTTTATGACCTGTATACGGCCGAGTGTGTTGTTTGATTTTCTTTTTCGTTTCTCCTGCGACCGCGCCCAACCACGGGCAAAAGCAACTGTGTCGCATTCCTTTCTTGATTGCTGAAAATGTTTTTTATTCCGGAGTGCCGCGGAAACGGCGTTGTCACGAGTGGGTTCTCCGTTTTTGTCAACCGCGGGATCGTGTCTATATAGCTTTTACGCATACCAGTTCAGATTTCTATCCCTTCATTGTATAGATCGGTAACGGTAAACAGCGGGCGCGGATCGGGGCCTCCGATGCCGGATCCGGCGTCACCTGACTTCTGGACAACGCGACCGAGTCACATGACCGTCGCTATACTTAGTCGCTATCGCCGGGGGCGCAGGCCCACCGAGTTACCGCTCTCAGCCCCGTTTCCCGAGTACCTCGATGGCGCTAGAGACCCATTTCGGGTTCCACCCCCTCTTTTCGCGATAAGCCGTCACCCGTCACACGTCATCGCCGTTCCAGCCATCTTCATCCGGGTCCCCTGGAGTCCTTGTAGAGTAGAGGCAAGGGGAAGGCGGAAGAGGCGGGATGTAAAAACCTGAAAGACAAAAGTAGAATAGACGTGGTTTAGCGCAGGAACCAAAACATGCCAGGTTTTCTACTGGTGGCGTCAATGACTGGCCTGTGCCTCTCACCTTGACTCATCCGGCACGCGGCATCTCTAAGGTTCCAGTGGTTTCCCATTATCGGCCTCTGACTAAGAGTGTTTGCCCCCTCTCCTACATAAACCTCTCCCCTCTTCCAACCTTCTCCTTTCCCTTCCCCCAACTCCGCGTTCCTTTGCGCATTCCCCCTTTCATATTGCACCCTTCCAACTCTCTCTGAATTACATCCGTCACCATGCAGATCTTCGTGAAGACCCGTGAGTTCACTCCCTCTCCGTTTGAAGTTGCCTCCGTCGTTTCGGAGGCGCCATCGCCACCCGACTCATTTCTAACTCATTTCACAGTCACCGGCAAGACTATCACCCTCGAGGTGGAGTCCAGCGACACCATCGACAACGTCAAGTCCAAGATCCAGGACAAGGAGGGCATCCCTCCTGACCAGCAGCGTCTTATCTTCGCCGGCAAGCAGCTGGAGGATGGCCGTACTCTGTCCGACTACAACATCCAGAAGGAGTCCACCCTCCACCTCGTCCTCCGCCTGCGCGGTGGTATGCAGATCTGTACGTTCCCCTTTCACCGCCAGTCCATGATCCCCTTCTAACCCCACTATAGTTGTTAAGACCCTGACTGGCAAGACCATCACTCTCGAGGTCGAGTCCTCCGACACCATCGATAATGTCAAGTCCAAGATCCAGGATAAGGAGGGCATCCCTCCTGACCAGCAGCGCCTGATTTTCGCTGGCAAGCAGCTCGAAGACGGCCGCACCCTTTCCGACTACAACATCCAGAAGGAGTCCACCCTCCACCTTGTCCTGCGTCTGCGCGGTGGTATGCAGATTTTCGTCAAGACCCTCACCGGCAAGACTATCACTTTGGAAGTCGAGTCCTCCGATACCATCGACAACGTAAAGAGCAAGATTCAAGACAAGGAGGGCATTCCTCCGGACCAGCAGCGTCTCATTTTCGCTGGAAAGCAACTTGAAGACGGCCGTACCCTTTCCGACTATAACATCCAGAAGGAATCCACCCTCCACCTCGTCCTCCGCCTGCGCGGTGGTATGCAGATTTTCGTCAAGACCCTCACCGGCAAGACCATCACGCTCGAAGTCGAGTCATCTGACACGATCGACAACGTCAAGTCCAAGATTCAGGATAAGGAGGGTATTCCCCCTGACCAGCAGCGTCTCATCTTCGCTGGTAAGCAGCTGGAGGACGGTCGCACTCTGTCCGATTACAACATCCAGAAGGAGTCTACTCTCCACCTGGTGCTTCGTCTTCGTGGCGGACAGTAATCGTTGAACCTTCTTTCGCTTCCGATTTACGACTTCTTCTTCGATCTGCATGGTCCGAGACCTGCATGGCGTTCGGTCGGTTTTGAAGCTATGGCTTCTTTCCTTTGTGGTTTACCATGGGCATTATTCTTTCCTTTCAGGCCCTTGAGGCGACATAGTTTCTATCTATGAATTGAACATGGCAAATTTGCCGTTATTCGCTCCTTTTCTTTTCTGCTGTAGTTGTACTTGGTACCGGATGTACCATCGTAGTCAGTAATATTTGCCACCCAAAATCTTACGATATCTGAGAGCTCCGTCGTTGCCACCCTTTGACCTCCAGCTGACAAACCACTGAACCTCTTGTGGCAATATGAGTATTTAGGTCAAAAGGGAAAAGGGGACGGACATCGCAACAGAATTCTCCATAAAAGCCTCTGTTCATAACAACGTGACGATTACTTTGTTAATGATCTCCCTCGCCGTATATCTTGCTCGAATATGAGCCCAAATCTTCAGGCCGACCTCAAACCAAATACTATACCTCTGCTCCAGGAATTTGTGTGTGATGCGGACAGGATCTTCGACGAGGATCCGCCAAGCTGTATCCACTACTCTATAGAATGGCCGTTAACCCTGAGTAGAACATTTCAAACTAGACAAACCACCCCGGTGTCTCTTGAACGATGGCTATTACTCCACAGATCACCTCTATCACCCTAATATCTGGTATTTGGCATATCGAGGGTAGTCCAGCTGACTGTGCTTTTAGTAAGCTATTCTAATCGATTCCCTAATGCTAGCTGGAGCCAATTGCAAGATGAGCAGAAGCTGACGATGAATAGTAAGTTGAGGGCTGGACCGTGGACCAATAATTCTAGCAGATTTCCTCGCGGGGCTTGTGCTGTGTGCAAATATTCTCGTAATGTACGTGGCACGGCCCTTGCTACCCCGTCCTGGGTCTCAACCATGGCAAATCTGACGCTGAAACCATAACCACCCCCACCTCTATCACCACGACTCTTCACCAAGATGGCCATCTCCACAGATCGTCAGGAACCCCTGCAAGTCGTAATTGTAGACTTCCCTCCCCTTGCTGAAAACACAGTGACTGACCCGCCCAGATTGGAGGCTCCATTGCCGGGCTGATGCAGGGTATTATGCTGAAGCGCCTTGGCCACCACGTCCAAATCTTCGAGAGAGCAACATCAAATGACCGCGCGGAAGGTGGTACCGGTATCACTGTAGGCCCGGATGCCCAGCGCTTCTACCATCAATACGATCTCCTGAAGCAGTCGCTCTACGTTGATAATCCTGGTATCCAGTTTATGAATGGCCAAGGCAATGTCACGCGCTTCACTAAACGACCCATGAAGATGTCCTCCTGGAGTCTCCTGCACTTCAATCTCAGGGCCAACTTCGACGGGCACAAGAGTAGTCTGTGTCCGGATCCGCCGGCGCCATGTGAGGGTGACGGTGAGGCAATCTTTCACCTTGGGAAGAAGGTAATCGGCGTGGAATACGCCGAGGGTGACTCACGGGTTGCGGTGCGATATCAGGATCTCTTGCAGGGCGAAATCTGCACGGTCGACGGTGATCTTGTAATTGTTGCCGACGGCGCAAGCTCTTCCACCCGCACCCAGCTCCTTCCGGAGGTGAAACGCCAGTATGCGGGATATCTGGCCTGGCGCGGCTATGTCGAGGAAAGCCGTGTGTCGCAGGAGACAAGGAAGCTACTAGACCCTAACTTCACATCGTTTTCATTCACAGGAGGTTATATCCTAAGGTAATCCCCGCCCTGGATGCATCTAACCCCGCTAACAGCGCTCAGCTATATCATACCCAGCATCGACGGCAGCCTGGAGCCGGGAAAGCGCCGCATCAATTGGGTGTGGTACCATGACTGCCCCGAGACGTCGCCGTCATTCAAAGAGAGCCTGACCGACGCAGGGGGGCATGTTTATCGCAACTATGTCCCTGTGGGACAGATCCGCGCTTCTGTCTGGAAGGAGCGGGTTGAGATGGCCTCCAAGATCTTGAACCCACCTTTCGTGGAGTTGGTGATGAAGACCGCTGCCTCGGCTGCAGCTATCTCGGTCATTCACGATTATGCTTCCCCGAAAGCGCTCTTTCATAACGACAAGGTCTTGCTCGTCGGAGATGCCCTTGCGCTGTTTAGACCACACGCAGCGCTGAGCTTCAACCAGGCAGCGCAAAACTGCCTGCTGATGGAGGATGTCATGAGAAAGAAGATCGATCTGCACACGTGGGAGAAAGGCGTCACGGCGTATGGAAATCGGGGCCTGGCTATCAATGAGATGCTCGGCGGGTTTATGATCTATGGGGTATTTGCCGCCTTGAGAGGCATACTGAAATATTTATGGAGCTATTTATAGACTGCTGAGGACATGATAGACTCAAAAGCTATCCTAATATAATGACTAGAGTAAAAAGAAGCCGGAGGTTAGTTGTTGAGAAATGAGATAAGTTAATATCAAATCCCCTTTATATCGATACGGGAGTTACTAGCATGAGTATACTAAAACTCGTTTGGTTCGTAAGGGACATGAATATTCGATCTACAATAAAGAGCAGTACACATTCACCGCTGGCACCTTTCCATAATATAAACGGACCCATTTGATCCTGAGAAGCATGTTGAAGGGCGAGACTTCGCTGCTGTGCTTTTTCTTCCTGTCTATCTTTCGCTGAAGTGGTGAGTTTTCTGGAGCCAAAGTTGGCCGGACTTTCTGAAATCAAAGGAAATTATAGGAAGAAATCCTTGGTTTTCCCAACGTAGCGATAAACTTTGCCCTTCCCCTTCTGTTTTAGAGTTCACTCATCGATGTCTTTTGCTCATTCAGTAGACCTTGATACGCCCTGGCCTGATCAATAAGCATTCCTGAGCAGGCTATTGAAAAATAGCTTTCTCCATGGTTAATCCTAACTATTCTTCCTGACCCCTACCTATCACGTTGAGGCAGCACACACTGGGCGATTTTAAACAATATCAACCTATGCGGAACTGTAGCCTCAATGTTCGTGTATCAAACATTCACCATGACATCAGTCTATGACCGCACCGAATACTCAGTACCGTCATGAGCAGACATTAGATCATTGATTTTGTGATATCCTCAACCTAAGGCATCGCTCCTAATTCTCAAGAATTCCTTTCTTTGTTGGGTGTCATATTCGTACACTCGGTGTACCAGCGCAACGATGTCTCAGCGTGTCCCATTATGCCTTCTCCCTTCATGCCATCTCAATTCATGTCTTCTATGTGGAATCGTGATCCCAATGATGGACGAAACTATGGAATGCCCAAGGAGGGGCAGTTTTTACACAGAAGAACGGGATCAAGCACTCAGGAATGGTCCATTGAAGGAATATTGGAAATCCAAACCAAAACATGTGATAGTTCCATCCACTGAGGTAGAAGAGTCATACTTCAGCAAGTACCCTCAGCTATGGTCCTACTTTTATCGAGCCAGTGAGTTCTAAACATATACACCCCGGATTCAATCTACCTAAATGCCCTAACTATTATTACAGTAATTAAAGAGTCTGATACCAAATACCGTTTGACAGGCATCAATAGAATGGAAAGAATAGGACAAGACGACCGTATCTACTCGCTAAATGATCCAGCAATGGCGAGAATCGGTGGGGAGAAATACGCCCGCCACTACTCCCGTCAGTTTACTCCATTCGATGCCGCAGACATCACAGGACAGCACCTTCCAAACGGTAAGAAATCGATTGGATACGTCATCCACGCACATTGCTGGGTGCTCTTTGGTCGAGTCCTAGGACTGACTCCGACCGATATAACCCTCGCGAAATTTGTCCAGGCATCATGGAAACATTGGCACAACAATCAATGGGGACTACATGACTTAAATGCCGACTGGCCGCCGCATCATATTCCATCAGCGTTTATTTATGGCTGCGACATTTATCAGAATCCTGTGATCGTGCCCGCCCTTCAGAAAGCGATCGAATCCGCAAGGTTCATGTGCCAGTGTTCATGCCCTTGTCCCAGTAAGGTTCCACTGGATGTTGCTATTCTGATTGCTGAAATTGTCTGCCCCATTGAGTATACGATGGAAAATGTCATTGACACGCAGAATATGGTCTTCGCATTCCAATGGAAGCTACCTGGTTGGTTTTGGCGGGCGCGAGTGAACGCGGATGAATTCATTGAGTTTGGTGGGCTAAAGATGTTTAAGTCTCCAGTGGATTGGCAAATGCTAAGTCTGGATTTGATGGCCCTTGTTTCAGATTCACCGCGGTATCCCTCCAGTGGTCTAGCGAATCGTAAACGGGTGCTTGGGATTATGCTCGCTATTAAGAGTGCTTACTTGGACTAGGCTTAGAAGAGAAAACTTGCTCTGACAGGGGTTGCTATTTGAACCAATTTATTTCACCTGCCTTTTTAAGCAATACGAGGAATCTAAAGGGCACTTGGTAGATTGCGATGCAACCTCTAAGCCTTACGATGAGGTCATATCTAGTACTGGCGTAATTAGCGGCCAATGGAGAAAGGAATGGATCAAGAGATAGTAATAAGCCCTGGAGGGAGCTATTTACATCTGCAACTATCTACTGCCTTTCCATAGGCACCGGCCTTCTCCGCCAGACATACCACCGTGCAAGGACGCCCGCCCTTCCGTTGTGCAGGGTCAACATGAGTTCAAAGACATTTGCTTCTAAAAGTTTTCTAAGATAGGCACCTTCTTACACATATTTCTAAATGTATTATTCTAAATCTCTTTCTAGGCAAGTTCCTAAGCGTCTCTTTGAACGTGTCAAACTATATATCGATTTTCTCTAGTCGCCGCTGCCTCATCCACGCCACATTCTGGGGGTGATTACTCATCACCTCTTATCGCGACCCGCAATTAACCTGACGGCATCGGAATCTCACACTCAACCATGTGAGCCATCGCCCGGGATGCCCGCTTACTTCTACCATCTCTGTCTCGAAGTTCTTTCTAGCTCATACTCTACACCTAAAGCTTCATCTCTGGCCGTGGAATCCGCATGGGAAGCTCTCCTCCCGTTCCAGAAGCGGCCCTCGAGCTCCAGCACACCATCAGGCGCCGCAAGTGATTCCCAAAGCAGCAGCCAAATCTCAAGCAAAGAGCTGAGGCTTGAACGACGACTGAAACAATCGAGCGGTTCCTCGATCGAATCCACTCCTCCGCAAGCGCACCCACTCGACCCCTCCACAATTTCCTATAACCCCGCACGAACCACCAAGGACATCCAAACTGATATCCGCTCCGGCGCCATCGTCATCGAGTGCATCGACATGGTGGCGCCAGAAGATGGCCCCGCAAAACGCACCGCAAAGCGCGGCAGCGCCCTCAATATCGATGACAATCTTGTCGCAGCAGGTATCGGCACTGACATCCTAGGCGGCCTGCGCACCAAGGGCCGGTACATTCCCCTCGACCAGAAAGTTGCCGATAGCGTATTTGGCATCGTCCATCTATATCGGGACTCGCAGGAAACGCCCTACCTCACCGGTAATGATGACGACTACCCGACCTATCTCAAGGGCTCTGCCGCCGCTGCCGCGCGGCATCCCGGTGACCAGCAGGCTGGCTTGCAGCCGTTGATGAGCGGAGCCAGTACGGGGCAGGCTCGAGCACGGGGTATGGACTCAGCCTATCCATTTCCTGTTACGGTGTCGGCGTCGGGCGAGGAAGAGGATTGTACCACACTATGCATTCTAGCGGTCCCGTCTTATCTGTCTCCGTCAGACTTTTTGGGGTTTGTGGGTGAGAAAACGAGGGATTACGTTAGTCATTTCCGGATGATTAGAACGCCCAGGGCGAATCGGTATATGGTTTTACTCAAGTTTCGGAGTGGGAGGAGGGCGAAAGAATGGCAGAAGGAGTGGAATGGGAAGGTTTTCAACAGCATGGAGGTATGTTCGTATCTTGTATCTATGAATAATCTGGGAGTCGAGCTAACATTTCTGCGTACAGCCTGAGACATGCCACGTTGTCTTTGTCAAGTCGGTTGAGATTCAGGTTGTCGAGCCTGGCTCTCCATCTGCCTTTTCTCCCAACGAGTCATCCGCTGGGCAAGCAACGCTTTCCGGTAGACCGTTGGCACCGCCAACACCCGCGCTGATCGAGCTACCCACATGCCCTGTCTGCCTCGAACGAATGGACGAGACGACAGGCCTCTTAACAATTATCTGCCAGCACGTCTTCCACTGCACATGTCTGCAGAAGTGGAAAGGCAGCGGCTGCCCTGTATGCCGCTACACCCAAGATGACTTCCGCAGAAGCGGAATGGCAACCGACATAGATGAAGAGCCAGCCGAGTGCGCTGTCTGCCACTCCGAAGAGAACCTCTGGGCCTGCCTGATCTGTGGCACAGTCGGTTGCGGCCGCTACGACGGTGCACATGCATTTGATCACTGGAAAGAGACGGCCCACGCCTTCTCCATGGATCTCAACTCCCAGCGCGTGTGGGACTACGTCGGCGACGCTTACGTGCACCGCATCATCCAGAGCAAATCCGACGGCAAGCTCGTCGAGCTCCCTGCAGCAGACCATAGCGCCCTCGATCCACCCGACTGGAGCGATGCCGTGCCGCGTGAGAAACTCGAGAACATGAGCGTCGAATACACACACCTCCTCACCAGCCAACTCGAAAGCCAGCGCGCATACTTTGAAGAGGTCGTTGAGCGCGCTGCCGACAAGGCATCACAGGCTAGTGCGGCAGCTGCAGCGGCCGAAGAAGCAGCGAGGGCCGCTTCGGCCCGTCTCGTCGAGATGCAGGCGAAATTCGATACCCTTTCTTCAGAGACAATACCCGGTCTCGAGCGTGATCGTGCTCGGCTAGAGAAACGCGCTGAAAAATTCGAGTCCATGGCTCGTGCTATGGAGAAGGATTATAGAGAAGAAAAGACTATGAATCAGAGTCTGATGGAACGTCTCGAGATTCTTAACACTGAAAATGGGACGCTCAAGGCTGAGAAGACGGATCTTGAGGAGCAGAATCGCGATCTTACTTTCTTTATTAGTGGGAGTCAGCGGCTGCAGGGGCAAGGTGATGATATTGTGCAGGGCACTGTGAGTGTTCCTGAGCCCGAGGTTAAGAAAAAAAAGAATAAGGGGAAGAGCAGGAAGTAGGGTCTGGGTTGCATTGGGACTCTTCTAGCGATGTATGAGTATCTTTTAATCATGACTGAATGTCCGAAATGAAGTTAAATTCTATTCAATGCCCTGGGTTACTGATATCACACCTGGTGTTGATGTAGGTCTTAGGGTACTACAGTCTCCGCGCCTTTCAGCGCCGATCTGATTTAGTCCGTTGTACAGGCAGGATTAATGCTTTAGCGCATCAAGAAGACTTGAATAAAACTGTTTGTATACCTCCAATTATCTAGGTAGACAGAACTGAGGTCATGGAAAGACAAGCCGATAGACAAGCAAAAGTACAATGATAATTTCTATAGGATAAACGTGTGGACGACCTAGCACGTCCGATTCTGCATGAGGTAAGAATAATCAAAAATGATTAGCGGTAAATGGAAAGGGAGTCGTATATATTTTCAGGTGAGAAGAATTACTTCTGAATTTGCAACTATGCGAGCTTGTGTCTACAAGAAAAATACGGCCCGGATGCGTGGGGCCGGACCCATCAGTACCCAGCGGATACGGTACCTTTGACGCTGCGGGAGAGAGCTTCGTCAACGCTCGGCTTCATCCAACCCCAACCCTAGACCGAGAAAGCCCACGATCCCTGGCTCGAAGACCCCGACATCAGCTGATCATGACATCCGCATCTACCTCGACACTTCCTCAATAAACCTCTCTCGCTCATCCCCTCATCGCGCCCAACACGATGTGGCGGGATCGCACCAACCTGTACGTATCCCCGGAATCTACGTTGACATGTCCACAAGATTTTAACCGAATGCGCCCGCAACCAGCTACATATCCTACCGACAGTCCTTCGCACATCACCCCTCTAAGAAGCCACGATTCCTCGGCCCTTCCAATGGCTTTGAGACCTCCGCGCAGCCGGAGGAAAGCCGTCGCCTGATCTCCGGAGATGGCTTTGACGATGACGGCGACATGGTGATTGAGATGGACTTGCTTCCGCCGCGCTGGGTTGATGTCCAAGAAGAAGTCGCCGAGCACCTGGCGGATATTGCGCAAAAGTCTTCCCAGCTGGATAAGCTACACCACAAGCACCTGCTTCCCGGGTTCGGCGATGAGGATGTCCGGAGACAGGACGAGGGCGTGATTGAGCGGCTTACGCAAGAGATTACTCGCAGCTTCCATGACTGCCAGAAGGCCATCAAGCGGATCGAGACCATGGTGCGCGACTCGAAGGAGCAGGGCGGAGTGAGCAGCGGCGAGGAGACGATGGCAAAGAATATCCAGATTTCCCTGGCCGCGAGAGTCCAGGAGGCAAGTGCTCAGTTCCGAAAGAAGCAGAGCACGTACTTAAGGAGTAAGTCTTGCCATTATGCCAAGCTGTCTACTGGCAGCACATTGGAGAAAATAAGCTAATGAACGACGTGTCGAGCAGAACTACGAGACTTGGAAGGCTTCTCAACGCCGTTTGACCGCGCACCTACCCCAGTCCAGAACCCGTATACAGATCCCTCCTTGATGGAATCCGACGCGGACAGGTCATTCTCGCAGACCATGTTGCAGCAGACGTCCCAACGGAAAACAGGCCAGAACGACGCCGCTATTGCGCAACGCGAGCGCGAAATCAACGACATCGCAAAGGGGATCATCGAGCTGTCAGACATATTCCGTGAACTACAATCAATGATCATCGACCAAGGAACCATGCTAGACCGCATTGACTACAACGTGGAAAGAATGGGCACCGAGGTCAAAGCCGCCGACAAGGAACTCAAAGTGGTATGTCCCAAAATCCTTCATACCCCATTCATTCCAACTGTGCATGAAACACTAACTCCCACCAGGCGACAAACTACCAGCGACGGACCACCAAGCGCAAAATAATGATCCTACTAGCACTGGTGGTTATTGGACTAATTATTGTGTTGGTCGTGAAACCTAAACGGTCTAGTGCTCCACCGGCTCCTGAAGAGGAGTCCTCGAGTAATATTCGGTCTCTATTGGCATCGGTGGACAGGGAGAGGAGACACAGCTTGTCTAGCCGGTTTGCGGGGGACCGGTGGATGGATCCGGATATACTTCGATGATGTCTTATTTCTCGCGTCCATACCCGAACATAGTTAATACGGTGGTTGAAGACCTTAACCATGTCGATTTGTACGATTCGTTGATGATGCACCTGGGCATGCTGTAAGCAGTAGAACAAACTTGAGATCGAAGATTAAAAAGATCTGATGTGTTTAAAGCACTTGAAGAGCTTGATGAATGGCAACACGTTTAAATACAAAATGGCCCGAATAGGAGTCCATTTGATATTCCGTTAAATCATTAGCTTGATTGAATAACATTTGATGGTATTCGCATTCGAGAAGGCAAATCTGGGCAAAAATCCCACCACATTGCTCAGTGTACAGACGCAGTAAAGAGCCGAAAGAAAACGAGAAAATGCAGAGCAACTTCCGCTACTTGTCGTGCGACGCTAGCAGTGCCGCCACATCATCATCCAGATCTCCACCCGCAAACTGCGAATAATCTTCCTCGTCATGAGTGGTCTTGCGGCGCTTTGCGCCTGATCCATTGGCACCGAGATCGAAGTCATTGCCGCCGCCAGGAGAAATGTTGGATGGATCAGGGAATACAGAGCTGTCGTCGGGTTGGCTAATGCCGGGCAGAGAGAATCCTTCGGGGAGAGGCTCTTCAGGTTCGTCGGTGAAAGGGCCATGGGTGGCTTGCGACGGCTCGGGCTTGGGTGATCCTACGGGCGTGATGGCCTCCACTGGGGGAGGTGTCAACCCCTCGACCTGGGGTCGGCCTGCATCCTCGTTGTCGGCGCTCTGGTGGTGTGCACCGGGTCCATCATCGGTAAAGCCGCGCATGATGGCATCCTCGACTTCGCGCTTCTTGGTGTCTGTCTGAGTCTTTCTCTCGGCCAACTGCGAGGCAAGGGACTCTTCCTTGGTCAACTCGGAACGGTTGGTTGCAAGAAGCTTCTCGAGTCCATCGATCAGTGCGCGCCGTGACTTGATTACCTCCGAGACGGAGCTTTCGGCGCTGGCTAGGGTCTTCAACAGATGGCTGAGGCGCGCGGCCTGCACTGGAGGAAGGGGCTGCTCAGTTTGAGGATCATTCATCTTCTCGTATTCGGTAGTTGCAGTGTTGGCGGAAGTGTTCGAAGTCATGGCAGCTTTGGTAAGGGCGATTTGGAGAGGGACAAGCGGCTGGAGCTCAGAGGGCGTAGATCCCGCAGAGGAATCCTTGAAGAAAGAGCCACCGAGAGTTTGTTTCTTGGTAGTGGAACGTGTCTCGTCGATTTCTGGTATACAATTAGTCTCAAAGACGGCGCAACGCGGCCAAATGACCAAGCAACCGTTGACTAACCCTTCATGCGAGATTCAATGGCATCCAAGATGGGTATTTCGAAGACTTCGCGTCGTCTCCATACTTCCACGTTCCGGCGTATCTTTTCCTGAATATCATTCGACGCTCCTTTGTATGCGATTGCCGTGGCCTCTGCGACGATCTGGTTTCTTTTTAGTTTGCGCCTGTGCGCACCGGGGAGGTAGCATGCAACTAACCGGAGAGAATGCTATCAGAAACTCGTCTCTTCTCCGCACCTTTGATTGCTGAGCAACCTCTATTGTAGTATTAGTTGATGAAGCGAGGCCAAGCTCCGGGTGTTTCATATTCCGTACCATTCGCGAGGTAGATCAGACTGAGTCGCTTGGGAGGCGGGGAGTCGCGAACCCTCTGGAGCCAGATTTGCGCAATCTTCTCGGCGTGGCGCCTGTGCAGATTAATCCTCAAAGTCAGCGTTTTTTCAATGCGGCCGGCGGGACGGGAATGAGTATACCGATGAAACATGACCCATTGAGAGACGGTGACAATGCTCTCCTGGCTCTCGTTCAGAGCCGACAGCTTGGCCTTGACGGCATCGTCTGTGTAAGCCATGGCAAATTGATTGGCTTGCAGAGAGAGATGTTGGTTTTAGGAAAGCCTTGAAGTGAGAGGTCGAGTCGCGAATCGCGATTGGGGGACAAGTAGGTACCAGAGAGGAATTAGGCTTGAATCCCGGTGTGAACGCAAATGGAATGAATGGAGTAGACCAAGGCGAGGCGGGCCAACCCAACAAGGGATAAATAAGATCAGATTTGTAGAGACAACAATGGAGGAGCGCGAAGTTGAAGCTGTCACTCGCTGAAACCACAAGGTGCTCACCGCCCTAAATTGGCAGTATACGCGGCTCCGAGCGTTTCGCCGGCAACAACTGTCAACTACTTGCTACTCTGAGCTCTTTTCACCTCTCTCCTCATCCTTTAAAACCCCGAGGTCTGTTTATCGTGACCTTGAACCGCTCCCAAACAAATCGCACATACACGAAGTCACAGAATGGCCGACCGTTTCCCTTCCCTGGAGGACTTCTCTGAGGGTAAGATCCACCCACTTGCAGGAGCCCCGAGCCCGTCCGCGCAGTCAGGACTAACAACATCACTTTAGGCCAGACCGAAGTCGCCGATAGCAACATTGGCGGTGACGATGACTTCCTTGCCCGTGAGCGCGCGGCTCTCGGCGAAGATGCGGACCAATTCGCGACCCCTCAAGACAATGTGGCAGAGGATCTAGAGGGGGGTGACGATCTACTGGGCGGCGATGAGATCCCATCGGAGGAGCTTGGACAGTTTGAATCCTCTTTCCCATCAGTCGAGACACAGGCACAGAATGAGGTACGAATTGACCTTGGGACGTTGTTCCGAGTTCGTGTTATGTTGACCTGAATGTTTCCCCACAGCGTGTTGCCCCCGGCGGTACAATTACCGGCTCCGGCTCCCCCTTCCCATCTTCTGGATACGTTAATCCCCAGGAAACCGAGGCAGAGCCCGAGCCTGTTCGGTAAGGAGATCCAACAGTTCCAAGGTAGCCTGGCGAATGCCGTCTACCGCATGTCTTGGGCCATCCCATAGCTCACGTCACTCGGCTAACACCTATTTTCCACTGATACAGGGAATGGCGCGAGAAGCGAGATGCCGAGATCGCACGCCGTGCAGAGGTCTCCAATGAGAAGAAGGAGGCAACCGTTAAGAAGGCCCGCGAGGATATTGACGACTTCTACGTTTCGTACAACAACAAGGCAGACAAGCACCGTGCTCAGACCAAGACCGAAGCCGAACAATTCCTGGCCAGTCGCGAGGACACTTCGGCCGGTGGCACCAGCTGGGAGCGCATTGCCAAGTTGGTCGATGTGTCGGGCAAGGGCGCCATCGGCGGTGGCAGTGGCTCGGGCAAGGAGCGTTTCCGTGAGATGTTGATCGACTTGCGGAAGGATCAGGAAGCTCCGGGTGCCACCGGAATCTAGGTAGCTCTACTTTCAGGCTACAGTTATTGTTGATACCTGGGCGATTGCGCCGGACCATGCTCTGCAGCTTCCAAACATCATGCTTCAATCGCCCAGCTTAGAGGTCTTTCGCCTTGTTTCTCCTTTTTTTCTTTTCCACACCATGCAGCGAGGTCTTCAGGGGGATTTGTGTAATTTAAGTATTTCAGACTGGTGGCATCGTTAATACCAAGGAATTCTCATGAATGCTGAGTATGGTTCGGACAAGAAGTAGAAATTGACACACTAGGAAAGGCACAGTATCAGCAATGGATCAGCTCCTTGACAGGTGTGCCGCGAAGGTCACTATGAGAGCTGTAAATAACAGTTCAAAAGAACTACTATAAGGATTGATACAACTTGGCAGTATGGACGTCTAGAAGCAGACCTATCTCGCCTTCGATTAAACAGTTGCTCTGTTCATACAAAGTAAAGACTAAACAGAAGTCATTGATCAACATCAGTACATTCGTTCATCTCATCAGCATTTTATACTTTTCATCCATAACAATTTTCAGTCCAACTCAGTCACATCGCCACCAGGCTCTCCAACTTCCTGGATCTCCTCAAGCTTGCCTTCTGCCTCGATCTCAGCAAGCTTCTTGCGGCCCTCTTCCGTGGTCCCATCAATAATACCCTCCTCAAGACTGAGCATGCCTCCCTCTCCAAGCTGCTCGACGACAACCTCTGCTTCCTCAACGGACATGTTGCCTAGCACCTTGTTCACCTCGTCCAGGGACTCGGTAGCAAGTGCCTTCTGCAGGTCCGGGGAGAAGCTCTCGAAAACCTTGCGAGCCTGAATTTCGATGGGGTCTTGGCTTCCTGCTGCGGGGATGTTGATGGTGATTTTCGTGTTGGGGTCAACTGCGTGCAGCTGGATTTGCTCGACGCCTGCGGGGTCGTTGCCGGTCTCTTTGCTGAGCTCGGCGGAACGGGTCTTGATTCGGTTGTAGGTGTCCCTCACATCGTTGTTGAACAGCGTGAAAGCGCGGTGATCCTTAGTTGTGATACTGCAGATTTGAAGTTAGCTGGTGCTTGGGATTTTTGGCAATTGGTGGAACATACCGGGTGAAGAAGAGCTTGATGCCATCAGGGCCAAGAGAGCGGCAGTATTGCAAGAGCAGGCCCTGGTGAACGCAGTGGCGAGCATAGTCTTCCTTGCCTTTCATCTGGCTGTTGAAGGCCTCGACCAAGAGACCGTCTGTTTCCTTTTCGGCGACGATCTGTGGGTTCTCAGAGATAAATTGCAGATAGGCGCTGTAGTCATTGGGCTTGAGGTTTGCGAACTTCTTTGCCAGAGGGCTAATTTCGACGTTCGCGGGGTCATCGTCGTCGCCTTCGTCGTCATTCTCAGCATTGTGGGCGGAGCTGCCCGCACCAGGGTTCAGCAGTTCAACCTCTGTGTTTTTGGCCGACGCAGCCTTTGCCTTCTCAGCGGCCTTGGCAACATGAGATTGGTTAAAGCCTTCGTGCAGCTTATCACTGGTAATCTTGCTGCCCTCTTCCTTCTCGAGCTGGGCGAGCCTCTCAAACAATTGTGTTTGCAGCCCTTGCACCTTGTCCTTGTGTCCCTGCACACCTTGGATGTATGCCTTGAACAAGTTGTCGGGCTTCGAGTCTTCGAACTCCTTCTTGACCTGATCCACCAGAGAACTCATCATTTGTGAGTACTTCGGTTGTTCGGGCTCGTTCTGGTAGATGCCCTCCGGAGGTGTAGGGGCCTGGTCCTCCGCGGGGTCGCTGGCAAACTCCATGATGGTCTGGAAGATAAACTCATCGGGAGAGGCAGAAGAGTCCTCATGCTTCTTCAGAGACTCGAGGAGCTTGTCGATGCGCGTAAGCAGACCATCGTTGATAATGCGCTCATACTTCAGGGTCTTGATATCGTGGCGGCGCTGCTCTCGTTGCTGGTGGATTTGAGCCTGTTTAGCACGGATGAAAGAGCGCTTGTCAACATTCGGATGAACTTCGATATCAGAATCATCGGACAGTTCGAGCTGGTCCCACTTGCTGTAGTCGAGAACCATCTTAGATTATGTCGCGAATATCGCGACAAAGTAGGTGGGGTGGGCTATCGGCGTGATGCAAGGAATAAGAGAGGTTGTCGGAGTCAAAGTATGGAAAAGGGTTCTGTGGACTCTGGGATAGATCAATAACAGAGTAAACTGGTCACAACTGTTTAGGATAAAACAATCACAGAAACAAGGACGTGTAGAAACAAAAGCATCGAAAGCTCTCGACCAGCTTCCATGGGCGGTAGGTGACGGCAGAATCGGAGATGGAATTGCCGACGAACTTGGCACGATCTCTCATCTCCACATGCTTTGGAGTATTGAGTGTCATGGAGTGTGCGCCTGCCTTTTTGTTCATATAATGGCCTTCCCCGAATCCTGACCTTTTCAAATTGCGCACCACCATTGAGAGCGTACCATACTCAAGAGCGATCCATCTCCGAAGATGCGCAGTCTCCGACTGCTGGCCTGGGCTCCGGGCGTCAGCCCTCGGCCGATTTCAAGGTCACAGAGCGCCATCTTGTGCGACGTGTTCGCGCAAGCAAACCGATCTTTCTCACGCGCTGGCGACTATCGTGGTGCCGGTCGACTATACTCAACCACTTCCGGGACCCTTCGCAACCGCACCTTCGGTTTCCGTTCAGCCGAGGTTCCTCTTCTGCCTCGCCAGAGTAGCAGCCAATACAGTCCTTTCACACCTCACATTGTTTCTCAGACACGCCTATTATGTTCAACATCACGCCTCCTTGAAGCGAAACCGCTTACCCCGTCTCCGAATACTCCCGAACCTCCCAACCGCTCCGTTCCGGAAAAGGAGGAGGAAGACAAAGGGTTTGAACTGTCCGAGCGTGCAGCGCAAGCCGCTCAGGTTGATCTGCGAGCCAAATTGGCAAAGGATGGCGCTTCGGGCAAGAAGTCTGGTTTCGCGGAAATCTGGCGGCTGATCAAGATTGCGCGACCCGAAGCCAAATGGCTCGGGTTCGCATTCTTCTTCCTGCTGATCTCCTCGTCTATAACTATGTCAATTCCCTTTTCGATTGGTAAAATCATGGACACAGCGACAAAGAGCACGGAGGAGGGCGGCAACGAGCTGTTTGGTTTGAGCCTTCCCATGTTCTACAGCGCTCTGGGCGGAATCCTTGTCATCGGTGCATGTGCCAACTATGGTCGTATCATCATTCTCCGTATTGTGGGCGAGCGCATTGTCGCGAGATTGCGCTCCAAGCTTTTTCGCCAGACATTCGTGCAGGATGCCGAGTTCTTTGATGCCAACCGAGTCGGCGATCTGATCTCCCGCCTCAGCTCTGACACTATCATTGTGGGCAAGAGTATCACGCAGAACTTGTCGGACGGGCTTCGTGCCGGTGTCAGTGGCGTGGCTGGTTTCGGTCTTATGGCCTATACCAGTTTAAAGCTGTCCAGTATCTTGGTTTTGTTGCTTCCGCCAATTGGCTTGGGTGCTCTTTTCTATGGACGAGCAATCCGAAACCTCAGTCGTCAGATCCAAAAGAATCTGGGCTCGCTCACCAAGATTGCCGAGGAACGCCTGGGTAACGTGAAGACAAGCCAGTCGTTTGCGGGTGAAATTCTTGAAGTCAACCGATACAACAAACAAGTACGCAAGATCTTCGACCTCGGAAAGAAGGAGTCCTTGATCAGCGCGACGTTCTTCAGCACGGTTAGTACCCGCTTTTATAGCCATGAATTGTTGGGATTGCTTACTGACCGCTACTAGACTGGATTGATGGGTAACATGACGATTTTGAGTCTGCTTTACGTCGGAGGTGGCATGGTTCAATCCGGTGCCATCAGCATCGGAGAATTGACCTCGTTCTTGATGTACACTGCTTATGCTGGATCCAGCATGTTCGGCCTTTCGAGCTTCTACTCGGAGCTTATGAAGGGTGTCGGTGCTGCAAGCCGACTCTTTGAGCTGCAAGACCGCCAGCCGACCATCCATCCCACCAAGGGTTTGAAGGTCGAGTCCGCACGCGGTCCTATCCGCTTTGAGAACGTTTCCTTCAGCTACCCGACCCGACCCGCTGTGGCCATCTTCAAGGACCTGAATTTTGAAATCCCACAGGGAACCAACGTTGCGATCGTTGGTCCCTCTGGAGGCGGCAAATCAACCATCGCGCACATCCTGCTCCGTTTCTATAGCCCTACTGCGGGTAGAGTTCTCATCAATGGGAAGGACATCAATGACTTCAATGCAAAGTCCCTCCGACGAAAGATCGGTGTGGTTGCACAGGAGCCCGTCCTCTTTTCTGGAACTATTGCCGATAACATTTCCTATGGCCGTCCTCAAGCAACTCATTCTGAGATCGTTTCTGCGGCGCGCAAGGCCAACTGCCAGTTCATCAGCGATTTCGTAAGTTCAACTTGACTTGCCATGCCTTCCATTTACTAACATTTGTCTAGCCTGATGGACTCGACACTCATGTCGGACCCCGCGGTGCGCAGTTGTCCGGTGGACAGAAACAGCGAATCGCCATTGCGCGTGCTCTGATCAAGGATCCCGATATTTTGATCCTCGACGAAGCCACCTCTGCTCTCGATGCCGAGTCCGAGACTCTAGTCAACGGTGCCTTGGCCGCGCTGCTGCGTGGCAACAACACAACCATCAGCATCGCGCATCGCCTCTCCACCATCAAGCGATCTGACACAATCATCGTTCTTGGCAACGATGGCAAAGTCGCCGAGCAAGGCAACTATGAAGAGCTCAGCGCTCGTCCCGATGGAGCTTTCACCAAGCTCATGGAATGGCAGATGAGTGGCGGCGAGGCTGACCAGCCTCCCAAGGCCCGTGCTGTGCAACCGGAAGAACTCTACGAGTTCCCGGAAATGGAGCAGGACAATGAAGTCGATGAGGAAGAACTCGACGAGTCCAAGTCGGAGAAAAAGAAATAGACTTTTGATTCTCTGTACACACACACCAGACCCCAGCGTGAAACCTGGGACACTCTTTGCACCCACTCAACTGATGGATCCGCTCTCTTCTCATATTCATTTAGCATATTTGATTTCTCCGGCGATAGATGTTCTCATTTTTGCAACCGTGTACAAAACAACCAATATAATGCACTGAAATACTGCAATGGTTCTTTGTAAAAGCTCACGACATGTCCGAATGAAGCCGTCCGCATGTAGTTCGCATTTTCCGCAATCTGCGATCTGCAATTGGTCACGCGGATCCGCCCGTCCCCGATGAATCATCTGAGCTACAACTCCGGACCCTGGATCTCAACCGCAACCCCCACGGTCCCAGGAAGAGCTTCTCCTCGACTTTCAGATCTCCGATGTGAAGGACTACATACTTGTTAACCATGGACCGTGTCCGCAGACTCATCGCCGAACCGCCGGCCTACGAGCCGCTAGAAGACTCCGCGGAGGACGATGGCGATCACCATGACTCGCGACGACCTCCCCGCTTCTCCGGGCTGGAGTATAGCATTTTCTTCCTCCTTGGAGTGGCTATGCTATGGGCTTGGTAAGTCTGTTCGCGGGAATTGCCTTGACTGCATCGAGGATGCACGGGAGCTGTAAAACTAACTCGACGCTCTAGGAACATGTTCCTAGCCGCAGCACCCTACTTCCACAGCCGTTTCGAATCAAGTGAATGGGTCGCAGCACATTACCAGTCCTCGATTCTCTCCGTTTCGACAGTCACAAACCTTGGAAGCGCATACATCCTCGCCCGAGTACAGAAGAATGCCTCCTACCCGTGGCGCATCACGCTCTCGCTGCTTATAAACTGCGCCGTTTTCACACTACTGGCTTTTTCGACGATCGCGATGAATGACATATCGGTGGGCGGGTACTTTGCCTTCTTGATGATTATGGTGTCTGCTGCGAGCTTTGCCACGGGTCTCATCCAGAATGGCGTTTTTGCGTACGTTGCGGGCTTTGGCAGGGAAGAGTATATGCAGGCGATTATGAGTGGGCAGGGTGTTGCCGGCGTTTTGCCGTGCATTGCACAGATTGTTTCCGTTCTGTTGGTGCCGAGTAAGGCGAGCACCGACGATCGGCCCCAGTCATCTTCGAAATCGGCCTTTATCTACTTCCTCACTGCTACGGGCGTCTCCGTCATTACCTTGCTAGCTTTCCTTCATCTTCTCAGGCGCCGCCCTGGTACGCAATTGAAATCCTCGGATGAAGACGAAGACGATCTCGATGACCGGGCACACGATAAGTCGGTCAGTTTGTGGACATTGTTCAAGAAGTTGCGATATCTGGCCATTTCCGTCTTCTTGTGCTTCACAGTCACGATGATGTTCTTCCCGGTCTTTACTACGGAGATCATGTCTGTCAATGACTCGGCGAAGTCTCGAATGTACGATCCGTCTGTCTTCATCCCACTTGCGTTCCTGCTCTGGAATGTGGGAGATCTTGGTGGGAGAATGGCTGTGGCTATTCCCCGATTATCTCTCGCCCATCGCCCGTGGATGGCGTTTGTGTTTGCCATTGCACGTATCGGTTTCGTTCCTCTCTATCTACTGTGCAACATCAACGGCCGAGGAGCTGTGGTGCAGAGTGACTTCTTCTATCTCTTCATCGTGCAGTTGTTATTCGGTGCGACCAATGGATACTTGGCATCTAGTTGCATGATGGGTGCGAGCTACTGGGTTTCGGAGGATGAAAGAGAGGTCGCGGGTGGGTTCATGGGATTGATGCTTGTGGGTGGATTGGCTGCTGGCAGTTTATTGAGTTTCCTTGTCGCCAGCTGATTCCAGTGAGCATGGTCCTGTTATAACCTTGGAATTCTGGAAGATATAAAGGCTATTTATGATTTACGACTGATGATGACCCTTGGTGATCCATCTTAGATACCACGTACATATCCATGAACAAGACATTTTCGAGCTCGTATCTTTTCTCTTGCTAATTTTAGCCTCGGAATATTTCCGAATCTGGGTCTATAATGTACTTGAGCGAAGGGCGTGGGCTTCTCGAACAGGTCTGATACGTAGCTTGCATGCGGCTTGACATGGGTCAACGAAGAAAATAGAACACTATGACAACGCATACTTATGGCGTCGGTGGTTCGGAAGACCGAATTGCCATGATGACAGATTTTACGGCCAGCTCTGGAGCATTCACTAAGCCAAAAGTGTTGGCCTGATCCCCGTAGTCAGTCATGCGGAGAATTTTGACCAACATATAAAGGTTCTCTATACATCGCACATGAAAGAGTGTTTCGAGAAGCAATCTGTTGAATTAAATTCAGCTTTCAATTAAATGCCACAAATTTTCACCTTCTATCTAATCTTGCAAGTGAAATGCTGTGGATCAAAGCATAAATGAGATTAACTTGAACGCTGGTGGGAGAAACCGCAAGTTCGAATCCTGTATCGCGTTGTCAGCATTGGATCATTTATTAACTCAGATATAAGTTGCACTTTTCTCTCACCTGCATCATGTCGTTTAGATACATTCGTGGGGTTTTATTTAAATCTGCTTTTGATCATCTATCTCTCTTTCCCTGCACTCTGTGAGGCTTCTTACGCAGTTTTCTCCTTCCAAGGTTTTCATACACACAGGACTTACACTGCTAACTTCCCTGTCTTGGGCTTCTGGATTTTGCTTTTTTTGGTTTATGTAATTCATTCTTACTTAGACTCTGAAAATGATCTCGGAAATCGCGTTGCGAAGTTTGGATCCTCCGGACGCTTCGTCACTCTGGATCGTAGCTTCCAGCGCGCGGATTTTGGCGAGTGAGATCGAGAGAGTCACTGTCACAGACTGAATCTGACAGTGACGTTTGGATACAGCTGGGTATGTACCTCACTGTCTGGACCATCTACACTCTGTACTTTCACCCGCTCAGCCGCTATCCCGGTCCCCAGCTAGTTGCCTGACGGTATTCTGCTGCCGTTGGTGGGGGCGACTGCGAAGTCTTTGGGCCCGGGTTAATGTTAACTGGGGTGGATCCTGGCTGGTCTGGTCCCTCTTGCATTTTCACACGTTCATTCTAGCATATTGAGCCATGAACAAATTTTCTTTCTTGCCAAGACCTTGATGCTCCCTAGGTTTCGAAATATAGGTTTGCGTCAATGTAGAAAGTTGGTTCCGGACCCAATTTTTTCGGGCAACCGAATTCCTATGCGAAAGCTTAACCAACTCCAACCGAACCCTGAGGAGGAATGAAGATCTCGAGTCGCGTGCCTATGACCCGGGCAAAGCTTGACCAAAAGTCAAGCAAATAGTAATCGAGACCCGCACGGCACCGAAAGCTCAGCCACAACGGACCACAAGCAAATCCAGGCACTTGGGGTCGATCGAGTTGCATCATCTTAACCCGATCGGATCAAGTTCAGGGGACGTGTGGATCTCAGCTTGACAGCCAACAAACCATAACCGGTAACGGGTACCTCAGACCCTGTAAATGTCTCACCCTCTCGCGTACTTGATACACTAGTTGGCCTAGACCCTGCCTGGACCACAGCTAAGAATATTGCAATTGGACCCTGCATCTCACCAGCTCCTTACTTTGCACAAACCTGCCCTGAGTGGGGTGCACATTGCATGGCCCCTTTGCATGCCGGATCTCTCCAATCATGGACTTGGCCATGTCTCTTTCCCCAAGGGACGCGTGTCAAAGGTTATCAAACCGCTTACCCTGACGATCAATGGAGCATCTCCCCTCCGATCCCTCCCCGTCCCGCGTCTGCCTGACGTGATTCTTCCACATGGTGACACTCTATCTTCCATCCCTGGCTTCTAACTCTCTGAGAGTGGCAAAAGGTCGGCATGACATCGCGCCAGAGCTTTTTCTTCTCTTGATCTCGTTTTCTGAGCTATTCAGCTTGTCCTCTCCTTGCATCTCATGACCGTCATTCCTTCAATTCCTTCATAGAGTCGATTTTCAGCCGCGTCTCGCAAAACCACCTTCGTTATGTTTTCCAATCGCAAAGGCCGCTCTCTCACGTCTTCCATCCTTCTTCTCGCCGTCGCCTACATCTTCTTGGTCTGGCTACCTCTCAGCCGTCTTCACACATACCAATTATACCACCCGAGGCCAACCCCCATCTTCAACAGCGAGATCTCGTCTCCCAATGCCATTCATTTGAATTTTTCGACAGAGAGGTACCCCGTTACCTCGTACAGTCCTTTACCAACACACCCGTCTCCAATCCCCCGCATCCAATATGACTTCCCGCGAGAGTCTAAGCGCGAACGCAAGCAACGAGTCAAGAGGCAAAAGGCTGTGAAAAAGGCCTTTATGCACGCATGGAATGGATATAAATCCCACGCTTGGATGCGTGATGAGGTATCACCCAGCAGTGGCCGATATGAGGACTCATTCAGCGGGTGGGGTGCCACCCTGGTGGATTCTCTAGATGCTCTAGTCATTATGGGACTCGACAAGGAACTTGAAATTGCTCTTGAGGCTCTGGAGCATATTGATTTCACTACCACGTTCAGCCGCGAGGTCAATGTGTTTGAGATTGTCATTCGGTATATGGGCGGTTTCCTTGCAGCTCACGATCTGACCGACGGCAAGTATCCTATTCTCCTTAAGAAAGCTGTCGAGCTGGGTGAGATGATCTTCAATTGCTTCGACACGCACAACCGTATGCCGCAGATGCGTTGGGATTGGTCCAAGTAAGCCGAACTACTACCAAACGCAATTCACAGATGGGATACTAACAAAGTTTTAGATCCGCTCAAGGCGAAGAAATCGAACCATCAGAGCGAATGGCCTTGGCCGAGCTGGGATCTTTCAGCGTAGAATTCACTCGCCTGACTCAAATCACCGGCGATCCCAAGTACTTTGACGCCGTTCAGAGAATCTCAGACGAGCTCGAACGGAGCCAAAACGCCACCAGAATCCCCGGACTATGGCCTGTATGGGTCAACGCAGACCGACTCAAGTTCGACATGGGTGAATTCTCGCTAGGCGGATGTGCCGACTCAGCTTATGAGTATCTTCCCAAGGAGCACGTCCTTCTCGGCGCTCAAACAGACCAGTACCGCGATATGTACACCAACGCCATTGAGGCAATCAAAGAAAACCTTCTCTTCCGAACAATGACCAAAGACGAGAGTCGGAAGATCCTATTCACTGCAGATGTGCGTGCTTCGAAAGGTGGTGCGTTGCAGAATATCCAACATGTCCAGGATCACTTGAAATGTTTCCTCGGTGGGATGGTGGGCATTGGCGCCAAAGTATTCGACCGAGAGGAAGACATGGCTATCGCCCGTGGACTGACAGATGGCTGTATATGGGCCTACGACCAAATGCCCTCCGGTATCATGCCTGAGATCATGAAAGTATCGGCCTGCAAAGACATAGACGACTGTCCCTGGGATGAGGGCCGATGGTACAGCGAAGTGATGGCCTCGCCCGTTCGCACTCCGGAAGAGCGTGAGAAGGCGCAAAAAGTCATCGAGCTCGAAGGCATTCCACCGGGTGTTCTCAGCCTGCGGGATCCTACATATAAGCTCAGGTTCGTCCTTACTCATCCTATTGTGTGTTCATGTTCTAACTAACAGGATACAGGCCCGAAGCCCTCGAATCCGTCTTCATCATGTACCGAATCACAGGCGACAAGTCCCTGCAGGATGCAGCATGGCGCATGTTCCAGAACATCGACAAAGCCACACGCACCAAGTATGGCCACTCCTCTATCGAGGACGTGCGCACTTCCGTCCCAGAACATACCGATAAGATGGAGAGCTTCTGGCTCGCTGAGACACTTAAGTATCTGTATCTTATATTTTCCGAGCCCGACCATGTCAGTTTGGATGAATATGTCTTGTGAGTTTTTAACCGTGCATATTGACGTCCAGGCACTAACGCATTACAGGAGTACCGAGGCACATCCGTTCAAGAGGCCCTCTGGATATATTTGATTGGGAGACTTCATTTTGATTGGATTAGCGTTTGAGTATCACCATTAGGGGTTGGCGTTTCGGGATCATCATCATCACCATCATTTGGATCTGTATATACTTTCTTACCGACTACCTACAGGAAAATGGAAAAATATCGAGATTGATATCGATATGCCATCATGCAAATAAAAAGCCTAGTTATACATAGGCCATAGCATCATTAGATACTCTCTTCGACGGCCCCTGTCCCCTCCGTCTTGCCTCATCATACTCGTACTGAACCGAGTACTGGACCTCCTTCCGAATAACCATCGGATCGGGCCCACTCTCCGGTCCATCACTCGCCCCTCGACTATCCCGATGTGTCTGAGGTATCAGCTCAATGGCATCCCCGTCCAGACCCGGTCCCGACCCCGACCCCGACCCCGACCCCGACCCACGCCCATCTTTCCCTTTATCCAGCCGCGAAAAGTTCTTCATGCTAGGCTCGCTGATCGCAAACATAGACCGTCTTATCGGAGCCCTCGCTTCCTCTCGAGTATTCTTAACCTGCTTCTTCCACTCCCTCCCCATCCCATCCTGCACATTCCCATCACACAACTCCTCCTTCGACGCCGACCTCAGCCCCCTAGTATTACTCTCCGTCCCTGCCCTCTTCCTCTGAGCCCGACACAAACTCCTACTCCTCGAGCCATTCCCCGAACCCGACCCCGACCCCGACTTCGAGCTCTTGCTCCTCGATGCCGACGCACTACTTTCCAAATTCGAGTCACCCGCCGTACCGTAATTGGTACTCACAGCCGCCATGAAAGGACGTAGACAGAAGACACTGCATGCAACGAGGGCGTAGTGGACTTCGACCTGTAGCCAGAGAGTGGGCTCGACGGCGGCGAGGGTGACGTCTGTTTCCGATAAAGCGGAGTGGAGGCTTGAGATGTGGAGGAGGGTGAATATTATCAGACTGGTATTGAGGTGACTTAGTTTATCAAATCTTTGAAAAGGTCTGAAGGAAGGCCGTAGGAGGTGGGCGTGGTTCACTCACGGGAATCGGAATATAAATGCGAAGCCTATGGCCAGTTTGCGTTTCATCGACATGAACAGGCCTTTTAGTAGGATTACTGCCAGGAAAAAGATTATGAGTTCGGTAATCACGTCGACGGCTGCGATGAATTGCCAGCGTTTGAACTGATATTACATGTTAGCATCGTCGCCGAGTTGCTGATTCCTCCCGAGGTCCAGGATATATAGGGCATCCTTCGACGGTTCATCGTAGACTCACCAAATTTAGACACTGTCCACCCTGTGACCTCCAAGGCTTGTTCAGCTCACAATTGACCAGTAAGATAAAAATAGCTGGAATGAGCCACGCCGTGCACAGAGCCAACGTAGCCCACGAGGCCCTATTATGTGGTTTTTGAGGCGTAAGACGGAGATAGATAGTGACGACGCAGCATTTTGAGAGGTAGATAATGACCAGGGCGAAGATGTCGCTTATTGCAATTAACTAACTGTTTAGTTTCCACAAGGCCACCGATGGATTTTTCACTTACAGCCTGGATCTGGTTGAGGCGGGTATCATCTAGAAAAATGATGGATGTGCCGAACCCGCGCGAACATGCGTAGAATATCAGGGAGGCCTGTACTATCGCCATGATCTGGTAATGTTAGTACAATTCTCAACGTGTCGCATTTGAGCCCATCGAACACACCGTAGCCCCCAATAGCACATAATCATCCCTCGCAAACGGCGGAATCAGCATGAGCCGAACATACAGCCTGATCAAAAAGCAGACGAGCGTGACCACGAGCCCCAGCGCGGCGGAGATGATTATCCATGCGCCATGGTGGTATTCGTCGACTACCTCGAAAGGAGGTGACTGGCCCGGGGGCACATAAGGGCCCATGACAGGACGAAAGTCAAGCCAGCGCACAGAGTCTCATGAATCAAAGGACGGAAAATGAATTTATGAAAGGGCCATGAGTCGGAGGCCACATGCAAAACCGGGCCTCGAGGAAAGTTCTGGAGGTCCACCCGTGTATAAACAAGACAATCCTTAACGACCATGCGGCCCAGAAGATAAGAATAATCACCGCTATCGTTCAATGATTGATTGCAGAGCCCATGTGCCGGCAATCGCCATCGGGTCCCGCTTCAGGCTACCAGCTCCAGTAAGTTTCTTAGTGCGGTCTTCCGCATCCCTTCCAAGCCTTCCAGTGAGGATGACGCTGATTCAATATTATGTACGGAGTACACCGGGTTCACCGTACAGGTCTGATACAAGTAGGAATCAGCTAGCGGATTCCCCTCACGTCAGGCGCCGACTATTCGAGTTATGGTGGCAAGCGAGCCGCTGCTATTCCTGGATTGAGGCGATCGAGCTATGTGGTCGTGGAGACGAGACGTGGGCTCCGATAGGGCCATGTGGTTGGTACCTCGGATGGAGATGCGAGGGGCAACCTGGATTAGGTTGGGTCTGGGGCCGGAGTGTGTTCTAGGGATGATTTGCACAGGGATTGAGGAGTGATAGGTCCGATGGTCCGGTGGTGCCGATAGGTGCAGAAGGCTAAGTATACTACGTACCCACCTGGGCTCTACCCTGGGCACTTCGACAGTCCAAGTAAACCAGCTTAATTATTCTCGATGATTGATCAAAACAAATAGCCATGGAACAATAATTGCCCCAACCTTTCTAAGATTCAAAATATTAAAGTCTAGAAAAAGCAACAAGTCGTGCGCCCGACATCCCTCCAAGTGATCCCCCCTTGGCATGCAAGGCGCCGATAGCCCCATCACCCATTCTTCAACCCTCGACCCAACAAGGGATGAAACAAACCAATTCGCGCGGCCCAAGCTCAACACCAACGCCCTTTCGCGACATCAAACAAACGATGTGTCAATTCGATGGGGATTCCACATGGCGTCAAAATTCCCCTGACCATGCCGTGCTCCCACGCCCTTTTCCACGCTTGAAGCTACAGTGCCCCGGCATAGACCCCCAATAGACTCTTCTCCCGGGACCTGCTTTGTTGGGACTGGTTAGGGGATATTCGAATGTGGATTTACCTTGGTTGGGTTTTCGTTTCTTATAACCGGGAGAATTACGTCGCGGACTGCATGTTGTGACACCCGGACGGTACTTGAACTGTGGTTCGGTTGCTCATTCCAAAGCCTTTGATCCTGGTCGGAGGTTTTCTGTTGCTTCCTACGCGATGTCTCCACTCAGATCCGGCAGTGATTCCCAAATGACTGTTACGGCTAATGATCATGATGAGGAGGATTTTCTCCAGAAGGGGCTCGTCGCGCCGAGGTATATGGGGACGGTTGCCGATCAGCGGGATATGAGTGCGCTGGGCAGAGTGCAGGTTTTGCGAGTGAGTGGTTTCTGAGTTCGTTTTTTGGAAGCACAACTGACATTGCCAAGAGAAATTTTCGATTTATCTCGATTGTTGGGTTTGGATGCACCTTGATTTGTACATGGGAGGTGATTTTGACGTTCGTTGGCTCTTCCATGCGACTGTTGGTCTCAAAACACGGAGTGAATGCTAACGTTCGCATAATAGATTATTATCAGCTGGGTTGACTGATGGTGGCACGGCGGGCTTGATATGGGGATTCATTGGAGTCACGCTGGGCTTTACCCTTGTCTATGCCAGCATAGCCGAGATGGCTTCGATGTAAGTTGGATTGTACCTGATCCTGTATTGTTCTTAGTGTTAATGTATATGGCAGGGCTCCCACAGCTGGTGGACAGTATCACTGGGTTTCAGAGTTTGCGCCGAAAAGAGGACAAAAGTTCCTTAGCTATCTCACAGGTAAAACCTCTTGAAGGACCTCGGGTACTCTTGAATCTGTGTCGATCAAGTCTGTTAACATCCTATCAGGATGGCTCTCTGCAATGGGCTGGCAATGTGCCATCGTCTCGATCGCGTACCTGGCAGGCACAATTATCCAGGGACTTATTGTGTTGAATCAGCCAGACTATGACTTTCAGCGCTGGCATGGTACTATGTTGGTGATTGCCATTTCGACTTTTTCCATTCTGTTCAACACTTTCTTGGCGAAAAACCTACCATTTGTGGAAGGGCTGATCTTGATCATCCATGTCATTGGACTCTTTGCGATCATTATTCCATTGTGGGTGCTTGCGCCACGAAATAATGCCCGTGCTGTCTTCACGAACTTTAACAACGGCGGTGGGTGGGATAATGCTGGAACGGCGACTCTGGTGGGCCTCTCCACCACCATCACGTCTATGCTGGGCTATGACTGCTCTGTCCACATGTGTAGGTCAAGCAACTCATCGGATATGGCTTTTGCTAATTCTTCCAGCCGAGGAAATCAAAGATGCTTCGGAAACACTGCCCAAGGCCATGATGTCCTCCGTAGCAGTCAATGGGGTGTTAGGATTCGTCATGCTGGTAACGCTGTGCTTTACCCTCGGAGAAGTCGAAGCAGTACTAGACAGCGCGACAGGATTCCCATTTATCCAAATCTTCTACAACACGACGCACAGCTTAGCAGCCACGAACGCCATGACGGCCGTGCTGATAGTAACCCTAACAGCCAGCACCATCACCGAAGTCGCGACTGCATCACGACAACTGTGGTCATTCGCACGGGATGAAGGGGTTCCCTTCTCATCCTTCTTTGCCTACGTATGTTCCTCTGGCATTTTCCAAAGAGCCTAGCTGACTGAACTGACAGGTTACACCGGGATGGAACATCCCCCTCAACTCGGTGATGGTATCACTAGCGGTGACCGTCCTCCTTTCAATGATCAATATCGGGTCCCAGGTAGCTCTGAATGCTATCATATCACTGACGATCACCTCTCTGATGTCAGCCTACATCGTGTCGATTGGCTGCGTGCTTTTGAAGCGGCTTCGTGGGGAGCCACTGCCGCCCCACCGCTGGTCGCTGGGCCGGTTCGGTCTGGCGGTGAATGTCGGAGCGCTGTGTTTCCTGCTGCCCATATTCGTCTTTGCTTTCTTCCCCTTGTCGACGCCCGTGACAGCCGAGACGATGAACTGGAGCGTGGCCATGTACGTTGGCGTCATAGGATCGGCGACGATTTATTATTGGGCCAGGGGGCGGCATCATTTCATTCCGCCCGTGGCATTAGTCAAGCGGGAGGGGGCATTCTAGTTTGGCCTCGGTTGTGTCGGGACATGGATTCTTATGACTGTATTTAAATTGTGATGCTTCGCTTGTATTTACTTGGATGAATGTGACGTTTATATACGCCGGATTGGCAACTGATCGGTCGATCGGGCATGAATGCCGGACCAAGTACTTCCGGAATATACCGCAAGTGATTTCCTTATCTTCCCTGTCGCGTGACGTGAATCCTTTCTTACTCATGGGGGCTGTTACTCGAATCGAAGGTGTTTGAAGCATCCCGGGATGCAACAACAGGCCGGGATTAAGTTATCCGATGGAACCGTTCCGACACGCCGAGCACTGGCTGAGACGGGAAGATATCACTGGCCGATTCAAGTTCTTGTCCCCTGGCCGACTCGTTCGTGTCGGGGGCCGAGGTATCAGAAGAGAGAATGCCCAGCTCCTAGCTCCAGAACTGAGTCTTGACGATCATGGCGAGATCCAGGTACAAGGGACGCCCTTTCTCACCTGAAGCTATCGAGCTAGCAACATCCACGGTTTCTGGAACGACCCACCGGCAGGTAACGGCCTATCCACCGAGACCCCAATGGTTGGGAATTCCAGACCCGACCGGCAGGGACAAGCCTTAATCGAGGAAAGTGTAATAAGCGGCAGGTCGGAAGGTGGGCCGGTGAGATCCATCCCATTTTACCTTCCCCCTTCTTAGGGGCGGACGAATAGGGAAGAGTCGGTGTTCCCGTGTGTGGTGCGACGCGGGCTATCTGATTGATTGATAAGTTTGATCCGGTGTCGGCCCACCTCGGAATCTCCTTTGTGATTTTCGTTTTTTTTTTTTTTTCGCTCGGAACACAAGGAGGCCCCGGCAAGGATTCCTTGTAATTATGATTACATGGAAGGGATTGTTTTCAATCTTCGGGAATTACCCCGGCTTCACCGAGATACTATACTGTACTTCATCTTAGGACTGCAATCTGATAAGAGAGCGATGGGCGAGTAAGAACGTATCTAATGGAAATCGACTGGAGACTACCCCATGTAAATGCACTGTCGATCTGGGGGTTAATGGATACAATGCCCCAAGTCAGCACCGAGTTCGTTCCTCAAGTGGAGTGAAAGTTTACCCGGTGACGAAGAATGTGGCAAAATCAGATAATTCCCAGTCCGAATCTGGCGTCCGTTTCCGCTCCACAGCCGACCTCCGTATTTTTCATCTTTCACCTCTTTTGAGACTCTTTCCCGCTTCCTGGAGCCGAGCACAATTCTTCGGATCCCTACTTCCCTTTTTCAAAACTATTGCTATACCCACGAGGTTCAGACCATTCACCATCTCGTTCCGCGCCCGTCTCGCCCGTCTGCCCCGGCGGCCATTCCCGATAACCCCTCCACTGGCCCTCGGCTCGTCCCTGCACCCCATGGGTATGTCGAAAGGCCCGTCATTGCTATCGAGAAACTCACACATTTCATTTCTATAGTCCACGCAGTCGAACCAGTTATGCCGTCGGCAAACATCGCCTCTACGGGGCCTCGCCCCCGGAAGGGCACCTTCCAGGATATCCCCGTCTCGTCCACCTCCCATCCCGATAATCCTATTCCTGAAGAGCCCCGAGGGGTCCGAACTCTCTCTGTGACAGATATCAACTTCAATGTCTCGTCCCAAGAAAGCTCCGACACGAACGGTTCCAACTCACCCGCGTCCCCTATCACACCACCCGACTCTCAGAGCGAAAAAGAGCTTGACGACGTCATTCGTCGCCGCCGCCGAGCCTCGACCGTTTTGATCTCTCAGAATTCAAATGATATGAGAAGAGTGCTGGAGAATGTCGGCACGGGTGGTACTCAGAAGATCCAGTCTTCGTGCTGTGGCGGGGGTTGCTGCCGAGGACAGCAATTGCGACCGATTGATGGGCCCATCTCGGGTTTCAATTCCATTACTCCTCCCGATAACAAGGCTTACAATAGTCTGGGCCTGAATTTGGAATTCCTCACGCTAGATAGCGATCTCTCCAGCATTGCCGCGCTCCCGGAGAAAACGGTCTCTTTCAAGTCCGCCCCCTCATACACCGCCAATTTTGAACTCGGCCCGGCAGACCACCCCCCGAAATTCGTGCAACCCCATCCTCCTTATGATGTATACCGGGCTCCTCTTCACCATGCCCGTGAATTGACTAAGAATGGCGCGGAGAAGCGCACTTATCACTTTGATATCGATGTCACCGATTACCCTGCCGAGAGTGGTATGGTGGATTTCGTCGTTGGCGGCGCGATTGGCGTGTGCCCAAAGAACAAGCCTGAGGAAGTTGAAGATGTACTGAATCAGTTGTGTGTGCCCAAGTCGTTGCGAGATAAGAAGGTCCTTATGCGCACAACAAAGGGCCGGTGGCCCACCATCTGGGGTGACGATGAGCCCCGCGAGCTGGTTACCACAAGACGTGAGGTTCTGAGCTGGTGCTCAGATATCCAGAGTTACGCGCCGACCAAGTCACTCTTCCGGCTCCTGGCAGAATACAGCAGCGAGGAGAACGAGAAGAAGATCCTTGAGTACCTCTCGTCCGCCCAGGGCCAGGGTGCTTTCTGTGAGCTCCGCACCAGCTCTCACATCAGCCTGTCCCAGTTGCTTCACGCCTTCCCCTCATCGAAACCTCCTCTGGACCACCTTCTCTCCGTGCTCAACACCCTGATGCCTCGCTTCTACTCCCTATCCCAGGACCCCCAGATTTCTTGCCAATTTAAAGGCACCGAATGCCGGCGCCTAGTCGAAGTAGCCGTGACTGTTGCAGATTCCGAGGATTGGAAGGGCGGTATGCGCACCGGCGTGGGCTCGGGATACCTTGAGCAGCTCGCTCAACGTGCAATCGCAGCCGAAGCAGCCGGGGAGAAGATTGATATTCACATCCCCATGTTCCGAGGCCTGATGGCTAACCCGCTCGCTACGCGCTTCGCCTCTGATGGACCCATGCTACTGATCGGCGCGGGTGTCGGTATCGCTCCCTTCCGTGGATTCGTCCAGCGTCGTCTGCAGTCTGCCAACTGTGCCAACAAGGTTTGGGTGCTCCAAGGTGTGCGAGACTCCTTGCTCGATGAGCTGTATAGCGGTGAATGGGGCGTCCACGAGGACAAGGTCCGCACTGTTGTGCAAAGCCGTCGTGGCGAGAGTCGCTACGTCCAGGAAGAGGTCCGCCACCAGGCCGATCTGGTCTGGTATGTGATCAACGCTCTCGATGGCCGAGTCTTTGTCTGCGGTAGTGGCAAGGGCATGGGCGAGGGTGTCGAGGCTGCTCTCGTTGAGGTTGCCATGGCCAAGGGCAACCTGAACTTCGAGGAGGCCACCCTGTTCTGGCAGCGCAAGAAGGAAGCTGGCCAGTACATTGCTGAAACCTGGTAATCGGATCATGGGTTATACGGTTTCCAAGCGGAGGCGCATGTGCCTCCCACACCTTCAACATACCTCGACGCAGCTATTACCGTGTCAGCATCGTCAATCTGTACATACAATCTTTCGACCATCTGCATCGTCACGATTTGCATTTTTCGTTCTGCATTGGCTTGGGTAAGGAATGACTAGCTACGGAGAACGCAAATCAGATCCAGCTGGCTCCAGCTTGACCACCAACAAGCCTGTTTTGATTCTTTCTATTTTAGCGGGGCGGTTATTTGATCTATCGTTTCATCATGTTCATGTTACGGGGCTTTGTGCAGTTCCCCATTTGGTTGATTCTCTCCAACAAGGACCCTTTTGCCCTTATTTTATCATTAGTCGGTTCTGGGAGGCTACCTGTTTCATCATTCACTAGATTTAGAGTCGATTCCCTCAATCTGACCCCTCATTTGACTTTACCAGTTTCGCTGTGTCTAGACCATAAGTAAGACGTCCAACGTCCTCGGTGACAACCAGTACAATGCAACACAGACCGTCGAGCTTTTCTATTCATATTATCTCCACGCTCTCCACCCCCGCGTGACTCAATCGGAATCTCTTTCCCCAGAAAACAGTTCCTATGACACTGCGGAGGCCGGTTAACCGGCCCGGTGCGTGCGATAGAGGAATATCACGTGACAGAGAATGAGTCGAAGGCATGGTGTCAAAAAACAGCCATAAAAGGCGTACCTACTTCTCTGAACTGATCAAACCAATCAGTTATCTGCCACAACCTATCATACCACGCAAATCGACAACAATCCCCCAAGCCCAAGCCGACATCGGTCCTCTCGACAATTCCGTGCCCCACATCGATAAGCCGTCAAAAGGTGGGGGATTCTCCAAAGCTCAAAGCTCACCACGAACACAAATTACCACCACCACACCCCAGCATTCACGATGCCCACCCTCCAAGAAAGCAAGATCTGCTTCATCGGCGGAGGCAACATGGCCTCCGCCATCATTGGCGGCCTGACCTCCAAGGGCGTCTCCAAGAGCAACATCATCGTCTCCGAGCCCTGGGACGTGAACCGCGAAAAGCTCGCCTCCACCGGCGTCCAAACAACCACCAACAACGCCACCGCTGGCTCCGATGCAGACATCGTCATCATCGCCGTCAAGCCGCAGGTCACACAGAGCGTGTGCGAGGAGCTGGGCGCATCTTGGGGAAGCCGGAAGGTCCTGCCGGTTGTCGTGAGCATTGCGGCCGGTATTACGCTTGACTCGCTGCAGGGGTGGTCGAAGACGGCGGACGGGCGCACGCCGCATGTTGTGCGCGTTATGCCGAATACACCTGCGCTTGTCGGAGAGGGCGCGTCGGGCGCGTATGCCAGCAAGGATGTGACGGGCGAGGAGAAGGAACTTGTTAATGCTTTGTTGGGGAGTGTATCCAAGGCTACGGAGTGGGTTGACCGGGAGGAGTTGTTGGATGTTGTTACCGGGTTGTCTGGTTAGTTGGCCTTTCTTTTATTGTTGCCTCGATGTGGCAGAAACCGAAGAGTTGCTAACAACGTTCAAGGATCCGGCCCGGCTTACTTCTTCGCTATGGTTGAGCACCTCGTTGCTAGCGCTACTGCTCTCGGTCTTTCGAAGGAACAGGCGACGCGTCTGGCTACGCAGACTTGCCTTGGTGCGGGCAAGATGCTTGTTGAGTCGGCTGATGAGCCGAGCCAGCTGCGTAAGAATGTGACCAGTCCCAATGGAACTACGTTCGCGGCGCTGCAGACTTTTGAGAAGGAGGGGTTCGAGAAGATTGTTGATAAGGCCGTTACGGCGGCGACGGAGCGGGCCGCTGAGTTGGGCAAGAAGGCTTAAGCTTGAGGTGATGGGTTTGTGCTTAGAGCTTGATGCTCGATGGAAATGTTTCGGTTTTTTCTGTGTCACTACGGGTATAGACAAAAATGAAGAAAGTAATTCATTATTTGGAAAGTGACTGCCTAGACTGCCTAGGTGCATATAAGTTATCGCGGTGGCTTTTAGTGGTCAAATATTGCAAAGGAGGATGCAGTGCATCACAAAGCTTAGCTCGAATAGTATTGCGAGGATGTTGTCAATTAAAGAACCCGGAAGAAGATGATACTCCGGTACTTTATTACGCAATCTGCTCATGTCCCGAGTAGGCCAGACAGCTGGTCGGTAAGCTCGATATCAGTCCGTAGGCCTCGCGAGGTTCAAAATCTCAGCGCGACAGTCTAGATAGATCCGAGCTCCCGGAAGCTTAATCTCTAGTATGGCCTGTCTGGGCCTGCTTGCCCATTGCTGTTACAGATTGCCACGATGTAATCTAATTAAACACCGAATGTTGATTGCATATGAGCCACACCTCACATCAACTCGATGCCGAGGTCCTGTCCCTCGAGGGTGGCTTCATCACAACGTTGACTGTTGATCGTAGCATCTACCTCGGGATCGACAAGGGAGCGGTGACAAGCCAAAGGTGATCAAATAAAATCAAACAGCATGTAACGTCGTTCCAACTATGAAATATGGACCCGGCATCGTGCATGAACGATTCCCTTCATACCGATGACCTATCATTTCACAAAGCGGTCTAAGCTGCACGATCTCTCCCTGTGAATGGCCACGAGAATATACGGCCGCAAGCAAATCAGAAAGTGACCAAGTGATCAAGTGATCAACTAATAAACTCAACCAAGCCCCTCCTACCTAAAGTAGCAAGGTGACAGGGACAGGGATTATGGAAGCAGGGCACGACGCCCCGTGGTCGCGCTATTGAAGTTGATATAGACTTTCCCAAGTCATGACGACATGGCGGGTGGGGAATCTATATACAAAGTTGGAGGATTTATTGAAAAACAAGCCAGGAAGCCCGAAACCGGGGGGTTGGGACGGTTGACTACTTCGATGACAGGCGACAGGCGGAGCCTAACTCGGGCGTCCTTGCAGATATGGACGCAACTCACATTTCTGATATTGGCGAGATGACCGATGCAGTTAAAATTCGGACATACCCCAAATCGAGATCACTGGAAAATGAGAAGGCAACTATCGATAGACGGTCTTGGCAAATCTGATTCTCTTGTTCCCAATATTCTCGGTGCTAAGGCCTGCCAAAAGGGCTCAGACCTCTAGAGTTCTGTAAGTCATGCAAGTCGCCGAATAATAAGGTTCCTAACCGGGTTCGCAGGTGCCCAAACCACGCATAGAATGAGTTCGGGCCCCGGTGAATTGCGAGATTACCCCTAGTCCCAAGTACCGGGACAGCTGGGTTACACGGTGACACATTCCTGCATGGCGCATAGCGCTATGCCGCGGTACTCCGCGGCCATATTCCCCCGCTCATTCCTCGGCCCTTGAAAAGCCACCCCCGATCAGAGGGGAAATGCCTGCGAGATCCGATGGATGATCTGCATCCCTACTCCATTTCATGCACGATCGCGGATCTCGAGTGGTGTCGGCGATCCCGTCACCAATTCTCGTGCCTGGGAGTGGCAGGGGCCGGCTTCCGGTGAACCGCTCGCCATTTTTTTTTATTTTTTGATTTTTGATTTTTGATTTTGATTTTGATTTTTCTAATATGATGTCCTCGACCTTGAAAAAAGCAAAAGAAGAAAAGAGGTGATTACTTCGAGTGGGAAAAGAAATCCGGGCGAGATCGTCCCTTGCGGGGGGATTCACTTCAAACCCCGATCGCCCTTGAATGACGTGAGGCTGGACCGGGTAGATCCAGATCCAAGCCTCTCCACGAGGATCCGAATTCCATGTCATCTGGCATCTCCGGTTTCGATGTGGATCAAGCTTGTAGTGTTGAATCCTGTGGCGCTAAACAGAAGCCCAAAGCTTCCAGGCCGGAGGTGACTGCCGCCTTCAGCTTGGTGTCGGGCATCAAACCTTGAGATGGATCGACCTGGCGTGATCTAAGTAGGTAGTCCCAAGCCGTACTCGATACGCGGTGCGGAGCCCAACCGAAATTTCACGGCACATCCGGGACATGATGGGTGTCACATTGATGGGGTTGACAGGGATTGTCACAAGTGTCCATGAAAATGCAAATCAAGCCTGTTCGCACCCCAAGGGCGGCTCGGGGTCCTATACCCGGGCCGGCAGGTGGGTATCCCCATTATTGATGCACCCGGTTGATTGGAGGTGATCACGTCCGAGGCTCCCACCAGGAGGATCTCCGATGACAGTCGCGAGTAATTCCCGCAATTCCTTCCGTTCACAGGCCCGGTGCTTCGTGGCTGGGGGCCGATTGAGCCAACTGAGCCGGCTCGGTGAGTCCGTGAGTTAACGAGGCAGTGTGGGGATTAATAAATGTACGCGATACACGAGCTGCACGGCAGATCGAGACGATCGAGGCAAAGCAACGCTAGAGCTAGTGGGAACGAGTAGTTATGTCACAACGAGGGGATTCAAATCCCGGACCTCTTCCAAACACGTCAGTCCTTCGACTCCAACCTCCCAGCCACCCCCCCACATTTTCCTCATTTTCCTATTTTCCTATTTTCTTATTTTCCTCCCCCTAGCGGAACATCAGATATCATATGCATGAGGTGTTCCTCTTTGCACCTTTGCACCTTTGCACGAAGCCCGGTCCAGCACAGACACATGGGGATTACTCGGAAACTGAAATTCTGTGGATCCCCGGTTCGTCTGGAAGGAAGTGGAGAATGATTGAAGAACCCCTAGGCGATCTCAGGACGATGCCCTATCCCTGTGGCATCGCCAAGACCACGCCCATGGTTACTACCAGCCCCTCCGACCTTTCCCTGATCGATCTCCCAGATGGGGATCGAGGCCGAGGTGCCACCCATCACGATTAGCCACTAGTCCGCCATTACCCATAGTCCGGGATAAGCTCCTCGGGACCGCGATCTACCTGGTAGCCAGTCACGGCCCTCGGCCTTCTGACACAAGCTGCGTTGTGGGTACTTTCCCCCCGACTCAAAGGACGACTCACGGAGACCTCTTTCTGGGTTGCCGATCCACCCACATTTGTGTCTTGACTTTTTTGGTCCGTCAACCCGGGAATTCCTCCAATTTTGACACGACTCTGAATCGACTCCACTCTGACTCAAAAACCAATCTGATCACCCTAGGTATTTGATTTAATTAAATACAGCCTTCGGCCTGACTCAGGTACATGATGAATGGTAGAATGCCGCCCACTCTCCACTCACCCCCCTCTCCCCCCTTCGTGTGGCTGTTGCTGCCGGCATACCCTCCCCTCTTCCCCAACTTCTCGGTATGCGGCGACCCCGAACCATTCTCATTCTTCCATCGTACGTATCATACGTAGCCTACATATTACAAATACTGCATAATGGATTTTGGACCGTGCCCATTAGATTCATTTTCTGAAATCATATTCCGATCCTGCGGCTGAGTTCAACTCAAATGTGATCCTTGGTTCCCCGATTGGGGAAAATCAAAGACCGAAAAAGCCAAATATCGGAAATACAAAAAAACCTTGCCAAAACGGCAAGGCCTCCAGTCCAAAAGCAAATCAAAAAGCAATGAAAATAATAAAATAAAATGGGCCCGGGGGGGGGGGGGGGGAGGAGTTCCTGAAGGCCCCGCCACCTGATAGATCCTGGCACTAGCACGACGGACTATGCCAGGTTGACAGGAACTGGACCTGATCCTTGGCGCTATCTGTCAAGGACAACCTTAAGGATGCTCCATAGGGTTCTTGATGTACACCCCCGCTCTGCATGCCTTGAGGACACGGAGGTGCAGGTGCTCCGTAGTTTGTGGCTCCCAGTACCCACTTGCGCCCACGATCGTCATTTTTCTGGGCCACTCCCCCCCTGTTCTTGCTTTCCATGGACATGTAACAGCTGGGTGCGTAGTGTTTTTTCGTTAAAATGTAGAGTGGCCCTGCATTATTTGGGACCCAAAGGAAACTCTCATTCCCCAACCTTGCATAATCTTGGCTGGCGATGTCAACGTAAAATCGGCCCCGTTTCCCAGGTCGGTTCTTTCTTCCTTTCTTACTTATCTCCTTTTCTTTGCTTTCTCCTCTTTTCGATTCCCACCTAGTTTTCGGTTGGGCTGGTCATCGATCGGAGATCCTTTTAGATCTATCTGCATCCACCCGTCTACGTCTAACACGACCTGTATAGTTTCGACCTGTCACGCTTTAATTCTTCCTCTACACTCAACTTTCCATATAATTCTCGTCTATGTCCCAGTCCCGGGAGACGGACGAAGATACCGACATGGCCATTTCCTATGCAAGCAGGGCGCCGGCCGGTAACCCCCAAACGCTTCCATCGTTTCGCGAGGTGAGACGGCCTTACCATACGGGAGGATTACCAGTGCACAATACTCACCAAAGCTACAGCTCCTCCCTCCACACCTCCACGAAGAAATCGACTCCTCCTCATATCGCTCCGCGCGCCAGTCACAGGAACGACCGTTGTCCGGACATGAAATAGCCGATCCCCGTTCCATGCCAGGTTATCCAACAAACCCACCCTCCAAAATGCCCTACGACCAGCACCGCGAATACACCACACGTACGGAGCGGCCGATGGGCGATCCCATGTCTATGCGGGGACCGAGTCCTATTCTCCCACCCATCCGGGACCTGCACTCGATGCCCGAACGCAAAGGATATCCCGACGGCGGAATGGCACACAGATCCGATCCCTTCGCACACGACTACCGCAGCCAACCCGTACCAGGACCTATGACAGACCGGAGAACCGCCGAATACCCGCCCATGATGCACGGCCAATCTGCCGCGCCCTACGTGCACCCGACAATGGCCTACCAAGGCGACCCAGAACAGATCTCGCCGAGTATGATGGGGCACCCGCAAGCCAACTTCGGAATCATGGGCGAAACAATCGATCCCAAGACAAAACGGCGCAGGGGAAACCTGCCCAAACCGGTGACGGATATCCTGCGCGCCTGGTTCCATGATCACCTGGACCACCCGTACCCCAGCGAAGAAGACAAGCAGATGTTCATGACACGGACGGGCCTGTCGATCAGCCAGGTAAGTCCCGAAGCTGCCGGTGTTTAGGAAAGCGAGCTAACGACAGCCTCAGATCAGCAATTGGTTCATTAATGCGCGGCGGCGGCAGTTGCCTGCACTGCGCAACCAGATGCGCAGCGGCGGTGACGGGGACTCGTCGCGCCAGTCTCCGTTCAGCGACGTCGATCAGGCATCTATCTGAATTGCTTTCGCCTCACCACTAGACGTGCTTGGCTTGACGCCCGGCTCAAAATACCGGACCTGCCTTGATGGCAGGAGCCGGGCATCCGTTTAAGCTTTTTAATTTCGATCACGGCCTTTAATTTACTTTCCGTTTCAAACGTTACACGGCATCGACAGCGTTAATTCGGTTTACGACCGGGAGAGATTTCGGAGATTTCTTTCCTTTTCCTTTTTTGATTACGAGTTCACGGGGTTGGGTATACGGACAAGGTGGATAGACTGCCATTGGCTTTTGTTCTTTTTTTCTATTCTTGTTTTTTTTTTTCCTCCTTGAGATTGCTGGATTTGCTTCACTTTTCACTACAGGCCTCTGACTGAGTCACGAGCTTGCGAGATATCATTTTTGATACCCTTTTACTCATGGGATGTTACCAAGCGGGCTGTACCGGGAAACAGGGGTTTTTGGGAAATTCTTTATTGCATGACATTCATGGACGGCGGTTTTTGTTACATTAGATTCGAGTCACGGTGCATCCGCACTGCTGGCGACATCGAAACTTGCATTGACACGGTGTTCTGGCCACAATGAAAGAAAATACATTTCATGATCCATCGGAAGCGTACGGTTACACCACAGATCAGAAACATGGAACCCAAGATGCACATCCACCCCCACCGAAGACCTGCCGATCCCGTACTTATTGCACGCATGACGGGAAACGTGGATCATCCCTTACGAAGCGGCACGGGGGAACCACATATCCTGAGCCAATCCCGCCCATCCCTCGCCCCCTAGAGTCTGTCCTTCAGCTGAACTCGAACTCTGCCCTCTCTTCATGGCCCAAACGTAAACGGCATCCTGGCACAAGAGGGTCGGAAAATACTTGCACGCCGACCTGAATCTACGGGTACGTCTGTCTGGGATAGATGCCGAAACGCAAATCTTGGGCCATCCCAAACTTGGCAAACCATGGATTCACGGCCCAATTTTTCCACATTAGCCACCTGCCAGTGCGGACCCACCACACCCAGATGGTGAAAAATTTCAAATCGCGATCGAGATCGGCTCTATTTGTTGGTCTCTTAAGCAATGACGTCGGGACCCGAACTTTAGTCGGGCTGTCTACCCCTTTTTGACAGCGCTTAAAGTTTGGTTTGTCCGCGCGGTTAGCATCACTTTACCACAATGCGATTTGATTCTTCCCGTGTAAGTACTACCGTGGTCCTGGGACTGTCAGATGTTTACTTCGGTCTTATGCCACTGGGAATTCTGCTACCCGGTGAGTGAACAGATATGGAAGTACTGGAGAGGTGTAGTCATTGACGTTTGGAACGGGGCGCTCGGATAAGGTTCACACGACTTCGTATCTTGCTCCGTATTTGCGCCCCGGTCCAGGGTCGGCTGCCAGCCACGTGAATCCTTCGAACACATGAATGATTTGAGATGATTTGCATCCTCATGGAGAACCCTCGGGGGCATTGTAGATCTCGTGCAAGTCCAGGAACCGTGTGGATAGTGACCTGGCAGCCGTGATACGCGGAACCGCAGTTGCAACCTTAAACTCTGTTCTTTATTTCAAACGTTTCTGAGACAAGCGTGCCGGACTTGTGGAGTAGTGGCTGTGACCAAATAAAGGATTGTTTCCTGGACCCAGTTTTCCACATCCGGGTTATTTCCGACATGCCAAAACAAAAACAGAAACAAAAAAAAAAAAAGAAAAAGAAAAGAAAAGGGGAAAAAATCGAAGTGACACCGGGACGTCACAGGCGTTCGGCATTACTGCCGAGGAGGATCAATAGGAAACACATGCAGTACCGAATGCATCTCCAAGCTGCAGTTGGTGCCTGACCCATCAATAATTCAACACCAGGAACCCGGCCAACCCACGCAATGCAACACCCACACTAATAGAACGTACCCCAACACTTCTATGTAGTCTACATCACCCCAACACTTCCATGTAGTCTACATCACACCCCGCAACGGAAACGGAAACAAGGGTCCTGACGTGCAGACGCACCACCAGAAGCATACAAGCACCCCTGCAACTGCATGGCCACGTAACCCGATCGATCACATAGCGGTGAAATCCGCCCTCGGCGTCCGAGTGCACGATGCAGACCAGCAAAGCGAGCTGTCACTTACGAAAATGTGAGCTGTCACTTACGAAAATGTGAGCTGTCTCATGTCAGGGTCGTGCGATGACGATCAGCTGCAGATCAAGTTCGCGAGGGTGTTCGTCGGTGAGATCAGGCCGGCCAATGAGATCGGTAGATGCCCATGCATATGATTCGTTCGGAGTAAGGGAATTTGACGTGTCGTTCAGTTCTCAGCCCGTTGCCCTTGCCCATTTCGGATGGCTTTGCCGGGCGATCATGTAACACTGACAGGTTTTCCCCTCTTTTGGCCTCTTCGGCAGGGGTCTGTTGTTTGAGTCGTGAATACCACGTTACGGCGTCAAGCCAGAGGTCCTGCCGAGGTCGAAACGAGACTATTGGTTTTGGGGTGGAGTTGGGGTATTTGGGGAGAATCGGCGACCCACCGTTCTAGAGTAGTTTGTTCAATAGTGCTGGGCTAGTTTGGCCAAGGCTGGGCAGGCTGGATACTTCGCTTAAGCTTTTCGGCTTCTGGAATGTCTGATAATTTAATCTACTCTTGCTTTCTCAGCTCCGGCGCGAGGCTCCAGCCCGGAAATGTCCTAGTGTAGACGGTGGAGAGAGCGCAATGTTCGGGAATCCCCGATGGAATACATATAATCTATTTGCGATCTCAATAGGTGTACTTGCTCTGTTTTCTTTTCCATACTTTCGAGGGTGGTCGTACGAAATCTTTCTCAGAGCCACCAATTACTCGCTGTTGCATTTGTATACGGCACCTGGCGGCATCTCCCGATGTATGATACTTCGACAAAACTGTATATCTATATTGCCATTGGTCTCTTGGGGCAGACTATATGTTTGGAATTCGTGTTTATTTTATATCGGAATGGGCTATTTTCAGGCAGCGGTGCTCCTCGAGCCTATGTATTATTCACAGTTATTGAATCTGAGGGAGAACCTGCTAACGTGACGGCCGCGCAAGTCTAAGTCATCTTGCCCCGACCAGTACATTGAGCCTAGTCAATATATTAGCCTCTAGATGCCATCCGTCGGTTTAGGGTCTTGGATGCAGATACATCCCTTCACAATTACATCTTGGTCGAAAATAGACATTGACACTCCCATGGGTATTCCCATTTGGGACAGTCCCGTCCCGCCCATGGGTGGGATATGGGACCGACCCTTAGTCCCATGGGTGGGACGGCCTTTTCCCTACCCACCCATGGGACTCCCATACTCACATGAGTACCCATAATACAAGGAGGTATAATTAATGCATATTATGTAGGAATCTTTGGTATTTAGGTGGTAAAATTACAGTCGAAAGGTAATAAAATAAGAAAAACAAAGTGAGGTTTGAATGAGAGAATAGCACCTATATTATTCTATAGAATTTCAAAGCCCTCAGGCCCCCGAGGACGTCTTTTCACCCGACCAGAGGCCCGAATCTGGCTTTCTGGAATTATAGGTAAAGAGACCAAATCATCATCACTCTCATCAGATAAAACACTCTTTCTTCTCTTACTAGCCCGAACAGAAGATAGCCTAGAAACATCTATCCTATCTAGCTCATCTAGCTCATCCAGCTCATCCACCCTATCCGCCTCAGTATCACTAATTAGCTCAAAACCTTCTATTTACTGAGAAGGTTCATCTGTTTCACCGTCCTCGTGGATAGATAGAGATCGGATAAAAGCTAGCTGCTAATCTTCTATCTCGAACCTAGTCGTACACATAAACATCATTAGGTCTTGGATAGTTGAAGAATTCAGACGACCCCTCCCGATAATAATAGATATCCCGGGCTAAATTAAATAACCTTTCTACACTAGCACTAGTAGCAGGGATAGAGAAAATATCTTGTGCTATATGTGCTAGTGTAGGGAACTGATGCGTATGATCTTTCTAGAATAGACGAGGGCTAATTGGGACTAAACCTAAGTAAAACTAAAGAAATTAGACGAGAGGTAAAATGAGAGGTAAGACTAGAAGTGAGAGAAAAGTGAGAGGAAAGTAAGAGGAAAGTGAGAGGAAAGTGAGAGGAAAAAGTAAGCTTACCTCCTTGGAGATATTGGGTTAATTTATCCTGATCCTTAGTGGATTTAGGCTCAGAAGCAAGCAATTAATCAAGCTTAGAAGCTTAGATAGAAGCCTGAGGTTTTAGGATTAAATCACTCTCTGTTTAATATACTTTTATTCGCTCTTGAAATCTCGCTCAATATAAAGAAGTATAGTCTTTATCTATCTAGTCGGGGCCAGAAAAGAACTGCAACTTATACTAAGGGGCGAGGATTGTGCTATACGCATAGATATCACTAAGTTCTAGATTATCTGTTTTTGCATAGTACTCTCGAAGCTTATTTTTAGCTAATTCAAGAGCTTTAAGCATCTACCGTTTCCACCTAGCCTAGAAGTGAAGGAAAAGTAAGTAAGTGAGACTTAAATAAATCCCTTTTCCGCTAATTGTGACTCTGATTTTTCGCACTTTAACCCTTGTTATATAGGTTGAAGTGCGAAAAATCAGAGTTATAATTAGCGGAAAAGGGAGAGAATATAGGAGACTAACCTTTTTCCGCCTCAACTGCCGAATCGAAGCTTCAAGGTGGTCAAAAAGCTTATTATAGATACTAAAAACACTGTGGATAGTAATATCCTTGGTCTTAGATAGGGCAGTGGTAAATTGGAAGAAAGGCTTAGTTAAATAAAGAAGATAATTAATCTAACGCTATTCCTCTGAATTAATCATTAACTGTTTAACCTAATAGGTGATATAGTACTGATTTAAATCAGATTGAAGCCTTTTAGCCTAGTAAAGCATTAGATATATCAAATTCTAACGCGTATAGACGTCCTGGATTGGGACTAATATAGGCTGATTAGTCTGAAGCTTTAGGAAGTTATCCCGTCTCTATAGGCTTGCATTAATATAGATAGCAAGACTACGAGCCTTACGAAGGGTATTCGTAATATCTAGCTTTCTAGACCTCTACTGAGCCCGAGTAGTAGCCCGACTATGCTCTTCTATCTAAACCATTTCCACTGTGTCATTCTAGGGGTTTGCCTTCATCTAACTAAGAAGCTGTTTCAGACTAAGCTAAATTATATACGTAAGGCAAGGAATGCGGATCAAAGGTAGACCAGGATAACTAGCTTGGATACTTATAATCATCGTCTGGTTATTTGACGTATTATCCGTAGTAATAGCCATAATCCGGTCTAGAATCTAATACTTTTGAAGGGTATTAATTAGGACTAACCCAAGATTCGTCCTAGTGTGTGTTCCTTCTAGGGGTTTAAATCCTAGAAGCACCTCTCGGTAATCCCAATTCTGGTCTAGGAAATAACTAGTAATAGCTATAAATACTTACTGAAAGGGTGATGTCTAGCAATCTAGACTAATTGAGAGCTTTAAATAGGGTGGAAGCATCTGAAGGGTGTCTTTCTGTTGGTCTTCGACTATATTTCGTAGTCGGCGCTATATCGTGCGACTAGTAGGAAAGGTTGGGATTGAAGGGGCTGACTAGGTTAGGCGTAGAAGCTTCTAGAAGTGCTCGCTCTCGATGATTTGGAAGGGTAGGCGTAGGCTAGTGATAGTGGTTAAAAGCTATTACTGCTAGAGCTCTTTAGACTAAGGTTGGGATAGATTGGAGTTGACTGCCTAGTGAGAGAATAATAGGTTAGTTTTCTCTTATTTTGCTCTCACTTTTCTCTCACTTTTTAGTAAACATACCACTTTCTATATTAAGTGCTTAATACTTGTTTGCTTGCTTTTTATCTAATAGGCACTATTTTTTAGATGTCGTCGCATCCTAGATGTCCTATCTTTTACTGGATGCTTTATTATTATACTATACCTTTTGCAAGCAACTATTAGTTTTCCTATATTAATATGTGTAACTTAGTCAAAATGCGTCTATATATCAGATTGATGGCCCTTTCTATCCTAATGGATATATTTTGCTTTGGGTTTTGTCCTATATAGAGTGGTAAGCCACCATTCAATAAATTTAGTCTTGGTCATTTCCGTCTAAAGTGCCCACTATTTCGTCCGGTCTCCAACACGTTGAATAGAGGGTGGTAGTAGTGGTGGTGGTGTAAGCTTAGTTATTTGGCTTTTAGTTAGTTCGTTTGGTTCAAAAGAGAAAGAATTAGATAGAAGGATAGGATTAATACTATCGCTATATATAGATTGGCTTATAGGGTCCGAGAGGTGTGCTATACTAGCGAAAGTGAAGAGAAACTAAGACCAAGGTAAAGAGAAAAAGCTTAGATAGAAGGTAAGGCATATTAAGGGCTTTAAGCACGTAGCCTAATATTATTGGTTCTTTATAAGCCAATCAGTACTGGGTGGGTCTATCTAGCCTATCCTATTGGCCTAACTCTCTATATTTATGTGGGTAGTCCTATGGGAGTCCCATAGTCCCATAGAATTTAGTAAGAGCTATGCCCCCTAGAAATTTCTTAACTTTTGCTCTCAACTCTGACCTTTTTCTCTCAACCACACACCCTACACTAGCAATTAGGTGTTTGCAAGATAAATATATATAAAAGAAGCTATAGTAATTAAATTAACTAGTAAAATAAGCCATAATAACCTAGTATTATAATATAATAAAATCAAAGGAAATAATAGCAGAGTGGTTGGTTGTATACAATAAATATATATCTTAGAGGACAAACCATAATTTCTACCACCGCTTTTTTACCTTTACTTCGATAGGCCTAAAACATTAATGCGACCGATGAAACGGACCCTTTTATATATATAAACAACTTTATTTCTTATAATTACCTAGTAGGTAGGTTAAAAAGTAGTGATATTACTTGTTCCAACCGAAACAGACGTAAATAACAAAGATTAGTCAGTGATCTTATGCACAAAATTCAGGCGAATTCAGGCGAATTCAGGCATAATCAGGTGTCTATGGGTACCCATGGGACCCATGGGTATTCCCATGGGTGGGTATTCCCTTAGCATACCCAAATGGGTATTCCCTTAGCATACCCAAATGGGTATTCCCATGGGTGGGACTTGGGACGGACCTTAGTCCCATGGGAGTCCCATGTCAATGTCTAGTCGAAAATGATACAAGATACCTTGAAGCTCCTAGTGCAGCCCTAGTATGGCTTTTCTAGGGATTTAGTCCGCTATAGCAGCTTGGGCGTGAAGAGCTCTATATTATTTATAGCCTTATTTTCTAGACCCCATAGAATCACCGAGAACACTAATCACTATGAAACGGCCTTATTAGTAATAAGTGGCTTTAGAATTGCGGCATCGATCCCCTATCTTAAGAAAATAATCTATAGGTATAATATATGTACCTCCGATGTTCGCCGATTGCATTTAGTCTGGTAAATTAAAACTATTAGTGAGTCACCCTTTGTGATTTTAGTCGTTTGGAATTAGCTAAGGCAAAGCAGAAATAGTGATAGTAGCTAAGGAGTTACTCGATGATCTCCTTGGCGATAATATCATCGATAAGGGATATATAGGTGAATTTCTCCTAAAGTTCTGCTTATAGCTAACGAAAATAGTCTTAGATCCTTAGTATATCTATCTATATAGAGTATGGCCTTATAAACAACACAACGCCCCTTGGAAAGCATAAGAGAGTATACTATTACTAGGGCGTACTAGACTATCGTAGCATCGTCTTAACCAAGGCTTCTAGAAGTCAAATCAAGAGGCAGCGAATATCCTAGATGTCAGGATTTAGGTGTCTGCATTTATAACTGCAGATTTCTAGAGCTTCCAATTCAACATAGAAGTTCCCGCTGAAATTCCCGTTCTGCCATTTCTCACCGCCTTTATCTGATCTTGCAGTTATCTCTCATTTATCTCTCACTTTGCTCTCACTTCAGCCTTTACTATGCTTTCTCTTTCCATTTCCCTACCGGACCGAGGTTATTAGGCCTATCCTGTCTATAGCCGCGGGTAACAGCACGTTTACCTACCTCGGGTAACAGCACGTTTACCTACCTCGGGCAATAGCACGTTTACGGCAAGATTACCTCGGGCGAATATTACCTTAGGTAATTAGCCAGATGAACTGAATATTTCTGTCTATAAATATAGCCTAGAAACCAGACTAAATAAAACAAGAGCTTTCATCTCAATTATTCTCTTACTATCTTTCTCTCATAAAGGCAGACTAAAGAGACCCTTTATCTTTATCTACATCCATCTTCCTGGGGTAAGCTACTACGCCGCAGTAGTAGCCGACCTCTACGGGAGGTAGTATTTCTCTCTACAAATATTTGTCCTAAGGACTGCCCTGCCGCATAGGGACCCTTAGGCATTTATTTATCTCTCTTATTTTCATATACTACCAATCCCGACACTAGACGAGCTAGGTTAGACACTAGTAATAGGTAAGGCCATTCGCACACGATTTATATTATATATCTAATATTGTCGATAAGTTTCCACGAAAGTCAACGTTAGAGATTATATATAGTAAATCGTTAAAGGCTACTTACATTAGGGCGATCAGTTTTTAGAGCTAGAGTACTAGCCTAACTAGAGACTAAATAAATATTTCAGTTAAAGCTAATTAGATATAAGAACGACATAAAGGAATACGTATTATATAGTAGTTATTTATCTTCGCAACTTGCCCACTCTATAGTATTTAACCTAGGAAATCATATCTAAGAGTATTTTTGTGCTAGTTTTCTGTAGTATCTATTTCTAGTCTTCTAGATTATTAACTTATTTATATTTTACTATCTATCGCCTTACTTTATAATAACTAGTCACTATATATATACTCTTCTAACTAAGGTTCCTATAAGTAGAATATATAAGTAGATATAAGGGCAAACTAAACAAGGTATATTAGGTCCTTAGGACACGATCGAATTTTAGTTAGAAACCGTTGCTAGAAAATAATGAGAAAGGATTCGAATTTTCTTTAGAGATTACTTACTTTCTTTAACTCCTTAAATAAGCTAGCCAAGGTGGTGGCGGAGAGGAACTCGATAGTAGTAGGGCAAATTCTCTAGCGTTTAGGATTATTAATACCGATGGCCCCGTCGCCCTTGACGTATTTCTATATTAGCTCTATTATTATCCTTAAAATAGGAGCTAGATCACTAGTTTAGATTTTATCTACTTATTAGATGATATAATACTTAAGGCGTACTATCGACTGTGTTAGGTCCTTTCCTGAAGATATAGTTAGAGATCTAGCTTACCGATTTTAAGCTCCCCATTGAGACCTATAAGAACACTGGAACAATCCAAGGATATATAACAAAAGCCTTGAGCGATTAGGTACGCTAATCCGTCGAGTAACTAGGTATATTTAGCCATACGGTAGACGCGAGTATAATAGGAGAACAAACTTAAGATATTAAGGAAGCTAATTGCTTTAGTTTGGGGTATTACTTATAAGCTACAATATAATCTAGCGTAAGTGGATCAAACTCGCTAATAGTATATAAGGTATCTACAGTGCGAAAATATTCCTAAACGAAGGCTAGATTTTTATAGTTTATAAAACGAAGAATTTGCAAGACGCGGTTAGCCTTCTTAATAGAGAATTGACGGATTGCGTGTATAGCGCGCTTTCCTTTAAAGCGTAGATATATAGTAATAGTGCTGGCTAGATTATATTTATAACCTTTCTCGAAAGTGTTCTATAGAGACTCGTGTCGTTGAATTATATCTAGGTTGGTGTTATTCTCTAGCTTCCTTATTTCTTGAGTTTCTTAAAGGGCCGGGAGGCGTAGCGAGCGTCTAATGGCCCTCTTATAGGAACCTAAAAGTGGGGGCGTAGTGGGCCTCTTTATTAGGCGAGTGGCGGGCTAAAGATAGACTTAGGTGATGGTGCTATATCTCCTCGACCATTAGCTAAAGATTCCTGCGCGAGGGCAACCTAGTAAGGTTGAACTCTTGTGACCCGCTTCTCCTTATTCGACTTTATAATGGCTTTGCTAAATAGGTAACTTAAATATAGCTTATATAAGAGATATAAAGAAAATGTGAGGGGAATAAGGTGGTTTTAAATAGGTCCTTAATTAGTATAGTGGGCCGCTATAGGCGGGGTCTTATAGAGTAGTAAAGTATAGTGCTATCGTAGTAGATAGAGTCGAGAATAACCTATAAATTTTAATAGTAAGCTTCGCTTATTTCACTCTAGTGGGGGTTTTTTTTTCTTTTATTTGTATTCCCCTATATTATAGGCTATATTTTCCGAAGAAGAGCTACGTCTAGCCACCGAGTGGCGCGTGAAGTATCTTAGAGTAGCTAAAGTTAGCATCAGTTAAATTAAATTTAAATCGCCTTTACCTTAGGATCTAAATTCCAAAAACCTAGACCGACTTCGGAATATTTTCTATAAGAATAGCTGTCGTCGACTAGATACTAATAATTATATCCTTGCAGTCGTGTTACAGTAAGATCTAACTAACGCGTTGCGGAAGGCGAACGTTATATGTTAGTCGCTCCTGACTAATAATGCTCATTAACTACTAAGGCTTACCTTTATAATAGGATAGCTTTAGGGCCTCTACGGCCGACACCGCTTGTAGGTAGGGGTAGAGATACTTCCTCTAGCTGATCTCTAGTGGACGATAGACCTTGATATAGATAGTATATCAAGGATTATGTACTTATTTCCCTACTAATGCTTAATATAGATATTAGCGACGACTTAAGAACTTCTCTTGTGGAGGAATATATAAATCAGAAGAAGCCAACCGACGAGGAGATTTATCGTAAGATCTAATAGTACGAGGGCGACTACGACGAAGTATTGAGAGAGCGATGGCTTATATATTTATCGCGTAGTAACTAGGATAAATTGAATTAATTAGATAATAGCAAAATCTATCGTCTCCGACGTGCTTTTAATAGACTTCTTAATATCCTTGGGCTTTGGCCTAGCGGGATAAGGATTAGTGTGCTTTATTAGGTAATAGCCTCGAGCTAACGTAACCGGTAAGCGAGCCGCCCATGTAAGCGAGCCGCCCACCCAACTATCCGCTTTTTACTTTACATCTATTTTTTTCAACCAAAACGCCTTTATATTAATTATTCTACCTAACTGGGCATCTAGGGGCCTTATGCCCTTTCTCACCGCATATAGAACACGCAAATTGACGCCTTTGCGCTGGCGCTGGCGCTGACTGAATAGGCTGCCCGGGGGTTGCTAGAGACGGTGCCGTAGGCTGTAAACCAGCCTCATAGGCTTGTAAATGCCCCTAAGATTCTAGCACTGAAGTGCTAGCATCATAGGCTATCTGCCTACTAACCCGTGCGCGTTTTCGCCTCTACACCGCGTTGGCAGCCCATAATTCCTTGATTTCTTGCTTAAGTAATATACCGTTCTGCATAGCGAGCTAGCAGCCCTTGATAAGCTAGTTTAACGTGGTCTATGAGGGCGACGGGGGGCTATATAAGCGTCGTTTTAGGAAGGCCTAGATTGACGCTCCTTGTTTAAGCAATTCGGCGACGGTCGTAGGTGTTTTTGGGGTAAAAACGCTAGATCGGCTATTTAGGCGGCTTCCTAAGGGTGTAGGCGTCCGAAGCCGGATATTAAGCTTTGAAAGCACTCGTTCTAGGTCAAATAGCACTAAACCCCCTACTGCGAAGCTATTTTTTATTGTAAGCGCTTGAAAAGCGCTATCGCGGGCAGTTAGATAGGCCATAACGTAATTCCCGGCCGACCTGGCCACCCGGCCGTCCTGGCCACCCCATCCAAAACCGCGTCTTCCTACCTACCTACCTACTTCAACCACCTATTATGCCACCAAAACGCTCTGAATCTTCGCAGAAATTAGCCAATCAGGAGGGCAAGATCTTATTAGCCCTTAATGATATTGAAAATGGCCGCATCAAATCTCTCCGCGCAGTAGCGAAGCTATACGCAATACCGCGTTCAACACTATAAACGCGCGCCCACGGCCAAACCTCACGCGCTGAGAAACGCCCATCTGGTCATAAATTGACCCAATACGAAGAGGATTCGCTTACTAGGTGGATTATCTCTATGGATACGCGTGGAGCAGCGCCTAGGCCATCTACTGTGCGAGATATGGCTAATATCCTACTTACTGCGCGCGGCGAGACCCCTCCGCCTAGTGTAGGCAAAAATTGGCCATCAAGCTTTATTCAACGGCGCGATGAGCTTCGCATACGCTTCTCAAGAAGATATAACTACCAGCGCGCCCTAAACGAAGACCCGAAATCGCTACGATAGTGGTTTGCGACTGTACAACGCGTTATCGATGAGAACGGTATACAATCGGAGGATATCTACAACTTTGATGAGACAGGATTTGCAATGGGTCTTATTTCAGCGCAGAAGGTGGTTACGCGGGCAGAATACTACGGTCGGCGATCTATTCTGCAGCCAGGAAATCGCGAATGGGTTACTGCTATCGAAGCAATCTGCGCGGATGGTTATTCGCTACCGCCATGCGTGATCTTTAAGGGCCAAGTTGCTATTGCGGGTTGGTTTGATAACCTACCAAGAGACTGGCGAATCGAGGTCTTAAATAACGGCTGGACTACCGATAAGATTGGCCTACGGTGGCTACAAAAACTCTTTATTCCAGCGACTACTACCTATACGCGAGGCAAATATCGTCTATTAATTCTTGATGGCCACGGAAGCCATCTTACACCCTAATTCGACCGAATCTACGCAGAAAACGATATTATATCGCTTTGTATGCCTGCGCATTCTTCGCATCTTCTACAACCGCTTGATGTTGGGTGTTTTGCTATACTTAAACGCGCGTACGGTCGCTTCGTAAGCGATCTTGCGCGTGTAGGCTATAACTATATCGACAAGTTTGATTTCTTGGACGATTACCAACGCGCGCGGCTAGAAGCCTTTTAACCAAATACTATTCGAAATAGCTTCGTGGCTACTAGTCTAGTGCTAATCGATCTAGAAAGGGTGCTTTCAAAGCTTAATATCTTACTCCGAACGCCTACACCACCGAGTAGTTGACCAAGTAGCAGATCGAGCTAATTCACCCCAAAAACGCCAAAAACTGTTATTTAGCTCCAAAAGCAAGCTTCGATGCTTAAGGATCTACTAAAGCAACGGTCAACTAGCCCTCCGAGCCCATCAAAAACTATACTAGATCAGATTATCAAAGGCCACTATATATCGCTACACAACACTGCGCTACTAGCGCAAGAAAATGCGAATCTACGCGCAGCGAACGAGAAGAAACGACAAAAACGCAATCGGTCAACTAGGCAGATACCCTGTGAAGATGGCCTATGGGTCGAAGAGGGCCTATAGCTAGCTCAGCAGCTAAACCAACTAGTTGAAGGTATTAGGTTAGCATCGCATGCGTAGGGCGATCTACCTAATTAGCTAGATCAGCCAGCCAAAAGGGCTCCGCCAAGGTATAGCGGGTGCGGGGTGATTGGGCATAAGATCAATCGTTGTAATAATCACTAGTTTTATATTAATTAATCCGTTTTGGTTGAGATATACCGATTTAAAATCTTCTAATGGGGGCGGGTGGCCAGGTCGGCCGGGAATTACGTTAAGGAAATCAAGCTTATTAATATGGTTGATGCCAAGCCTCGTTTTTTGATCAACTAAGCCTCCGTAAGAGCGCTTTAAAACTATAAAACAACCAATATCAAGCGGTTATAAAAGATACGAGCTATGCGCTAGCATATAAATAGGAATTATCTCGTTTTCTGAGCAAATTTGGTCGAATTGGGCGATTGAATAGCTACCGTGCCCATCAAGGACTAATAAACGATATCGGCCTTGCGTGCGGCTATTCGTCGACGGTATAAATAGTTTTTGAAGCCATTGAAGGCCTATCTCGTCTGTCGTCCACCCGTTTTGACTAACTTCGAAGCGCTAATTCCCCGGGAGGTCATCGAACTAAGCCTGATTGTATAGTTTGCCTTTAAAGATAATCGTCGGCGGAAGCGCCCACCCAAAAGCGCTAATTAATTCAATTATAGTCACCCACTCCCAATTTCCTAGCTATAAAACCACTCTCCGACCGTAGTATTCCGATCAGGTAATGACCTTTACGGTCGCTGTAAGGCCCATCGCGAAGCCCGTCTCGTCAAAATTATAGATATCCTCTAGTAGGATACCGTATTACTGAACCGTAGCTTGTACGCGATTAAACCACTCTTGAATAACCTTTGGGTCCTCTTGTTTTGCTCGTTAGTAATCGTATCGACGTAAAAAGCGGGATTTTAGCTCTAGATGACGTTAGGTATAATTATAGACCTATTTTTCGCCGACCGTTTAGATTAGGGTTAAACCGCGCTTGCAAGCAAAAGATTCGCCATTTCTCGCACTATAGAGGGCCTAGGGGCTACTCCACGCGAGTCCATTGATAATATCTATCGCTTTAGCGATTCCTCTTCAGTTTGGGTTAATTTATGGCTATTAGCGCGTGTTTGAGGGCGAAATAGGCGGCCATTAACGCGGTCGCGGAGGGTAGTGCGAGGCACATTAAAACGGCGCGCAGTCTCGCGAATAGAGCTAATTTCTTTGTTTTTTATAGCCTAAACGGCTAATTCGAGGTGGCCCTCTTGCTCGATAAAATCTTAGCTTAATTGACCGCGTTTTGGAGGTATAGTGGTTAGTAGAAAATAGAAGGACGTGTGTGGACGCGAAAAAATGGTTGGGTGGGCGGCTCGCTTACATGGGCGGCTCGCTTACTGGTTACGTTAAGGGGACCTTAGCTTAGGTGACGGAGCTAGGGTAGACCTCGCTTTGGGTCGGGTTTGGGTCTAACTTCAGGACCTGTACCTATGGGTTGGGTTCATACCTAATACCTAAAACCTATACCCGTAGACCCGTGGGTTCTTGGCGGGTACCCGCGGGTTACCCGCCAAGAACCCGTTTTGGCATAAATATCCTAATTTAGTCTACGCTAAGACGCACAAAACTGCTGATTAACCTTAATAAAATACCGTTATTTACATCTATTCCGGTCACCTCTATAGTTCTAATTAATAAAACCCTCTTTCCCTTATAAAAGATTAAGAAATTAGTCTATTTTCTAATTAATGAATAGCAGTAATCTTATATATTTCGCTTTGAGGACTATATAATATTATTAGGGTTGTAAAAACTAATATTCATTAAAACTGTTATCAGAAGTGCGGAAATATATATAAACTATAGAATGTAGTACGTATATTTTTGCAAGGACAATATAATTCTATATTATCCTTGCAATCCTATAGCTTATAAGGAATTTTTGATCTCACAATAATTAGTATATATTCATTAAGCTATACGTTAACTAATCGAATGCTCTTTTATCTTATTTAAGCTATTAAATGCGAAAAAGTGGATTGATTTTACCTTGATTAAAGACTTAGAAGGAAATTGTTTAAGGAAAATAGGTTACCTATAGGTTTATAGGTTATAAGTGGGTTACCTATAGGTTACCTATTATATATATAGGCTATAAGCTAATAAGTATAGCTTTTATCTACCTATATAGGCCTTTATTAATATATTATATTTTTTACTTTAGAAGAACAGGGTACTACGAGGCCCTAGAATCTACACTTACGCGTTGAAATTCTTTTATAAGACTTTTGACTATCCTTAGCTAAGTGCTTATTAATTATTATATCACTAGATATCTTAATTCACTAATACCTACGTATTATCTTCGTATAATATAGACCTTTTAGATGACTTTTAACTCCTCCTATTAGGTAATCTAACCCCTAATCTATCGATTAGCTAATAAAACTTCGCTTATATCGCGAGCTTTATAGGCGATACTAATTTATCCTACTAGGATTACCTTCGCCCTTAATGCCTAGTTCCC